GTGCATGATCAGATCCACGGACTGTACGTGCCTACAACACATGCATCCATGCAGACGTATATATATATTGATCGATCGAATTGAATGGATTACACAAGAAACACTTCTGACATGTGTCATATGTGGATGTCCCAGCCAACGACGGACACCGATGTAAAGATTGTTCCAGTTCATTCAACGCATGCAGTAAAGAGAAGGAAAGTTGGTTGTCTGCTCGTCAGAGAACTCAAAAATTTAAATCAATAATATATGTAAAAATATTATAATTTAATATAGGAAAATAATATTAGTAGATTTATTATGAAAAATGATTTCATATAACTATATATTTTCAATAACTTTATAAACATAAAGTTATAAAAAATTTAATTATGGAACATATGTACATTTAAGTTCGTCGCGATGATCAAAACATCAAGCAAACGAGATCCAGAGGAAGTAATTTATTAATTGCAAGGAGGATACGATCTCATCAACTTCATTTCTTTGTGAAATTAGCAAATTATATTATACTATGAATTAAGCAAGCTTTGACTGTGTGCATCTAAATTTATGCAGATCAGCCTGAGTGTGCAGTTGTATCACCTTTAATTACCTACAGTAATTGACTAAATTTAATAAAAGCTTCAATTATCTTAAAAAATAATTAAGCAAGCTATCTCGCTCTCTGCATTGTGCTACATAGCTAGGTGAAATCAATCATAAGTAAATTATATCAGCATTTTAGGCTCAAATCAACAATTAAAGTACGGTTACACTTTAATTACTCAATCAGAAAAGAACCGAGATCTGCCTAGCTTTGTCGTGGTATTGGTGAACTAATTATTAATATGAATTATATATCGTCATGTCATCTCCTGCCATCTCTGTTCACTTTAGCTAGCACGTGCGAACATATGCTCCTTGAATGCAGCCATATGCAGCATGCATGTACTTGCATTGGCGTGGGTCTCTATTCGATGACACGACTCATCAATCCAACTATATACTGTACAGTTGATGTAAGTATGATTGTACGTACGTATATATGGCACGGTTGCTGCACTGGTTGAAGCGTTTCACGTGGTCATATATATGGATGTATACATTATAATTCATGCATACTACAGTATAGTACCAGTAACAGTATGTGGCTAGATAAGCTATAAACGAAGCATGTATTATTGCACGATTAATTAAATATTTACTATTTTTTAAAAAAATGGATTGATATGATTTTTTAAAACAACTTTCGTATAGAATTTTTTTAAAAAAAACACACCGTTTAGCAGTTTAAAAAGCATACCCACGGAAAACGAGAGAGATGAGTTAGGAAAACTGGGATAAGAACTTAGCCGTAGCATTGCATGCCCGTCGCACCGCCCTCCATAATTAGGGTTAAGTTTGATTTACCTCTCTCAATTATCACAAAAGTACGATTTGCCCTCCTAAAACTTTAGTGCTAGATATTTTACATGCCCCAACTTCTCAAACCGTATGAATATCCCCTAAGCTAGTATTTTTAATTAGTTGTAGTGGGGCCCAGCTGTCAGCCACCATCTTCTTCATCGCACGCCTCCATACTAGTTCTAGAGACCGAGGGTAGGCAAAGAGGAGCACCTCGTAGGCCGCATTGACATCCGCGCGCCCAAGCAGCGAATAGCTTCACATGATGGTGGCAATGGCGGCCATTCCGTCCTGAAGCCACAAATCTTGCCTTGTTTCCTATGATCGGATCGATCTGTTCACTGCTGCGGAATCTAGAGGGGAAGGTGGGGCCGGGGGAGGCACAACATTGAGGAAGAAGGGGAGCGGGGTGCAGCGGCGACAAGGAGGAGGCCATAAGTAGCACGAAGAGCTTGAGCTCGATCACTCCATTGGCAAGGTCAAGCTCCATCTCCACAACAAAGTTGCCCAATCCACCTCGTCCTCGCCCATTTTATTTATCACCGTCGTCATCCCCAGGCCGACGTGGCCATTGCAGCCTTCATCGTGGCGAAGAGAGACGAGGTCCATGGACGGAGGGAAGCACAGTGCAGCAATGCACCTTGGTGAGGAAGGAGGGTATCGGGCCAACCACATCACTACAACAGCCATGGTGCTCGGAGACTGCCTCCTCTCTTTCCTCATAGCTCTGGTGACCTACCCTCGCTATTTTTTATATACAATTTGTATTGTTTTTACCTATATACAGACACATATATAATACCTCTATTTTTAAATATATAATGATATTGATTTTTGAATATAGTTTGATCATTTGTCTTGTTTAAAAATTAGTGCAAATATAACAAAAATATAAGTCATTCTTAAAGTATATAATATAAGTTAGTGATAAAACAAGTCAAAACAGAATAAATAAAATTTACATATATTTTTTTAATAAGACGAAGGGTAAACATATCTAAAACACGGAGGGTATATACAAACTTTATTGTGTATTAAATTACAGCACAATATATAGTGAACGTATGTATTATGTAAGATACCAAGATCATGATAATATACTCCCTCATTTCCAAAATAAATAGGATAGGATGTGACCTATCATGAAACGACGAATATGGACGAGAGTTTGTCCAGATCCGTTGTTTTAGAATATTATTGTCTACATCCTATCCTCCTAGGTTGAGTTACTTCGGGGCAATAGTAGAACGTTGTTGGTTCTTTTTTTCCTTCACCATCTCCAAATTTAAACTAAATTGTGAATTTTTTTCGATATTAAATCTTGTTCAGCTATTTTGTCTCAAATTTACCATAGAAGTGTGATAGTAATAAAATTCAACAATTTCTTTGGGTGAAACAATGGCCTGAACCCTAGCTAGACCCTGCATGCGTGAAGAAGTATACCTAGGTGGACGTACCATGTGTTATCCAGCAATATATGCCAATGGGTCTAGTGAGCTGGAAGCCGCCTATATTGTGCAAGACAAGTGGCACTTCTACACAAAATCACTTCTGTGCCGATTAGAAACCGGCCGTAGATACTGAATATTTTAACCGGCACTCAACAGGTGGCACCTCCTCAAAGGTGCCGGTTCCAACCAACACCTTTATGGTTCGAGGAATAAAAAAAACAGGCTCAATGCATCAGCTCGAATCAAGCCAATGCATCGAGCAGCAGAGAAACCCAACGTCCAAGCCTCAAATTGTTCTCAATCAGTCATAAATTGCTTTTCAACATCAAAATCACTAAGTGAATCACAAATTTTATCACAAAGGATCATCTACTACCCAAGCACTAGATACCCATTTCAGCATAAAAGGGATAACCAATATCGTTTTTACAACCAATATCAACAAGTAAGAAATCAACAAAGAAAGCCATAAAAATCCTCTTGCCACGCACGGGAAGGAGCCACGACGCTGCTGGTGGTCGCCTTCATCATCATGACACGTGGATCTAGTAGTCGGTGCCTCCGCCATAGTAGGGATGGCAGGATCCAACTCCGAGCTCACGGTGGCCAACGGGCCATAGCAAGGTGAAGACCAAGAGGGAGCAACAGAGGGTGTAGATCTGGCCATCCCCAAACTCGTGGAGGCGTTGGATATGGCAACGGAAAGGAGGAGGCCGCGCACCGTTGGTGGGAGGCCGGGGGAGAGGGAAAGGAGGCGATGGGCGGAGAGAAGGAGAGACACCATTGGCCGCCGAGTGCCATCGAGGGGGACGCCACCTGTGGAGCGCCACTGATCCCTGGCCGGCCGTGGCGCATGGGAGAGGGAGAAAGGATGATGCAGGGAGACCGATAGAGGAGAGAAGATAAGGGGTAGAGAAGGGGTAATAAAAAGGGGAAGAGAGAGAGCCAGTGGGTTTGGCTCGGTTTTTTAATAGGTGAAAACCGTCACCTATAATATAAGTATAGGTATTGGTTTTTATAGAAAAACCAGCACTAATACTACTGGTATTGGTTTTAGTTAGAACCGGCACTTATGTTTCACAAATGTGTCGGTTCTTGCCTTGGGCACCTCGCGGAGGTGCACCTTAGGCGGAAAAAGAACTATAGATGCCGGTCTTAGTTGTTCTGATATCTATTTTGCTGTTCTTTTTTGTTTTGCGTGTTTCTGTAGTGGGTGGCACTGCAACATTATTAATTTAACTTATATATCCGTAATAGGTTGATTTAGTAGTATCGGGACTAACCGAATTTAAGGTGTTTGATAACTTTTATTGAACTTCCTCTATGAAGCAAGAGGACGAAAGACTGAAAGAGGGAGGTGATTAATTAGTTTAGTTTTTTTTTATTTTTGTTACCATTTATTGGAATTGAATATTTAAACTTACATGTTTAATGTTTGTACAATGATATATATTACATATTAATCTATATTATCAATTCTTTTAAAAATATCATAACCGTTTAGTCGACATGATGTAGGACATAAGGTGGACTTTAGTCCAAAAATCAACCATATACATTATGAGAAATATCGCAAGTGACATTAAGCTTGAGGTTTGGGCGCCATCGGGAAAAAACAAACCGTTTGTATTTGACTCTCTTCCCTCAGACTCTCTCACCAGAAAAAAGCAGTAGTACTAGTTATGATATAGTAAGATTTTTTTTAAAATTGTGTGCAACCCAACTTAATATCTTTCTTTTTTTTTTGCCATATACATTGTAACAATTACCATATAGCTAATTTAGGCCCAGCTTATGATCCAATGAGACTTATACATTGAAGATGCCCTAAACAAGTAACAATGAACGTCCTCTGGGTGATTAAAATCTCTCTCCGTCTCATTCATCACTAATCTATCTAAACTAAAGCCGATGGCTTATTAAAAAAATACCTGGAAAACTATTTTTATATAAAACTTTGTTCTTAGCAATTTATTTACAATAATATAAAAAAACTCCAAAATCAAGTCAAAATAAGTTTTAAAATTTGAAATTTGGGAGTGGTACATTTGTTTTTAATGCAATGCGCATAATTGAGCTCGATCTGACACGAAGGCACGTGGCCAACTAAGGTGCCAAGGAAAGTGGAAGAAGTCATATAATTGCAACAAATATACTCCTAGCTCGCTCTCTATATAACAACGCAGCACCAGGCTTCGACCAGCTGAAACTAAACCTATCACAACTCAAGACACAATAGTTCAACTCGATCCATAGACGATCATCATCTTCTTCTTCTTCTCCTCCAGCATGGCTGCAACAGCAACAATGGCGATGCCTTTAGCTAATAGGCTTCGTTGCAAACCAAACACCAACTCTTCTTCACCATCAAGAACACTATTTGGTAGACGAGTCACCATGATCAGTAGCAGCCGCTGGTATGTTTTTGTTTTTTTTTTTACTAGACATACTTCCAATGTTATATATAAATAACGTTCATTAGTTCATTTTTAACTAACCAACGTCACATTAAAAATGATGAAGAAAGTATAACCCTTTAGAAAATATATTAAAACTCGATCTCTGCATCGAAGAACAAATGTGCACTCCCTTACTTGACATATTGTTTGCAAACTTACCAAAAATTTCATCGATTTGATCAAAGCATAAATTTATTTTCAGCTGGTTGAGAAAGAAATAAATTACCAGTTGCAACTTGCAAGTTGTCGTGCTCATGCATGCAGGATGTGCAGGGGTAGTGCTGTCAGTGGCAGCGCGATCATGTCGGCGGCGGCCGACGTCGCCGCCGCCGTGCGGCGGGAGGAAGACGAGGAGATGAGGAGCTACCTGTCGCCGGAGAAGCTAGAGGTGCTGACGCAGATGGAGCCGTGGGTGGAGGAGCACGTGCTGCCGCTGCTGAAGCCGGTGGAGGCGGCGTGGCAGCCGTCGGACCTGCTCCCGGACCCGGCGGTGCTCGGCGGCGAGGGGTTCCACGCGGCGTGCGCCGAGCTGCGGGAGCGCGCCGCCGGCGTGCCGGACCTGCTCCTGGTGTGCCTCGTGGCGAACATGGTGACGGAGGAGGCGCTGCCCACGTACCAGAGCTCGCTGAACCGCGTCCGCGCCGTCGGCGACCTCACCGGCGCCGACGCCACGGCGTGGGCGCGGTGGATCCGCGGGTGGTCCGCCGAGGAGAACCGCCACGGCGACGTGCTCAACCGGTACATGTACCTCTCCGGCCGCTTCGACATGGCCGAGGTGGAGCGCGCCGTGCACCGCCTCATCCGCTCCGGCATGGCCGTCGACCCGCCGTGCAGCCCGTACCACGCCTTCGTCTACACGGCGTTCCAGGAGCGCGCCACGGCGGTCGCCCACGGCAACACGGCGCGGCTGGTCGGCGCGCGAGGGCACGGCGACGCCGCCCTCGCCCGCGTCTGCGGCACCGTCGCCGCCGACGAGAAGCGGCACGAGGCCGCCTACACCCGCATCGTCTCCAGGCTCCTCGAGGCCGACCCGGACGCCGGCGTGCGCGCGGTGGCGCGCATGCTACGGCGAGGGGTCGCCATGCCGACCTCGCCCATCTCCGACGGCCGCCGCGACGACCTCTACGCCTGCGTCGTGTCCCTCGCCGAGCAGGCCGGGACGTACACGGTGTCGGACTACTGCTCCATCGTCGAGCACCTGGTGCGGGAGTGGCGCGTGGAGGAGCTCGCGGCGGGGCTCTCCGGCGAAGGGCGGCGCGCGCGGGACTACGTGTGCGAGCTGCCGCAGAAGATCCGGAGGATGAAGGAGAAGGCCCATGAGAGGGCGGTCAAGGCCCAGAAGAAGCCCATCAGCATCCCGATTAATTGGATATTTGATAGGCACGTCAGTGTCATGCTGCCCTAATTTAATTAAGTTGATTTAATTACCCACTGGAAGGGTAATTAATTATGCTATGCTCGTGTTCATATTTCATAAACGGGCCGTTACCAGAAGTAGAGGTCCGCTAGATTTGAGCAGTAATTCGTAGGGTTATCTTGCTCTGGTAATTGTATGCGTGGTAAGACTTGCTATTCCAGTTAATTGTTAATTTGTGTCTGTTTATGCATGGCTTAAAAATAGAATTGCAGAAATCAGCTGTACGTGGAAGGCTCTAATTTTACCGTGGGGAAAGAACCACATTTGACTGCATGACAGCGAGTTGTCCAAACATGCACGGCAGTTATCCATTAATATTACAGATGTAGACCCAGGCAAGACAAACATGCCAAGAATGCTTGTATTGCAAAACCGTACACTTTTTCTTCAATGATTTAAAGCCTCATCATACAATCCTTGGATAATTTTATAGCCTCATGGTACAAAATATCGAATCATAACTTGTTTATTGCTACAGAGCTAAGTGTAGAAGTTTAAAGTAAAATGCACCACTCTGTCGGAACGCTATCACCTTCAAACATTGACTCACTTCTTTCCACCTCCAGACACGTTAAATTTAAAGAAGATGATATCCCCGTCCTGTACCACGTAGGTCTTCCCTTCCTGCCTGTATTTTCCAGCAGCCTACAATTCGCAATAATGGGCGTTTTCATTAAGTATATATCGAAAAGAGGCACTTGAACAATATCAACTTTGTTAGGTGCCTTGCATACCTTCACAGCAGATTCACTACCCAGTTCTTTTAGATCGTCGAACTTCATTACCTAATCCCAGAAAAATGTATTTCACATAAGTTTCAAATGTGCATAAAGCTAAAAAGAACAATGCTACTGGACAGACAAGCCCAACCAAATATATAAAACAAAGAGAATAATTATTACAAATAAAAGAACTATATCAAACTAGAAAAGTCGCATCAGAAAACATCTAAATCAATGTGTCCATTGAGTACTGCGGAGTTGGGGATAACTGTACAAAATGAGGTAGTATAACTAGTGAATTAGACCAGCTACTTAACAGTGACATGAGATCAATTGTTTGCAATAATATCTAACCACATTAGCATGCATATACTAACTACTCATATGAAGCCTGAGTATATCGCATGAGTACCTCAGCGCATATGAAGCCTCTCTCAAAATCAGTGTGAATTGTACCAGCAGCTTGAGGTGCTTTAGTTTGACGTCTGATCTGCCAACACTTTACCTGAACAGAAAATCCATCTATGTCACTAATCCAGCAAAATGTATTTCAAACATATATTTAAACAAGAATGTATAAAACTAAAATTTTCACATCGCTTGCATTTGAACTATTAAGAACATAAAAAATAAGAACTAAAGAAAGTACTCCATCCACAAGAATTAGACCTATTTCATATTTTAGTTTTCCCAAATAAGTTGTTCCTATTTGTAGTGTGTATGCATCCAAGATTTAAATGGATAGGTAAATTAAATGTTTGATCAAAACCCGAGGAGCCATCTTAATACTCATTGGTTGCATGCGTGCATACACTCCTTATCTTTGTTACATGCAAGATGAGTTTAATTTCTCCTTGGTCATGGTGGTAAAAGTAATATGTATAACTTTTGTAGGAGGGAGTACTGCGTATTACTTAAAACAAAGTGCAGCAAATTGCACAACACAATTGTTAAAGGGCAATGCTACTGTCATATAGCAACATGGGAAGTAAAAGATGGATTATATTAAAATCAACAAGTAATAGTGTAAGATAAGCATAATATGACCAGAAAAAATATACCTCGTCAGGGCCAGCAGTGAAAAAGTATATAAGATGGATTGCTGCAAAACCAGTCTTGATAATTTTTGGGATCACACTGCAGCAAAAAATAGAGAATGCTTAAGGACAAGCAACTAATGACAGATCAGAAATTTTGAATCATATAAAAAAGAAGCTACAATATATGGTAAACAACATGCAACTAAAAAGACTCTTGCTGGTTTGATAGTTCTATTGGTGTTTATAGAATCATAGTCATATAATGTATCTTATAGAAAGTATGACCAAATGGAATTCACCTCAAAGACACGTAGTGACCCAACCAAAAAATAGGCATCACTATTGCGTCACTCAGGAAATAAAATCCAAGTAAAAGGACTCATATATGAGTGTGACAGTATTGCTTGATTTGCTTGATTCCAAATCAAGCAATTTACCTTTGGTTTTTTTGGAACTAAGCTAAACACATAAAGAACATTTAATGGTATATGAGTGTGACATGGCTTGCCTTGCAATCTGGTTTTCAGCACAATATTTAGCAGCTTCATCCGGGGGCATATCCGCTAGCAACCTTTCAAAAGCACAGCTAAAAGGAATAATAGTTTCACCACCATGTTCCTGAACCCTGAAAATAAAAAACAACAGTTTGCCTTATTTTCCATTACACCTTAATCCCTTCAAGAAATAGTTACTATATACTAGAGAACAATACCAGGCATGTATCTTAGGTAGGAACTTGTTCTTTTTCCTCTGGTAGTCCTTCTCACTCATGTTCACCTGCAAAAACAAAACAGTCATTAAACAATATATAGCTCTACTTTTATTAAAAAAAAATTACCATATGCAAGGAAAGGTAACATACTAGCATCTCCCTTTCAATTTCTGACAGGTCAACTAAAATATCCATGTTAGGTTAGGTGGGTATACAGCTAATTACACGATTAGTGACTATTTGGGTTATAGTTGATTGTGTGCTCTGAAAATGATATATAGGTAGAGTTCCCATACATAAAACAAGAAAGTATTATTCACTGCTTCAGAATATTGCTTGATGCCTCAAAATAAACATTACATAATAGGAGGAAGACTGAAACAGACAAACAGGGCACAACAGAAAGTCCACAGGATAAGTTTTGCACTATTCCAAGTTTATCTTGCTAATAGAAAACAATATGCGCTATTCATGGGCACTATTGTATAAATTCAAAAGCATGTATAGCCATGAATCAACGTACTGACATTATTACTGAGTCTCTAAATGCAGAAGCACGAAAATAACAAAACTGAAATCTCACAAAGAACAACTGAACACCTCATCATGAAAACTACTTTATAACATCTCAAATAAACTGGCATACAGATGACAAAAATACGTACCAAATAGACAACTGGCTTAGCTGTAAGTAGCTGGAAGGTATTCAAGATCTCAATGTCAGCACTTTTCCAATCTCCAAAGCGGACATCCTTTCCATCTTCAAGATGGGCTTTGACCTGTTAGGAAGAGAAGCCAAAAGTAAGCTTCCACTCACTCAAGAAAATAACAATTTGAAATTATGCAAGGCTGCTAACAGACAAATTTAGCAACACAGAGGTTGGCTGTAACAGGTGCCCCACCTTCTCACATAATTCATGCTCGAGTTTCAGCTGCTTATCATTGCTTCTCTTCATTGATTTCTCAAGGTCATCAATTTTGTTCTGCACAAACTCAATGTCCTGCAAAAGAAAGTGCGATAGGATTTAAAAGAAGGTTTAACCAAAGCATTTACTGACGTGCAAATCAAGCATCCCTATAAAAACCTTGAGTCTCAGCTCTTCACCAATAGTTTCCAAATCTCTAACAGGATCCACTGAATCATCAATATGAGTAACTTCTTTGTCTTCAAATGCTCCTGATAAACATAAGCAGCATTCATGAAGTGCATGACCTTGTGATTACTGGTTAAACAAAAAAGCAAAGAAAATTGATTCGAATCTGAGCACCAATGCTTTCACTAGAACAATCACAACGTTTACTTTGCTTCACACTGAAACAATAGCACAAGTCCATGACTACACACTCAATATGCAAGATCCAATCAAAATGATAAGTAACAGGAACATACTCAATACATGAAAAATTCCATCAACAGCGCGTATATGGGATAGGAAGGCATTGCCCAAACCCTCCCCAGCATGGGCTCCTCTAACAAGCCCGGCTATGTCATTGATTTCTAGATATGCAGACACCTGCAAAGAAATTCAGAAGACATGATATGTCTTGAAACATAAGAAAAGAAGTTGCACATTATAGTGTAGGAAAGAAACAAACCTCACTCTTTGGCTTGTAAAGTTGACAAAGCCAATCAAATCTCTCATCTGGAACATATACCCGTGCCTCATTTGGGTCGATGGTACAGAAAGGGAAGTTCTCAGCTGGGATAGACAGCTTTGTTACTATGTTAAAGAAAGTGGATTTGCCAACATTTGGTAACCCAACCTGCAGAGAAAATAAATACAAAGAAATTCATAAGTCTTTATAACTGATGAGAAAACTAGGATAAATCAAAAGGGTAAAAATGGGATTATTGGTAATTATATGCTTCGCTGTAAAGTTGGAAAAGCATCTCTGCACAGAATAACTAATGATCAAATCATTTGCTGATCCAAATATTGATGAAACAATGAACAAATCCAATAACAAATATTGCATTATGAACCCGTGATGGTATACAAGTTAAAAGCAAATGCTTATACATAATCATTCATCAGTAGCAGGTGTGTTGAGCAATATGACAATATCATACTATCACTATTAGCACCACCAAAGGCGATCAATTGGGAAGAACTAATGAATAGGAATGTACAGGTATCTACCATGGGCTATCATGCTTCCAGCAGGAAAAAAGTACACAAAGGTAACAGGAGATCGTCTAAACATTCATGCATAAAGATATGGCGTAGATCGTTCTTATATAGAATGCTTCGCCAAATTAAGAACACCGGGTTACCCACTAAAGTTAGATTCAAATCACATCCACATAAGCACAAAGCAGCGGAACATGAATCAAAAACCTAAGCACCAACCAAACCCCACACTGACCACCAAGGGGACAAAACCCTACTAAAATCACGGCCTCGAGCTGGGCGCACGCTCCGTTCTACTACCCCGAAAACCAAAGCACATATCTCCCCCAACCCCAAGCACTAAGCTCCGATGTATCCACCGTAGTAGCTGCTGCACACGCGAATCCTGCACAAACTACAATCAATCTACTATCCACATCGCATGACAGCAAAGCCGCGAGATCCACTGGCCCCCGGGCAGGCACCCGCGGTCGTCGCGTCGACGGCGAAGCAAAGGAGAGTAGAGATATAGCGGTGGGGAATTAAGGGGCGCGTACGATCCCGATCTTGAGGTGGGAGGAGAAGCGGCCGAGGATGGGGCGCTCGGCGGGGGCGGCGTCCTTCTTGGACGCCTTGGGCGGCATCGTCGCCGGCTACTCTGGGCTCGGGGCGGCGCGGCGGCGATGAATCTGGAAGAGGAGGGGGAGGCTAGGGTTTTTGGTGGGAAAAGGGGGTGAGGGAAGAAGAAGGGGACGATGCGTATAGGCCGCGGGGAGTTTATCAGGTTGAGTTGGACTCCCTCCGTGTTAAAAAAAATCTTATGTCCAGCTTTAATCATCTGTTTTATTTTTAAAAAAAAAATTATAGAACATAAATCACGCATAAAGTATTATTCATATTTATAATCTAATAATAATAAAATATTAATTATTAAAAAAATTCATATAAGACGGACGATCAAAATTGGACACGGAAACTTATAGATGCGTTTAGTTTAGGATGGAGGAAGTACTAGCCTAGAGCCGGTGTTTTGCAATGGAAAATAAATTTAGTTTGTACTCCCATGTTCCATATTATAAGGGCATGTTTAGATCACACCTTAAAATTTTACACCCCGTTGCATCGAACGTTTGAACATCTATATGAAATATTATATATAGGCTAAAAAAACTAATTGCATAGATTACGACTACTTTGCGAGACGAATCTTTTAAGCCTGATTGCTTCATGATTTGACAATGCGGTGCTACAGTAAACATGTGCTAATGACGGATTAATTAGGCTTAATAAATTTGTGTCGTGGTTTACTGACAGTTACTGTAATTAGTTTTTTTATTAGTGCCCGAACACCCCATGCGACACCATATATAATACCTGATATGACACGCCAAAACTTGATACCCCTAGATCTAAACACCCCCTAAGTCGTTTGATCTTTTTTAGTTAAATTTGGCTAAGTTTGGTCATGTTTGTTGAAAAAATTTAACAACATCTAAAATATGAAATTAGTTTCATTAAATCTAACATTAAATGATAATATATATTTTTTTGCTAAAAATATTATTATATTTTTTTTTCATAAATTTGGTTGAACTTACAAAAGTTTGAATAGGAAAAAAGTCAAACGACTTATAATACGAAACGGAGGGACTAGTTTATTAAATCAAATAATAAGCGCTTATTAAGCATAAGTAATACTATGATTTTCTGTGTTAGTATAAGTAGTACTATGAAAAATGATTTTTCTTATTGAACACAGTTAGGTGATTTTGAAATTTAGGGGAGCCAATAGTGCAATAGGGTATGACTTATTGAAAGGTGATATAATAGTATATAGGGGCAATTGCAAATTTACCACTACTTTGAATCGTTATTGCAAAACTGCCACTAGAAAATTGCAAAAATGCCATTAGAACTGTCATTCGAGTGGCATCCTTGCAATATTGAAAAAACCGGTGGCAAATTTGCAAATGCCCCTAGTATATATTGTGAGATCCGGCTGTTAGTGACAGAGGTGGTGTGGGAATGAATACAAAAATACTAACATTTTAAGTATTATAGATATTTTGGTGAAGAAGTCTAGGTTTCTCTGCTTTATTCCACTTTGATCACTATATAAAAAAGTAAAAATTCTAAATTGATAATCATATAATTATATAATTATGCTCCCTTCATTTAACGTGAACCGTTATTGCATCTAAACATGTAAATTGGGTCTGCATACGTACATACTTTAGTGGTAATTAAAGGCTCAATGTGGGAAGTTAAAGTCTGCATGTTTCTTGATTCTTCCCCTACCAAATACTCACATTAAATGAAATATATACTCCGTAATAGTTAAGTCTTTCTTGGTCTTGAGAGCAAGGCTAATAATACAATCCACCTATTAGCTATAAGTTTCTTTGTAACCTTCTCTCAGCCTACCCATATAATAATTAGCTCTTTACAATTAATACATGGTCTACTTATATCTCTCACAAGGTTTCTTGGTTCTTGTGTCCAAGCCGGATGTAAGTTTACAGCCTGCTTCTCATCTCTCTCCTCTCTTTCCTCCTCCACCTCAGCATTTAGCCGGCTTATAGCCTGCTATTATATTTGCTCTGATGAAAACTTATATGATGATCACTATGGAATGGAAAGAGAAATACTATATTATGATTGTCCTCAAAATTATTTTGGAATAAATAAACCATTTTATCACTAAAATTGGGTGAAAGTTACATATTTGCATGCATACATATGTGTACTCGTACCACACGGATATAAGGGATTTTGGTCAAATATAACATATTATAATACTACGAACTAATTTGGATAGGAAACATGTCCAGGATTGTAATATTAATCCTCTATATTTTGGGACGGAGGGAGTACCTCCTAACATGTCCTCGAAGTCAAAGGGAGGCGGCTAGCAGTAGTTTCCATGCATTTTATTTCATTGTAATTTTTGGCTTTATAATGTTATTTGTAGGGCCAGCAGAGAATCATAATTGGGCATCAAAGATTAATCATTCACTACAGTCCTCTATGTTGTAATCCCCAAATTATTTTCGAACAAGTCCTTTTTACTATCAAGGATAGGGTAAAATTGTTTTGTTTTATGATTCATTTCCCTTAGTAATTGTACCCCCTCCGTTTCAAAATGTTTAACACCGTTAACTTTTTAGCATGTTTGACCGTTCGTCTTATTAAAAAAATTTGTGAAATATGTAAAACTATATGTGTACATGAAAATATATTTAATAATGAATCAAATGATATGAAAAGAATAAATAATTACTTAAATTTTTTTGAATAAGATGAATGGTCAAACACGTACTAAAAAGTCAACGGTGTCAAATATTTTGAAACGGATGGAGTAATATATAAAGTCCTTCTAGGCTAGCTAAATACAGCAAGCACTACTCATAGCAAATAGGAATGCACCTTCCTAGATTATAACTTCTTAGACTATGTGTCCATGTTTTAGACCAACAAACTAACCATTTCTTCGGAATTCATTGAGAAATTATCCAGGAGGATTGAGAACTAGGAGTTCTACAATGAATCTAGGTATTAGTTCCAATCGGAAAGGGAGGCATCGAGAATTAGGACAGATGAAAACATTGAGGAATTTGGATTTCCTCAAACTTTATGGTTAGAGGATGAATACATGCCAGTTCTTCAACTTTCCTTGCAGCAGCCTTGATATGATCATTCCCGAATCCCGAAGCTTTCTCATCGAGCTCAGAACTATCATCTAGGAATGAGTGGTCTTTGATGATCTACTTGTTAGATTCATTCGGTTAATCTAAACTATCTATTTCGCTTTCTCTCCGCATATCAATTATTCTCGGGCTGGCTGATTCCTGACCAGCCTATTGGTTCACGTATCACCTTAATCTTTGAAGATAAAACTGAAATATCTACGAGAAAAAAAATGCAGAGAAGAAAAAAAAACTATTTGAAAAAAAAAAACAGTCCGAAATAAAGCCGAGGCTTCTCGAAAAGCTCCTGCGGTCCTGCCCCATGGGTAATGGTGCGAGAAGCCTCGGTTATATGGCATCGCTCACCCATGATAAATAGAAGGCAGCATCATAGAATCATATATAAAAATATAACTCATAAGTTATTTCTTTTAGCGATAAGAGTTAACTATGACACTGCTAGATTTTTATAACCAGAACATTGGAGGTTTTCGGCTCATGCTTGACACTTAACATATGTCTAAAATAATTAAACTAATTTCTAAAGAACCCACAGCATATGTCTAAAATAACAGCATTTAACATGATTCACTGTATAAAATTTTGTTATTGGCGCGTTCATTTTCTAGTATTGTTTTCATGCTAATCGGTTATGTTCATTACCCATTATCTAGAAACAAGCTAAGGCCATGTTCTTTTCAGCTACTTTATTATGTTGTTGTTGTGGATTATCTGCTCTACAACTCTAAAAATATGTTTTTCCAAAAAAAATTGGTGAGTTCTACCGCATTGCTTAGTTCCTTTGTTCCAAATTATTTTTTAAGTTTATTTATGAAAATATCTTACTACATATGTCCCAAAATATAATCATTTCAACCAGATTCATAGCTTGGGATGTATCGTAGGGAGTAATTTATATCAATAATCATGTAAATAATTTACTAGAATATTCCGACTAATTATTTGTTCCAAATTGGGCCAGAGAACAGCCTTTTCTAACACATAAGTAAATCACAAGTAGGAGGATACATATGTTACTACTCCTAGCTTATGTGTATCCAATGTACATGGGTAGGATATGGTAGGTACTCCCTCCATCCAAAATATAACTATTTCTAGCTACGAATCTAGACAATTGTGTGTTCAGATTCATAGCTAAAAGTTGTTATATTTTGGAACGGAGGTAGTAATAAATCTTGTTAAAATTTTCAATAGGTGCCAAATTGAAGTCTTTTTTAGATTATGGAAATCATCATAGTCTTTTCTTCAAAGAAGTTAAAGCCGATTACTACAAAGTGTGCAGGCCGAACAACCATGAATTACAAATCATAGCTTCATGGATAGCAAGAAAACTAATTGAACACTAGCTTAAAGACAGCAATAACACCATCAATACATGATTGGTGAAAATCGGCATAACCATTGTTCTTGAGCTGTGGCCTATGAGTTGTACATAGTCGCTCTCCTCAAACCTGGCAAACAAATCTTCTATGTGAGCGGCCGACCATTGTGCCGATCAGATCTTGCACACATTACCATCGGCAACTAACGTAAAATTTAAGTAGAATATATCATCGAATAGTGATTGAAGCATCTCACCCATTTCATATAACCACAGCGGACATCGAAGGCGATGCGGTGGGGGCATCCTTGGTGCAGTTGACACCAGGCCCAACATCCCCATCATCGATGACAATGAAGACCTTGAAACGATGCCATACACGAAATGACAAGGGTTGGGCACGTACAGGAGGAAGGGAGGAATAAGAATTCATGTATTTAAGCTCTATGGTGACATCTTAGCAGGAATTTTTCACTCTTTCCGGGAGGCGAAAAAGGAACACCTAACATGCATGATTCTCTTCTCAACCTAAGAACTTTAGTTAAAAGATTAGTATCTTCAAACAATTATAGATGGCATATGCAAAATTGATGGAAGATGGTTAACCAAATCGGTTGTTCATTATTGACTTGATGGCATATTTGCATATACAATTATGTTGTATGCAAAATCCTTCATGCTTCACTGCCTGTTAGGTAGCCACTACCAAATAAAGGTTACACTTATTGATTGCCAGGATTGCAGCAAAAAGGAAAAATTGAAAATTTTATGACAAGTTTCTATTTACAGTCTATGGATTTTACCACCAACAATCACTAGCATCTACTCCCTCCGTTTTAAGTTACAAGACGTTGTGACTTTGGTCAAAAGTCAAATTGCTTTAACATTGACCATTGTAGAGAAAAATAGTAACATTTTCAACCTAAGACAAATTTATTATGAAAATATATTTAATTATAGATTTGATGAAACTAATTTAGTATTATAAATATTACTATATTTGTCTATAAATTTAGTCAAACTTAAAACAATTTGATTTTAATTAAAGTTAAAACATCTTATAACCTGAAACGGAGGGAGTATTAGTTTGTCCGCAAAAATTTCTCTCAGCACTTTTATGTATATAATTTACATATATGTTAGAAATATCATGAAACTGGTTTTATGGCTATAAAAAGTGTTATTGTAGTGTATTGACTTACAAGTGACTTGACTCTATAGCTCCAAAGCCTTTCAGATGGTGGGTGTCCTACTAGTACTTAATTACCTTACTTAGTTACTTTACATGCCATACATTGCAAGTATGCATCACCTGCAATGTCTGCAACCATGATAAAAAGGAGACAGGGTCATAGCATCTATCTTGTAAGGCCGGACAATGGAAGCGAACGAAAGACATGATAGAGAATGGCAAGTTTTTATTTATACCCTCATCAAGACAGTAAAAGATCAGTAGGAATGACAGGCAATGGGAATTCAAGTTCAAGATAGATAGCACAAAATAGAGCAAGGTTTCCCTCATCGTTCTCCTGCAGAGAACATGAAATAGCACCCAAGACAACACTACGGTTCAATCGCATTACACCAGATGCTTTCCGATGAAGCTGAAGAGCTAGCTTTGTGCTTGTAGGGTCGAACAATAACAAATAAGCCAACGCAACCAGAGGGTAGGGGGAGGGTGAATGGTTGTAGTATCCAAAAACCAAAACTTTTAGCGGAATTAAAAGTTACCCTCAAATCGATGATCTACGGTCTAACCGAAGATGATCGGCCGGTCCGACCGCCTGGAAGTCGTCGGTCTAACCGGAGTAGATCATCCGGTCTAACTGCCCCGAAGAAGCTGTAGTCACCTGAAGCCGTCGCCGGTCTGACCGCCATTGTCCCGCCAGTCTGACCGCTGCGTTGCTGCCGATCTGATCGTTGGTGTCTCACCGGTTAGACCGCCGAACCCGAACAAACATGATCGAAAAACTCTCAAAGTAGATGACAACTTTTTATTTCTTTTTGTGTTTACAAAGTGCAACAACAGCACTCCTCATGAAAATCTCGACTAAACTCGAAACTCTTACTATTCTCTCAACTCAATGCTCTCTTAAACGATACCGGGAGGCCTCACCCTCCCTCTCTATCTATACATGAGGTATGCAGCCTAAAGCCACGAACCAAACTCATACAAGAAGTCCTAATACACCTAGTAAACCTTCCCGTATAAGAAACCAACTTTACAAACTCCAATTGTACTAAATTTGGACTCCCTCCAAATTCGACTCCGCATCCCATACACACACAATATCTCCATCGTATGCCATATGGAATCTTCACCAACCACGTGCATTGATCTTTAGCCTAAGTATCCCGCATGATATCTGACCGTCCGAACGCCACCTTATCTCCAAGTTGACTCTCGATCCATCATCAGCAATACTCTCCCGAGGCATCAAGACACCTACACATGAATCAAACAAAGAAACCATATTCCGAGATCAAGCTATCTCCAATTTGACTCATTGTTAGCAAACAACAGTATTACATACGCATAGTATATCCATCTAGAAGTGTCGGCCGAAACAACCCGAAACCAACACAATGTCGTCTGGTCAGACCGCGGGCTGGCCAGTCTGACCGCACGATACACACCGGTCTAACCGGCAACACCTGCCCAGTCTAACCGGACCCGACAAAACAGCAGTTCCTGTTCATCACCTACAAATCCAATCATCTCTAAAAACACTTCGCCAATAATCTCCAAATATCAAAACCAATAATCTCATATGCCAATTGTTCATCACAGAATAAGAATCAAACGCACTTTGATTTTACAGTAATGTATCCTTGTTCTTCTCGATATGGTGGGAAAGCTTCAGATGCAATCTCAGCCAAAGCCATTTATGGCTATGATCGCATGGCACTCCTTTGCTTTTTTTTTCTTTTTTGACATAAAGCGCATGACACACCATACCCACTATAAAATAGTTGGTGACAAAGATTTTTTTTATTATAGGACTACGTAAATGCATCTTTTTATTGAGAAAGAAAACTTCATAGAAACAGGGATCCAGTTATCCAGACAAGACCAAAACTAGAAACAAAAAAAAAAGGAGGCTGCGACCAAAGGAGGACAGAAAGAAAATCGAAGAAGAGTATCAACACTTGGTCGATAAAACGGGAAAGGAAAAGGAAAGATGAATCCTCTATATCAACTGCAAGATCAATCATTCTGTAGCACTAACTGAAAGCTGCTTGTAATTATATGCAGTCTAGCGGCAATATCATAATATTCCGAAAGGTATTCACGGTTTCATCGTACCCAAAGGAGCATGAGAGACGTTCTGAGCCACCAGAGCCAACAGGGAAAGGGAGGCATCAGGGAAGGATATGGATGATGCATAACAATCTGGATTTTCTCAAATGTTTTGGTCAGAGGATGAAGATCAACTAGTTCTTGAAGCTTCATGGCCAACGGTTTCATGCTAGCTAGAGCATTGCACAGAACCATCAAGCATAGAACCATCAATCTTTGAGGAGAACATTGTGGACAAAATCGCTAAAAAAAAACTTAGCCGCATTCCACAAAGACAAACTGCCCATTTAGAAAGGGGTGGTTTTTTTAGTTAGATTCATTCAGTTGTTCAGGATCATTTGATTCAGCTGAGATCTACATCCATTGTTTTCCGACTGATTGTCTTCTGTTAGCGAGTAACTAAATAATAGGACTATGCAAAGTTGATGCAATAGAGCTTGAAATAATTAATTAACCAGGAATGCTCACCATTTACTTGATCACATATTTGCATGTATAATTATGCTACTTATTCGCTGTTAGGCACCTGCTCCTAAGGCCTTGTTTAGTTCCCAAAAACTTTTTCCCAAAAACATCATATCGAATCTTTAGACACATATATGGAGCATTAAATATATATAAAAAGAAAAACTAATTACACAGTTTGCATGTAAATCGCGAGACGAATCTTTTGAGCCTAATTAGGCCATGATTAGCCATAAGTGCTAAAGTAACCCACATGTGCTAATGATGGCTTAATTAGGCTCAAAAGATTCGTCTCGCGGTTTCCAAGTGAGTTATGAAATTAGTTTTTTCATTCGTGCCCGAAAACCCCTTCCGACATCTGGTCAAACGTCCGATGTAACACCTAAAAATTTTTATTTCACCAACTAAACAGGCCCTAACAAAAAATGATATGTTGCAACTATCCCCATCGCGGTGATTAGGACTGGAACAATGAAGTGAAGAAAGAAAGGATGAAAAATAAATGGAAGTTTGTATGACAATTTTCTGTCTAAGAGTGTCTATGGATTTTACCCCCAACCTCACTAGCTTCTCTTACTTTGTCCGTAGAAATTTCTTTCAGCACCTACATGCTACTTGGATGTGTTGAAACATCACAAGGCTGGTTATTTATGGCTATAAAAACAGTGTTGTTGTATAGTCAATACTGAATTACTTCCTCCGTTTCACAATGTAAGTCATTTATTTCCTACATTTATATTGATGTTAATGAATCTAGACAAATATTTATCCAGATTCATTAACATCAATATAAATGTGAGAAATGCTAGAATGACTTGACTCTAACTCCATAGCTTCCAGATGGTTGCGGTATGCTACTTTTACATACAATTGCACGTGTTGAGCGCTCACCCATGATAAATAGATCGGCAGGATCATGGCATCATACTTGTAAGCCAAGAAGATGGAAGCAAATGAAAGACAATGGAAGCAAGGGTGCTCTCACTAGACAGTAAAAAGGTCGATCAGTAGGAATGACGGGCAATGGGAATTCATGTTCAGTTTAGACCGGCCAAAATATAGCAGGCTTTCTTTCATCATTCAGCTAGCAATAGCACGATATGACAGATTCAGACCCTGTTTAGATGGGACTAAAACTTTTAAGTCCCTATCACATCGGATGTTTGAAAATTAATTATAAATATTAAACGTAGACTATTAATAAAACCCATCTATAATCTTGGACTAATTCACGAGACGAATCTATTGAGTCTAATTAATCCATGATTAGCCTATGTGATGCTACAGTAAACATTCTCTAATTATAGATTAATTAGGCTTAAAAAAATTATCACGCGAATTAGCTTTCATTTATGTAATTAGTTTTGTAAGTAGTCTATATTTAATACTCTAAATTAGTGTCTAAATACAGGGACTAAAGTTAAGTCCCTGCATCCAAACACCACCTCATTTGGTTCCTCTCCTGAGCTAGGCTAGTTGCTAAGGTGCTAAGCTAGCCCAACTAGCCCAGCCCACAGGGGCATTGCCATGCTTTCTTTAGCACGCTAGCTGTTTGGCTAATTTACTTTGGCGAGGCAATATTTTAGTTTGGCACACAATCCTGTTTTTTCATGAACTCATGTCCACCCAGTTCATGGCTTCACGCGCGCAGCGATCTTTCCATTGAAGGCGAGCCAATTCATCTCTCCTCCCTGGACGACGATTTTCTAGCTCACCAGGCTAGTTTATTTTGACGATACCAAACACCTAACGTAGCCCAGCAAGGTAGAAATGTTATTTTTTTTACCGGAGATCCAAATAATTGCATCGGTGCGGATGTTTTTCCTAGAGTGGTAGTCCTTCAACTTACTAGCTTTGTGATGGATCTTTATTCACTTCTGGTGGGCGGAGGAATGAATGGGTGGCAAGGCGGCAGCGTTGGAGCCGCATGGTCGACAACGGGGCAAAGCAAAGTGAGAGGATAGGATGCAATGGCCGATGCTGGCGGATCTGATGGCGAGGAGCTACCGGAGAGGGGGGCAAGACCGTGGGGGCAGGAGCACCTCACCGCTGCTAGCTTGAGGAGAAGGAGAGGTGGGGAGGGGGAAGGGGGATGTCTAGTGGACCTCCCTGATGTGGCTGGGGGGCAGCGCGGGGGACATGCATTGGACTAGACAAGGAAAGGGAACGGAGGAAGATGGGGTGGCGCACGAATCTCAAAGTGATTCAACGGTCCAGTATTTGTATGATTTTGGGGGTCTTATCTTATAGATGGGTAATAGACCGTCCCTTGTAATTAGGTAAAAATCCGTCAATCAGCTCTATTTGACAAAGATTTTGAAGATCACAGTTGGTCATCAAAGATTCATAATTTGTCTATAACCCTTTCTACCGTAAAATTATCATGGAAATGTCCTTTTAGGTAAATTCTCTTCTTCGTCTTTGCATGTTGATGAGGATCATGATTAGTCATGGGAGATTATCATTATATCTTATCCAATGTTCTCCATATAGATATATTATTCTAGGAATAAGTTCATCCGAGGTCCCTGAACTTGTCAACGAATCCAATTTTCATCCTTTAACCCCAAAACCAGATATAATGGGTCTCTCAACTATTAAAACCGGTGCACATAAGGTCCCTCGGCGGTTTAGATGGCGGTTTTAACTGACGTGGCGCCTACGTGGCTATTTTTACTCGGTCTTCATCGGATGTGGCACTGACGTGGCGCTTACGTGGCAATTCATCCAAGAAAAATAATAAAACCCGTGGGACCCACATGTCAGTTACACAAAATAATAATTAGAAAATGGTGGGCCCACGTGGGCCCCACATGTCATCCTCTCCCTACCCTTCTTCATCCCTTCTCCTCTCTCTCCAGGCGCCACGGGACGGGGAAGTTCGGCGGCCGGCGACGGCGGCTGGCGACGCGGCGGTGACGGCGGCAGCGGCGGACGGATCTGCTCATTCAAGAAATGCATGCAATCACCAAAACCAATACATCAAAAGACGCTTTTTTCACATTGTTCTAATTTGTAATCCAACATAAGAGAACAGGTCGATAAATCACCATGGTGCTGAGGCCGTGGTGCGGGGACGAGGACATGCACCGGCGGAGGCCGCTTGTCCCCAGATCAAATCATGGGGGACATCCAATCCATCAATCAATCAATCGTTACCTGCGGTTAGATGCGAGGGAAGGCTGGCCGGAGGAGCCCCCGCCGCCCCGAAATCCAATCCGAAAGCAAAAAACCAAAAACAACACCACAGAACCCTAATCCCGCGGCGTCTCCCCGCGCCCTCGCCCGAGGGGATGGACGAGCGACCCCTTCACCCAGCGCTCCCGCCGCCGCCTCCTTGCTGCCGCAGTCGTTGTCGTCGTCGTCCAGGTCGTCGCCGCCCTTGAGGAACCCGGCCGGCCGCCCCTTCTCTTGCGCCCTCCCCTTCTCTTGCGCCGCCGCCGCCGCCGCCGCTGTGCCGCCGGCCGCCAAACCTTCCCGTCCCATGGCGCCTGGAGAGAGAGGAGAGGGGAGAGAGATGAAGAGAGAGAGGGGAGGAAGAAGGGTAGGGTGAGGATGACATGGGGCCCACGTGGGCCTCACCATTTTTTAATTATTTTTTTGTAACTGACACGTGGGTCCCACGGATTTATTATTTTTCTAGATCGAATTGCCACGTAAGCGCCACGTCTGATAAAGACTGAGTCAAAATAGCCACGTAGGCGCCACGTCAGCCAAAACCGCCATATAAACCGCTAAGGGACCTTATCTACACTGGTTTTGATAGTTGAGGGACCTATTGTATCTGGTTTTGGGGTTCAAGGATGAAAATCGGATTCGTTGACAAGTTCAGGGACCTCGGATGAACTTATTCCATTATTCTAAGATGTGTTTACCTCCTTGGGGTGGATGGGGCTTTGGGCCTAGACTATGGGCTGGTTTAGGGAAGCTTCTAGCTGCTCCAGCTTCTCCCAAAATCAGAAGCCATTTTTTTTCCTCTCCTCTCTAGTGTAGAGGAGAGATGTACAACCTTTTTTATATTTTTATTTTTTTTTTGATATTTTTTCATACTTAGGAGCCCATAAGGACCAACCATAGAAAAGTTAAACTCAAATGGATGAAATATGTGACCTGTAAAATTTTCCAAAGCTCTTGAAAATACAATCTTGCAAGCGGAATTTAGAGGTACAATCTTGCAAGCGGAATTTAGAGGTTCTAATTTCTCCGAACCCGACGAAGCGGGGGGGGGGGGGGGGGGGGATCGGATGTAACTTTTTCTGTACATATCCGTGGATATATAATTTGCCTGATTCCGAGTCCGTATGAGAAAGTTATACCTGTTTTAAGGACACTCGAATGTAAAAGAAAAAAACTCAACAAACCCTTATTTTTTTATAGGATGTAAAAAAAAAAAGCAATGTACTATTTTTTTTTGGTTTTTTTGGACTATAGGAAAAAAAACAATATAGGAAAAAAAACAACGAAGAACATGAAGTCTCTTACCGATATAATCTCGAGTGAATTTGAGGAGAGGGGAGGGAGAACTCGGGACCAGGGGGAGGGGGGCACCACCCTCTCTGGCGCGCTCCTCTTACCACGTCAGTATCTGGCCGCCACGGGACGACGCCAGCTACTCTGGCGCCCCAAAAAGGACCATTTCTCGGATAAGTTTTTTCAGAGGTCTATTTGCAAAATAAGTTTTTCAAAATGACCAAATTGTGAAAAATCCAGTAGCCCGCAATGTGAAAACTTGATTAAACGCAAGGTAATTAGGTTCATATATTAATTTCACTTTCTATTTTGTTTTCTTACTATCCGGTATTCACTCTTTCCAGGATGCAAAAAAGGTGCACCCAACAATCCAACATGCATGATGCTCATCTGAAGCTGGAATTTTATTTGAAAGATTAATGTCTTCAAACAATTGTGGCTTTTTGTTTTTGCGGGGATTCAAACAATTATAGTTGGGTGCATACACCGCAAAGAATCGTGATTCAGGTGTAACCATATAATTTGTGCAAGATTAAATCAAACATGACAGACTCATGACACAGGAGTATATGACTATATGCGAAGATGACGAAATAGAGCTGAAACAGTTAACCAGGAGTATTCATCATTGACTTAGATCACATATTTGGATGTACAAGTGTGTGGTGTGCTCCTGCTTAGCTGGTGGTTAGGCAACTGCTACCAACAAAAAAAAATAAATTTTGCAATTATCTCTTATTAGGATTGGAACAACAAAGTGAAGAAAGGAAGAAAAATAACTGGAAGTTTGTATCACAATTTTCTGTTTAGAGTCTGGATTTTACCACCAACCACTAACTAGTTTCTCTTAGTTTGTCCAGAAATCACTCTGAACTACCTTTACTTGGATCTGTCAGAAATATCATGAACCATCTGGTTATTTATGGCTATAAATACAATGTTGTTATAGTAAGTATTGAATTACATTTTACAAGTGACTTTACTCTACCTCCAAACCCTTTCAGATGGTTGGTGTGCTACTTCACATTTTTGACGACATACCATACATTGCACGTACCCATCGGCCATCGCTCACCCATGATATATAGAATGCAGGATCATGGAAGCAAATGAAAGACAGTGTAAGGAACCATGATCTAACTAGGCAGTAAAAAAAAATCAGTAGGAATGACAGGCAATGGGAATTCATGTTCAATTTAGGCTGGCCAAAATAGAGCAGGTTTTCTTTTACCGTTCAACTGGAGATAACAAAGTAGGACATGTGATTCTGTTGCAGCAGATGCTTGGTGGTGGACCGATAGTGCATGAACTAGCTTTGTGATCTTTGTTCAGCTCTGGTGGCCAAACTCCCAACACAATCTTAGCAAGAGCCATCTAATATTTACTCCATGGCTATGATCACCAGCTTGACACTTCATTCATTGTAAATGCTATATAATTTGATGGTTCTGCATAGTTCAGGGGAATACATAATAAAAGGTCCCCACATCTATTTATTTAGAAAGAGAACTTGATAGAAACAGGATATTGGGAAAAAAAAACTAAGTGGTTGTGATCAAGAAGAACAGGAGGTGATGAATTAGCGGAGTATGTGCTATCAACATTCAAGAGGGCCATCTCTTCAGCAATGTTCTCAGAAAGCTTTCTTCGGGATAGGCTAGCTTGATTGAGAGCTGAAGTTTATATTGTGCTACTATTTAGATATATTTAAGAATGTTCATCAGGGAGATTGAATGAATATTGTGATTGCTTACCGTTCCTATAATTTTTAGTTGGAAAAGATGACGAGCTCAATTAATTGATGAAATCGCTATCTCGAACATTATCCATTTGGTATAAGTAAAAACTGAAAGTTGCATAAAGAACTCCCTAGTTAGGCACTCCGTACAAACAATCTAATAATAATAACCTCAGTTATAAACCTAATCTCTTTCCCCCTCCCCTCAGCTATAATATACTGCCCAGTTTCATTAACAAATATACACAAGAAAAACAATCAGAGCAAAGAAGAACAGACTTTTCCAATCTATACTTGTTGACAGAGTGAAACTAGAAACAAAGAAAACTTTAATAATAGCCTACCAACTAACACTGTAACATCCGTGTTTCGGACCTGCTCATCAGCAGATGCCATACAGTACATGATGAAGCTCATTTCAGGTGAAACCAATCTAGGGATGTTACGCAAACAATGCAAGCTCAAGCATGACACACAAGTAAAACCAACCATTCTGTAGCACTGCCTGAAGCTAGCTGCTTACAATTGGCAGTCACGGTTTCATCATGCCCAGAGGAGCATGAGAAACTTCTGACTAAAACAAACTTTGTTCAAGCATCAGCACACAGCACAACACATGCCCATCAAAGGTTGATGCCCAAGTGGAAGAAATGTGCAGATCGAGGAAAGAAACTAAAATTTACCTAAATAATCGCATAGTTATTTTGTAACATTTCTTGGGCCGAGGTAAGCTCGATCACAACTTTGGACGAGTAATCAGTGTGCTTGAAGTCTAACTTTGTTGGCCATCAGGTCCTTAGAATCTATTAAGAAAAATGTTTTGCAGTCATCAGAAAGCATTTTAACAAAAAGTAAAAGACAAGTAATTTTGTTGCTTACGTAGTGTTTATAGATTTAACAGCTGGAACCACCTAGCTTTTCGCAGCTCATCCCTGGCAATTTTTCTCATTTTTTTCATGTTACGAAGGTCTGCAAGAAACATGTAAAAGCCAACGGCTTATGTTTTAGATTGTCACAACAAGGAACAGATATATAGAGATGGAATAACATAGCACATTTATTTATTTCTTTTTTCAACACACATAGCACATTTATTAGAGCAAAGAAAATTTTGAGATTTAAGTTCTTGCTTGTATCTACCAATTTAAGCATAATTACAACATCGAAACAAGGCCATTTTCTTTTTAGCTTGTAAGGAACATAATATCTTAGATCTAGAAGACTGTAATCGAGTAACATAAAGACTGCAAATACATGGGTAAAAAGGAACATAAGGACATCAGAAAGAATTACTCACAGGTGCTGCCTGTTCGGCGAACAAAAATCTTCTCAAGAGGTAACCCATTAGCACCAAAGAGTTCTGCTAACATATGGACTCTTCCATCATCTTTAGAGCATCTAATATTCACCACTTCAAGATTTTTGCAGGCAAATGATCTTTCCTTTAGTTTGACACCAATATTTACTGCCTCCTTGTTATCGTAGTTCTTTTTTTGCATAAGAACATATTTGTTACCAAACATGTTAAAACTAACCCCCAAAAGAACAATCAAGAAACATCCACCACGTGAATATACGTACCAATTCAAGCTTAAGAAAAAGCCTCTCCAAATTAGGTGTCTCCTGAAGTAAGAAAATTAATCCATCAAACTCAGCAGCCATACACCACTCACCAAGGGATAAGGTCTTCAAGTTGCCAAATGTTGAGCACCTTCTCAGTTCCCTAACCATGACCACCTTCGCAGTGTACACACAAGCAAACTATTTAATACTCTAAATAAATGGAATAATATAAACAACAAATAACCAAATGATATACTGCAAGGATCTAGTTCTTTTCAGTTGCAAATATGTATATTGAACTGTCTTAAGAGTATCACTAAAAATAAACTCCATGCTAATGCATACAGTATCCACTTGAAAATGATGTGTAAAGTACATATTCCAGAAGTTAGAAAGTCTAGGAACCTGTTTATTCACCTACAACATTTAACAATGGACAACAGAAAATCAGAAATTATTCACTTGTTCTGAAATGGTTTGTTTTTCCCAAGTGACTAATAATCCTCGAAGGTTTTCACAATATAATTATAGATCATAAAAAGAGGAATATTTCATATGTCCAGAAATTTAGCTTATTGTATAATATAAATCACGATTATTGATTTCAATGTCATATAAGAGTATTATTTTGTAAGCCGCGCTACTATCCCAGAACTCAGGAACAAATCATTCAATATTGAGATGAAAAGCTTCCCGTGCACACTCCGTGCACACCAACTAGCAAATGTCACAAAAAATTATACAAAAAATTGGGTATTTACTCCTATTAATATTACACATATATACAAAGTATCATATTCAAATTCATTATATTTTAGTCATAACAAAAAAGTGAAAAATCTCCATCAAAAAAAAGTGAAAAATCTGAAAATCTGACAGTTTTAAGGGTAAAAAATGTCAGAATTTTGTCTTTTTTTATTACGGCTAAAATATAATGAATTTGAAGATAAAATTTCACATGTAGGTGTAGTGCTATTCGAAGTAAGTGTACAATTTTTTGTATAATTTTTCGTGACATTTGCTAGTTGGTGTGCACGGAGTGTGCACGGGAAACTAGTGTGCATAGGATATGTTCCCTACTTATAAATATTTGCAGAGTACATAGGCAGTACAAAGGCAAGAGTGAAACAAACCCATTAGCAGAACCATTTCATTTTTTTTATTAGCAAGAATCTTCCCCATTCTGTTCAGTAAGATAGCAAACAGGGATGCAACATTGGCAGGCACACACAATTCTTTGTGATTTTGAGTGCCATCTTTTGAATTGATAAGACGAATAGTACCAAGAAAAGAAACAAGTTTGTTCTACATGTGCTATTTATCATAATCATAACTATTATAATGCAAGTACAGGAAACAAGACTTGATACAAATTTATCAGAAGAAAAAGGTCCTGAAATACCTCCCCTGAATGAGCTAGTAACTCCAAGCTTCTGGCATTCGAAAGGCTGCAAAGCAAATCCTGGCCACTGAAAGAATTGGCAAGCTTGCAAGTGTCATGATAACTACTGCAGCATTCACTGTCATGGCAGTGGCTATACTTTCCATCTCTACATTCATTTGCTATCTGACTATATTCATATATATCGTCATCACTGTCAATATCAGAGCCATAATTGTATTCATCAACCAAATTACCATCACCACATGCATCACTATTAGTAACCATTTTATCATAATGATCTGATATAGTCTTATTGTCATCCTCATCATCGCTGCTTCCCCTTTCATCCTCATGGAGGAAATCGTCACGGCACAAGAAAGAGTCATCAAGTACGATAGTGGCGGCAACCAGTGAGCTCAGGTTTTTGAACAAGGGAACACGATGGTATGGGGTGATGCAGCATAGCAACTCAAGGTTTGGAGCACAGATCGAGAGGTCCACAGTGATCAAGCATTTGACCATCCTCAGTTTCTTCAGTGAGACGGACGAAATCTCGCCGCCATTAACCGGGCAATTGTTAAGCTCTAGCTCTGTAAGGGAAGTGCACCGAGAAGAGAGCTGTCTGGGGATCTTCCAATCAAGATTGACGTTCGACAGCTTCAAGATCTTGAGGCGTTGAGAGACAAAGGCAGTGTGCTCCAACACCAGGTCGTCGTCCTCGCGGTGCCCGTTAAGGTGAATGACTCGAGCATTGCGTTTGATCGCAGAAGAGATCCACATGTTGACATCATCATTGTCATACATCTCGGCATATTCCTCCCCGTTGCTCGACCGCAGCCGGAGCGTGTCAACCGGTGCGGAAACCTCCCGCGCCAGCAACAGGCGGTACACGAACCTGCCGAAGTCCTCCGGCGGGTCGCTGTCGCGGCCGGGACCCCGCTCGCGGCGAGAGCTCGGAGCGCGGATGTCAACGCACGGCGCGGAGGCCCAGGTGTGGCGCCAGCGGCGCGAGAGCACGCAGGTGCGCACCACCTCCCACGCCTTGAGGAACGACATGACGTGGTGCAGGAGCGCGTCCGGGAGGGCGCTGAGTCGGTCGACGGTGGCGGCGCCGCGGGGCTTCCCCTTGTGCACTTGGTGGCGCCGCACCCACCGCGCGGTGGTGGTGGTCCTCCTCCGAGGCATTTGGCCGAACGCGTGGGCGGCACGGACCGGCGCGCTGGGCCCTGGCTTCCCCGTCGGCTCCGCCCCGCCACGAGGCACCGGCCACCCGGTGGTGTTTCTCCGGGACATTCCGTCGAGCGGGTGGCCTGCACGAACGAGACAGCCAAGAAAAGCGAGACGAGATCAAGATTTCTCTGCAGCGGGGCAAGAGACCGACCAGTGGCGCGCTGCGATGATCGGAGCGGAGGAGATGACCTACCGGAGGAGATCGCCGGCGCGGCGGCGGAGTGGTCCGAGGCTTTGAGCTGCGACCTCAGTCCGAGGCTTGCTTCTTCCGGTGGATGGGCATTCCCCTCCACCAAAAAGTAGACAGCCTTTGGTAAAGGAAATGTGACCACAGTACCACACCTGGTTTAGTTCTAAACTTTTTCTTCGAACTTCCGACTTTTCCATCACATTAAAATTTTCCTACACATATAAACTTTCAACGTTTCCATCATATCGTTCCAATTTCAACCAAACTTTTAATTTTGGCGTGAACTAAACACACACCCTTCTGTGTTCTGTACTCGATGTTCTCAACTTCACCTATTAGTTTTTCGGATACACGCTTACCAAACTGCAATTTGACAAAAATAAATTCTATAGAATTATTTTTTAAAAAAAAACATATTAATCTATTTTTTTACAAAAATAATACTTAATTGATAATGTACTAATGAGTCACTCTATTTTATGCACGTGAGGGATTTGTTCCTAACTTTGTTTGCCGAACAAAGCCCCTTAGGTTGTGTTTGGCTCCATGAGTTGAGAACTAATCTTTCGCGCATGTAAAACAGAGTTATTTATTAACACGTGATTAATTAAGTGCTAGCTATTTTAAAAAAGGATTAATATGATTTTTAAAGTAACTTTTATATAGAAAAAATTTATAAAAAACACACCTAGCAGTTAAGGAAACATGCGCGTCAAAAGTGAGAACGCAAAGGTTAGAAAAGCTGATAACAGAACACAACCTAAGATAGTAGAGAAAAACGGTGATGTTGCAGGCAGTATTTGAATTGCAAGCGACCTGAATCTAGCTTCAAAGCCATTCATATGGTTGGTGTGTTATTATACTTTTCCTTTACATGCCATATATTGTACGTCCACATTATTGCATCACAAAAAATAGAAGGCCAGATCTCGTAATAAGTCACACTGGTGGAGAAGTACTTTTTAGTCCCGGTTCATAACCCCCTGTAGTCCCGGTTTTCAAACCGGAACTACCAATCCGGGACTAAAGATCGCTATCTTTAGTCCCTGTCCCGGGTGAAAAACCAGGGACTAAAGATCGATCTTTAGTCCCTGTTGATAACACCAACTGGGACTAAAGAAGAGAGGGTAGCGGCAGTCCAGCTGGTCTTTTTTTTCTTTTTTATTTTGTCCCGAATCGAGTGGTATGCATATCGTCAAATCAAACCCCAAATCCACATCACAACTCCACAACACGATTCACAGATTCATCACAAATTCATTCATAATATCCATTCACATATTCATTCACAACATCACAAATATATTCACAATATTGATTCACAGGTTCATTGACAACATCGAGCCACATACTCATTCACAACATCACAGATTCATTCACAATATCGATTCATAGATTCATTCACAGATCAAAACATCTAAACCACAAATAAAAAAAATAAAAAAAATCGACTCACCGGCCTGTTAACGACCAAATTTGGTAATTTCAGTATCAGAGATGAAGATAAAACCGAAGCGGAATCCAAGGATGGATCGTTCCGGAAACAGAGCAATAATCGGCTAAAACCCGAATCGGCTACGACCAGAATCGGCAGAGTTCGAGTCGGACAAGGTTAGCCGATTAAGCCGATTCCGACAATATGACTCGATACACGACATCGGGTTAGGTTGAAGTGCTTCGTATGGATTGCCATGCACGGATTGAGTCCTGGAAAGGCAATTGTATCTATTAATTAGGATATTTTATGTAATTTCGCTAGAGATAAGCTTGGGCAAAAGTCTGTCGCAAAGACTTATGGTATCTTAGAGTTTGTTAGAGATAAGAGTCGTGTCTGACAAGGACATATTTTGTATTTCGGTTATAAATATGACCCGAACCCATGTAATTAAACAACAGATGTTCAATACAATCTCGGCGCATCGCCACCCTTTTACTTTCGTTTACTTTCGACGAGTTCTTGCTTTCGGGTTGAGCTGTATCAGTTTCGATCTTCAACTAGAGGTAAAACTTGTTATGGCGGCTTGCGTTCTCGGGATTAGTGCTTCCATCTTTATGATACTCTAATCTTGTTTATGTAATTCGTCGAGTTATCATATATCCTATATAATCTTTGACAATATCGTTATTTAACCTTCAATCGACTAACATCTATCATTGGAAGGCAGCCGATTAGGTTAAATCCCAACGTTGACTTAGATTATATAGAGTATCCACCACTCTATGAAACAACCAGCGGCTTGATTGTCTAGATATTGTCATTCTTTTCATACTTATAGCTGCATCAGTTAAGTTTGATCTTATAAGTCGTGATTAGAATCTCAACCTCTAGCCTGCTTTCTGGTTGCCGATTAGGGTAGTATCGGGGTTTCAGCCGATCTTACATGATTTAACTCCTTTATGTATTATATGCTCGATTGACATGTTAAATCCGCCCTTTATATTAATATCTTGTCACGTTTAGGTATATTAAGCTTTCTGTTTGATATATTTTGCTTGCTTTAATATCTTAATATAAAGTGGTATCGGAGTATTAGCCGATACATGCTAGATCTATCTGATCGGCTATGCTATGAATGGTTATAATCTCCTTGTTAATATATATTTCGATCTAAGTGATTTATACTGTCTCGGCATGGCGACCGATCTATCCCAATCACTTGATTTAAGTATATATCGACAGAAGCATTATATGCTATTAATATCTTCAGCCGATCGAATAAATTTAGTTCTTTCTTACTTATTTATGACTGCCGATTGAATCAAACATGACATCGGCTTAAAGATAAATGATACGTCATCGGCGACTGGCCGATTGGCTATCGTTTATGGATTTAACCGCTATTTTCCTGTCTTTATTTCTTGTTGATTGCAGGATCAAATCAACTGGCATGCTCACGAACCTAAAGGCAAGATTTTTGGACCTGCACTAAAGTTAAGCAGATCTTCCAGGCCTTATGTTTTTCGCATCAACATGGCCGGCCTCCCATCCCGCCGCCGGCCAGCCACCCATCCCGCCGCTTCCCCTCCGGCCGGATCTGGGGGAGGGGAGGGTGAGGCCGCCGGCGACCGGCCTCCATCCCGCCGGCCCGCGCCCGACCTCCATCCCGCCGCCGCCGGCTGCCTCTGCAAAGGGAGGAGGGGGAGCGGAGGAGGAGAGGGGGTGAGAGAAGAGCAAGGGGAGAGGATGGAAGGAGAAGGATGGAGAGGATGGAGATAAGGAAGGAGAAGAAAAAGAGATAAGGATGGGAGATGGAGAGAGAGAGGCTACGCATGCGCTTGTGCGCGGGCTGGTGCATGCGCTTTCTTCCCGGTTGATGTTATCAACCGGGATTAAAGATCCCCGGGATCTTTAGTCCGGTTGGTGTTACCAACCAGGACTAAAGATCAAATATGCCCGCTATAGCCACCAACCGGGACTATTGTGGATTTTCGGCCGACCGACCAAAGATGGTTTCTCCACCAGTGTCGGTACAATGGAAGCAAATGAAAGACAATGGAAGTAACAATGCTCCATATCTAGACAGCAAAAGGCTCAGTAGGAATGACAGGATAGGAGGAGAATTCATCATGTTCAGGATAGATCGACCTAGAAAGAGCAGAGGCTTTTGTTCAGAGTCTGCTGCGGATAACACAACACAACAAAGCACTACAGTTGCATCGTTACGGATGCTGGGTGGTACAGTTGGGAATCTTTAGATCGAGCTACTGCAGAGGAGTACTTCTCTGCATCACCTCGAATTATTGTCATTCCACAGCATTTAACGGGAAATTCCTTAATAATCTCCACCGGACACCTTCTCTGTCTCTCACTCACTCACTAACAAAAACTTGTACATTAAGATACAAAATTGGAGCGAAAGAATAACCTATTTCGTAGCTATTCTACTTGACAGAGTGCAACCACGCAACAATGAAAACTTTGAAACCAACCTATGGATTTTATGCAAACAGCCAGTTCACAGAAACGATTCTATGCCAACAACGCAAGCTCAAGCATGACACGCAAGGAGGATCAACCATTCTGTAGCACTAACTGAAGCTGTTTACTATTGGCAGTCTAGCCGCAGCATCAGAGATATTCCAAAAGCCATTCACGGTTTCATAATGCCCAAAGGATGATGGAGAAGCTTCTAAGCCAGAGTCAAGACAAACTTTGGTCAAGCATCAGCAAACACCACACATGCCCATCAAAAGTGGATGCTCAAGTGGAAGAATGTGCAGATCGAGGAGAATACTAAAATTTACCTAAATAATTACATAGTTACTCCTTTACTCAAAAATTCTTCGTCTCAACCTCTCAGGTAAGCTCGATCACAGCTTTGGATGAGTAAGCAGTATGCTTGTAGTCGAACTTTGTTTGCATCAGGCCCTTAGAATCTATAAAAAGAATTTTTTTTTTTGCACTCATCAGATTGATTTGAACAATTAATTGAATGTCTGCATAAATTCTCTGCTTCCATGGTGTTTATAGGCATTACAGAACGTACTCCCCAGCTTCTCATAGCTCATCCCTGGCCATTTCCCTTATAATTTTCATGCTACGGAGGTCTGTAAGAAATATCAAAGAGCCAATGGCTTATGATTTAAGATTATCACACGGAACAAAAATATAGAGGTAGAATAACAGAGCATGCTGACTGGAGGAAAGCTATAAGGCATTACTTGTTGCTTGTATTTGACCATTTAAACATAGTATTCAATAACAAGGTAATTTTTGGTTTAATTAGTAAAGAACAATTAGATCCGGAAGAATGTAATCAAATAACATAAATGTTGTGAACTGAGAGTACAAATTGATAGGCAAAAAATTACTCACAGGTGCTGCCTGTCCTGCGGACATAAATCTTCTCAATGGGTAACCCATTAGCAACAAAGATTTCTGCTAACATATGGACTCTTTCATCATCTTTAGAGCATCTGATATTCACCACTTCAAGATTTTTGCAGGCAAACGATCTTTCCTTTAGTTCGAAACCAATATTTATTGCCTCCTTGTTACTATAGCTCTTTTTGAAGAACAAAATATTTATTACTAAACATGTTAAAACTAACCCCAAAACAGGAATCAAGAAACATCCAGCAACTATATAAATATACATACCAATTCAAGCTTAAGAAAAAGCATCTCCAAATTAGGTGACTCCTGAAGTAAGAAAATTAATCCATCAAACTCAGCAGCCATACACCACTCTCCAAGGGATAAAGTCTTCAAGTTGCCAAATGTTGAGCACCTTCTCAGTTCCCTAACCATGACCACCTTCGCAGTGTACACGCAAGCAAAATATTTAATACTCTAAATAAATGGAATAATATAAACAACAAATAACCAAATGATATACTGCCAGGAATTAGTACCATTCAGTAGCAAATATGTACATTGAACTGTCTTACGAGTATCATTAAGATATGCAAAGAATAAACTCCATGCTAATGCATACAGTATCCACTTGAAAATAATATATAAAGTACATATTCCAGAAGTTACAAAGTCTAGGACCCAGGTTATTCACCTACAACATTTAGCAATGGACATCCGAAAATCTGAAATTATTCACTTGTTATGAAAAAGTTTGTTTTTCCCAAGTGAACCATAATCCTCAAAAGGTTTCTACAATATTATTAAAGTATCAAAGTGTCGAATTATAGACCTGGATGGAAAAGAGGAATAAATCGTATGTCAAGAAATTTAGCTTATTCCATACAAATAAAAATTATAATTATTGATTTCAATGTCATATAGGAGTATTATTTTGTAGGTATCCCAGAACTCAATATTGAGATTGAAAGCTTACTTACAAATATTTACAAAGTACAGGAGCAGTACAAAGGCAATATTAAATCAAATCCATTAGCAGGACCATTTTTTATTTTTATTAGCAAGAATCTTCCCCATTCTGTTCAGTAAGATAGCAAACAGGGATGCAACATGGCAGTCACACAATTATTTGTGATTTTGAGTGTCACCTTTTGAGTTGATAAGAGGAATAGTACTAAGAAAAAAAACAAGATAGTTCTACGTTTGCTATTTATCATAAGTATTAGAATGCAAATACAGAAGACAAGGACTAGATACAAATTTATCAGAAGAAAAAGGTTCTGAAATACCTCCCCTGAATGAGCTAATAACTCCAAGCTTCTAGCACTCGAAAGGCTGCGAAGTAAATACTTGCCACTGAAAGAATCAGCAAGCTTGCATGTCTCATAATAACTACCACGCCGTTTGCTGTCATGGCAGTAGCCATACCGTCCACCTCTACATTCATGTGCTATCTGACTATATTCATGTAGATCGTCATCGCTGTCAATATCAGAGCCATAATTGTAATCATCAACCAAATTACCATGACGGCTGTTCAGATATTCATCATATAGGATGTCATCGTTGTCATCATCATCATAGGCATCACTATCAGCATCCATTTTACTATCACAATGATCTGATGTAGTCTTATTGTCATCCTCATCATCACTGGTTTCCTCTTCAACCTCATAGAGGAATTCATCACGGCGTAAGAAAGAGTCATCAAGCATGATAGTGGCGGCAACCAGTGAGCTCAGGTTTTCGAACAAGGGAACATGATAATATGGGGTGATGCAGCATAGCAACTCAAGGTTTGGAGCACAGATCGAGAGGTCCATAGTGATCGAGCACTTGACCATCGTCAGTTTCTTCAGCGAGACAGACAGAATCTCACCACCATTAACTGGACAGTTGTTAAGCTCCAGGTCTTCCAGAGAAGTGCACTGAGAAGAGAGCTGCTTGAGGATCTTGCCATCAAGTTTGATGTGCGACAGCTTCAAGATCTTGAGGTGGTGAGAGACAAAAGCAGTGTGCTCCAGCACCAGTTCATCCTTGCGATGCCCATTAAGGTGAATGACTCGAACATTGCGTTTGATTGCAGAACATATCCAGATATTGACATCATCATTGTCATAGGTCTCGGCATATTCTTCCCCGTTGCTCGACCGTAGCCGGAGCGTATCCACAGGGGCCGACACCTCCCGCGCCAGCAACAGGCGGTACACGAACCTGCCGAAGTCCTCCGGTGGGGCGCCGTCGCGGCCGGAGCCCCGCAGGCGGATGTCGACGCACGGCGCGGAGGCCCAGAGGTCGCGCCAGCGGCGGGAGAGCACGCAGGTGCGCACCACCTCCCACGCCTTGAGGAACGACATGACGTGGTGCAGGAGCGTGTCCGGGAGGGCGCTGAGTCGGTCGACGGGGGCGGCGGCGTGGCCTGAGCCACCGGGCTCCCCCTTCTGCCCTTGTCGCGGCACCCACCGCGCGGTGGTGGTGGTGGTCCTCCTCCGAGGCATTTGGCCGAGCGCGTGGGATGCACGACCCGGCGCGCCGGTACCAGACCTCCCCGCCGGCTCCGGCCGGTCACGCGGCACCCACCGCGCGGTGGTGGTCCTCCGGGACATTCCGTCGAGCAGGTGGCCTGCACGAACGAGACAGCACAGAAAACCAAGCCGATGTCAAGATTTTCTGGAGCGGAAACCCAGCAAGAGAGCGAACCACTTGCGAATTGCGATCATCGGAGCGGAGGAGATGACCTTCCGGGAGAGACCGCGCGGCGCGGCTCGGCGCGGCGCGGCGGCGGAGTGGTTCTTGCTGCCTCAGTCTTACGGGAGGCGGCGGCCGCTCCCCCTCTCCGGCAGATGGGCATTTCCACACAAACCTTAATATGGGCGGGCCGCTACAGGTGGTGGGCCCTTTGCTCTGGGCTTGAAAGATTACTTGGGCCGTCCGTCACCGCGTGGCTCAAATACTCTAGCCTATATAGGAACGGATTTGCTTATAAACTTCTGCAAGTTTTTTTTCTCCCAAAACTTTCAGATTTGTGACTACCGGATCATCTCGAGATTTGTGCACGAAGGAAAAAAAATGCTGGAAAATTTTTTTCACACATGTCATGCGTAAGATCCCGGTACCAGCTAACCAAACCATAATTGAATGCAAGTTTTATATAAGTTAATTACAGTACAGTTTCAATGCAGTCATAGTGCAGTTACAATATAATTACATTTCAGTTATACTATAGTTACATTTGAAAATTTTTGACTCAAAAAACTTACGGCAGGCTTTTAGAAACTCCCATAGAGGAATAAGTCCGATTTAAGTCCCTCAAATATAGGTCTTAACCTCAACTAGTTTGAAACCCTCGGCTGTTTGGATGATTGTATTCGCTAACGTGGCTCTTTGATCTGATCAAACCAGCTGAGTCAGCAAGCGGGACCCATATATTATTGACTCTTCTTCTCCCCTCTTTATTTTCTCTTTGTTCTCCTCTCTCTTCCCAGCGGTGCGGGGTGGCCGACACACCCGTCACAAACAAGGCAACGGGTGGTGTAGCGACCATCAAGCCGTAGTTCCACTACCGTCTTGCACGTGCTACCATCACCCCTCACCTTCCTACTCCTCAACCCTTCCGCCATCCCGACCCTTGATTCCACGCCCTGTTCCCTCCACATGTCCTCCTCCTCCCCATCCACCACTACCTAAGGCTCCTCCTCCTCCCCATCCACCACTACCTAAGGCGACGCCACCTAGGAGAAGAAGGTGCCAGCCTCAGCATGCATTAGGCTCTACCAATGTTTTGGTATGTACTAAACCAAACAAGTCTTGGGTCTATTTTCCCTCCCTCATCTCTTACTCTGATTGAATCGTCTCTGTTATGTGCAAAACCAGGTATAACGTCTCCCCATCTTCAAAAAATGGTAAAAAATCACTGAAGTAGTCGATTTTCACCGGTTTTCAAAGAAGAGATAGTCATTATACCTGGTTTTAAGGTTGAGGTAGACGAACCAATCAGGAGCAGAAGATGAGGGAGGCAAAATAGACTCATTCCAATTGAGAGCGATCCAATCTGGGCTGTTCATAGTGGCCTCGAATGCTTAATCGGGCCATGTTCCACGGTGCCTATATAGTGCCCGCCGCCGGTTACCCCTGCCGAGCCCGGGCGCCGCCGCCGCCGCCGCCTCCTCCTCGCAGACAGAAATGGCGACTCCGCCGCCGCCTCGTACCGGAGACAGAAATGGCGACGCCTCCCCATGTTGGAAGTATCTATTCCTTCCTTTGGATCGTGTGCAGGTCAGCATCTTCCAAGCTCCTGTACCTACCTGGCTAGCTGGCTCCATCTCGGACTCGATCCAAACAGGGAGAAAGACAAGGGTTAAAGTGCGCAGATTCGCCGTGGGGGGACATGGCGCACTGTCACCGATAGCGCCAAATTTGGCCACTCACTTAGTCACTTGTATATGAACTGGGCGACGACTGACTCACCGCACCTTCCGCCCCGGCGGCTCGAGCGAGCAGGGCAGTGCGCTACCTCCACCCTGACCCTGACAAGACTTTAGTTGACTCCATAGAGATTGCTCGCCGTGTTGTTCCGATCTCTTGTTGGCGATCGCTGATTGCTTCGGATTTCTTGCAACCATAAATATTATAGGTAATTTGTTGATCAACTTTCTTTTCCCAATCGTTTTATCATCATCTTTGATTTCACATCAGTTTTTTTTTCTACACAACTGATTCATTTAGCAACCGACTTTTATCTTCCATATGAATTCATTTCCATAACTCTTAGTTTATTTAATAGATGCAATTACTATGACTCGACAATGAAAAATGCTTACAATGAGTCAAAATTCTAATTCGAACCACAATTTTGATTTAATAAAACCCATCTACTGCCAAAAATTACCTTCTTCTCTCTTTTTTTTAATTGTTCTATTCTTGTTCTTATATTGAAATGAAGTTTAATGTACCGTCCGGGCTCATCGATTATATATACGATAAGGATTGAAGATGTTATTTATCACAGTAATATTTTCCATAGTTAGATACTACCTCCATCCCAATATAACAGATCCCTGTCCAGATTTGTAGTATTGTCCTATCCGTTCAAAAGTCACTATATTTTGGGACGGTGGGAGTTTTTTTTTTAGTAAATAAAAAAGCTTTAGGTCCGTCGATTTTCTTTCTTTCTTTTTTTCTTTTGATAGGCCTTCATAAACTAGTTGATATATATAGTATAAGTTTGTGCATCAAATTCCATCTCATTTTAGTACGGCAGTATCTACATAAGATTTCCAATGCAATACTGGAAATGGTGATATCAATCTCTGTCTTTTTTCTACAGGGTTGCCTAGTTGGAAAGCAAATAGGATATGGAGAATCAATCAGGACAACCGCAGTACGCCATGGCTGACCAAGGATTCCACCCTTTCTCACCATTCATGTTGGCGCCTTCTACTACCATGCAGCAGCATGTGGGCTCCTCATCCAGCACGCCAGTAATTCAAGTGGCAGCTCTGCCGTCTCATGCATATTATGGTAACATAGATGTAGCTGATGATGGATTCCACTGGAGGATGTGTGGGCAGAGTACAATTCAGGGTGGATTGTGTCCAACGGTATTCTCCTATCAATGTGCCCTACCAAACTGCGGGGTCCGGAAATCGATAACACGCTCTGCAGATGGACAGACCATCGAAACAGTTTGCAAGGGCTGTCACAACCACCCACGACAGTCACTAAGGTGGCTCGGAGATGGTTCAGAGCGATTGGAGCCTATTTCTCAAGAAATTGTGCTACTTGAGGCATCAGATGCCTCAGGAGCTGCTGGTGGACCTTCAGTGCCTGGGACGGGAAATGGGCACGGCCAGTCGTCTGGTTCAAGTGATAGCTGCAGAGACGATGATGGTGATTTAGGAATTGATGGGAATGCTTCTGTTGGTGATGCCAATGCAGTGAAAAGGTAGTTTCTTTTCTTACTTCCTCAGTTTATTTTTTAAGCTATGATGTATAATTGTATAAATGGTACCTTGGGGACAGGGATCAAGGGGCTGTTTAGTTTGTTGCCAAACCAATCCCACCAAACATACTTTAGCATTAACAAATTTTGGTATTGTTGGGATGTTTTTGGTTTGAACACTTACCAAATTTTGATATAGTTTTTATGAGTAGAAACTTTTGGAGTACCAAAGTTTTGTAGGATACCAATGGTTAAAATATGTTTGATTTATTATCCTATTAAAATTTAGTAGGGTTAAAAGTGGCAACAAACCAACTTCCATAAAATTGAATATACATAGTTTGTCCTAAATATTTTTGCTTTTCTTATTGACATGTTGCACTTTTACTCAGCGGACAGGTCCCAGCTCCAGCCAAAGAGATCACTGTGCACTCTGCATGTGAGGTTGATATTTTGAATAACAGTGTTCGTCATGAAAACCCACAACCAAGGTAATCAATAATCACACTGTAAATTCTGCACATACATTCTCTCACAACCTCCTTTCCCCTTATTTTAACTCTCACCTATAGCGATGCGATTGAGTTCCCGCATGCCTTTCAAATAACTTCATGTCAAGTACTGTATCTTGCAGGGCTTTGCATGTTTTATTCTTTTAGTTAACTTATTATTCACAGGCCATTACTTCTTGATAGTGCTAGATGCATGACAGAAATATTACAAACAATCCTGTCTCCTAAGTGCAATCCTATCTTTGCGCACTAATTACCTTTTTTTAAAAAAATAAAAAAATAAATTCTATCGCGCGGCACTAATGATGTGTAGTGAAAAACATGACCAGTTTGATGCATTATAACTAATTTTGTATTTTTCATATGCAATGTATGTTTTGGTTTAAATAAAGAAATAATGATAAAGAGTACGTTGGAGCACAATTAGTTAGTAATGCTATATATATGTTGATGCCAGGAAAAAGGTGCGATCTAAGTCCACGGTGTGGGAGGAATTTGAAGTTGTGTTAATTGATGGAAAGGTTCAAACCGCTGAATGTAAGCATTGTAAAAAAGGCCTCAGTGCAAAAACTTCAGGAGGAACCAGCCACCTAATACGACACTTGAAGATCTGTCCTGCACAGCATGGAACCAGTAGGGTTCAGAAAAAATGTTCTTCACTGGCTGATCTACCTATTGTAAAGAGCTGGAAAGATGATCAAGAAAGTTCTCTTGACGAGATTATTAGGTCAATAGTCTCAAACCTTTGCCCCTTCTCTGCCATGTACAGTGCAAGCTTTGCACAGTTTCTAGCTGGTAGAAATCCGGTTCTTAACATGGTGCAGCAAGCTACCGTTGAGGAAAAGTTTCTTAGTGTTTTTCATAACGAAAAGATGAAGCTGAAGGAGAAAATAACAGCTACACCTGGGGGAGTTTTCCTGTCACTAGGCGAGTGGCAGCGGTTATTTTACATTCAAGTAAGAGTTGCTTGTTTAACTGTGCATTTTATAGATGAGGACTGGAAGATCAATAGAAAAACAATAAGATGTTCTCTTTCAGTATTTGGCAAGTCTGATATTTTAAGCTTGTACCCGCATTGGCAATCTGACATTGTTCTTGCTGAGAAGGTGTTAAAGGAAGTAGTTCAAGATTGGGGTCTTTTGGATAAGCTTTTAGGAGTGACACTACAGCGATCAGTGGATAAGAAAGCTCCATTACACTTGGAGGATGACATTACAGGAAGGAACTACCTTCTTTCCAAATGCAGGCTATTAAGTATCCCTTGTATGGTAGATGCCCTTCATGAACTTATGGACTCCACCGTTTTGGACATGGAATCGACATGGTCTCATTACATGACAAGCTCCCCAGAGCGTAAGCAGAAATATCAGGAAATTCTATCACAGCTGCATCTAGACCGTCCCTCTCTCGGATCAAAAGGCTGGTACTTCACATTCTATTTTTCTGAGGCTGCTTTGCAGTTCATCAAATCATTTCCACTTCCAGATGCTAAACCAAATTGCCAATCAGGTCCTTGGGAGCCATCTTTTGATGATCTCGAAGCAACAGAGAACTATTGCAAGATTGCAAGGTCAGCCTATCGTGTAATAAAAGTAGTTTCTGGTCCTCACAATATGACATTTAATTCATACTTCCATGTGATCTGGAGCTTGAGAGCAGCTATACAAGAACTGCCTAGTATAAAAAATATTGGAAGAGTTTTTGATGTGGCATATATGCAGAAGAAATTTGACAGAAATTGGAAGAAGTGGTACTTGTGGCTGTCGATAGCTGTGGTTCTAGATCCCAGATATAAACTCGGATTCATTGAACTTTGCTTCAGGCAAGCTTTTAGCCATGTTGCTGGAATGTATTTCTCCGAGGTGCGTGCAAAGCTTCATGAGCTATACATTCAATACTCTTATGTGAATGAGCAAAGTAAGGAGATATTGGATCACAAGAACAATTGTTCAGATATACAAATTAGTGCTCCATTACATAACAAGGGCCAGAATTCTACCACAGCCCAAGCTGCAGTTGAGGAATTCAAAGAGCTTTATGAATATCTTGGTGGGGGACTCTGTACTCAAGACGATTCTTTTGATATTCTGAAATGGTGGAGGGGTAACTCATCTGCATACCCAACTCTTGCTATGATGGCACGCGATATTTTAGCAATACCTGGATGTGCAGTTTCTACTGAATCTGCATTTGATCAGTGTGATCAACGGGCGGAGCTATTTGATGGAAAATTGCGACCTGAGACAACAGAAGCACTTATATGTGCCCAAAGCTGGATCAAATCATCTGGTACAACTTTGTATGCTTGGCTATATACTCTTCATATATTGCACTATGATGTGTCTAATTGAAATGATCTTGCACTATCAAATAGGAACAGCTGATGCGGATGATGGAAATAAGAACACTTCGTTTTAACCTGCAGTGACCTACGTTGGGTACATCCAGGTCTTTTTCCCCTTCTACACGCTGTTAAATTTTGCAATTTCATTAACCTAATGAGTAATGATCTAACACTTGTCTACTACCTAACTCTTTTTTCTGTCTTTTCATTCTCAAGCAGCTCCGTTGGTTTGTTACAGTTGTTCAGCTGGATTTCCTGTTTCCCATATATCTCTGCTTCTGCATGATCAATAACACCTGCAGCAGTTCTACTCTCTGCTTTTCACCGGGCCATGATTATGAGATCAGGTTTTACTGCACTCGCTGGAGAAATTAAAAGTCTTTTATCTATATAAGCAAAGGATTGTGTTTTGTTTGGAAAATACTCGTATATTTTCCTGAGCTGTTATTATCGTTCAATATTACCTTACAATGGTTTGTAATCATGATATGAGGAAGAATGTAAAACACAATGTCAGTATAATTTCAAATGGCTGTGCATGTTGAGCCAGTAATGTTTGTGAAGAAATTCATGCTTATAAATTGGGTTGGGCTGGCACGGTTTGCACTGGTACATGGATCATAAAGGAAAAAGTACACCGAAGGTCCCTCAACTTGTCAGCGAGATACAAAATCATCCTCGAACCGCAAAACCAGATATATGGGGTCCCTTAACTATACAAAACCGGTCACCCGAGGTCCCTCGGCGGTTTTGACGCCAGTTTTGTCCTACGTTGTGGCTGAGTCAGCGTGGGTCCTGCCACCTCATCTCTTTCCTCTTCTCCCTTTCTCTCGCTCACTTATCTCAGCCGGCGACGGGCAGCGCTGTGGGGAGGAGGCTGCCGGGGGAAGGGGAGAGGAGGAGGTCCGGCAGCCGGCGTCGCGCCGACGGAGGCAACGCCGTGGCCGTCAGCATCCTCGTTGCCGCCGCCGTGGCACAGCGCCGCTTGGCGGTCGCGGGGGGAGCAAGGCGACGGGGAGGAGAGCAAGGCGACGGCGGGAGGAGCAAGGCGGCGGGGAGGAGAGCAAGGCGGGGGGAGCATGATGGAGACGCGGCAGCTGCACCAAGTCCGCCGCTCTTCTCCCCGATGGCCGCCAGCGGAAGAGGAGGAAGCAGCGCGCGGCGGCGGCAGAGGAGGGAGCGGCGCCACCACTTTCACCAGCGCTACAGCGACAGCTTGCCGGCGCCGCTCGCCGCGGAGCACATGACCAACGGCGAGGGCGCCCTGTTGTGGCAAAACCCTCACACACGCGATCACTTGGATAAACACAAGAAAAACAAAAGTGTAGACGCGCGTGAAAGCAACGAACACAGATGAACACAAGAACACAGGTTTTGGTGCCGCGCAACGTCGGTTTTTCTATCTCATTTATTCTCCAACGATTACATGCATAACAAACTAACAGCTTCACCTGTTCAGCCGCTACAACCACTTCCTCCGCGCCATCCCACGAAGTGCTGATCAACGCTGCATTCTCGGCGAGCCACACGCACACGCACTCTCGGCCATGACGCGAACTCTGCGCGCCTCTGGCTCCTGCAACATGTAACAGAGAAACTAACTCGTGACAGAATCCAATGACCTGCCACGGATGCACAAACAAATGAATAACTAACCAGCTAAATGTGACAGGCTTAGTCTAACACGCCCCCGAGCCGAACATCGCCGAGGAGGAGACGGAGCAGGTCCCCGGCGCCGACCGCTACTTCGACGCCCTGGAAGGCCCCGAGCTGGAGACGCTGAGGGCGACGGAGACGACGGTGCTGCCCAAGGACGAGAAGTGGCCGTTCCTGCTGCGGTTCCCGATCAGCGCGTTCGGGATGTGCCTCGGGGTTCCTGCACGTCAGCCCGATGGTGAACCACGTGCTATGGTGGATCGCGCTGGCGCTGATGGGGCTCGTCTTCTTCATCTACCTGCTCAAGGTCGTGTTCTACTTCGAGTTCGAGGCGGTGCGGCGGGAGTTCTACCACCCGATCCGCGCCGACTTCTTCGCGCCGTGGATCGCCTGCCTCTTCCTCGTCCAGGGCGTGCCCCGGCCGGTGACGAAGGTGCACCACGGCGTCTGGTACGTGCTCATGACGCCATGGCGGAGGCGGCGGCATCGTGGTCGGGGAAGCGTGGGTGCCGCGACTGGGGGCGGAGGCAACGACGAAGTCGGAGTAGGCCGTGGGGTGCCGCCGGCCTCGACGGGGTTCTCGCGGCGGCTGCATCGCTCCCCCTGCCTCGTCCCCTTCAGCCGGCGACGAGGATGCTGACGGCCACGGCGTTGCCTCCGTCGGCGCGACGCCGGCTGCCGGACCTCCTCCTCTCCCCTTCCCCCGGCAGCCTCCTCCCCACAGCGCTGCCCGTCGCCGGCTGAGATAAGTGAGAGAGAGAAAGGGAGAAGAGAAAAGAGATGAGGTGGCACCCTGACATGTGGGGCCCACGTGGGTCCCACGCTGACTCAGCCACCACGTAGGACAAAACCGGCGTCAAAACCGCCGAGGGACCTCGGGTGACCGGTTTTGTATAGTTAAGGGACCCCATATATCTGGTTTTGCGGTTCGAGGATGATTTTGTATCTCGCTGACAAGTTGAGGGACCTTCGGTGTACTTTTTCCGATCATAAATTCGTAAGGAACAAGTCTGCTTGCCGTCCCTCAACTTTATGTCGAGTCTATATGACATCCCTAATCCCCAATACCAAAAATCTCTACCCCTCGAGTGTTTAAAACTGTGCAAAGTAGGTACTATATGGCAGTATGCATGAGTGATTTTCGCTGACGTGGCATCCTAGTCAGCAAAGAGAGAATAAAAAAATTAGGCTGAGGACGGCCTGGCCAGGGAGGCTGAGGCCGAGGATGGCATGGTCTACGAAGGGCGGCGGATGCATCCTCACTTCCCTCCGGCACTGCCACCACTGCTCCACGCGCGACGCCACCACCGCTGGCATGCCAAGCCATTCCCAACGGCATTCACCTCCATCTCCGCGGCATAGCAGACGTTGGCGAGGTCGATGGACGAATAGCGACCGGAGTGCGGCATCGACGTGGCGTGACGGCTCCCGTCTCTCAGGTGCGGCATCGGTTGGAGAGGGAAAGGGCGGCGGTCGGCCGCCTCGACTCCTCTCTCCTGAGTGGCATGGACGGTAGGAGAGAGGAGACGAAGCAAAGGCGGCAGCTGGTGGTGCAGACTAGCCGTCGTCCGCCTCAACCTCACCGGTTGTGCCGTTCTCATCCTCAGCTTCTCCCGTGCCCGCCTGCTCCCACACTCCCTTCTCCTCGTCCTTGTCATGGGCCGCGCCATCCTCGGCCTCCCCGTCGCTGACCATGCCGTCCTTAGCCTCCGCCTCTCTGTGCCCTGCTACCAAAGCTTGGATGGACAGAAAGGCGCATGTCACTGTCGTGTGCTTGGGGGAGAGGTGGGAGAGAAGTTTTTCTTTTATATTTTTAGTGTGACTTATATGTGGGCCCTAAATTTTTTTACTCTTATTGCTCATTAGAATGTCACGTCAGCGAAACCACCTATGCATACTGCCATGGGATCTACTTTACACGGTTTTAAATATTTGAGAGGTAAAGATTTCTGGTATTGGAAATTAGGATGTCATACGGACTCGATGAAATGTTAAGGGACGGCAGGTGTACTAATTGGTTATTTAACTTTTGTGATGGGCTTAGCGCAGTTGTAACGAAGCATAAATTTTGACAATCTAACCCTTTGCAAAAACTAATTTTATAAATGAACCACGGCCAAAACTTTTTTTCAGAAATGACATTTTTATTTAGCGCCAAATCGTATGACGCTGAACTTAGACACCTCATCGCCACATCAACTGACATTGAATGCCGTGCCACCGCAGATGGGAGGCTGAGTCGGCGTGCCAACTTGCATTCAGCGCCGTGCTATTTGGCGTTGGTTGTCTAAGTTCAGCGCCACAAGATTTGGCTCTAAACAAAAGGGTCATTTTTGAAATAAGTTTTGGCCATGGTTCTTTTGTATAATTAGCTTTTACAAAAGGTCAAATTGTTAAAATTTGTGGTAACGAAGATTCAATCTGGGCCGTCCATTCTCGGCCCAAATTTCTAACTGGGCCATGCTTCCCCATGCTTTCATTCATAGAGCTCGCCGCCGGTCAGGTCACCCATTCAGCCATTCTATTCCCCTTTACCGGTCAGGTCCCGGCCGCCGTCTCCTCCCGTCGCAAACCCCAAACAGAAATGGCGCCGCCGCCGCCGCCGCATCGCTTCCTTTGTCTCGTGTATAGCTCAGCATCTTCCAGGTCCGAGGCTTGCCTGCTCCTGGAGCTGCCGAGGAGGGGCAGGGCACCTCGACCTGGTTGGCTGGCTCGCTCGATCCAAGCAAGAAGAATCGCAAGGGTAAGATGGGTAGTTCACCGTGAGAAAATATTTTCTTCAGTCTCCTGATAGTGATGGCAATGTTTATGAGTTTATGTGTTGGTCATTCCTTTTTATAGGAACAGCAAGACGACTATTTCCCATAACCCCACCGCTCGGCCTGGCTCGAGCAAAAATCCACCTTGACTTTGAGTTTCAGATGTGTAGTTGACTCGGTTCCCTGGATGAATCGCCATGTTGTTGCGATCTCTTGTCGGCGATTGCTGCAATCTTCGGAATTTCTTGCAACTATAAACAGGTAATTTGTCGATTAGCTTTCTAACTGCAAGTCCCCAAGTTGTTACTATTTCTCTTCTTCAGAAACGGAGTAGAAAATACGGTTTTGCTATTTCACTTGCGACAGTTTTTCGGGTTCCTATCTTTCACGTTTTCGTCCATAGGATCTTGCATCAAGATTCAAATTCCATTTCATTTTAGCCTGCATTCTCTACAGCAGATTCCCAATATGACGTCGGAATGGTGCTGTCTATGTCTACTCTTTTCCGCAGCAATACCTATTTAGAAAGCAGTGAGTCTATAGCAAGAGCAGTAATTAAGCAGTTCTATTCATTTAGGAAATGGACAATCAATCAGGACAACCGCAGTACGGCATGGCTGATCATGGATTTCGCCCCTTCTCAGCCTCAATCTCGGCACCATCTACTGCACAGCAGCACACGGGTTCTTCGTCGAACACTGCAGTAATTCAGGTGGCAACCCCGCCATCCCACACAGATTATGGTAACATATACCTAGCTGATGATGGCTACCATTGGAGGATGTGTGGGCAGAACACAATTCAGGGTGAGCCATGCCAGACGATATTCTACTATCAGTGTGCCCAAGCAAACTGCATGGTCCAGAAATCGGTCGCACGCTCTGCAGACGGACAGACCACTCAAACATTTTCTATGGGCGTTCATAACCACCCACAGAGGTCAGTAAGGTGGCTCAGAGATGGTTCAGAAAGACTGGAGCCAATGTCTCAAGTTGGTGTGCTAGTTGGGGCATCAGATGCTGCAGGGGCTACTGTTGGACCTTCAGTGCCTGAGACAGGCCTGCGCAGCGGAGGCGCGTTGTCTCGCCGCTCAGTCCGCCGACCCCGCGTGGCTTCAGGGGGCCAACGCCGCCAAGAAGTCCCTCCGTCGACCCACCCGTGCCGTTCTCTTCGCCGTCATGCTCACCCCCTCGGTCGCCGGTTGAATGCGCGGAGCGTGGCTGCGCCTCTCTGTCGCCGGCGCGCGCAAACCCCCCTTCGGAGTTCGAGCATGTTCCACCTGGCGACCCGGAGCTCCGGGTAAACAGGGAGATCTGTGTGCTGCCGTTCTCGGCCGCGATGAGGGAGCGGGAGGCGCAGCTCCGGCGGGCGGTGGTGGCGGTGGTGGTTGGGGCGGCTCGTACGCCGTCCGCGGCCCAGGTGCACGACGAGCTATGCTCGGAGTTCTCTCTGTCTCCTCACAGCTTCTCGGTACGCCGTTTCTTCCCGGAGGATTTCCTCGTCACCTTCCAGTCCGACGAAATCTTCGACCGTGTTGCGCGCCGCCGCTCCATCCCTCTCGGTCAGTTCCGTCTCTTGGTCGCGCCTTGGTCGAGGCAGCTGCATGCGAGGGAGGGGTCGATGCTTTTCCGGGTGCGGCTGCACCTGGAAGGGATCCCCGGTCACGCCTGGGATGAGGCGACGGCGGCTGCGGTGCTCGGTTCTTCCTGCCGTATCATCTCCTGTGATCCGGTCAGTTCCTCAGCCAGTGACATGGCGGTCTTCAAGCTCTACGCTTGGACCTCCGACCCTGCCTCCATCCCGAAGGAGAAATGGCTGCGCATTGTCGAGGATGGTGGCCCGGTTGTCACGCCGCAGGGCACCTGTGAGCGCTACCTCGACTACGTCGTTCTCATCCACCTCACCGCCATGGAGGATCACATCTCGCCGCCGGAGCCGTACCTCCCTTTCGCGCCGTCCAGCGGTGATTCTGGTCGCCCTAGCTCGGACGACTCGGACGACGGCCCTCCTCGACGGCACTTCTTCCACACCTCCAGAGGTCGACGAGATGGTTCCCCCCCTCCGCCGCAGTCCGGTCAGGGCTCGACAGGCGGCGGTGGAGGCGGTGGGCACAGGGCCGCTCCGGTGGCGGTGATGCCGGCGGAGCTCTGTTCCGGCCGCCTTCTTCGGCGGGCTGGGGCGCTGGCGCCGGAGAAGCCTGTCCGGGCTGTGGCCGGCGCGGAGGCGGCCATGGCGCGGCGGAGGAGGCCTCGTGGTCGGCGACGTCAGCAAAAGGTGCTAAAGTGGAAAAGCAAGTTCTTAAAGCTTAGCCCTGTTCGCAGCTGTTGCAGGTGGCAGCCACGAAAAGGACAAGACACTTCTGAGCCGGTCTCGGTCGCAAAGGCAAAGGAGAGTTCTGCTCTGCAATCTCTGTCTCTTGGCTCTGTGGTGGGGCAGGAGGACAGGGAGTTTGTCTTGCCTGTGAGCGCGGCGTCTGAGGCTGATTCGGCAGTCTCTTCGAGGAGAGACATGGTCTGTCAGTCCCCACTACCCCCTGACGCCTCGTGGGAGTGCTGTTGGCGTACAGACTGGCGTACGGACTGCCCAGTTCCGGAGGCGCACGATCCGATGCTCGAGGAAGCTTCTCGACGACCCAGGTTGGGCTGGCCGCCTCTCCAGTTGGGTTGGAGGCCCAACAAGGCGGTTTGGTGCTATCGACTGTCGCTGGGCCGGCTGTTGAGTCAGCTGGGTCTCGGCCTGAGGTGCAGTCACAGCCCAGCCCGCTAGCAATGGAGGAGGCCCACCATGACGCTTCTACCTTCCTTCAAGGGTCTGTTTCAGCCCATGCAGACCCGTTCCTCTCGGTCGTTCTGGCAGCAAAGCCAAGCATGGCAATGGCAGCGCCGGGTGAGTCAGCGCTTCCGCCGCCTGACTCCGTGCCAGACGCGACACTTGGAGTGGAGGCTGTCTCTGCTCCTTTGGTGTGCCCAGAACAGCATTTGGCGGCGTCCTCGACGCCGTTATCACAAGTTTTCTCTCCGGTCTCGGCTTTGCCGACTGCCTCCGCGGTGGTCGTGGTAGCTGAGATCGGGGGGCCGTTTCCCGATGAGGTCGTTCCGGTAGATGAGATGGCCGCATCTCCGCCTGCTCCATCTACTGCCGTGTTCGCAGCGGCTGTGGAGGAGGCTTCAGCTCCGCCGCCGACGCTTATCACCTTCTCCAGGAGAGCCAAGAAAGCAATCCCCCCGGCACTGCTTCCCCCACCAGCCCCTCAGCAGCCGCCGCAACCAGCGCCGCTGCAGACGCCGCGTCGCAGTGTGCGTCAAGCGCTTCAAGCGACACATGGCGCCCCAACTTTCTCCCGCTGCCAGTCAGTGTTAGCTAAGAAGATGGGGGAGAAGGATACTGCTGTCCCAGCTGCGCCTGCACCGACTGTGTGTACTATCCAGCAGTACAACGAGCTGTTCGAGAAGGAGCTGTCTCAGGATCAGATGTTGGCGCTGGCCGACCTCTTTGGCATTTGTCTACCGCCTCCTGCCAGCGCGGTGGTCATCTCGCCATTGAAGGCGGCCTGAGCCACAGTCTCGCTGTTTTTTGGTCGCCCCCTTTTCTTTTTTATGTCGAACTGCAATTTTAATTTCCTTGTCTGGAATGTTCGGGGGCTAAATGATAGGGGTCGCAGGGATTCTGTGCGTACCGTGGTAGCCGATGCAAGGTGTTCGGTCGTTTGTCTCCAGGAAACCAAACTGGATGCTATCTCTGTACCGTTGGCTACCCAATTTTTGGGTCCTAATCTAGCAGACTTTTGCTACCTGCCCTCCATTCAGACAAGAGGAGGAGTGCTCTTGGCCTGGGATCGTAGCGTCGTTTCTTGCGATTCGCATTCTCTAGGAGAATTCTCTCTTACAGCGCGCCTCTCCTTTTGCGATGGGAATTCCTGTTGGATCACGGTCGTTTACGGTCCACAACCCGACGCAGATAAGGTGCGTTTTCTGCAGGAACTTAGGGACACCAGAAGCACCCGTGATGGGCCGTGGATGGTCGTTGGTGACTTCAACTTGATTTACCAAGATCAGGATAAAAATAACTCCAACCTGAACAGAAGGATGATGGGTCGCTTCCGGCGGGCGATCAATGACCTGGCGCTGAACGAACTTCATCTGAATGGACGCTCTTTCACGTGGTCGAATGGATGGGAACATCCAACGTTGGAGCGTCTTGACAGAATATTCGTTACTTCGGACCTAGAAGAGCTCTTCCCACAAAGTTTCCTCAAAGCTCTTCCTTCGGTGATTTCTGATCACTGTCCACTGCTTCTTTCAACACTGCCTTCTCTTCCGGCGAAAGGGAGGTTCCGGTTTGAGAATTTTTGGTGCAAATTGGAAGGTTTTGAGGAGGTCGTTCAGGAAGCATGGTCGGCTGATTGTAGACTGCAGGATCCAATCTCCCGGTTGGACTTCAAACTAAGATCAACTGGTCGTGCTCTCCAAAGCTGGAGTGACAAAAAGGTCGGCAATGTAAAGTTGCAATTGGAGATGGCCCGGGAACTCATCGGCAGGTTCGATCGCATGGAAGAATCGCGGGGCCTTTCCGGCCAAGAGCGTTTTCTTCATCGCGAATTGAAAAGGAAGTACCTTGCTCTTGCCTCCCTTGAGCGAACTATGGCAAGACAAAGGTCGCGCATCTCTTGGCTGCGAGAAGGCGATGCCAACACGAGATTTTTTCATCAACATGCTGCCTGGCGACGACGAAGAAATTTTGTGCAGCAACTGGAGCATGGCTCACAGGTCGCTACTGCCCCTGACGAGAAGGCTGCCCTTGCCCACGACTTCTTTGATGGAGTTCTTGGGTCAGTGAGCCACCGTAATTTCTCGGTGAACCTTGATTTCTTCGAATCTAGGGGACAGCATATCGAGGAGTTGGAAGATCCTTTCACCGAGGATGAGGTGCGGAAGGCAATTGCTGACAGCCCGCATGACAAGGCACCAGGCCCGGACGGCTTCTCGGGCATGTTCTACCACCGCTGCTGGGTCATCATCAAGGACGACGTTTTGGCGGCCTTGAACCAGCTCCATCGAATGGATGGATCCAGCCTTGCCTGGTACACAGCTTCGTGAAGCTTTTCACCAAAATTCTCTCACGCCGTCTCTCGCCGAAGCTAGACTCTTTGGTCGCCAAAAATCAGAGCGCTTTTATCAAGAAACGCTGCATTCAAGACAACTTTATGTTAGTGCGGCAATCAGCAAAATACCTGCATGATCGTAGAACTCCTTCGGTGCTGTTGAAGCTGGACATCGCTCAGGCCTTTGACTCCATCTCATGGCAGTTCATTCTCGAAGTGCTGGAGCATAAAGGTTTCGGCGTTCGATGGCGCTCGTGGATTGCTATGCTCTTTCGGACAGCCAGCTCGCGAGTGCTCATCAATGGTGAGCCGGGTTGCCCGATCATACACCGAAGAGGGGTTCGGCAGGGAGATCCCATCTCCCCGATGATGTTCATCCTAGCAATGGATGTGTTGAGTTCTATCCTTGCGAAGGCCGAGAATGTTGGCTTGCTGCGACCGTTGGGGATTCCTTTCCGGGTCTCGCTCTATGCGGACGACGTGGTCGCATTTATCCGTCCGGCAGTAGAGGAGATCCATGTGGCGACGGAGGTTCTCTCCATCTTCGGTGAAGCATCTGGCCTTCGAACAAACTTTGCTAAGTGTTCGGCTCTTCCAATCCAATGTAATGAGGCAGATCTTCAGATCCTCCATGACGAGTTACCATGCCAGGTCGCATCCTTCCCATGCACATATTTGGGGCTCCCTCTTTCCATCTTTCGTCTGAAAAAAGAGGATTTGCAACCGCTGATTGACAAAATCGGTCGTCGACTGCCTTTCTGGATGTCTCATTTGATGACTCCTATCGGTCGGACCACCATGGTGAAAGCAGTACTAAGTTCTATCCCCATCTACTTGCTCATGGCAATCAATGCGCCTAAGTGGGTAATTAAAGGAATTGATAAGATCCGTCGTGGTTTTCTTTGGGCCGGGAAGGCCACGGCAAACGGCGGTGTCTGTCGCGTTGCGTGGGCTCGAGTTTGCTCGCCCATAGAGTATGGTGGTCTAGGCATCCTCGATCTTGAGAGATTGGGTATAGCCTTGAGGTCGCGATGGCTCTGGCAACAAAGAACCTCGTCGGATAAGCCGTGGCAAGGACTTAACATCCCAGTTTCACAGAAGGAACGCAACCTTGTCTCGATTTCTTTGGTTTGCTCAGTGGGCGATGGGAAGCTGGTACGGTTCTGGGAGGATTGTTGGCTGCAGGGCTCTTCAATTCGGTCGCTGGCGCCCGCAGTCTACGCAGCTGTTCCCGCTCGGTTCCGGAACAGACGAACGGTAGCTGAGGCTTTGCAAGACAGGAGGTGGATTCGAGACATCTGTGCGGCACTGGGGATTCAGGCAATCCTGGAATATCTCAAGCTTTGGGACATTCTGCGATCGATTCAGCTAGGTGAGGAACCGGACACGATCTCTTGGCGTTGGGAAAGCTCGGGGTCCTACTCCGCTCGCTCGGCGTATCGTCTTCTCTTCGCGGGAAGAACCAGCCTTGAGCACAAGCCAATTTGGAAGTCTCTAGCGCCCCCGCGCTGTCGGTACTTTCTGTGGCTGGTCGCACTGAATCGTTGTTGGACAGCAGATCGTCTTCGGAGTCGAGGACTGTCACACCCGGCTCGCTGCCCTCTTTGTGATCAATGCGATGAGACGATTGATCACTTATTGGTTGCTTGCTCGGAGTCTCGCTAGCTATGGTGGATTGCTCTTTCAGCTATCGGTCATTCTGAATGTCTACCTCTCAATGAGCACTCTTTCCACTCCTGGCTATGTGACAGTCGCAAAAGAATGGCCAAGGAACATCGTCGAGGGTTCGACACCATTGCAACTTTGGTGGCGTGGACGATTTGGAAAGAAAGAAACAATCGGGTCTTCAACGAAAAGAGCAGGACATGGGCGGAAATTGCTAGGGCCATGACGGGCGAAGCGGACCTTTGGCGGTTGGCTAAAGCCACGATACCGGCCATGGCGACCCCTATGTCGGGTGGAAGGTCGCTACATTCATTGGGAGATTAGGCTTTTATTTTCTTCCTCCTCCCCCCTCCTGTATCTTGTCCCCTTCGTGTTTTTGATTTTTCGGCCCGCTCTGTAAATACTTTTATTCCTTCTTAATACAAAGATGCGCCCCTCGCGTATTCTCAAAAAAAGTGCCTGAGACAGGAAATGGAAATGATCAAACGTCTGGGTCAAGTGATAGCGATGAAGACAATGATAGTGATGTAGGAATTGACGGGGATGCTGCTGCTGCTGCTGCTGCTGCTGCTGCTGCTGATGCCAATGCATTACAAAGGTAGTTTTGTTTCTGTTACTTCCTCAATTTTTGTTTATGACACAATATATAAAGGGAAATGCCTAATTTATCATAATTATTCTTGGTTTTCTTCTTAACATAATTTACTTTTACTGCGAAGACATGTCGCAGCTCCAATCCAAGGGAATATTGCACGAACTGCAAGTGAGGTTGGTATTTTGGATCACCGTGCTCGTCATGAAAATTCTCACCCAAGGTAATCAATGATCACATTGTCGGTTCAGCGCGTACCTGCCTCATAACCTTCTTTCTCCTTGTTGCTACTTTTACTATGGTGATGTGTCCGAATTCCTGCATGACATTCAATTAGATCCATTCTGTAAAGTATCTTGCAGAGCTTTGCTTGTTTTGTTTATTTAATTAGCTATTTACTCACACAAAAGGCCACTACTTCTTGACAGTGCTAGATGACAGCCATGTTATAACTGATGCCTTCGTGCACAACAATCACCATATGCATGTGTTTGATGCATGATAACCTTGCCTCTTATATTTTCATATGCAACGTATGTTGTTGTTAAAATAAAGAAATAATGATAATTAATAAGTAGTTGGTAATACCATAAGTTGATGCCAGGAAAAAACGACGATTTAAGTCCAAGGTGTGGGAGGAATTTAAAGCTGTGTTAATTGATGGGAAGGTTCAAAGTGCCATATGTAATCATTGTAAAAACTGTCTCGTTGGAGAAACTACAAAAGGAACCAGCCACTTACGCCGACATCTAAAGAGCTGTCCTGCAAAGGCTGGAACCAGTAGGGTGCAGAAAAAACAAAGGATTTCAACTTTGCAGCCTGATTCATCTGTTTCGAAGGACTTGAAATATGGTCAAGTAAATCCTCTTGAAGAGTTTATGCGGGCTATAGTCTCAAAACTTTGCCCCTTCTCTGCCATGTACGGTGCAAGCTTTGCGCCATTTCTAGCTGGTAGAAATCCAGTTCTTAATATGGTGCCACAAGCTACTCTTGAAGAAAAGTTTCTTAGTGTCTATGAGAAAGAAAAACAGAAGCTGAAGGAGAAAATAATAGCCACACCTGGCGGAGTTTTCCTGTCACTTGATTCATGGTATTGGGACGCTGATGTTGAATTATATATTATTTGTATAACAGTGCATTTTATTGACGGAGACTGGAAGATCAACAGAAAAACAATAAGATGTTCTCCAAAACTTGTTGGCTCTTATATGTTAGGTTTGCTCCCTCGCTTGAAATCCAACATTGTTAATGTCAAGATGGTGTTAAAGGAAGTAGTTCAAGATTGGGGTCTTCAGGAGAAGCTTTTAGGAGTGACACTACAGCCATCAGAGGATAGTATTAAGGAAGCTTCATTACACTTGGAGGATGACCTTACAGGAAGGAAATACCTTGTTGCCAAATGCAAGCTATTAAATATCCCTTGCATGGTTACTGCCCTTCATGAACTTATTGAAGATTCCATAATGTGTGACATGACACCGGCCTGGTCTTGTTACATGACAAGCTCCCCAGAGCGGAAGCAGAAATACGAGCAGGTTCTATCACAGTTGCATCTAGACGGTGCCTCTTATGGATCTAAAAACTGGTACTCGCAATTCTGCTTGTACGAGGCTGCTTTGCAGTTCATCAAATCATTTCCACTTCCAGAGGATAGACGTCACCAAACAAACCCACTTAGGCCATCTTTTGATGATCTGGAAGCAATAGAGAGCTTCTGCAAGATTGCAAGGCCAATCTACATTGCAGTAAAAGCAATTTCTGGTCCTCATAATGTGATGTATAATTCATATTTTCATGTGATCTGGAGATTGGTAGCAGTCATACGAGAACTACCTAGCATGAATAATACCGAGAGAAATTTTCATGTGCCAGTAGTACAGAAGGAATTCGATAACAATTGGAGGAAGTGGTACTTGTGGCTCTCCATAGCTGTGGTTCTAGACCCCAGATATAAACTTGGTTTCATTGAACTTTGCTTCAGACAAGATTTTAGTCATGATGCTGGAATGTATATCTCTGAAGTTCGTGCCAAGCTTTATGAGCTATACATTCAATACTCTTATGACAATGGACAAAGTAACGAGATATTGAATAACAGGAACAGCGATTCAGGTACACAAATTAGTGCTCCATTAGATAACCAAATCCAGAATTACACCATAGCCCAAGCTGCAGTTGAGGAATTCAAAGAGCTTAATGAATATCTTGGAGGGGGACTCTGTCCTCAAAATGATTCTTTTGATATTCTGAAATGGTGGAGGGATAATTCATCAACATACCCAACTCTTGCTAAAATGGCACGTGATATTCTAGCAATACCTGGATGTGCAGTTTCCGCTGAATCTGCATTCGATTCTTGCGATCAGCGGGTAGAGGTATTCAAAGGCAAATTTCGCCCAGAGACAGCTGAAGCACTTGTCTGTGCTCAAAGTTGGATCAAATCATCTGGTACAACCTTTTACTTTCGATTATAAAAAAAAATAATGACACTTGCTTCATTTGGTGGACATTTGGGCTATGATATCTTACTGAACTGATCCCCGAATTATCAAAACAGGAACAGCTGGCGCAGATGATGGAAATAATATGCTGTTTTAACCTGCAGTGACCTACATTGGCTACTTCCAGGTATTATTCTCTTTCCACAATCCTCTTAGGCTCTGAACTTAGCAATTTTATGAACTTAATGATCTAACCCTTCTCTTCTCTTATTTTTTTCTTTTCATTTTCAAGCAGCTCCTTTGGTTTGTTCCAGTTCTTTCGGCTGGATTTCCTGTTCACCATGCATCTCAATGTGATCAACTACATCTGGAGCAGTGTTAATCCTTGCTTCATGTCGTTGGGCCATGATTATAATCCTAACCAAGATCAGTTTCTGCTGCTCTCGCTCCGAAAAAACATAACTCTTTTTTTCTTCCAATAAGGGTCATCTTTTAGTGAATGCTTGGTATTTGTTTGGAAAATACCGGTATATTTCACACGAACTGTTAGTACTGTTCAGTATCATCAAAGTACAATAGTTTGGAACTACTCCCTCCGTTTCATTTTATTTGACACCGTTGACTTTTTAACACATGTTTGACCGCTCGTCTTATTCAAAAAATTTAAATAATTATTAATTCTTTTCCTATCATTTGATTCATTGTTAAATATACTTTTATGCATACGTATAGTTTTACATATTTCACAAAAGTTTTTGAATAAGACGAACGATCAAACATGTGCTAAAAAGTCAACAGTGTCAAATAAAACGAAACGGAGGAAGTATATATGATTTGAGGGACATTTAACTACTTGCCACTTTTAAGATGTGGCAATTAGTTATTTGCTACTCATTGTCTATAACATGTGGGCCCTCATGTATCTATGACATGTGGGTCCAGTGGCAAATAATTTAGCACCACTCGTAAGAGTGGCAAATAGTTAATTATTCCATGATTTGAGCAAGAATATTACTGCAATGTGTTCTTCCTCATTTCCCAACTCACCTCCCTCTTTTTCCACGTGCACCTTTTTTTGGGAGTAGCTATACAACTGTCGACAGTTTTTAGGATGAAAAACTTAATTACATTGTAACTACTCTGTAAATACATTGTAACTAGTATGTAACTTGAGTGTAACTCAAAAAAGCAACTGGTTAGCTGGACAAACCTCCAAGTTGGATGTGTTGGGTTTGATCCCTGCTGCACGCGTCTGATTTTTTTCCCTTTTCCTTCACCAGCACAAATCTCAAAGCATATTAGACGGCTTTTTTCCGTTTTCCTTCACCATCACAAATCTCAGAGCATATTAGACGGCTTAAAATTTGAAAGTTTTCACACCTGTTAACTGTCGACAGTTGTATAGCAAATCCGTTTTTTTTTGTTAATTTGATCTATGCCATTGAAAATATGGCTATTTAGATAAATACCATTACAATTCGTGTATTTGTAGATGTGCCACTAAAATTTTATAAAATTGGAACCGTACCACTGCTGTCACTTTTTCCATCCTCTCTTTCCTTTTTCCGTCGTCTTCTTCTTCTCGCGTCTCGCGTCTTCTTCCTGGATCCATAGCTCGGCGTAGGGGTCGCCGCCGCCGGCTTCGGCGGAGATGCACACGACCAAGGTGGCCTCCCTGCGCCGCGTCTTCTTCTTCCATAGGGGTGCCTGCCTCGCTGCCTTCGGATGTTCCCACCGCCGCCGCCGCTCGTCATCCGAAGCCGAGCCGCGACGAGGGAGGAAGAAGCATATGGAGGTGCACGGACCTCACCTTCCTCCCATGGCGCCGCCGTTGGCCGCCGCCGCCGCCGCGGCCGTATACTCCTCTTCCCCTCTCTTCTCCTCCTCTTCGTCCTGCCCCCTCCCCCACTGCCATCTGCCCCCGAGCTCCATCTCCCTCCGGCCGTGGCGCCGCTCGACCACCGCAGCCTCCTCCTCCGCCGCTACCGAGTCCGCCGGGAGGCCCCTTCTTGAGGCGCGCGATCTCGTCGCCTGCGTGAAGGATTTAGGATCAAGAGAGATGGGGAAAAGAGGAGAGGATGGGAAAGAAGATGAATATGATATGTGGGTCCCACATGCAAATGAGGAAGAGGATAGAAAACGTGACGGCAGTGGCACGGTTCCAATTTCGCAAAATTTCAATGGCACATCTACGAATACACGAATTGTTAATGGTATTTGTCTAAATAGCCATATTTTCAATGGCATGGATCAAATTAACTATTTTTTTAAGGAAAGCGGCAAGAGTATTGCTGAATATATTAGAAGAAGATAAATTCAAGGTTTACACGATTACACGATTAAGGCGAAAAACAACTTATGAAGAGCCCAAAACCATAATGCCTGGTGTGATAGGGGAAAAACTACAATCATGGCGGTTAGAAATCAAATATGCTTTCTTGAATATCTTGGATGATCTGGTGTGCACCCTTTTTAAACTACTAAACGGTGTATTTTACAAAAGTTTTATATAGGAAAGATGCTTAAAAAAATCATATTAATCTATTTTTAAAAATATTTTATGCTAATACTTAATTTATCACGTGTTAACTCTCAAACTCAGCCTTATGGCTGAGAAGAAATTCATGCAAGTCATACTCTCACAGTATCTTTACTACTATACTATAAAAGATAATAATGGTGGTGGTGGTTCCGTCACCAGCCCACAACCACTTCTGATATTACATGTACTAGATGATGGGGCACGCCAATGGCGCGCCTCCTGTACACAACTCATCTTTTTTTTTCACATAGGAATAGTAATTCCAATACATAAAGGAGATAATAGTGTAGTGGTTTATATAAAAGGTATCTGTTGACAAAAGATGTGACAAAAGCTATAGTCAAACGCGACGATAAGGATAATGTGCACATCTTGTTCGTACTTTCTAATGTACATATGGTTGGTCATGTACAACAATGCTAGTATAATTAAACAGGCACATACATCGGATATAGCATAAGACAATTTCAAAATCAATACGACTACAGAGGCTGGTAGACTGTACATACACATTTGGTCGTGTACATTCGGTTGGATGTAGAGGCCAGGTTTATCTCATTTTCTAAAAAGATTGTATATACACATTGGTGGCAATAGTTCTACGCCAGACTATGGGCTCAACCGAGGCGCATTACCTGCACAGAAGTCGCAGATTGATCAGTGCATTTTTTTTAATAGTAGCACCATGCTTCTGGGAACACACAATTTATAGGAAGCAAAGTTATAAAGTATAGTAAGCAGATATTTGCTTTCCCTTTCCCACTGCAGGTTTGTCTTGCTAAGCAGAGGATAAAAATATACCAATGTTAAGTGAAGGGAAGAAGCGAAACATGAAGGTAAACAATAAGGAAGTAGCATCAAGTACTGGGACAACAGAGTTTACACATGATTCTTCTTTCTGTCTGCAATACAACCATCAAGTTTCGTACAATGAAAACCAAAGTTATAGGACAGGCTGAATATAAGTAACTGTTGACGGAAAAGAAACCTAAAATGCAGGAACGGTGCATCTCCTGAAATGTAAGTAGGGGTTAATTACATTGGATAGTTATTAATTGACATTTATATGATCCTTAGATATATTAGTGGAATAGTGCATGTCAAAGGTGAAAGTAGTAATTTTGAAATATTTAGTAGTATTACAGGTAAGCACTTGGTCATCAGCGAAAGCTTTTTTTATCAGATATCTCAGCTTGTGTGAAACCATTGCTGCAATTTTACGAAGTAGTGCATCTGATCTGGAATCAAACCTCATGATATCCATAACAGCACGGACAACAAACTGCTGAGGAATTTGACAAAAAACAGAATAAATTTTGCAGAAGTAGTGTGAATAGTACCTATTAGACAAAGATACTACCTATGGCATACGAGGAAATAATTAGAAAATAAGCATGTTAATCTAAACAGTAGAGGACTCTTAGGATCTTTGTATGGAAAAAAACTGGATTCTGGAATCATTCTAACAGAAGAACAACCTCTTGAGAACTTGTAGATAGATCCATAAGAACTTGTTTTATGACATCGAGAGCATGTTAAAGTCCATCACATTTAAGATGGGCTCAATTTAGCAATATTGACTGTCCATAAGTAAGATACCGGTCTTACAGAATGGCATGTGTAAGCAGGCAACAATGAGGTGCAGCAGTGGTGAAGCCAGTCAATAAAGATTAAAAAGGTTAATTCCCAAATTAAGAGAGGACACTATAGAGAGCGTGCAGAAGAAGCTAAGAATCAAGTACCCTCATCTGTTTTGCTCCAGCAGTACAAAAAGGCTCCATCACAGAGACATTGATAGGCGATCACAATATAGTTACTTAATGTCAGAGTGAGCTCTATGATCTCTATTTAAAATGAATACTGGACAAGAATATGCATTTTTGCTGTTGAGAATACACGTAGAGCATTCTTTTATTCTCTTAATGCAGGAATTTTCTTAATATTTATTTTCTTTGGCTTAATATATATAAGCAAAATTATTTAGACTTCATGTAACATTATACTTTTGGTGAATCTGACTTGTATCTTCATAAACCAATCTGTCCTTGTGTGAAGTTAACATTGGTTGTATTAACCTTCTTATATTTATAGAGGCACACAAAACTATATAGGAAGAAACATAACTATGGAGACCATAGTTATTCCATGAAAGGAAGTTTTGCAAAAGGCCTAGATGGTTATAAAGGAAATAAAACGCAAGACAACATCATATGGAATGGTAATAGGGAAAGGGGCAAAAATAAATTACCCATAATTGAAGTCTAGCCGCCTGAAAATTATGCAAGGAACCAAGTGGTAGCAAGCATTGTTTGGAATCACCGTTCTATTAGTATATAAACCTGCAATTTGAAATGCCACTTTTTCAGTGATATGACAACTAAAACATATTTTATCATCTCCATGGTAATAAAGGAATATGTTCTTTTATTAATTTTAATAGCGAACTTAAAAAACAGAACACATTAATGCCTTAATAGACTAATAAAGATGCATCCTAGAGGTTTTGTAAAATTATAGGTGTATAGAAACCGCGGCAGTAGATTCAATTGTACCTTACTGCTGAGAGGATAATTCTGACTATGTCAAGAACCAAGTCCTGACAGCCAATTGCGAGCATAATCACAGAACATTTTAGTGCAGCAGAATTTTCTAATATCAAAATCATTCTTGGAAGGTATAGACTGCTAGTTTCAGCAAGGTCTGCAAATACACTGATAAACAGCCTAAATATTTCCTGAGAAAAAGGAGTTGACAGAGCTTCACAAGAGTGTGGTTCCCAGTCAAAACTTTCCCTACCACTAAAATTGCAGGCATTTATATAGACAATGAACCAGTACCAAAACGGCCACACCAACAGCAAAAACAGATACCCACTGATCATAAAGAGAGCACATTTACCCTGCTATGAAGATAACAAATACTGGCAAAACCACCTTCATGAACAGCACCGCACAGCACGCCCAAACCAGCCAAAATAACCAGCCTCATACCCAAAATAATTTATAGGTAAAACCCGATGAACGGAGTATTATATAAAAAAAATATTCTCTCTAGATGGCCATTGACAAATAAATGTGCTCATCACTCCTAACAAAGTTCATTTTCATATGGCAAGTCAAACAAGAAAGAACATATCATCCTTAAAAAAAATTTGAAGCAAATAAAGAAAAATTATGCTGGATTGCCCATCGGTCCATCAGAAACAGTTCCTTTCTACTGCCCTTGTTGAGAACTCGCAGAAATTGTTCAGGTGGCTAGTTGAGAACTCGCAGAAACAATTCCTTTCTACGTTTACGACAACTCGCAGAAATTCATTTCAAGATCATGCCAAATTCAGGTGGCTAGTGGAGAACTCACCTGTTCTTGATGTCAGCCTCCCTACGTCCCAGCCACGGAGTGTCCACGGTCAGTGCAATCGCCTTGAACCCAGCTCTCTCGGCTCTTCTGACGAACTGCTCAACCACATTCCTGTACCTGTACGGCTGCATCTGTATGCAAGATCACAAAAGAGGTTGAGATACAGAAAAAAATAGGCAAGAGTGTATTGACAAAACCAGAGGGGTGTGATATGCTTACATATAGCTGGAAGAAACAGATTCAAGGCCCAGTTGAGGCGACCTCCTCAACACTTGAAGTAGCCCAAGATGACTGTCTGAAACATGAAGGCGATACCAAATTAACATTGGCATTCATACAAGTTTGAATTTCTGTTTTGGGTTGGTATCTTTATGCATCAAAGGAAATGTGGTTTGCTATTGAACATGTAGATAGCATTCGCTGCATACCATTATAGTTCCTCCTGCTGAAGCTGCCATGGCAGTTGCATACTCTCCTGAATACATATGGGATTTTAGTTAGCTCAATTCTATGCAAAGATCAATATAGATCATGTGCTAGCTTGTTACATGCTAACAACTTCAGTTTGTTTTCAGCTTTTCTAGTAGTAATGCTAATGCTGATGGATGAAATTACTTTTGGTTTTAAACGTGGGCTAAATGTAAGGCTGTACAACAACTAAGCAACATAATTGCAAAGCTAACATATATTGAAATGGCATATGTACCGTCAGGGTGAGCCATCTTCTGCATGGCACTGGGAGCAATCATTACGGGCATTGATATCTCGAACCCAAGAACAATTGCGGACATGTCGATCTTCGAGACATCGATCAGGATGCGGGGACAAAACCTAGCCAGAAAAGGTTACAGTCAGATTGAGGGTTGACAAATTAACAAATGTACAACCTAAGGTATGTGATTGAAAAATTGAAGTCATATGCTAAAGCAAACTTCAATATTCCAACTTGAAAATAAACAAGGAAAAAAAGAGGGAAATCACAGAAATGTGATTGAATTAGTTGGTGACTACAATCACAAGATAAACAATCTCAGGGCACAGAGTATACGGGACATATGCAAACATGTGAACATAGTAGTGGCTTTTGCTTACAGCTGCGGGACTCATCCACGAGGTCGAGGAGCTGTCAGAAGGTGAGGCGGCCATCGGCCTGGCACCGCGCGCGGACGGTGACGGTAGCACACTGCAGCTTGCGCATATGCTTAGTGAAGCAGTGCGCGGCCGCAAAGACGACCGCGTCCACCAGGGCAAGTGGCAGGATCAGCATCGTGCATGTGATCTGTGACTGAACCAGAGCACTTCTGTAAAATCTGTGACTGAATTTCACAAATAAAAAAATTACAACCAAGAGAATGGTCTGTAAGATCTATGACTGAATTTCACAGGGCAATTCTTCAATCATGAGTTTAATCACGAAGTTAGACTGACAGAAAGGCAACTAAACTATAGATTTGATCAATCAACAGGGAGCTAACAACGAACTTACGCATACCCATTTCAAAAAGAACAATTCAAAAATGTTAAAAAAAAAGATCACAGCAATTTCAGTATCACAGTAAACCAACAAACAACATGGTATCATGCAAAGAACCGATGCACTTGCAAAGGTAATGCACCTACTTATAACCTGATAAGAATTGCTCTTGGCCAGAAATCCTGTCTTTGGTCCCACACTTTGATTAGGTTTTACATCTCAGTTAAATTTTTTATAGTATCGGACCCATCAAGCCTCATTCTTATCAAAATACATCTACAATCCAAAATTTTAGAGTGATTTTGTAGCATGTTATATGCATTTGCAGAAGCGTAATTAGATCATTTGAATTTGAATTAGCTTTCAGTTGTGGTACTATAGATGTACAACAAAATGACATATGCATACTATAAAGCAGTGCTACCTCCACCATTTTAGCTTAATCTTTTCAAATTTAAGACTTATGCGAAAAGCAAGGGGAAACTATACAATATAATAATGGATGAAAAGCAAGGAGAAATGCAACGCTGACATACATGAGTTATGCTTTGCAGTAATCTAATGATAATACATAGGTAATAAGTTCGTTACGAATCAACTAAGCTGTATGTAGTCCCACACTCCATACTGTTAAGAGTTGACTGACTTGTCAACACCAAACAGGGATTAATTCGGAAGATGAACTGAGAAAGTAAATCAGTTCAAAATATCGGAAGAATTTAACTATACCTGGTTGAGTACCACAGCAAAGCCTACATCGCCGATGTGTTGGACTGACATCTAGACCGATAAGCGAAGCTCCTAATGATACATCCTCATTAGCATATTTGTGTGGAACAGGATTGAAATGTCACCCCTTCATGGTCAATGATGGGTAGATGTTAGATAAAAAATAAATTTATGGTGTAGTTAAACAGGCATTGTGTCTGAAGAAATTCCTTACTGATTGATTAATATGTAAGAAACCAAATCCTTCGAGATTGCATAGAATTGATCGATTGCATGATGTAAGTTTTTGTTCCCCCGTTCGCCAAATTCCCAATACTCAGCGTCAGGGTATCTTTAATTCTTACACTCCTAAGAATGGCTGACATTTGGTCAGCTATTTAAAATATCGGAGAAGACATGACAACAATAGGGGACTTACTTCTGAACCAGGATTGAACCAGCTTTCATGCAGCCAGGGTAAGCTCTTGCATTGACTGACGAGTACAATGATTCCAAGAGTCGCTACAATATTTTTCAATCTGATTATTATAGTATCGCTATAACTGAGATAGAAATTTAAATTTCAAGGTTTTTCAGCTTTAGCTCTCAAAGCAACATTTGTAAAGATTATAGCATATTTGATTTATCAACTTCGAGCATACAATTCGCATGTCAAATACTGAACAAAAATTTAACGCAAGTAAAATATCTGAATGGGACAAATTCTAAGAAGGGATATGGTGCTAGATTACTGGGCAGTACATATTTACATATGCATCGACATCCACTCTAATGTAGTAGTACTCTGCACCCTAGTTGGACAAGGCTGTCACAAAAATGGATTTTGTCTTTGCAACCGATTTCAGATATCCTTCAACATGATCCTAAGTAATCAACAAATATTCCAAGATATTTCACTTTTACACATAAATAAACAGACCACATTAATACTCCACCATGCTTGTTAAATAAAATTTATTTTGGACTAAATCCTATGTAATTACCAAACCCTTGAAGTCGACATGTTTCCTAGCTTCTGAATCTATAGCTCCATCGAGTATCCCGCTAGATGTTGCACTGTCAAATAAGATAAAAAAGTGAAAATTTCAGACTCACTGATCTCATGGTATTGTCATCAGATATCCATAATAGTAAATTGTTAACTCTCTAGTCTAGTAAGAGGAACTCTCCCTTTGATACTGTCCAGAACAGCTTGCCCAAAGAAGCTCTCCTTGATGCGACAACGTAGACGTGGCCGAACTGCAGCAGGGAAAGAATGAGGAAAAGAAGTTGCTTGCACGGCTCTCTTGCTCACCTGTGCACAAGAGAACAACAAAGAACAAAGAAGAAAAGAAAAAAAGGTCAAGGAAGGCAGGATCGAGTACAAACGAAAATCTCTGTGGAAGTGGTCACCATCTTGCGGCTTGGATGGTGTGGGGGTGGCGGCCGTGGAGAAGCAGAAGACATGGGCCGGTGACCATGTGCAGCCCGTTACGCTTCGGAACCTAGGGCGGCAAGCGAATCGGATCGGCGGCCCACACCCCCTCCCTCCACCGGGACGCCCCCGCGGCGCTCGCTCGCTCTCCCGCACGCACGGCCTGCGCGGCTAGGGTTAGGGTTCCCCCGCGGCCACGAAAATGGCTTGAGTTCCGAGCTCCAGCAGGAAGCGAGGACGAGATGGGAGAGAGAGAGAGAGAGAGCAGCGAGTGCAAGCGAGGAGGGAGGAGGAGGTGGACGCGGCGGCGGCGACGGCGGTGGACGTAGCCGCCGCGGCCGAGCTGGACGCTGCCGCGGCGGCGACGGTGGACACGGCGGCGCGAGGGGAGGCGGACGCGGTGGCGCGAGGGGCAAGCGACGGCGAGAGGCGGAGGCGGAGACGTCGGCGTGCGACGGAGGCCGGAGATGACGCAGCGGCGGCGCGAGGCGGAGGTGGGGACGGCGGCGCGGAGCGGTGGCGGTGGGAGAGGGAGAGGGAGAGGGAGGAGAGGGCGTGAGCGGCGGCGGCGCGAGCGGAAAGCGGAGGCGGAGGCGGCGGGGCGAGCGGGCGACGGCGGCGGAAGAGAGATAGGGAGAGGGAGAGACGAGAGCGAGAAGGGGCGGCGGCGGATAGGGTTTGGGGAGTTAGGTAGTGGCGTCATTTTTTGAAAACACCCCTATACTTTTCTCATTTTACATATAGGTCCTTATCCGCGATTCTTTCTCACAAACTTTGTTCGTGGGGGACATATTCGTAATTAGAAAAAATAGAGGGGTTTTTTTGAAAAAATACACCAAAGCACTTTAGTACTGTAGCGAATCGCTGACGTGGACACGCCGAGCGTCCGCCCAGCCCGCCACACTTAATATTTTCTAATTTCAGGTGTTTCTGTTGGGGAAGCACAGTTGGAACAATTGCACTAGTAGGCTTAGTAGCAGAAAGAATGAAGAAGGAATGAATTCATTCGAGGTCTTTTAACTTGACAACGAATCCGATTTTCATCCCTGAACCTAAAAACCAGATACAATCCGTCACCTAACTTACAAAACCGGTGCAACGAGGTCCTTCGGCGGTTTGGATGGAGGTTTTTGGCTTACGTGGTGCCTATGTGGTTGGTTTGACTTGGTCTTCATCCTACGTGATGGTGACGTGGCGCTTACGTAGCAATTTGATTCGAAAAAATAAATGGAGCAATATTAAAAATTGAAAAAAAATAATATGTGGGGTTCATATGTCAGTCAAACAAGAAGTAAAAAATAGTGGGCCCCACCACCTCCACCTCATCCTCTCTACCTCTTATCTCCTCTCTCCAATGGCAAGAGCACGCAGAGGGATGAGACGGGGAGGCCGGCGAGGTGGGTGGGGAGCGAGGAGGCAGGGAGGTTGGCGATGGTGGGTGCTCGACGGCGATGGGTGAAGGGAGAGGTGCGCAGTGGGCGGCGGCCATCGGAGAGAAGGGAGAAGAGTGGTGGCCAGCAAGGGTGGCGGTTGGCGACAGAGGCTCGTGGGCGGGTAGAGGCTCGCGGTGGCCCTTTCCTCTTCCCCTCATCACTATAGCCGCACGCTGCCGTCGGGCCATCTCGATCTTCGCGCGAATTTGAAGTTGAGGAGGATGATGACGCCACCACAGCGTCCCGATCCTCGGCATCTTCGACGCGGAGTGGGTCGAAGGCGGAGGCGGAGCAGTCGGGCTGCTATGGCTCGGAGGAGGCGGGGTCTGCCGCTCCTCTCCCCATCCGCAGCATCTTCCTCCACATAGCCGCCGCCATCCGCTGTCGTGTTCTTGTCCGCCGCCTCCAGAAGAGGAGGCGTGGAGTGGCGAGGCAGCTCGTGCTCCGTGGACAGGAAAGCGGTTTGCGGTGGAGGATCTCCGCGCGGCTCGTCGGCTTCGCAGGGAGACGGATGCGGCTAGGAGGAGGGAGAGGAGGGACGGGGGTGGCATGGCGAGTTTGTATGGCATCCTAATCCCTAGTACCAGAAATATTCACCCCTAATATATACAAAACCGTATAATTTCGGTCCCACGTCAGTATGGATCTTGTTTCGCTAACGTGACATCCTAGTCAGCAAAATAAAATATAAAAAAATATAAGGCCCAGATGTAAATGAGAAGAAAAAGAAATGTAGGATAAGCGCCTCTTCTTTATTCTCTTCTCTTCTCTTCTCTTCAGAGATACTGGGAGGCCGGCGGCGGCAGAAAGGGGAGAGACGGCTGGCGAGCCCGGCCGAGCTCCGCCGTCTCGAGCGCCTCACGATGGAAGGAGAGAAACGGGGAGAAGGGACGCAGTCGGCGGGAGATCCAATCTGGGCCACCGACTCAGCCACCAATTCCTTTTTAGCGATCCAATCTGGGCTGTCCGTTACAGGCTTGGGCCCAGTGATCCATCTGGGCCGTTCATCCTACTCCTAATAATGCTTAATTAGGCCGCTTCCCCGTGCTTACATCGACGGCGCCGCCGGTGGCTACCCATGAATTTTTCTACCCTCCTCGCCGACCTCCGGCCGCCGCCGCCGCCGCCGCCGCCGCATCCGATGCTGGCTTCTTTGGTTCGTGTTCACCTCTACATCTTCCAAATCCAAGGCTTGCCTGCTCCTGGAGCTCTGGCTGACTGGTTCCATGACATCTCCATCGCCATCGCCATCAAAGCAAAGCAATAAATTGGTCAGTTCGTCGTGAGCCCGTGAGGAAATATCGCGGCTAGTCTTGTGATAGCAATGCGTATGGCCACACCTCCACCTCCCCTCCATATCAACTGCCAGGCGAGGCGACGACTGACTTCCCAGTTCCAACCTTTCTGCCAGGCTCGAGAATCTTGACTTTGAGATGAGTGTGTGGTTGACTTGATCGATCGGTATATCTGAGGAATCGCCTGCTGCTGCGACTGCGATTGCTTCTCGCTTCTGATTTTTTGCAACCATAAACAGGTAATTTGTTTATCAACATTATTTTTCCCAATCCTTCTCTATTTGATTTCACATCAGTTTTTTTCTGCATAATCATGGAACCCCAAGCGGCTGCTTGGGCTTTTTAGCGAACATCAATTGATTTTTGCTGCTGTTGTTGTTGTTGTAGGTTTTTTCTTTCTCAAATATTGTTGTGAGGTATTTATCACAGCAAAACCTGCTATATAGGCATATAGTTAGATTTTTCCCGTCGTGAAAAGAAAATATTCTTAGTTCCGCCGACAGGATCGAAACTACTAGTGCCCAAAGTATCACTGCTTCTTTTCCAGAAACTTCTTACGGTATATGTGACTTCAACCATAATATTATAACAGAACAAGTTTCATAGAATCTGATAGGTTTAAGAGATTATGGAAGTGCTTTTTTAGGCTAATCTATACATACTTTTTTTTTAAAAAAAGTTTTAAAAAATTTAATCAGATCTTGTCCAATATATTAAATATTTATGACTGAAAGGATTAGTAGATATATAATTTATACATCCGAAGCTTGGCAATGATGACACATTGCAATCTCTTGATGTGTCACTTGCGTGGCAAACTCGCAACGGTAACATGTGTGGGTTGTTGTGTCGCCTCTATGGCATACTTGGTGCCGATGCCTTGTGTTGAGCTCCGTCGTGGTAGCTTACGTTAGGTTAGTTGTTGGTGTGTTGTTGTAGCTGTGGTTTTTGCTTAGTTTTCCCTAAGTAACTGGACACTATAAAGTTTGGTCCCTGTTTACTCCTTAAAATAGGACACCTCCTTCTTATAAAATATTGGCAACTGTTTGAGAAAAATAATTTATACATCAAATTCCATTTCATTTTATGACTGCAGTATCTACAGAAGATTCTCAATACAACATTGAGATGGTGCTATCTATACATTTTCCATAGGTCTTACTAGAAAACAGAAAGTTTTTAGAACAAGCAGTTCGCTTCATATAGGGTATGGAGAATCAATCGGGCCAACCGCAGTACACCATGGCTGATCAAGGATTCCGCCCCTTCTCAGCCTTGATGTCCGCGCCATCTACTGCGCAGCAGCATGTGGGTTCTTCATTCAGCACAGCAGTAGTTCAGGTGGCCGCAGCACAGCAGTCACACACAGATCATGGTAACATTTGCCTAGCTGATGATGATGGCTACTATTGGAGGATGACCGGACAGAGTACAACTCAGGGTGAGTCGTCTCCAACGATATTATCCCACTATCAATGTGCCCAAGCAAACTGTGTGGTCCAGAAAACAGTGGCATACACTGCAGATGTTGAAACATTTTACAGGGGCAGACACAATCATCTACGACAGTCAGATAGACTGGAGCCAATGTCTCAAGTTGGTGTGCTAGTTGAGGCATCAGATGCAGCAGGGGCTGCGGCTGGACCTTCGGTGCCTGAGACAGAAAATGGAGATGATCAATCGTCTGGTTCAAGTGATAGGAATGAAGACGATGCTGGTGATGTAGAAATGGACGAGGATGCAGCTGCTGGTGATCCCAATGCAATGCAAAGGTAATTTGCTTTTGTTACTTCCCCAACCTCCTTAAAATTGAAAAAAGATACAATATTTTCCCTAAATACTCTTGCTTTTCTTCTGTCTCCAAGCTTTTGTGCAAACTCAACATCCTTTGCACGCGTTGGAGAAGTATCTATCAACTTTTTTACCGTTTACAAATCCTGGATAAAAAATCCCCTGTTCCGTGAAACTGATAAAAAAAACTTGATTAGTTTGATTTATGATGACTCTGTTTGTGATTTTTCGTATGCACATATGTTGTGGTTTCAATAGAGAAATAATGATAAAGAGTAGTAATACCATATGTTGATTACAGGAGAAAACTTAAGTCCAAGGTGTGGAAGGAATTTAAACTTGTGTTTAAGGATGGAAAGCTCCATACTGCCATATGTAATCATTGTAAACTCAGGCTCGTTGCAGAGACTAGAAATGGAACCAGCCACCTACGCCGACATCTGAAGATCTGTCCTGAAAAGGCTGGAACCAGCAGGGTGCAGAAAAAGCGAAGGAGTTCAACTTCGCAGTCACAGCCTGATTTACCTGTTTCAGAGAACTTGGAAAATGGTCAAGAAAATCCTTCACAGAACTTGGAAAATGGTCAAGAAAATCCTCTTGAAGAGTTTATGAGGGCTACGGTCCTGAAACTTTGTCCCTTCCCTGCCATGTACCGTGCAAGCTTTGCGTCATTTCTGGCGGGTAGAAATCCAGCTCCGAATATGGTTCCACAAACTACAGTTGAGGACAAGTTTATTAGTGTTTACGAGAAGGAAAAATTGAAGCTGAAGGAGAAAATAATAGCTACACCTGGCGGAGTTTTCCTGTCAGTGAATAAGTGGTACTCTGGGAGTTATGAAACAGGAATTGTTTGTTTAACAGTGCACTTTATTGATGAAGAGTGGAAGATTAATAGAAAAACAATAAGATGTTGTCTTTCAGAATCGGATGGTTTAGACTTGAACTTGTTCCCACACTGGCAATCCGAAATTGCTAATTATGAGGATGATGACAAGATGGTGTTGAAGAAGGTAGTTCGAGATTGGTGTCTTGAGCCGAAGCTTTTAGGAGTGACATTGGAGGGATCAGTGGATAAGAAAGCCACAATATCCTTGGAGGATGACCTTACGACTGGAAAGAACTACCTTGTTGCCAAATGCAAGCTATTAACTATCCCTTGTATGGTAGATGGCCTCGATGATCTTATGCAATACACCGTTGGGAGAGAGGTGCGATCGATGTGGTCTCGTTACATGACAAACACTCCCGAGCGTAAGCTGAAATGTCAGGAAGTTGTATCACAGCTGCAGCTAGACCGTCCCTCTTTTGGATCAAAATACCGGTACTTAACATTCTATTGGTGTGAGGCTGCTTTGCAGTTCATCAAATCATTTCCACTTTCAAATGGCAGTGAACGTCCATCATTAGATGATCTGGAAGCAACAGAGAACTTTTGCAAGATTGCAAGGGCAATCTATCATGCAACGAAAGCTTTTTATGAACCTTATAACTTGACTTTTAATTCATATTTTCATGTGATATGGAGCTTAAGAGCAACCCTACAAGAATTACCTAGAATAAAAAACATAGAGAGGGTTATTAAAGTGAAGAATATGCAGGAGAAATTTGATAACCATTGGAAGAAGTGGTACTTGTGGTTGTCGATAGCTGTGGTTCTAGACCCCAGATATAAGCTCGCTTTCATTGAACTTCGTTTCAGAGAAGCTTTTAGTCAAGATGCTGGAACCTATATCTCTGAGGTGCGTGCAAAGTTTTATGAGCTCTATATTCAGTACTCTCATGTTAATGAGCAAAGTAATGAGATACTGAATCAAGGCAACAATGGTTCAGGTACACAAATTAGTGCTCCATTACATAAACAGAGAACGAATTACACCATAGCACAAGCTGCACTTGAGGAATTCAAAGAGCTTTTTGAGTATCTTGGAGGGGGGCTCTGTCCTCAAAACGATTCTTTTGATATTCTGAAATGGTGGAAGGATAATTCAGCAGCGTACCCATCTCTTGCTAAAATGGCACGGGATATTCTAGCAATACCTGGATGTGCAGTTTCCGCTGAATCTGCATTCAATGACGATAGTGATCATCGGGCAGAGCTATTTAACGGAAAATTGGGCCCTGAGACAACTGAAGCACTTATCTGTGCTCAAAGTTGGATTATTAAATCATCTGGTACAACCTTTTACTTTTGATTATGAAAATTGTAATGACAGATGGACCATTTATTTATTGGAGCATGATGCCTAACTGAAATGATCCCATGCTATTAAACAGGAACAGCTGATGCAGATAATGGAAATAATATCACATTATCTTAACCAACGGTGACCTATGTTGGCTACCTCCAGGTCTTCTTCCCTTTCCAGCTACATGCCATTTAGGTTCTAATTAAATTTGGCAACTTTATTAACGTAATAATCTAACCCTTCTTTTTTTTAATCATTTTCGAGCAGCTCCATTGGTTTGTTGCAATTCTTCAGCTGGATTTCCTATGTATCACACCTGCAGCCGTCCTACTCTTTACTTGTCGTTGGGCCATGGTTATGAACCTAACCAAGATCATGTCTTGCTTTACTATGTGTGAGAAGTTAAAACTTGTTTTCCCAGTAAGGTCAACTTGTTTTCCCAGTAAGGTCATAGATCATGTCTTGCTTTACTATGTGTGAGAAGTTAAAACTTGTTTTCCCAGTAAGGTCATTTTTGACGTAAATGGTTATGTTTGGGAATTTCTGCTATGAAGTTCACACGAACTGCCACTATTCAGTGTGAAATTAATTATAATGTGTTTGGAACTATGATTATTATAATGTGTTTGGAACTATGATTATTTGAACAAGAATGTAATGCAATGTCAGTATATTTTCAAAAGGTTGGATCCGTTGCTTACTACCTCTGTTTCATATTATAAGTTATTTTTACTTTTTTTTAAGTTAAACTTCCTTAACTTTGATCAAATTTATAAAAAAATATAGCAATATTTTTAACATAAAACAAAGAAGTTGTTAAAATATATTCAATGCTAAGTCTAATAAAACTAATTTAGTGTTATAAATATTACTATATTTTTATCAAACTTTTACAAAATTTTACTTTAGAAAAAGTCAAAACGGCTTATATTATGAAACGTGTGGGAAGTGTTAGGCACAGTTTGTACCAGCACGGGTCCATAGATAAATTCATAGTGGGCTGAAACTGTTTATGAGCTTAGCTGTTCATTACATACGAGATAACGCAACATCAGATGCAAGCAAATACTCCTACCTATACATAGCATTGCTATTAGTAATACCAAATGTTTGAGATTGGGACTAATCACCTCGGTGATTAATTCAGCTCTTCCTTCCACGCACAGCCCTGAGGAGATCATTCATCACCAGCGGCGAGCTCGCCATGAGATGCTTGTAACCCTCGGTCGCCATGACGGCGTCGAGGTTCGCGGCGACGACCTCGACGCACCTCGCCTTGAGCCGCGGGCACCCATGCTGCTCCGCCAGCGCCAGCGTCGTCGCCGCCGTCTCCACGGTGGCGCCAGCGATGAGCTTCTCCTCGCACATGATCTTCAGCCCGTCGAGCCCGCACATGTCCGCCGCCGCCAGCAGGTGCTGCGCGACGACGACGCCGTCTTGTTGATCGAGCTCCGGCACCGAGTCGGTGTAGATGAAGCCGAGCATTGCTCCGAACACCTGTGGCTCGATGTCCCTGATCTCGACGCTCCGGGAGCTCTTCTCCTTCATGTCGCCGAACAAGGAGGCCATGAACACCGGCGACCTCGACGCGAGTATTGCCCTGTGCGCCGGGAAGCACTTGCCGGACACCACCAGCGTGACGTCCGCCCCCGTCCCGCGGCGCAGGAGCTCGCCGAGGTGATGGCTCAAGGACAGACCACGGCCGGAGAACGGGGGCAGAACATTCGCCGGCGCTGCCGGCGCCGCCGCAGCGACATTGTCAGGTATCTCCGTGATCACCGTGATGGTGCACTCGACGGTGAAGGCGTCGTCGACGATGGCCCCCGACGCCTCCAGGGCGCTCCGGCGAAGGATCAGGACCCACGCGGAGCTCTCGCCGGCGCGCTTGAACGCGTGCGACACGTGGCCGTCGACGGCGGCAGAGGTGGTGGCACTATTGCTGATGAGGCGGCATCGGAGCGCGGCCTTGACGTCGGCGCGGCGAGGAGGACGAGCTTGAGGGCGACCCAGTGGTTGGAGTCGGCGATGAGGCTGGCGGTGTAGCGGAGCTCCCAGTGGTAGCCGCCGACGGGGAGGCGCCTGGACGGGAGGGAGTCCGTCCTCGCCATGGCTCTGGTGGCGGAGTAGCCATTGATCTTGAACATGTGCACGGCGCGCGCGGCGTCGGTGAGGTTCGACGAGAATGACGCCCCCATGGATGTACGGATCTTAAGTATAGGAAGATCGAGGAATTGGGGATAAATTAATAGCAAGATTACATCAAAGTTAAGTTACTGTAGTAGATAAACAGTCTCAGGAGCTACCTAATGAATGAATGTGCAATCGCTATTACAAATTGTAATGTCGAGGCGATTAGATGGATGTGAAAAATGAATCCTCTCCATCCCATGTCGATCTGAGAACTATTTCAACTTCAGCGGGAAGTTCAAAAGGAAGTTTCAAGTAGAGATTCAAAATCCGATAAGTCGATCGAACTAGAACAATTTTTGAGTTTATCTAAGGAACTAGAACAATCGATTGAACTCCAAAAGGAGAGTGTTACCTCTGTGTCTCGCTCAGGCTCTCAGTCGCAAGAGGCGAGCGCCGATGGTTTGGTCGATCTGGTCGTCGTGCTCGTCAACTCTCGTCAATTTGGATGGCGGGGAAAGGGGAAAGGAGGCCGCGACGCGATGGAAACAAAGAATATTTTATTCGGGGAGGCGGACGCCGATGGCCGACGCGTGGACGAGCTACCGCTCTCGGCTCGCCGCCGCTAGTGCCCAGGAAGCCAAACGCCGCCGCCAAGCTCCCCTTCGTCTCCCGCGCCGCCTCCGGCCCCATCTTGCTAAAACCGAGAAATCTGGTAATTTAACTTTCTTTTTACAACCTACTCCGTATATATATTCATATTAATACTAGCTTTGAACATTACAGAGTTTTTAACCAAGAGATATAACCCATTTTAAATAAAAAGACAAACAAAACTGCTGTAAAATCTAATTTTGTGTACTATAGCTGAGTGTAAGTACAATGTACTTGAATTATACACGAACACAAACCTTGACGGAAGATCCTATGGATGAAAATTTGAATTATAGAAACCCAAATATCTGTCGCAAGTGAAATAACAAAACTGTTCTTTTATTCGGAACAGCTAAATAGTTGGCGAAAGGTTTCTGAGACCAAAATCATGCAGATTATTGACCTGGGATTTGTTTTGTGATTTGTCCTCTGATGACCTCAGCTCTTCTCCTTCAGCTCCGGCGACGCCTTCTTCTCCAACTCTGGAGACCCCGCCGAAGGCATTGGAACTAGGGTTTAGGGTCCCGGCATCCCGGGTTTGGATAGGGTGTGAGGCAGAGGGAAGGTAGGGGGAAGTATAAGAAGGAGGATCGCCAGGCTTAGAGGGATTGCCGTGGAAGGCGACGGTGCTGAAGCCACGGGGATGAAGGCCAATGGGTCAGCATTGGTGACGGAGACAAACCGAAACTTGTGGTTAGGAGGCGGCGACTGGTGGTGGCGGATCCACCGGCATGGAGCCACCGAAGAGGAAGACGGAGGGACAAGGGCACTTGCGCCGTTAATTAGGGAAGAAGGAGGGGGGGAGGCCGGCTAGGTGGTCTCGTTGACCCCTTCCGGTGCGAGGCCGGGCACGGCAGCGAGAGGTGGCGACGACGCTGGAACGACGAGGGGAGGGTTGGGGTTAGAAATATCACACACGAATTTTAAAGCAATTCAACGGTCTAGAATTTGAATGATTTATAAGGTGTTTTTTTTGTCAAATACCATCTAGATAGTCTTTTATTGTAAAACCGACATTTATAAGGATATGTGGTTCGCGGGATATGGTATTTGCGGCATGTCAACATTTGGAGAAGGTGGTTAAGGAGTTTTTTACCCAGGGATATGGGTGGTGATCTAGTTTTAGAATTGGTGGCGCTTAAAGCTCTGTGCTTTTGGAGGAGATGGCCAAGGAGTTATTCATGAGTGACAATTTAGTCTTTGGATTAATGGTCCTCAATACTCCATGTCATTCTTTTTTCCTTTCGAGTGTGGTTTTGTATGTTTGGCTACGTGCATCTTAGTTATGCAGAGGCTGAAAGTGTTATCAGGATAATTGTATCATCTCGATGTAATTGACTGAATTTATTAATAAAAGTTTTCATTATCTAAAAAAAATACGTGTAGCATCCGAGTGAATAAAAGTGGACTAAAATGTCAAGTTATCAAACCTCTTGCTAAAACCCGTGGACTAAAATGTCAAGATATCAAATGGAAAAAGTACACCGAAGGTCCCGCGGGTGAGTAGGGATGCAGCTCCGTGGACCGCTCGTCGGGCTCAACTTTTATCGAGTTACAACATCGGCCCCCAACCGCAAAACCAGATACCGGACGTCTCTCAACTAACAAAACCGTTCACTTTAGATCCTCCGGTGTTTTGACCCCGGTTTTGTCTGAGGTGGTGGCCGAGTCAGCGTGAGACCCATGTGGGCCCCACATGTCAGAATGCCAGGTCATCTCTTCCTCTTCTTCTCTCCCTTCCTCGTCTCTCCCTCTCACTTCTCTCCTCTCTGCAGGGCGGCTGGCGGGTGGGGAGGAGGTCCGGCAGCCGGTGGCGGCGCGTGCGACCTCGGGGTCGGACCCTCGGAGAGGCCCGGGAGGCGGCTGCGGCGGCGGCGACGACGACGACGACACGAGATAAGGGAGGCGGCGGCGGCGGCGACGCTTGAGAAGGGAGAGGCGGCCGGTGGCGCCGGCGCGGGAAGAAGCTGTCTTCGGCGTCGTGCCCGCTCTGCCCTCCACCGCCTGCTTTGCCCGCCGCTGCCCCGCGCTCACACACTCCCGCCGGCGACGCCGCTGACGGCGCGGGCGTGAGAACTGCGGCCATGGACGACGACGGCGTCGACATCCTCGCTCCCCCCGTCCCCCTCCCCGTCGGCGCCATCTTCCTCTCCCGCAGCGCGCCTGCCCGCCGCTCGTCTGCTCCGTCGGCCGGCCGTTCCCCGCGCAGTCGGCGGTGGCGAAGGTGACCATGCCGGCGTCGAGGTCGTAGCCGACGTGGATGTTCTGCTGCGCCAGGTTCCCGAGGATGGACACCGACTGCTGCTTCGTCGTCGCCACCATTGCCAGGCACAACGTCCCCTCCTGCACCGTCACGGACGCGTTCTCCGGCTTCAGCGCCACCGCCGCACGGCCGCCGCCGCCGCCGAACTCCAGCGTCAAGTCCGGAATCGCTTGTTCGGTTTGCTTCCTGCTGGATGTACACATGAGGTCATTCAAGATCAGTAACTCATACTCTATTCTAGCAAGCTGGCTGTTGGTGAGAATTCTGAATTCTCATTGCATCGCCTAACGAAGATAGAAGATCGGAGTGTTATACATCAATTAGTTTCTTAGCTGGGAGTGTTACTCTTGCATTGCTCTACAATTTATGGGTCATGTAATTTGATCTCTCACAGAATCTATAGCGAGGTAAGAAAGCAAAACCGGCGCCACAAAATATCTTGAAAAACCGGCGCCACAAAATATCTTGAAATTCTGCTTGTTCATATACTGTTCTTCTGATTAAAGAACAACTTAGCTTGACATTGTTCTGTTCACTTGCAATTTGCAGGAGTAACAAAGCTTATTTTTGCATTGCCGGAGTCCACGGTGATGCGGGAGCTCGCCGCCAAAGCCACCGTCTTGTTGCCGACCTTGACGAAGTCGAGGACCACGGTGTAGTACGTGTCCACGTCCCCGGCGACGAGCGGCGTGCTCGCTGCGCCGAGCTCGGTGACGTTGGCGAGGGTGCCGAAGTTGAGCGCCGACGATGTGTTGACGGAGTGCGGGACGAGGCAGTAGGAGAATCTCCGGTCGAGCGACGCCTCGCCGCCGAGCTGCGTCACGTGGGAGACCGCGTCGCCGCTGAGCCCGACCAGCCCGTCGGCCGGGAACGAGCCGGCCGTCGTGGTGGAGCAGCCGAACTTGACGCTGCACACGCCGCCTCGTGGTCGTGGGCCTCGTGGGTGGCGGCCGACGGGGGAGCCCGCGCGCCGCTCCTACCCCCGCCGCCCCTTCACCACTGCCCGCCCGCAGGTCCTACCACCACCGCAGCCGCGTCGCCCGTCGCCGCCACCACCGCAGCCGCGTCGCCATCGAATCGGGGAGAAGTCAGATAGACATGAGGAAAGGAGAGAAGAGGGGAGGAGAGAGATGACCTGGCATTATAACATATGGGGCCCACGTGGGTCCCACGCTGACTCAACCGTCACGTCACACAAAATCGGGATCAAAACCACCGGAGGATCTAAAGTGAACGGTTTTGTTAGTTGAGGGACGTCCTGTATCTGGTTTTGTGGTTGGGAGACGATTTTGTAACTCGATGATAAGTTGAGGGACCTTCGGTGTACTTTTTCCTTATTATCAAATCTCTCGCTAAAACCCTCCCCCCAAACACCCACACACCCCGACAGGTACCCCAAGCCCACCGACATAGCCCATCGACAGTTACAGGCTGACAGCCCACAAATGCCAAATGGATTAACTGGACCATCCATTCTGGGCTCAGGTGATTAACTAGGCCGTTCTTCACCGCGCGGCCCAAAATTTTCGGCCCAAATGGTGTCGTACCGAGTACACCACCTCCCGCCGAATTCATTCATGTTGGCGGCGGTGACGATGGTGCCGGGGCAGTGGAGCGCGCCCTCGGCGGTTCTTCCGCCGCTGCAATATTTTCTTTTCTGAGCCACATATTGACTGAATCCAGCAACCACAGCATCATTTATTCATTCCGCATATTTTGTTCTAGCAATTTTTTTGGGTCTGAAAGGGGAAATCGATCAGTTGCGACCATCCAATTTCTAGCAAAGAGCACTGGTGACTAAGGATACAAGTAGGTTAACCCACGAATCTATTTATATATCAAATAAGTGCATAAACCACGGATTTCTGTATCGTGGCCTGACTTATCACACCTAGAGATATAAATGGGTCAATCCACAAATCCTCATATAGGTCAGATTAGTAGATAATCCACGGGTTACCCACTAGTTTTGATTTGGGTTCATGGATCGACCCACTGTATTTTTACTAGTGGCCGTGGTGGTGGATCCATCAGCATCTGTTTGCGTTTAAAAACTTTGTGAAACCGAGTGCCAATCAATATTAAATCCTGCCATCCTATGCCTTCAAAAAGAAGGAGAAGGAATCTTGCCATTTTATATGAACCGCCACCATATTACCTACTCTAGTAAAATACGAATCCTAAACCTTGACTTGACAGGACTCAATGTCGATGGCTTGAAGAAGGTGATCCAAGTCTTGCGATCTCTTGTGCCGATTTCTGCTTCGCGATTACAAGTAAGTTGTTCATTAGCTCTCTTTCCCCAGCCTTTCTCTTGATATTTCAACTTGGTTTTTACACCTTTTCTTTAAAAAATAAATTATGCATAGGATCCATTTTCCTTCTGTATTACAGTCCGTACAGCAGATTACCTTGGATCTGTTCATGCCGTGTACCCCGTGTATGACTGAAACGGCAGACAATCTATTTGGAATGGCATGGTTGATTTCATAGGATATCACAAGAATTGTTCAGTTCCCAGTTTCCTCTAGCAATCTTGATTAAAAAATCTCTCATTCCAACCGGACCGAAAAAGAAATGGAGAATAATCAGTCAGGTCAAGCTCAGGACGGCATGGCCGATCAAAGATTTCGCAGCTGGCTAACAGAACAACTTAATATGCAGCAGCAGAATGCCGGTTGTTCTTCCAACCCAGCACCAGCAGTAATGCAGATGCCAGCTCTGCCATCTCACACAGATTATGGTGGCATATATCCCAACCCAACTGAATATGATGGCTACAACTGGAGGATGTGTGGGCAGAAATTAGTTCAGGGTGGGTGCCATCAGAAATTCTACTATGAATGTTCTCAAGCAAACTGCGGTGCCGAGAAATCCGTGACGCGCTCCGCAGATGGACAGATCAAGAAAACAGTATGTAAGGGCAGTCACAACCATCCACGCTCATCAGAAAGGGTGTTTGGAGATGGTTCAGCTACTCTGGATGCAATCCTTGTAGGTGAGATATTACAAGCAGCAGGGGTTATCAGGCCTTCAGTTGCAATGCCTAGGAATGAGGAGGAAGATGGGCTACAATCTGGTTCGAGTGACAGCGGGGATGATGATGCTAGTGAAGCAAGAGCTGCTGGTGATGACAATGCAATAAGGTGTTACTGAACTTTTGTTACTTACTCATTATGAATTTTGCAAGGTTCAGAACTTAAGTGCATAATTTATTTTGCTGGACAGACATGTTCCTGCAGCTGCAGCTCAAGATACCACCGCGCATAACACAATTGACGTTGATGTTCTGGGTAACAGCTCTCAGCAGCGTAAGAATTATCACCGAAGGTAATCCCAGTGACAATTGTGAATAAACATTCTGCTCTCTGCGACTATCTTCTTTCCCTTTTTTTTCATACTTCCACTCTTGAGCATAAACGGAAGTGTTTATCAAAGAATATAGTGATGTCAGGAGACTGATAAACCATCAGACCGATAGCTATCAGGATTTGCTTTATTACTGTAGTCTGTGTGCTTGAATGTTTCCATTAAAGATAGAAACCTGAGTAATTTGCATACCATAAATGACACCTCTTAAAAGACAATGTCTAATTGAGATTTTTGATAATTGATACCTTTCTTTCAGTGATGGGGTCGTTTTTGACAGCCTCACAACCACTCGACAGCTTCCTGTCGAGGTAACTAACCATGTACATTTGCAATACTTCTGTCCCTTAATGAAATTTGGTCGCCCTCTCTTTGGCCGGCTGGCAAAAAAAAAAAAAAAGATGAAATATTTGTAGGGCTTGTGAGCAATCCGGTATTCTCTATGTTTGAATCGCATATATGTCTCAATGAATGTTGGTTCCTATTTGAATATTGAAGCTCATAGATCTGGCAAAATATTATATTCTTTACTTACAATCTTTGGAATGTTCTTAAAGTTATTCACCTGAAAACTAAAATTAGAACTCTTTATATGGACAACTGGTGAGTTTAGTGAGCCGCAGATCCGCAACATCTCTCTTTTGGTCTTCTGTCGCTGCCTCACTGGTTAGTTTCAGTCCTGCCTTCTCACTTTGTTTTGGCCTGAAAGCATGGGACCTTCTCTGTTTGTGGTCTAAGAAACTCTCCCTTCTTAATGGAATGACTTGCATGTTTTTACTTAGAGCAATTTTACAGTCCTTAAGGAGTTACCACGTTTTCTATTGTAAATTTGGTACCTCTTGATACCTAGGTACTATGAGGTACCAAATTTTACACTAAATTTTTAGTACCTCATGGTATCTCCTCAAGGACCGTAAGATTGTTTTTTTACTTATACTTTTGATAAGGAGAAATTCTGCGGTCCTTACAAAAGTATCTGTAGGTACCATAATTTACGCCAAAAGTTTTCGTATCCGTAAATATGGTATCTGTAAGAAAATTTTACACTAGAAAATGTGGTATCTCCCGGTACCTTCTCAATCTCAAGAATTATAAAATCACCCTTTGATAATGATCTCTGATTCCAGTGAAAAAAGAAAATCCAAATCCAAGGTATGGGAAGACTTCACTGCTGTGTTCAGTGGTGGAAAAGTTCAAAGTGCAGAATGTAAACATTGTAAAAAATGCCTCAGTGGAAAAACTTCAGGAGGAACAAGCCATCTGCGCCGACATCTCAAGATATGTCCTGCACAATTTAGAACGACTAGACTGCAGCAAGAAGGGTCATCTTCAATACTTGATTCATCTGCTGCAAATAACAGGAAATTTGATCAAGAAACATCTCTTGAATTGCTTATTAGGGGTTTAGTCTCCAACCATTGCTCATATTTAGTGCCAAGCAGTGCAAATTTTAGGCAGTTTTTGGTTGCCATCTGTCCTGATTATAATATGGTGCCGCAGGCTGCTTTTGAAGAGAAGTTCCTCAGCTTTTTTCATAATGAAAAGATGAAGCTAAAAGAGAAAATAGAACTTACACCTGGAGGAGTTTTCCTGTCGGTAACAAAGCAGTACGTCGAGTTTAAAACCTTCGTCTGTATCACAGTACATTTTATTGACAACGAGTGGAAGATGAATAGAAAAATCATTAGCTACGGCTATGGCGGATACCCTGATGGTGCTGATTACTATGTGGGTATTCTGACCAACTGGAAATCCTACTTGGATATAAGAGATTCGTTAGACTATAATTTTGAGGAAATTGATAGTTCTCTAATAAAAGAAGCAGTCCAAGATTGGAATCTTGAGCATAAACTTTTAGGACTTGCATTGCACAAGAATTTCCGTAATAATGTTACATCTGACTTGGAGGAGTGTATGGCAGGAGAAGTACAGAATTATCTTCTTGCTAAATATAAGTTATTAACTGTGCCTTGTATGATAGATGCGCTTCACGACTTTTTTGGTTACGATGTCGGAAATTTTGTCAAGGAAATAAGTAAGGAATGGTTTGAGTACATGACATGCTCTGCACTTTGTCTGGAAAAATACAAGGAGATTCTTTCGCGGATGCACCTAAACAAACCGTCTCTTGGTTCACAGAAATGGCACTTGACTTTCTACTTATTTGAGGCTGCTTTGCAGTTTAATAAAGAGTTCCCAAACCCTGAAGAGATGGACTCGCAAATGGATATACGGAAACCGTCTCCTCAAAGACTAGAAGCAACGAAAAACTTTTGTGATCTTGTAAGGCCAATTTACCATGCAATTGATCTACTTTCCAGACAATACGTGACTTCCAACTCACATTTTCATGCACTTTGGAGGGTGGGTATAGCTCTTGGAGAATCATCCAGAAAATTAAACATGAAATGCATCATTAATGTTGATTATATGAAGAAAAGATTTGACATCCTTTGGAGAAAATGCTACGTGTGGTTGTCTCTGGCTGTTTTTCTAGATCCCAGGTTCAAACTAAGGTATCTTGAGCAGTGCTTCACACAAGTTTCCAGTAGTGGTTGTGCCAAATTGTTCGTCCTTGAAGTTCGTGCAAAGATTTATGAGCTCTTTCTTCAATACTCCTGTAATGTTGATTGGCAAACTGGTGAGCTACTTAATCACAGGAGTAATGATCTACAGATGGATAGACACGGTAATGATTCATTACATGGAACAGATAAGAATGACATTGAGCAAGGATCAAATGGAGAATTCAGAGAACTAACTTCGTACATTGAGGGGGAACTTTATCCTCAGAATGACCAATTTGATATCCTGAAATGGTGGAAGGATAATGCGTCAACGTATCCAACTCTTGCTAGGCTTGCACGCGACATTTTAGCAATACCTGGAAGTGCAGTTTCTGCTGAATATGCTTTTAACAAAACTGGTGAAAGGGTGATACTTTTCAATCAAAAGATGAGTCCCGAGATAGTGGAAGCCCTCATCTGCACTCAGGATTGGATAAAATCATCAGGTACAGTACAGCTTTATACTTCAAATCATTCAACATGTAGTGAACCTATTATTTTGTATTTGCTGACTGTAACTGTGATGTTTCTTGACTTTTTTTTGAAACTAAATGTTTCTTGACTGTTGGTTCTTGACTGTTGGTTTAACAGAGACAGGTGATAAAAATGGTGGAAGCTGAAATAGTCCTATGATTAGTTTGCTATCTTCATTTCTGCATACTCTCTGGAGATTTTGCTGTCAATTGAGCCTTCCACTTGGATGATTTGGAAGGAACGAAGTGCGCGGATCTTTGAAAATATGAGCCGGCCACTGGTATTGCTCTTTTCAGCTACATACTTCTATACTTGGTTTTGAGCCAAGAACTATGTAATAAGGGGCTTTAGCTTGTGTGTTGAAGCAAAGGCCAGATTTTATCCATTGTCTAAGAAAAAAGAACTGTGGGTGTGGCGTGTCATGAAGCTGCATTCTCCCTCCTAGCTTGAGCCTTGGTATCTTTTGTCGGATTTGTAACAGTTTGGTCGTAGAGTTGCCGTGACCGTACGTAGTAGTCAATGGCTACAATAAACTTTGTTGTACCGTGGTTTCCATGTTATGGGCTCTTTCTCTTAATAAAATTTTATCGGCCGGTTTTATCTTCGCCGGACCAGGGAAAAAGAAGTATTTACTTCAATTCGGAACAACGATTACTGCTGATTATATAGCATCGAATGCAATATATGAAAGCTAGTAAGCTACTGTTGCATGTATTACCATTTTTTTTTCCAGAGAGAACTGTGTTCGCATGCACCTTTTCCCATCACCTCTCCCTCGTTTTCCGCGTGCACGCTTTTCAAACTGCTAAACGGTGCATTTTTTGTAAAAAGTTTCTATACGAAAGTTGCTTAAAAAAATCAAATTAATCCATTTTTGAAAAAAAATTAGCTAATACTTAATTAATCATGTGTTAATGGACTGCTCCGTTTTCCGTGCGCAGAAGTTGGGTTCCCATCTCCCCCATCCGAACTCAGCCTAATTGACTTGTTGCATCCACTAGGGGTTTTCCATCCATATATAGATTCTTCATATGCTCGTTGGTAATGGCTCGTCGCTGTACAACGTTTTTCTTTGTCATAAGTACTAACCGAATCCAGCAACCACAGCGTTTTTACCACACATAGAAGACTGAACATATTGCACTTTCAGTTATAACATGCAAGCAAAGAGAACTCGTCAAATCGTTCGAGGAAGAAGCCAAACTCAAGCTAGAGGGAAATAACTAAAATCATTCCACTAGATCAGATCATTCTCGCGTTCTCACATGCTGTACTACCAGCATGATGAGTGCAGATTCTTGCACTTCAGAACTCTGCTAAATACAATGTTGAATAAAATCATAAGATATTATTGGTCCCACCACCGGTGCAGCTCCTTAAAGACAGCCTCCCTCTAGCTTAACGTTACCGTGCTCTGGTGCCTGGTGGGAAGCCCCGGAGGACATGACATAAACATCAGTTTATGGTTTTTAATCAAGCACCACAAGAACATCAAGTAAACAAAATGCCTTCCATCAAACAAAAGAAGTACTCCCTCCATCCCAAAATGTTTGACGCCGTTGACTTTTTTAAAAATATTTGACCGTTCGTCTTATTCAAAAAATTTAAGTAATTATTAATTCTTTTCCTATCATTTGATTTATTGTTAAATATAATTTTATGTATACATATAGTTTTACACATTTCACAAAAGTTTTTGAATAAGACGAACGGTCAAACATATTTAAAAAAGTCAACGGCGTCAAACATTTATGGAAGAAGGGAGTAGTTAACAATGTACGATGGGAACTGCACTCGACGACGAGCGAAGACGGAGCGAAGACTCCTCTTCTCCCCCGCGCAGCGCTCATCTCCGACGCCGATCTCGCACACTCCGATCCATGACTGACACTGACAGCGACCTCTCTGCGTGTTGGATCTCAGTGAGTGCGACGACCTCTCCCTCTCCGCCGGCGCGACACTCCCGCCGAAGAACGCCCTTCTCTCTCTCCGTCGCCCACGGCCAGCCGCCGGATGTCATCCAGGAGAAGAAGCAAGAGAAGACAAAAAAAAAAGAAAAAGAGAAGGATAGAGAGAAGAAGGGAGTAGTAAGGTATGGCCACATTGGCCTCACCATTTTTTATTATTCGTGTATAACTGACATGTGGATCCCAAGGATTTTATTATTTTTTTTCGCGTCGAATTGTCACGTAAGCGCTATGTCAATGCCACGTGAGATGAAGAGGTAGTTAAAGGAGGCACCACGTTAATCAAAACCGGGATCAATACCGTCGGGGATCTCATTTGCATTGTTTTGTAAGCTAAAGGATGGGTTGTATCTGGTTTTTCGACGGAGAACGACAGATTGAGGGACCAAGAGTGAACTTGTGGCACATGCGTCGCTACGCTTCCTCCAGCGCCGGCCCAAACAATTAGTAGGTCGTATCAAGTATACATATGTAGTGGTTCGTCTCCTACCGGCGGCCCTCGGCGGTTGCGCCGCCGCTGCACTTTCTTTTTTAGGGGTAAGTTCTGAACTTCTGATTGAATCCAGCAACCACAGCATCATTCCGCATATTCAGTTATAGCATTTCATTTTGGAATTCGATCAGTTGCAACCATTCGAGCAAATAGCACTGGTGGCGGCGGTGTGGTGGTCCATCAGCATATGTTTATTTTTAAAGACTTTGTGAAAGTGGGTGCCAATCTATATTAAATCTTGCCATCCCATAGGCCTTTAAAAAGAAAAAGAATCTTGCCATTTTATATGAACCGCCATATTACCTACTCTAGTTAAATACGAATCCACCACCTTTTTTTTTTTGCGGGGACGAATCCACCACCTTGACTTGACAAGGCTCGATGGCTCGAAGAAACTGCTGTAGTTTCTTGCGATCTCTTGCGCCGATTTCAGCTTCGCGTTTATAAGTAAGTTGTTGATTAGCTTCTCTCTCCCCAGCCTTTCTCTTGATATTTCATATCGGTTTTTACATGAGTTTTCTTTTTCTCTAAAAAACTGTGCATAGGATTCATTTTCCTTCTCGATTACAGTCCGTAGAACAGATTGCCTTGGATTTGCTCATGCCGCGTACCTTGCGTGTAATTGAAACGGCAGAGAAGCTATTCAGAAAGGCATGGTTGATTTCATAGGGTATCACAAGAATTGTTCAGTTCCCAATTCCCTCTAGGAATCTAAGAAATTTCTTGCATTCCAACCGGGGCTGAAAAGAAATGGAGAACCAGTCAGGTCAAGCTCAGGACGGCATGGCCGATCAAAGATTTCGCAGCTGGCTGACAGAACAATTTAACACGCAGCCGTATGCCGGCTCTTCTTCCAACTTAGCAGTAATGCAGATGCAGGTTCTGCCATCTCACACAACTTCTCAGATCATAGACACACACCCACCTGAATATGATGGCTACAACTGGAGAATTTGTGGGCAGAAAGTAGTTCAGGGTGGGTGCCATCAGAAATTCTACTATGAATGTTCTCAAGCAAACTGCGGTGCCGAGAAATCCGTGACACGCTCCGCAGATGGACAGATCAAGAAAACAGTATGTAAGGGCAGTCACAACCATCCACTCTCATCAGAAAGGGTGTTTGGAGAAGGTTCAGCTACGCTGGATGCAATCCCTGTTGGTGAGATATTACAGGCAGCAGGGGTTATCAGGCCTTCAGTTGCAATGCCTATGAATGAGGAGGAAGATGAGCTACAATCTGGTTTGGGTGACAGCGAGGAAGATGATGCTAATGAAGCAAGAGTTGATGGTGACGGTGCTGCTGCTGATGCCAATGCAATAGAAAGGTGCTCAATTTAACTGAATTTTTGTTACTTCCATAGTTTGATTTTTACAAGGTCCAGTGCATAAATTGGGTATTTCTGCTGGACAGACATGGTGCAGCTCAAGATATCACCGCTCAAACTGCAACTGAGGTTGATGTTACGGGTAACGGCTGTCAGCAACGTAAGAATTATTGCCGAAGGTAATCCCAGTGACTCACGAGCTGCTGCTCTCTATGACTTTCTTCTTTCCCTCTATTTTTAGTTTCACTCTTGGACATAAACCAAAGTACATGAAATGGTACTACGATAGTGTTTACACCCAAATTTGGCTCCTAAGCTCAAAATAAGGAAAATTACCCAGATTTTGGAAAGTCGTCGGTTTCCTCCACTAGGCCGGTCTAACCGCCGTGTATGGGCCGGTTAGACCGAGGCTTGAGGGACGGTCTGACCGGCGGCATGTGGCCACCAACTGAGTCCGAGCCCGAGTAAGTTTTCGTCGGGTCTCAGGTTTCCTTGCTTGGGAAGGTATGTTTCGGGTTTCCATTGGTTTCTACCCCGAATTGGACGTGGAGGAGGACTTGTAGGAGGCAAGACCAACCCCTATTTAAGGGAAAAGGCCGGTTCGATTGAGATGGATCTCTCCCTCAACAATCTCTACAATCGAATCGTTCTTTTACTTTTCAGCCATGTTTTCTACTTTACCCTAGTTTAGTCCATCTTTGTCGATTTGCACCATAAATCGTCCGCCGTCATTGCGAGAGTGCGATTACCCCTTTGTAGGTTTGTCCTGTAAACCTTTCGTTCGCCCACGAGACGGGTAGTTATCCTCATATCGATCTAAATCGGCCTAGAGGCTGTTTTTGATCTCTAAATCGGCTCTGCTAGCCGGTTTAGCTTTTCTTTCTACAAAACCCATCTTGATTTGGCGTTTGGCTAGATCGGGGTGGTTGGCGACTCTATATTACCGCAAGGCGTTTAGGTGTCCCGATCGTGATTGTCTTCTTGCCAAAAAAGTTGCCAACATATAGCATATGAATGGAAGTTCATTATAGTGATGTCATGAGATGCATTAACTTGTATGATCCAGTTAATGAATGGCCCTATTTGCATTGCTAAACCATCAGAATAAGAGCTATCATGAATTATGTTATATATCGTTGTTGTCTTTGTGTGTGAATCTTTCCAGGTAAAGAAATAGCAACCTGACAATTTCTTTTCAAATTTAATGTGGCATATATGGCATCTCTTAAGTAGAATTTCCATGAGTTTTTTTTATATTGACAACTATGGGAGCAAAACTATGGAGCTGGGTAATTCATGGTGTTCATGCTCTAGTTTTGAATGGCATAACCAAATAACTACTCTTAATGGCTATTCTTTCTTATTTGAACATTTAAGTTCTTAGATTGAGCAAAACATTGCACTCTTTATGTATAGTCTAGAACATTTTTTTAGATAATGGATTATATTAAACCCGGCCTCTACACCTTGTGAGGGTGTACACAGCCAAAACCATAGTCACGACTCACGAGTACATAAGACTCCTCCAATTACATAGGAACACACAAATAAAAGTTTAACAAATGATTAAAGAGGAATAAAGGCTAAGCTTCAATTCTTCTTCAAAAATTCCATCCAAAGGTAGAAAAGAACTCCATAACTCGCTTCTCCAGAATTCTGCAGTTGACTTGAACTTCCTCTCCAACTTTTTTAAGAAGCAAAGACCAAAGCCTTCCTCAATGAGTTGCCTTGAATATTACCCGTAAGAAAGAAATATGATTAATTGTAGCCGTTTAAGACTATGTCATTCGTACTAAGCCACAAAGCCCAACAAATTGCTGCCCTCCCAAGTTTGTCTTTTGAGTTTAGGTTCAAAACCATTCAACCAATTACCAAACATATGAGCGCAACTTCTGGGTTGTCTAATCTCGAAAGTAAAATAAACCGCACTCCATATGTATCTAGCCATTGTACAATCAAAGAAAAGGTGTTGTATCGACTTATCAGAGCTACAAAAGCTACATAGTAAGCTACCCTTCCATATTCTCTTAGCTAGATTATCCTTTGTTAGAATCACCCCCTTTTTCAGATACCATAGGAAAATCTTAATCTTTAATGGAATTCTTAGCTTCCAAATTAAAGATTTCCTAGGTATTACTCCATTAAACATAAGTAACTTATGCATAGAGTTTACGGTGAACAACCCTTCTTTATTAATTTTCCATATGAATTGGTCATGTTCACTTGTCAAATTAACATTAGCCACTTTCGAGACAATGACATACCAATTTTCCAAGTTTTTCCCAACTATCGCTCTTCTAAAGGACACATTCAACGGTATCGTTTCCAAAACCTTAGCAACTACTGTATTCTTATTCTAAACTAGGTTGTACAAATTAGGAAATTCTTTCTCAAGAAATTTGTTTCCCATCCAACAATCCTCCCAAAATCTAACGTGTTTCCCATTTCTCACTTTAAAGTGTCCAAGTAGTTGGAAGGATTCTTTTGCTGTCATGAGACTAGCCCAGAAATGAGAATCTCTTTGTTGCTTTTGAACCTATAGAATGTTTTTTTTTTGCCAAATATTTTTCCAAAGCAAATTTTTCCTAATTCCCTCTTCATTGATTAACTTAAAGATCCATTTACTAAGCATACACTTATTTTGAATCTCTAGGTTCTGAATCCCTAAACCTCCACACTCCTTGGGTTTGCAAAGTCACTCCATTTTGGCCAGCATATACTTCTTTTTCTGTTCATCACATTGCCAAAAAAAATCTGGATATATAATAGTCTAGTTTCTTTAAGATACCTCTAGCATATACATCGCTAGATTGCTTAGCACTGAATTGATGAGGACTAACCTCCCTCCTGTTGACAAAAACTTTCCCTTCCAACTACTGAGCTTATACAGTTTGGAACATTATGCAAGTTATTTATTAAAAGAAGTTAAGAAAGTTGTTCACCTGAGAATTAATTTTAAAATTACTTATATAGACAATCGGTTAACCTATTATGCTTTCTATAAAAGCAGGGCTCAAAAAGCCTTTTATCTAAAAAAAACAATTGGTTAACCTTGTAGACACAGTCTCTCTCTTTTGTCACTGGTTAGTATCAGTACTGCCTTATACAATGCTTTTCCCTTTTGCCTAAAAGCGTTGGACCTTTTTCTCTTTTTGTGGTCTATGAAACTTCCCTTCTCAATGGAATGATTTGCATGCTTTTGACTTCTATTTCCGACGACTGATCTCTGATGCCAGTGAAAATAGAAGATCAAAGTCCAAGGTATGGAAGGAATTTACAGCTGTGTTAAGTGTTGGAAAAATTCAAAGTGCAGAATGTAAGCATTGTAAAAAGTGCCTTAGTGGAAAAAGTTCTGGAGGAACAAGCCACCTGCGTCGACATCTAAAGATATGTCCTGGACAATGCAGAGATACTAGGATACAGCAAAAATGGTCATCTTCAAGACTTGATTCATCTGATGCAAATAACTGGGAATTTGATCAGGAAACATCTCTTGAGTTGCTTACAAGGGCTTTAGTCTCCAACCTTTGCCCGTTTTCAGTGACAACCAGTGCAAATTTTAGGAAGTTTTTTGCTGGCATCTGTCCTACATATAATATTGTGCCACAGGCTGCAATTGAAGAGAAGTTCCTCAGCATTTTTCAGAATGAAAAGATGAAGCTAAAAGAGGAAATAGCACTTAAACCTGGAGGAGTTTTCTTATCCGTAACAAGGTGGGCCCCTGAATGTAAACAATTCCTCTGTTTCACTGTACATTTTATTGACAAGGAGTGGAAGTTGAATAGAAAGATCATAAGATTCCAATTTTCTGGAGATGAGGCCCTTGAAGCTGAGCACTATGTCAGTATTCTGTCCAACTGGAAGTCCTTCTCGAATATAAGAAATGCAAGCTATGAATATGGTACTGAAAAGACTAACAAGGCTCTAATAAAAGCAGCAGTCCAAGATTGGAATCTTGAGAAGAAGCTTTTAGGAATTGCATTGCCAACGAATATAGGTAATGAAGTTATATTGGATTTGGAGGAGACTATGACAGCAGCAGGACAGAATTTCCTTCTTGCTAAATATAAGTTATTAATTGTGCCTTGTATGATAAACGCGCTTCATGGCTTGTTTGGTTATACTCTTGAAAGATACGTCCTGGAAGCAAGTCGGGAATGGTTTGAGTACATGACATGCTCAGCAATTCGTCTGGAAAAATACAAGGAAATTTTGTTGCGCCTGCACCTAAGCCAACCATCTTTTGGTTCACAGAAATGGCATTTGACTTACTACTTATTTGAGGCTGCTTTGCAGTTTGTAAAAGAATTCCCAAACCCTGACGCGGCGCATTTGAAAATGTTTCTACGGAAACCATTTCCTGAAAGACTAGAAGCAACAAAAAACTTTTGTGATCTTGCAAGGCCAATTTACCATGCAATTGATGTACTTTCCAGACAGAACGTGGCTTTCAACTCACATTTTCATGTAATTTGGAGTTTGGGAACAGTTCTGAAGGAATCATCCAAAAAGATAAACATTAAGCGCATCATCGATATTGATGATATGCTGAAAAAATTTGACAATCTATGGAGAAAATGCTACGTGTGGTTGTCTTTGGCTGTTGTTCTAGATCCCAGGTTCAAATTAAGGTATCTTGAACAGTGTTTCAAACAAGCTTTCGGTACTGGTGCCAAATTGTGCATCCTGGAAGTGCGTGGAAAGATTTATGAGCTCTTTCTTCAATACTCCTGTAATGCTGATCAGCAAAGTGGTGAACTAGTTAATCATTGGAACAATGACTTACAGATGGATAGAGATGGTAATGATTCATTACATGGCACCGATCAAAATGACATTGGGCAATCGGCACTCGGGGAATTCAGAGAACTGACTTTGTACCTTGAAGGGGGACTTTGTCCTCAAAATGAACAATTTGATATCCTGAAATGGTGGAAGGATAATGCGTTGACGTATCCAACTCTTGCTAGGCTTGCACGCGACATTTTAGCAATACCTGGAAGTGCGGTTTCTGCTGAGTCTGCTTTCGACGAAACTGATGAACGGGTGAGCCTTTTCAATCGAAAGCTTAGTCCTGAGATAGTGGAAGCCCTCATCTGCACTCAGGATTGGATAAAATCCTCAGGTACAGTGCAGCTATATACTTCATATCATTCAACATGTAGTGAACCTAGTATTTAGTATTGCTGACTGTAACTGTGATGTTCCTGCCTGTTGGTTAACAGAAACAGGTGATGAAAACGGTGGAAGCTGAAATACATCTATGGTTAGTTCGCTATCTTCATTTCTGCATACTCTCAGCAGATCTCGCAGTCAATTGAGCCTTCCACTTGGATGATTTGGAAGGAACGGAATGTCAGATCTTCGAAAATACGATCAGGCCACTGGTCTTGCTATTTTCAGCTATATATCATGGAGGAGTTGTCAGTAGATACTTTTATACTTGGTTTTGAGCCAAGAACTATGTAATTTTTTTGATATGGAAGCTTTATTAAAACTCAGTCAAATACACCAAGATGAATGTAATAAGGGGCTCTAGCTTGTGTTTAACCAAAGGGCGGATTTTAACCATCATCTAAAAAACAAGAACTGTGGGTGTGGCATGTCAAGAAGCTGCACTCTCCTTCCTAGCTTGAGCTTTAGTGTCTTTTCTCGGATTTGTGTAGAGTTGCCCTGTCGGCAGTGACTGTAGTAGTCAACGGCTACAATAAACTTTGTTGTAGTTTTTCCATGTTGTGGTTTCTTTAATTTCTCTCTTAATATAATTTTACCTTCGCCGGACCAGAGAAAAAGAAGAAATTACTTCAATTTGGAACAACGATTACTGCTGATTATATAGCATACAAATGCAAGATATGAAAGCTACTGTCGCATGTATTACTCTTTTCCCAGAGAGCACTAATTGACTCGTTGCATCCACAAGAGGTTTTACCATCCATATATAGAAGACTGAACATGTTCTTCATATGCTCATTGGCAATGGCTCGTCGCTGTACAACGTTTTTCTTTGTCGTAAGAACTAACCGAATCCAGCAACCACAGCGTTTTTACCAGGCATAGAAGACTGAACATATTGCACTTTCAGTTATAACATTCAAGCAAAGAGAACTCAACAAATCGTTCGAGGAAGAAGCCAACCTCAAGCTAGAGGGAAATAACTAAAATCATTCCACTAGATCAGATCATTCTCGCATTCAGGTAGCCATATATACTTAGTTCCAATGTACTCAAAAGAAGCATCACATGCTGTACTTCCAGCATGATCAGCGCAGATGCTCTGCACTTCAGAACTCTGCTAAATACAATGTGATAAGCGAAATTATCATGTTGAATAAGATCATAAGATATTATTGGTCCCACCACCGGTGCAGCTTCTTCACGACAGCCTCCCTCTAGCTTCACGTTACTGTGGTCTGGTGGGAAGCCCTGGAGGACATGACATAAACATCAGTTTATGGTTTTTAATCAAGCACCACAAGAGCATCAAGTAAACAAAATGCCTTTCATCAAACAAAAGAAGTAATAATGTACGATGGGAACTGCAACTTCATCAGGGATGCAATTCACAGGAGAAGTATCACTCACAAATGCTGCGAGTCTGACGCACAAAGATATTCTCAATAGGTAAGCCATTAGTCCTGAACAACTGTGCCAACCAATGGACCCTAGCATCATTCATAGAACATTTGATCTTCACCATTTTAAGGTGTGTGCAAACAAATGATCTTCCCACTGCTTTGGTAACTCCTTTCATTGCCTGTATGCTGTAGTAATCCTTTTTGTTTTTGTTTGCAGAAGAAGATAAATTATCAATGGACATGTGCTAAAACTCACGTGTCAAAATATGAAAAATGTGAAGCATCAAGCAACCGATATATTATAATATAAATACACGCACCAATTTAAGTTCAAGGAAAAGCCTCTCCAGATTAGGTGAATGCTGCAAGAATGTAACTAGTGGATCAAAGTCAGCACCCATACACCATTCACCAAGGGACAACGTCTTCAGGTTTCTAAAAGTTGGGCAAGTTTTCAGCGCTCTATTAAGAATCACCTTCATATAGAACATACAAGTAATTTGTTCAGTGCATAGAAATTGAGAAAGCTTTTTTCTTATGTAATGATGAAAATAATTAATGTATCCGCATTAAGGGAAAATGTTATGTAACAGGGAGCAGAAGAAGATTCATAGCTATACCTCTCCACCATCAGCTAATAGCTCCAAAATTTCAGCATTTGATAGGATGTGAAGAACATTATGGCCACCAAGAACTTCATCAAGTCCAATTTGATTATGTTCCTCACCATGCTCTTCATGTTGATTTTCATCATCATAATCATCAATCGGATTATGCCCCTCACAATGCTCTTGACGTTGTTTTTCATCATCATAGTCATCTGCAATCTCACTGTATTCACAGGTATTCGCGTCACTATCATCGTAGTCAGAATCACTCGTGCAACCTTCACCATCATCGCTATTGATTCCATCAATTGCATCCTCATCGAAGTCTTTGTACTGGTAATCAAAACCAGCACATAAAAGTGAATCATCAAGCACAATAGTGCCTGTGGCCAGTGTGAGTTGTCACAATTTGGGGGAAATTGGAGAATGAACAGTTGCTATTGTGTTAGCCCAAAGGGCATATATGAGTACAATAGAGATAGGAAATTACTAATATACCCCTAAACACATAATACTCAACACCCCTGCTCAAATGCAATGTGTATACAATAGCATTGCATTTGAAACTAAACACAAGATAAATGACACACTACTATAAATACAAAGTCCATGTTTGAAGATGTTGTCGAAGCATTGCTCTTGAATGAATTAGAAGAAGAGAAAACCATCCTATCCTCAATGAAGTAGACCTCGAGCCTTCACAAACTGTTCTTCAGCCCTTAGTACCAAAAGCCTTCACAAACTGTTCTTTGGCTCTTCACTGATTCAGAGACGGTGATGATGACGAGATGAAGGACCTTCACAAACTGTTCTTCGGCCCTTCAATGATTGATGATGATGTCAACTCCGATGGGGAGCTGGTGATATGACAAAGATCAGCTCCGACGTGGAGCTTCTGGTGATGATAGAAGGCTAACTTCGACATGGAGCGAGCGAGATAGTGATAATGATTGACAAGCATGACTTCGACGAACCGATGGACTTTGATGGACTTGATAGGAAACATAGGAAATTGATTTGTAGATGACATTGATATACTAGCAAATGACTTAGGATACTAGCAAAAGACATAAGAGAACAATTGATGCAGATGACAAGAAGCAATATCAAAATCAAAAGGACATGCACAGGGCTGTGCCTTGGTTTTCTGTTGCCTATCTCAAACTGAAGCACAATGATATGTTTGCAAGACCAAAGGATATTAATTGACTTGTTGATGGCAGCAGTAAGCAAGCATAGCAAACACAAAATAGATCTGTTGATGGAACAATTCAACAATCAAGATAGTTGAGACTATGGATGGCTTCACAAATCCGGCAAGAGCAGAGGCCGGCTGCATGATGAGGGAAGCATAACTCGATATGGGCTTCTCTACTGCTATTTGTTGATGTTTGAATATGGAACAAGGTGGATCTGCATGACACTTGCAAATTGCTGTCGCTGCTACTTGATATTAGGGAAGACGATGGCTTGTTGCTGTTAAGTCCAGTAACCAGTCTCCAAGCATCTATGTGGAGAAGCAGAGAGAACAGAGCAGGCTAGACCAAGAGGACCAGGACCTTGACCTGTGCGGCGACGATGCAGATGGTCACGCGCGCAGGCGGCGGACGGAAAGCTGGACGACTGACATGGGAGGAGGACGGCGCTGGCGGCGATGAAGAGAGCGCCGCGACCGGCCAATGGGAATGCGGCGACAACGACGAGCCACGGCGAGACGCGACGACAAGATCCGCGACGAGTACGGCCTGGCTACGACTGACGTGGTGACGAAGAACTGGATCTGAATGCTTGTTCATGCATCCGCTGCTTGCTTGTGGATTTGATTGCTTGATGCTGCTTGTTGCTTGTGCTGACTGGATCTGCTTGCTGCTTGTGGACGAACGACGAAACGATTGGCTGCCACGATTGACGGCTCGACGGTGGTGGACGACGAAGCTGACGAGGATGTGCACGGATTGGATGGGCTCGCCGGTGGCGAGCTGCCACCGGCGTGCCGGCGTGGACTCCGGATCGACGTTAGGGTTTGATCCCTTGCTCTTGCTCTGATACCATGTCACAATTTAGGGGAAATTGGAGAATGAACAGTTACTATTGTGTTAGCCCAAAGGGCATATATGAGTACAATAGAGATAGGAAATTACTAATATACCCCTAAACACATAATACTCAACATGAGTGACCCTATATCCTCGAACAAGGGAGCTCGGTGGTATGGCTTGATGCAGCGCAGAGCCGCAGAGACACGAGGTTCGGAGCAGCAATGGTGACATCTGCCATGATCCTGCACTTCACCATGGTCAAGCTCTTGAGAGAGGTGGATGAAATCTCATGGCCGTGCAGAGAACATTTCTTGAGCTCTAGAATTTCCAAAGCAGGGCACTGAGAAGAGAGCTGCATTAGCGTCGTGTTCCACAGTAAAGAACCAGACAGCTTCAGGTGTTTGAGGTGGCAGGAGATGATGGGGACGAAGCCCAGGTTAAAGAACGCCTCATCCATTGGATGGTCGGTAAGCTGGATCACCCGAGCTCTCCGCTTGATGGCGGCACGGATCCACGTCTGGACATCTGAAGTGGTGTAATCCTCCTCCCCTTCGCCGTCGGGGCTGGACATCACCCGGAGAATGTCCACCGGCGCTGACACCTCCCGCTCGAACAGCAACCGGTAGGCGAACCTGGCGAGCCGCTCCGGCGGCGGAAGGTGGCCTCCGCCGCCCCAGACGCCGGAGGTCGACGCAGGGCGCGGAGGCCCAGAGGTGGCGCCAGCGGCGGGAGAGCACGCAGGTGCGCGCCACCTCCCACGCCCGCAGGAACGACATGACGTGGTGCAGGACCGCGTCGGGGAGGGCGCTGAGCCGGTCTTCCGCAGCGCCGCCCCCGCGGGACGGCTTGGCTTTCTTCGGGGGCATTTCGTCGAACACATGTCCCGCGCGCCGCCTCCCGCTCATCTTTTTGGTCACTTTCTTTGCGTCGGGAATTTGAAACGAAATCAATCTCTGGAGAAGAAGGTTGCGGTGGCTGGGGAAGGGAGGGGAGGGGAAGGAAATTGAGCTTACTAGGTTTGACTCGTCGGAAAAGATGGCGAGTTCTCGCCGCTTCAATCCCGGCGGTCGCCGCCTCGCCGGGGCAGGAGAAGAGAAGATCAAATGTGTTGGCGATGGCCGATGAGCCGCTCCTGGGCTCTAAAAAATGAAAACTAACGAAATAGATAAGCGAGCCAATATGGGCCCTCTATTCTAGGCCCAAATGCTTAACCAGGCCGTTCTTCACCACACGGCTTAAATGTCTGGGCATTCACAGGAGTACGTATAGCTTTAAATCCCTCCGATTTTTATTACGAATAAGTACACTTTTCGTCCCTCAACTCATGGCCGTGTATGAATAGCTTCCCTCAACCGTAAAACCGAGTATAACCCTTCCCTAACTCTGAAAACCGTTGCAAATCAACTCCCCGGACGATTTTGGAAGTGGTTTATTCCTACGTGGCAATTGACTTGCTTAGGTGGTAGTTGACTTGCTAAGTCATCCAGCGGGACCCACATGTCAGCAATCTCCTGTTAGACTTAATCTTGTTGTTTATTGTGTGAGTTGTGATTAGTGCGTGCATGAGTTAGCTTGATCAAGAAAATCCATGATCTGCATGTAAGTGCTTGCATGTAGGAAGCTATAGGTGGATATCGGCTGGGAGTAGTGGCCAAGTCAAGTAGCTTGAGTAGTGGCATGGATTGTGGATCAGTTAGCTGTGTTGCATGTGTGTTAGTGCATTTGCATGCAAGGAGATATGGCCTGCATGCATAGAGACGTGATTAGTGGTTAATTAGTGGCTAAGTCATGTGACTGGTGGCCGGTTAGTGTGGAAAAAACGTGGCTAGTGTGCTGCTGCGCGTGTGTGCTATTTAAGCATGTAATCAGTGTGTGATTAATGTGTGGAGAATAGAAAGTGAAGTGTGTGGTGGTTCACTGGTGTGTAGTGACAAGAAATTTCCTTGCGTCTCTTTGTTTCATTGCGTGCTGTTCATCTTCTTCCTCTGTCATTGCCTCCTCTGTATGTGTGTGTTTCATCGAGTGAAAGAGAGAGAGAGAGAGAGAGAGCTGTGTGTGTGCAAGTGAGTGTTTGGGCTAACATCTCCACCTCATCTCATCTTCTCCCTCACCATGATTCCCTTCAAAAAACGGGAAAGGAAAAAATCAAGAAGCGGAGGCGAGGGCGCGAGGCGATAGAATCGAGCAGCAAGATCAACGGCAAGACAAGTAGCACATGGTGGTTGCCGAATTCAGAGAAGACGCCGGCGATCACGCGAAACAAGAAAGGGGAACGAACAGAACACGAGCAAACAGCAAACAAGCTAGCGGAGTTCTTCTAGCGTGCGCGCGACGCGGAGAGGGTGTCCGCCATGCGCAGCTGCGGGCAACGCCGCCGTCGTCCCCGTGCCGGAGCCTCTCCGTCCTCATGCTGCACTGCTGCAGCACAACCCAGCGCTCGGCGACAACCCCAGTGGCTTCCTTCTCGGACGGCCGGCGAGCTTCTTCTGCGCGCGGACGGCCGGCGAGCTCCTCCCCTGCGCGCGGCCAGCCGGCGAGCTCCTCCCCCGCGCGCTGCCGGTCGACGAGATCCTCCTCGCGTGAGGACGGCCGGCGAGATCATCCCCACGTGCGGACGGCCGGCGAGCTCCTCCCCCGTGCGCGGCCCCCGACTTGGAGGGGCTACCTCGTCCTCCACGACCCCTTCTCAGACAATGCCCTGGCGCCCTCCGGCCTCCTCTGCGTGCTCGAGCCGAGCCGCTCCCCCCGCGCGCGCGGCGCGGCTAGCCGACGAGCTCGTCCCCCGTGCGCCGTCGTTGCCGCCCTGCTGATAGAAGGTGAGAAGAGGAAGATATGAAAGAGAAAGAGGGGAAGAGATGAGGGAGAAGATGAGATGAGGTGGAGACTGCTGACATGTGGGTCCCGCTGGATGACTTAGCAAGTCAACTACCACATAAGCAAGTCAATTGCCACGTAGGACAAAACCGCTTCTAAAACCGCCGGGGAGTTGATTTGCAACGGTTTTCAGAGTTGGGGGATATACCCGGTTTTGCGGTTGAGGGATGCTATTCATGTACGGCCATGAGTTGAGGGAAGGAAAGTGGACTTATTCCTTTTTAATATGACGGACTGTATTTTTTTCAGATAATGATATGACGAACTGTATGATTTCATCAACCGTAAAATCGTAAATCCGTTCCGTCCCCGTCCATCATATATCTGAACAAAACGTACGATGCCAAATTAGCAAAGCTTACTCCCTCCGTCCAAAAAAAACTTAACCTAGTCAGATTCATCCTCTTAGAAGAGGTCACATCCCCTCCTAAGTTAGTCATACATTCGATAACCGGTGACCTGACCAAGTCTCATGTTGGTCCGTACTCTGTATATACTGATCAAGTGATAAAGCTATGTCCCATTGGCACGCGTCTGAAAAAATATTCTGGATTCATTTGATACCATGACATTGGCACAGATCTTTCGGAAATATGAGCAGAGGCTACGGATTTGTAATAGTTTGGTCGTAGCCTCGTAGAGTTGCCCTTTCGGCAGTGACCGTAGTAGTCAAGGGCTACAATAAACTTTGGGTGTTCACACTAAAATTGGAAGTTTGATTGAAATTGAAATGATGTGACGAAAAAATTGAAAGTTTGTGTGTATAGAGAAGTTATGTGATAGAAAAGTTGAAAGTTTGAAAAAATATTTTGGAACTAAACACAGCGTTTGTTGTACTTTGGTTTCCATGTTGTGGTTTCTCTCTCTCTCTTCATAAAATTCTGGCCGGTTTTATCTTCGCTGGACTGTCTAAAAAGATGAGATTGATACTTCTACTTCTGATTCGGAACGACGATTACTGCTGAGTGCTGATTATATAGCATACTAATGCAACATATGAAAACTACTGTTGCATGTATTACTATTTTTTTTCCCAGAGAGAACTAATTGACTTGTTGCATCCACAGGGGCTTTACCATCCATGCAAGACTGGACATGTCTTTCATATGCGCATTGGTAATGGCTCGTCGCTGTACAAAGTTTTTATGTCACAAGTATCGAATCCAGCAACCACAGCGTTTTTACCACACATAGAAGATTGAACATATTACACTTTCAGTTATAGCATTAAGCAAAAAGAACTCGTCAAATCGTTTCAGGAAGAAGCCGACCTCAAGCTAGAGATAACATAGCTAAAATCATTCCACTAGATAAGATCATTTTCGCGTTAAGGTAGCCATATATACATAGTTCCAATGCACTCAAAAGAAGCATCACATATTCTGTAATCCCAGCATGATCAGTGCAGATGCTTACCCTTCAGAACCCTGCTAAATACAATGTGATAAAGCGAAATTATCATATTGAACAAGATCATAAGATATTATTGGTCCCACCCTCTAGCTTCACATTACCATGGTCTGGCGGGAAGGCCTGGAGGATATGTCAGAAAACAAAACATATTAGTTTATGGTTTTCGATCATGCACCACAAAGAACATCAAGTGAACCAAATGCTTTCCATCTAACAAAAACAGTAATAATGTATGACGGTACTGCAACTTCATCAGAGATGAGAGTTACAAGAGAAGTATCACTCACAAGTGCTGCTAGTCTGACGCACAAAGATATTCTCAATGGGTACGCCGTTAGTCCTGAACAACTGTGCCAACCAATGGACTCTCACATCATCAATAGAGCATTTGATCTTTACCATTTTAAGGTGTGTGCAAGCAAATGAGCATCCCTTTGGTTTGGTACCTTCTTTCATTGCCTGTGTGTTGTCATAATCCTTTTTTTTGGATTGCAGAAGAAGATAATTATTAGTGAATATGTGCTATAATTGATTTGTCGAAATATGAAAAGTGTAAAGCATCAAGCAAATTCGACAGATATAAATATATGTACCAATTTAAGTTCAAGGAAAAGCTTCTCCAGATTTGGTGAATGCTGCAGGAAGGAAATTAATGGACCGAAGTCAGCACCCATACACCATTCACCAAGGGACAATGTCTTCAGGTTACTAAAAGTTGGGCATGTTTTCAGCTCCCTATTCAGAATCACCTTCATATGGCACACACAGATGAATTAGTTCAGCGTTTAGAAAAGGTAAAGAATAGCTTGGTGCTATACTACCAAGGACCAGCACCGTTCAGTAAAAATGCAAATTTATTTCTGGTATAAAAATGTGTAGGAATAGTGTGAAGATACACATATGTAAATTCCATGTGTATCCAACTGTTGCAATCACAAAAGTTCAGCTCACAGCAATGAAAAAAAAAACCACCTTTCTAATACGAATTTCACAGAACAACACCTGTGCTTAAATATGTGATTATGCAAAATTAAAACTTAGTAACTCTTTAGTAGTTAGTAGATACGTTCTAAAGAAAATGACAAAAAAAAAAACTGTCAGCAGCCTACACATTTTTATTATACAATAACTTTACTTCGTAAAATTTGATTACACTCAAGTGCAATACTCCTACGGAGGTTTGACGAAGTTGAGAAAGGTATTTGTGTCTGCAATGCAAATAACTGATGAATCCATATTAAGGGGTATTGCCACATAGCAGAAGATTCGTAACTATACCTCTCCAGCATCAGCTAATAGCTCCAAACTTCTAGCATTCGATAGGCTGTGAAGAACATTATCACCACCTAGAACTTTACCACCATTGAATTTCTTCTTGCGATAGCCCCTATATGGTCTGGCTTTATACCTGTGATCATAGCCATGATAGTTGCCTTTGCTTCGATTATGTACCTCATCATGCTCTACAAGCTGTTTTTCATCATCATAGTTGTTTGCAATCTCACTGTATTCACAGGTACTTGCATCACTGACAGCATCACTGTCGTAGTCAGAATCATTCAAGGAACCTTCACCGTCTTCGCTACCGTTTCCTTCGATCGCATCCTCATCGATGTCTTCATACTCGTATTCATAACCAGCATATAGAAACGAATCATCAAGCACGATAGTGGCTGCATCCAGTGTGAGTGACCCCACATTCTCAAACAAGGGAGCACGGTGGTATGGCGTGACGCAGCACAGCGATACGAGGTTCGGAGCAGCGATGGTGAAGCCCTCCATGATCCTGCACTCGACAATGGTCAAGATCTTGAGAGAGGCAGATGATATCTGATGGCCATCCAGATAGCAGCCTTTGAGCTCTAGAACTTCCAATGAAGGGCACTGAGAAGAGAGCTGCATTAGTGTCCTTTGTCGAAACAAGTAGCCAGACAGCTTCAGGTGTTTGAGGTGGCAGGAGATGATGGGGACATGGTCGAAGTTACTAAATGCCTCGTCCTTCGGATGGTGAGAAATATGGATCACCTGGGCTCTCCGCTCGATGGCAGCACGGATCCACGCATCGACATCGCAAGTGGAGTAATCCTCCACCTCGGGGTCGCACACGGGGCTGGACAGCACCCGGAGAGTGTCCACCGGCGCGGACACGTCCCGCTCGAGCAAGAAGCGGTAGGCGAACTTGGCGAACTCCTCCGGGTGTGGGAGGTGGCCTCCGCCGCGCCAGACGCGGAGGTCGACGCAGGGCGCGGAGGCCCAGAGGTGGCGCCAGCGGCGGGCGAGCACGCAGGTGCGCGCCACCTCCTACGCCCGCAGGAACGACATGACGTGGTGCAGCAGCGCGTCCGGGAGGGCGCTGAGGCGGTCGCCGGCGCCGGCGCCGGCGGACAGCTTGGCTTTCTTCGGAGGCATTTCGTCGAACACATGTCCTGCGCGGGGCCTCCCGCTCATCTTGCGCCAGGAATTTGCAAGAAGATGAGTCCCTCGAGAATATTGCGTTGCAGGGGAGGAGATGGGAATTGAACTCACCGGAAAATTTCGTCCGATCGACGGTGAGTTCTTGCCGTTTCAGAGCCGGCGGCGGTTGCCGGCACGGGGGAAGGCGGCCGACGGCGGTTGGAGAAGATGACTATGAGCCGCTAAAAGATTAAAAAAATAAAAGGAAAACCCTAAATACCGAAACTGCGAGTGGGCCCCGGTTGGAATCAAGATCAAGTGTAGTTAGTACAGTGACTGCAAGTTAAGCAGTCATATCCATTTACAACCGTTGGATCAAGCTGATGAACGGCATAAGCTACAGAACATGCTACAGTGCGCAACAGGACTTTATGTGCGTGCTACAGTACCCTGGCCGAATCTGAGCTTTTCTTATTTGATCTAACGGTGAGGCAACGACTGCTAAAGTTGCAGTCCCTATTACAACTGCAGGGGGTCCTGATCCCACCGGTTGCAAGATTTTTTTTTATTTTTTATTTTTCTTTATCTTTATCTCTACTATTATAAAAATTAATGATGTTATTCTTAAAATATTCGTACGTCGTCAATTTTTCTTGTCTCCCGATCCGATTCTGTTCCAGTTTGCTTATTCGGTTAATTACCGAGAAGAAATAAAAGTATTACAAGTATCGGATAGATTAACATATAACGGACAACGAGCGGGCTGAAATCATCGAGGCTTGCATGGCCCCGGCCCAAGTAATGTATAATTTCTTTTACTAGAAAAGTAACTTGTGTAATGACTAGCCATAATCTTCCAAATGTGATAGGCCATAGAGTAAGTTATTAGGTAATAAATAGTTATAGTTATTATGTATAACTAAATCTATCTATACCTAATATTTTTCCATATATCTCTTCCCACGCGATCCCATGTGTGCAGCGCGCCTCCGCCCCGCCCGTGCCAAACCCTAGCGTTGTCGCGACGTCGATCTGCTTCTCCCATGTATTTCCTCCTCTAATTGATTGCAAAAAAAGATTCCTCACTCCTTCCTCATCATTTTTCCTATGATTTTCCCTTTTGATTTAGCTTTAATTTGTCGAATTTAATCTGCATTGAAGATGACCAACCGGTAAGCTTCTCCAGCCTATTATCCCGAGTTATGTGAATTCTCTTCAGTTTTGGGAAAACCGGACAGAGAAGATCGAGTAGATCAAAAGCCCCCATCAATTTTAGGACATCAAAAAAGATTCGATCGGATTTAATGGGGGAGGATTGGCTCCGGCATCATACGGACACGAGATTGTCTTTCGGAGATTGAAAATGGTAGTGGCTATGCAAGCTAGAGGTTGAAAATAGTAGTGGCTATGCGAGTGCGAGTGCCCAGTCCACAATTGAAGCCGCATGCCGAACATAGGCATGAGCTGACGAGGTATCAGACTAGGTTAGGTTTGAAAAGGAAGGAATGAATGACCAATTTGGGCCTAAAACTAAAGGAAGGATTTTTATTAACTTTTTAAATTATAATATATACCGATCCTAACGTTTCAATTTATTGCTTAGCTCCTAATAGTTAATAGTTAATGTATCAATAAAAAAATATTTTTACCCGTTGCAATGCACGGCATTTTTTCTAGTATATCTCTATCTTTTCTTTATCTTTATCTTTACTATTGTAAAAATTAAAGATGTTTTTGCCACAACTTTCGTACGTCGCCTGGGTCCGATTTGACTTGCCCAGTTGCCGGTTCCCCCGCGACGCCAAGTTCGTTGCTGATTTGACTTGCCTGCAGTTTCTGGGTCGACTACCCCACTCATATGGGTTGTACTCCCTCCGTCCCAAAAAAAAGGCAAACCCTGGGTTTCCGTGTCCAACTTTGACTGTCCGTCTTATATGAAATATTTTTATAATTCGTATTTTCGTTGTTGTTAGATGATAAAACATGATTAATATTTTATGCGTGACTTGTCTTTTTAATTTTTTTTATATTTTTTTAAATAAGACGAACGGTCAAACATTTGGCATGGAAACTAGGGTTTGTCTTTTTTTTTTTTTTTTTTTTTTTTTTTTTGAACGGAGGGACTATCCGTTTCAGTCCTGGGCAAGAAACGCAATGGGCACAGGAAAAGCAAGCAAGCACAGACCAATCCATCTACTCGCACGGTTTCCGAGAAGGACAAGTAAAATTATTCGCTGCTCCTACCACTCCAGCTTTTGCACTAGGAGGAGGTTTCCAGATTATCGCTTCATGCACACTCTTTCATACCAGGGAAACAATTCATCTGCATTAATGCTTTGGTTCTGTTTGGGTAAATCAACTCTAGGTTCAGTTTTTCTAAGCTCACATGTCAGTTTACTAGGAGGTTTTTATAAAGATCAAAATACTTCGTTTTTGCATGCAGAGTATATCGCATTTCTGCTAAATTCACACAGACTTATACCAACAGATTCATGATTTATTTCCAATGACAGTTTGAAGTATGGTGTACCTCTTCTGAATTAAGGGTCTTACGGTTTTATATATAGTCCAAGTGACTATTTGATGCACAATGATTTTGTCACATCATGATGTTGTTAGGAGAATGAAGATTTTTATGCTACAAGAGGAAATTCGTCTCAAGGCGGAGATTATTAAATATGTGATCCAAATTTCAACATACAGTATTTTCGGGTTAGTTAGGTAATACGACTTCGTATTACAAAATTAGTTTCCTAATAGTACTTTAAGTCTTTTCATATTAGGACTCCTAGATTTTTCGCTTGATATATCTCTTGTATGCCACATGGAAGGGTGCGACAAATTCAATGTATCCCCTACATTTAAATCCAATTCCTCTATTCCATTGTCAATCGACATCTATGATTTTTTTCCCATAAGGATTTTTCTTGTAAAATTTGTGTATCCGTCATTTATCTATTTTCATCTCAAGAAAGTATTAACTGTCTAACTGGCTGTTTTAAATGCATTCATGCGTATAGGTTGTGCATGAATGCAAAAATCATAAAAGGGCTTCTATTTTTATTGAGCAAATAATGGCCAGCTCATGTTGATCAACCTTGAGCTTCCTTTCTAGAGTAGGATATCCTGCGGACTTAAGTAATATGTAAGATTAAAATTTTTTAAACCGTTGCAACGCACGGACATTTTTTCTAGTCTATTATAAAAATTTAAGATGTTTTTGTCAAAAATATTTCGTACATCACCCTTATTAAATTGGTTTGGTATTCCGCTCTGCGCCTCATCGCGTACACGAGCGAACGAGCAAGGCAGGAGCGTTGGATTTTCGTGGGCCAGCTGGGCCTCCTGCATGCCTGCTGCCCCCGGCCAATGCGGTTGGTTGTCTCCGAATTGGTGTCAGTGTCTTTGTGGATTCACCTGTCCTGACACATAATTAGTTTTTAAGTGATGAGGCATGCACTGATGCACGGAAGAACTTGGAGACATGCATACACACGTGATGATCCATGTTAGTAAAAACTAATGTACAAATAGTTCTAATTTTTCCATTACAATTATACTAGCAAAAATTCACGTGCATTGCAACAGGATGTAAATTTTTGGAGTTGAGAAGAAATTTTTATTGATAATTTTCTAATTGTTTAATTTTTTGGAGCTTAGAAGAAATCGTCGTCAATATTTCTGATTGGGCATTTGATGACCCATGTTGACGCCTGACGGTGGCTTATTCAAATAAGAGAATTATTCTCTACTTATCTCTACTATTGTAAAAAGTGAAGGTGTTTCCACCAGTACTTTGGTACGTCATCTGTGACTGAATTGATGGTGCGTTTGTTTTCTTGGGTCATATACGTCCGTCTCTAACTCAATTGGTTTTTGCGCTTGCCGCCGCAACCCACGAATACACACTATGAGTCCATCAGCAAGACTGCAAGAGCACGTAGTCCTAGGATTAATTACAACACCGTTTATCTGTCCAGTTTTAAACCAGTGATTTCTGTTTATTCTGTACCGGTACTTATCCAGGAGCTAGGAGGAGAACGTTATCGGTATATTTGTGCTTGTGCTTGATCAACAGGGGATCGGTGTAGGATTAATTGTATAATCAAATTTTTAATTCAAAAAATATTATTAATAATTATTGAAACTATATCAAATTATGAAAGATAGTCTAGGAAGATCGCAAAGTATTTAAAGGAAAATCTTAGCGTTCTCATTTACCATTCAATTTTTTTTTCGTTCATCATCAATCAAAACATGGGACTATAAGGATTTTTTTTATCTTTGGATGGATTTTGATGTATAAGAACCCGAATAAATTTAGAACAAGGGGAGGCAGATAAAGAAATAAATAATTCAAAAGGAAAAATCATATTCACTTTCAAAATTTCGAATTGAGTTTGAGGAATTTCTGGAAAAGTTCAAAGTACGGATCTATTGTTTATCAAAATTTTAGTTTGTTCTGTTGCAACGCACATGCATTTTTTCTAGTTAGTATTTAAAACGTAGCAATTTCGAGAATCAATCCACACCTATTAAGTAAGTACTCCCTCCATTCCTAAATATTTACGACGTTGACTTTTTTAAAAATGTTTGACCATTCGTTTTATTTAAAAAATTAAGTAAGTATTAATTCTTTTCCTATCATTTGATTCATTGTTAAATATATTTTTATGTATACATATAGTTTTACATATTTCATAAAAGTTTTTGAACAAGACAAACGGTCAAACATGTTTAAAAAAGTCAATAACGTTAAATATTTAGGGACGGAGGGAGTATAAAGTTGAAGCTATATGAGACTGCGTTTAGGAGTAGCTCAATGACTCGATCCAACTCTGTAAACCGTTGAGAGTCCGTACCGGTCCATGTACGAAGATGAAACCGAGTCGGCACCGATACGCTACGCGCGCACGGCCACCGGCACACTGTCATTAACACGTCTCACACTCTACCCTGACCGTCCGATCAGATCAACCAACGGCCCAGATCACGCCGCTGACGTGTACTCCCTCCGATTGGTCGGCAGCGGCACACATCAGATCGGAGTCGGGCTCGGCCTCGGCCGCCGCACGCTGTATATATATCGCGACGCTCGTATCGACACAAAACCAAAAGCGAAGACGACGATCATGGCGCGGCCGCGGCGCGCGTCGACGATGCAGCTGGGGCTGTTCCTCGCCGCGCTTCTCCTCCTCACGCCGTCGCCTGCCGGCTCTGTGGCGGCGGCCAAGGGTGGCGGTGCCAAGAGCGGCGGCGGCGGCACCGTGATCGGGATCGACCTCGGCACGACGTACTCGTGCGTCGGAGTCTACCGGAACGGCCATGTCGAGATCATCGCCAACGACCAGGGGAACCGGATCACGCCCTCGTGGGTCGCCTTCACCGACGGCGGCGAGCGGCTCATCGGTGAGGCCGCCAAGAACCAGGCGGCGGCCAACCCGGAGCGGACCATCTACGACGCCAAGCGGCTCATCGGCCGGCAGTTCTCCGACGCCGAGGTGCAGCGCGACATGAAGCTGCTGCCGTTCGCCGTCGTCGACCGGAACGGCAAGCCGCACGTGCGCGTCGAGGTGAAGGACGGCGACGTGCGCGTGTTCAGCCCGGAGGAGGTGAGCGCCATGGTGCTCACGCGGATGAAGGAGACGGCCGAGGCCTACCTCGGCGAGAAGGTCACCCGCGCCGTCGTCACCGTCCCGGCCTACTTCAACGACGCGCAGCGGCAGGCCACCAAGGACGCCGGCGTCATCGCCGGGCTCACCGTCGACCGCATCATCAACGAGCCCACCGCCGCCGCCATCGCCTACGGCATCGACAAGAAGGGCGCCGAGAAGAACGTCCTCGTCTTCGACCTCGGCGGCGGCACGTTCGACGTCAGCATCCTCGCCATCGACAACGGCGTGTTCGAGGTCCTTGCCACCAACGGCGACACCCACCTCGGCGGCGAGGACTTCGACCAACGCCTCATGGACCACTTCGTCAAGGTCATCCGCCGGAAGCACGGCCGCGACATCACCGGCGACGCGCGCGCGCTGGGCAAGCTCCGCCGCGAGTGCGAGCGCGCCAAGCGCGCGCTCAGCAACCAGCACCAGGTGCGCGTCGAGGTCGAGTCCCTGTTCGACGGCGTCGACTTGTCGGAGCCGCTCTCCCGGGCGCGGTTCGAGGAGCTCAACAGCGACCTCTTCAAGAAGACGATGGTGCCGGTGAGGAAGGCCATGGCGGACGCCCGGCTGAGCAAGGGCGACATCGACGAGATCGTCCTCGTCGGCGGCAGCACCAGGATCCCCAAGGTGCAGCAGCTGCTCAAGGACTACTTCGGTGGCAAGGAGCCCAACCGCGGCGTCAACCCCGACGAGGCCGTGGCGTACGGCGCCGCCGTGCAGGCCAGCATCATCAGCGGCCACGTCGACGAGAACACGGAGAGCATGATCCTCCTCGACGTCGCGCCGCTCACCCTCGGCCTGGAGACGGCCGGCGGCGTGATGGCCAAGCTGATCCCGCGCAACACGGTGGTGCCGACGAAGAAGACGCAGGTGTTCACCACGTACAAGGACAAGCAGACGACGGTGACCATCCAGGTGTTCGAGGGCGAGCGGAGCATGACGAGGGACAACCGGCTGCTCGGCAGGTTCGACCTCGCCGGCATCGCGCCGGCGCCGAGGGGGGCGCCGCAGATCGAGGTGACGTTCGAGGTGGACGCGAACGGCATCCTCAGCGTGCTGGCCGCCGACAAGGCCACCGGCAGGTCGGAGAAGATCACCATCTCCGGCGACGACCGCAAGATCAGCCAGGAGGAGATCGACCGGATGGTGCGCGAGGCGGAGGAGTTCGCCGAGGAGGACCGCCGGCACAGGGAGCAGGTGGACGCCCGGAACAGCCTGGAGGCGTACGTCTACAACATCAAGAACACGCTCGGCGGCAAGATGGCGGACGCCATGGAGGGCGAGGAGAAGGACAAGGTGGAGGAGGCGGTGAGGGAGGCGTACGAGTGGCTGGACGGCAACCCGGACGCCGGCAAGGAGGAGTACGAGGAGAAGCTGAGGGAGCTGGAGGACGTGTGCAACCCCGTCATGTCGGCGGTCTACCAGAGGTCCGGCGGCGGCGGCGGCGGCGCACCGGAAGATGGCAACGTCGACGACGAGGATGACCACGATGAGCTTTAGTTTAGTCGCTGCTAGGTGCTAGCTGCTCCTGTTTCACTAACTATATATATAGAGTAATTTTACTAGGCAATCAATTACTCCCTCCATTTATTTGCCGTTCACTTTTTTTTCATATGTTTGACCATTCGTTTTATTTCAAATGTGTGTTCGTATATGTTAAATTTTTTTTTTACCAAAACAACTATACGGCCGGAGTTTGCAAAGTTAAATGAAATCTAGAATTGCTCGCAATAGTCATTTACAATCTCACTATATTCAAAGGTGATTGCATCACTGCCATAGTCAGAATGATCCGAGCAACATCCATCGGGTATCTCTTCCTTCAATTTCATCACAATCCTCATCGATGTCTTTCCACCTAGAATTAGATGGTGTTTGGATCCAGAGACTTAACTTTAGTCTCTATATTTAGACACTAATTTAGAGTATTAAATATAGACTACTTACAAAACTAATTACATAAATGAAAGCTAATTCGTGAGACAAATTTTTTAAGCCTAATTAATTCATAATTAGATAATGTTTACTATAGCATCACATAGGCTAATCATGGATTAATTAGACTCAATAGATTCGTCTCGCGAATTAGTCCAAGATTATAGATATGTTTTATTAATAGTCTATGTTTAATATTTATAATAAGTGTCCAAATATCCGATGTGATAAAACTTAAAAGTTTTAGTCCCATCTAAATAGGGTCTTAAAACCACCACAGAAGAATGAATCATCGAGCACGATAGTGCCCGTCGCCAGTGCGAGGGACCCCGAATCCTCGAACAAGGGAGCTTGGTGGAATGGCTTGATGCAGCACAGTGACACGAGGTTAGGAGCAGCAACGGTGAGCTCCTCCTCGATCTTGCACTCGACCATGCTCAAGCTCTTCAGACTTCAGAGTGGTAGATGAAATCTCACCGCCTTCTAGAAGGCAGCCCTTGAGCTCTAAAATTTCTAAAGAAGGGCACTGGAAAGAGAGCTGCCTTAGTGTCCTTCCTGTCCTCCAAAACGGAACCAGACAGCTTCAGGTGTTTGAGGTGGCGGGTGACGATGGGGACATGGTCGAAGTCAGAGAAGACCTCGTCGTCTTGATGGTCGGTAAGCTGGATCACCCGGGCTCTCCGCTTGATGGCGGCACGGATCCACGCCTCGACATCCCGAGTGGAGTAATCCTCTCGTTCCCCATTGTCGTAGCACACGGGGCTGGACAGCACTCGGAGAGTGTCCACCGGCGCGGACACCTCCCGCTCGAGCAAGAAGCGGTAGGCGAACTTGGCGAACTCCCTGGGTGGAGGACGGTGGACTCCGCCGCGCGAGACGCGGAGGTCGACACAGGGCGCGGAGGCCCAGAGGTGGCGCCAGCGGCGGCGAGCACGCAGGTGCGCGCCACCTCCCACGCCCGCAGGAACGACATGACGTGGTGCAGCAGCGCGTCCGGGAGGGCGCTGAGGAGGTCATCCTCGCCTCCGCCGCCGCCGCGCGCCGCCTCTCCAGGGCTATGCATTCCGTCGAACAGGTGGCCTGCGCTCCACCTCCCGCTGAACTTCCACAGCATTATTGCGTGTCAGGGATAGAGTACAGAGATGGGAAGGAGGGAGATGAGACGGATCGGACTTACCGAGAGGTTCGCCGGAGCGACGGAGAAGGCGGCGGTTGCGGAAATCAATTCACGTAAACGAGAAGGCTACCCAATTTATCACGATCAATTGCCCAAAATGTCTAATTGGAATTTGGAATGATCTAATCGTGTCTTTTGTTTCCATGTAAATAGACAGGTTTGAATATGAACGAAATTTACGACAAGCACCCACTGGGATTTACACCGTGTTTAGTTTCAAAGTTTTTCTTCAAACTTCTAACTTTTCCATCAGATCAAAACTTTCCTACACACACAAACTTCCAATTTTTCCGTCACATCGTTTCAATTTTAACCAAACTTCTAATTTTGGTGTGAGTTCACACAGTCTTATTACTGTAATAATTATTGCCTAATAGTACTATTCGGTATTCTATAGTACAAGTCACAAGTGCGAATGTACTGTGCTACTCTCCCCGTCCCATAAAAAACCAACCCAGTATATGTCACATCCGGTACTAAATTCGTTTTTTATGCGACGGAGGAAGTAGGCACCAAACAGAACGTGTGACTAATTTGAACAGCATTACAATGCAAATTAAAATCTGCATAACTTTTATTTTTCAAAAGCAATTTCATATCTAAAAGGCAGGGCCATCATCCCATAATATAAGGCACGATCAAATTTGGGACATTCTCCAAAACTAATCTTTGTGTTATAATTTCTCATATATTATAGCAACAAAATTATAACCATATCAAAGTAAATCCAAATGTCAATCCAATAATATTATTTTCAGCAAATAAAATTTAATTTATATTATACTAATGGTTAGTCAAATGTTTTAAAAGTTGAATTTCGAAATACGTGAGGAAGTATTATGGGATTGAGGAAGTATTATGCTAGTGCAAAGGTGATTGCAACCCATCGAGACATTCAAGCAAAGAACATTTGTACGTTTAAGGTATATAAACAAACTCCAAAACATTTGAATGTTAACTCATTCCACTGGATAAGAGCATTTCAGTATTTGGATAGCCATACATAGTTCATTCAATATTACCCCAAAGAGGAATAACCGATCTGTCACGGCCCTGCTATGCGTGCTTAATGCGTCGTGCCGTCAGATTCTTTCTAAGTACATATAGAAGACGATTGCAATCCGAACATAAGAACTAAATACGATAGAAGATATGATGAACGATAGATGATCTGACGTTGCATCAGAATTCCAAATCCGAATCCCCGAACTCCGGATCTGGACCACAGTACTCATAATCTGAACCCCAGAACTCATCTGACCCCCAGAACTCCAGTTCTTGCTTGGCTAGATCTCTCATCACCTTCTCGCTGCGGAGACCTGGTAGCAATATCAGAAAGCAGATAAGAACACATGTGAAGATCACACAGAAAATCAAAACTTCAAGCTAACAGAATAGCCTTTTGATTGTTTAACAGAAAAGCCTGATAACAGAATAGCTATCAGGAGCGCAGAATGTCCATTTAACCATATTTAGCTTTTTGAGGAACACGGTCATATGTATAAACAGGAAAGACATGATAATTTAACCATATTTCAGAAAGCAGGATAGAGATTTAACGTTGCATGCTTCAATTAAACAGCAAATAGATGGGTAATTTAATACTGATAATGCAAATAAATACAAAATGCCAAGAAGAGACAGTCTGACTTACGAGAGCTCCCAGACCGATGGACATAAATCTTATCAAAGGGTATGCCATTAGCCCTGAACAAATGTGCCAGCATATGGACTCTCGCATCGTCCTTCGAGCATCTGATCTTCACCATTTGCAGGTCTTTACAAGTAAATGATCTTCCCGTAGGTTTAACACCACTTTCCAATGCCTTCCTAGTATTGAAGTTCTTTTTGCAGAACAATGAAATCTATTAAAACATGCACGCATACTCGGAACTCTACATATAAGTCAGAGGAGACGTACCAACTGAGGTTCAAGAAAAAGCCTCTCCAAATTAGGTGAACGCTGTAGCAAGAAAACTAATGCATCGAATTCAGCATCCATACACCATTCACCAAGGGACAGGGTCTTCAAGTTGATAAAAATTGGGCAGCTTTTCAATTCCCTAGAAAGAACCACCTTCATATTGGACACAAAAGTGCTTTTTCATCAGTGAACTATAATGATTGAATCAACCTCACATCGTGCATACAAATGATATTCAATGTGCATCAAGAATGAAAACAATAATATGGTGATATATTGACAGTGGATTAACATCTACTACCTCCGTCCCATAAAAATTGTATTTCTAGCTAATTTAGGACAAAATAGTATGATTGAAAAATGACCACAATAACCTTATTTAATGAACCCACTGCATACACACATTCCATATATACAAATGATTAAAAGGAAGTTTGAGAGAATTAACCCATATAATTAGCATACTTAATAAAATTGCAAGCATTAGCAGCCCAAATTACGTGGGATGGAAGAAAACTTATATAGATGAATCAATTGGTTGGGCCCCATATGACTAGAAATACAATTTTTGTGGGACAAAGCCTTGGAGCTACAAATGCAATTTTTATGGGACGGAGGGAGTATATCATAAAGTGTATTTCCTTGAACAAAAATACACAGATCGAAATTGTCTGTGGGAATCTTAACTGATGTCAAAAGATACACTATCACGACAACAAAAAGTAACAAGCAATCACACCAAAACTAAGAGGATTGCTCTCTCTTTTTTTGAACGACTAAGAGCATTGCTCTCTCAAAGCTGCAATCTCAAGAGATTTAGTTGCCAATCAAATGCCTCACAACGGATGATGGAAAATCATAGAATGCTATGAGTAAGTAAGTAGGTTTAATCAATTGATACTGCAGCAAAAAAATGTATCACATGTTCTCACTGGATAACCAGATATCTGGTGAAAGGGAAAAGGTTTCTTTGGAAAAAGTCAGAAAAATATCATTATGTTCAAAAGGGCTGGATATTGAAGAAAACAAAATACATATACAACATAATGAAAAGACTATACCTCTCCAGCACCAGCTAAGAGTTCCAAACTTCTAACATTTGAAAGGCTGTGAATCACATTTTGGCCACCAAATGTTTCAGCATTGTCATATTCGCCATCTTTACTGGAATTATGACCATCACCATTGTTACCATACTGAAGCTCACCACACTCATTTGCAATCTCACTATATTCATAGGTGTTGTCATCACTCTCAATATCACTACCATAGCCATAACCATCCTCGTTTCCACCAAACACAAATCCTTTTTTAGCGTAATTAATCCTATACCCTGCCTTATCATTCTTCTGATAACCAAAATCATCATCATCAGTGGTTTCATCAATGTCATCTTCATCACTAATGTGCTGATAATCATCACCCAAGAAAAGGTCATCAAGTATGATAGAGCATGTCACCAGCGACTCCAAGTTCTTGAACGATGGAACTCGGATGTAAGGTGTGACTATGTTCAGAAAAACAAGGTTTGGAGCAGTGATAGAGAGGTCCACATTGATCTTGCACCTATCCATCTTCAAAGTCTTCAAAGAAGCAGAGGAGATCTGATGGCCGGTCATCACGCAGTCCTTAAGATCCAGTTCTTCCAAAGATTTGCACCCTGAAGAAAGCTGCTTGAGGATCTTGTCATCGATCAGGACATAGGACAGCTTCAAGATCTTGAGGTGGGTAGAGACCAAGGCCCTGTGCTTTAACACCCCGATCTCTTTGCGGTGCCCAGTGAGATGAATGAATCGAGCATTGCGCTTGATGGCAGTCCGGATCCACGCATTGGCATCGTCGTTGTCAAACAAATTGTCCGGGTCGCTCAACTGCAGGCGGAGCGTGTCCACCGGCGCCGACGCCTCCCGGCGGCGGAAGAGGCGGTTCACGAAATCGCGCGGCTCCTCCGGCGGCTCGCTGTCGAGGCGGAAGTACCGGATGCGGAGGTCGACGCAGGGCGCGGACGCCCAGAGGTTGCGCCACCGCCGGGAGAGCACGCAGGTGCGCACCACCTCCCACGCCTTGAGGAACGACATCACGTGGTGCAGCACCCCGTCCGGGAGGGCGCTGAGGCGGTCGGCCGCTTCTCCATCGCCGTCGCCTCCACGCCGGGACGTCTCGCCCTCGCCATGGCGCGGCCGCCAGAGAGCGGCTTTCCCCCGGCGCATTCCGTCGAACAGGTTGCCTTCACCTCCTCGTCGAACTAGGTCTCAGTAACCTCCAACCTCCATTCTTCGATTTCAACCTATCAAGACAAATAATTGCGAGGAAATCTTTGAGGAAACAACTTGCATGTGAAGGTGAAATCAAAAGAGGAAGATGAATTATTCGAGCTTACGTCTCTCGAAGGAAGAAGATGGCTGAAATGGTGTTCTTGGTTTCCGCAGAATTCAAATTTAAAGTTTAAACAACAAACCGAGCATAAGGAGGCGGCAACTACTCCATGCTGAACGGAGGCCAGCAACGTCTCGTTTGGGTTGGGCTGAAATTCTGGCCCATCCATGTAAGTATATGGGCCATATTAGTTCAAATTTCCATTCAAATTACGCCCAGACGTCGCCACTTATGTCAGTTTTGAGACCGAATGTAGGACCGTTTTGGATTGAAGCCAAAACTGTGCCCTACCAAAATTTTGGTAATTTAAATAGTAAATATGCTAGTTTGGTTTGAAGCCAAACAATTGATAGTGCCCATACTCAATTTGGACATATTCTAGAATATTCTTCACCATACTATTAAAATTTGGCTCCATATTGGTATTAAACCAAAAGTAGTCTAATTAACTTTTCCCTACCAAAAAATTGGCAGTGCCAAAATTTGCCTAGATTTTGGCACTACCAATAAATAGGTAGGGTAGAGAACCAAATAGGCCCGTAGAGTAGAAATTTACAAATATCTTTATCTAATCTCTACTATTATAAAAATTAAAAATATTTTTTGCTAGTACTTTGGTACGTCATCTGTGTATGAGTCGGTTTTTAAGTTCGTTCGCTTTTGAAAATACAAAAGGAGTCGTATAAGAAATCTCTTATAAAAAAAACTCGCACGCTAACTTGAGACGATCGGACTCTTAATTGTAGTTCACGATTTTCTAAAAAGTTATATATTAAAGCGAATTCCCAAAGTGAATTTCATCTTAACTAAACCGTATAATATAATAAGAATAAAATAACCTTCACCCGTTGCAATGCACGGGTATTTTTTTCTAGTCTTAACTAATTAAAAAATTCATATGTTTCTGATCTTCACATTACGCCTTCGTCCGTGATAGTCCGCTTTCCTCCGTCACGGTGTGAGCCTCCGCTTCCCTCACGTTGGCACGTTGTTGCCCTTCACACCTGTCTCAAATGCTCCGCACGTGTCTCAATGCCGTCTCACCTCAAAAGTCACTTGAAAGCATGAACACAAAAACAAACAGATGCAACCCAAATTCCCTCAAAATAATCCTATCTTGTAAATAAATCGGACCTAGAAACATGTTTATGGTAACTGAAATCGAATCCAAGAATAAGATTAAAAGAAATCAAGTCATAGAAGATGCGTAATCAAATATAATCTCACGGAATCAAAAATAAATAGGAACTGATCCAACCAAGATAAAAATCGCTATGTTTTCTTCAAATGAGGTGAAAGGCCCGTTGGGTGCGGCTGCACTCAATCCGCATCACTTGCGCCCAATTTAGGCTAGGACGGAGGAAGAGAGAGTGAGGCGAGAGGGACGGGGGCCTACCAGGGAGCTAGCCTGGCTTGCTCACGCTGCCCCTGAATCCGCACCATGGATTTGACCGCTGGCGAGCTCTTCGACTCCAGCACAACAGATCCGACTCCCGCGAGCAGATGAGGTCTCCGATGAGGGAGAGAGTCGTCTGCTTCGTCCACTCATCAGTTGGAGTGAGAAGAAAGGGGGAAAAACTCCGGATATGACTCGCCATCCCGACGCCTCATCCTCTTCTGTAAGTGGGAAAAAAACACAGATAATTAGGACTAGTTAATGGGGACAGAGAAGAGAAAGGCCCAATTAGGTGGAAAAAAATAGGATGGGAGCACTTTGAATATCCTAGCTCTACAAACTACAATGAAGGCTAACCCTCTCACCGTCTCACATAGTTTTTTTTTTTCATTTCAGCCCTCCACTTCTTATATTTCAGCCCTGCTATTTTTTTAATCATTATTTTTCTCAAAATCTTTTATAGTAGTAACCTTATATGAAAGAAACTAATTGCAAATGCACTTTGTTGGCCCACTTCTCAGCCTCTCTACGTTGTCTACATTATTTGGTTGGGATAATCCCTTATATGTCATTGAAAATTAGTCTGATCCCTTATATATCAGAAAATACGTCTTTTTTACTTTAAAGTTAATGGTCAACACACAGTCATCTGACGAGAGTGGCATGAGAGGATGTGTAAGTTTGGACCTATGACATATAAGGGAAGAGCCAATTTTCAGTGGCATATAAGGGATTAGACTAATTTTCAGTGGCATATAAGAGATTATCTCTCCATATTATCTCTCCTTGAGGAGCCCAGACTAATTAACATGTTCAGATGAGTGAATACTATTTTTTTATACACAAAGGGTATTTTTGTGCATTAAAATTACTTGCATTACAATAGAATGTATGTGGTTTTAGTGGACAGTAGATGCTATGTGCAAATTCATAAAATTATTTACCAACAGAAATATATTCTTTAATACATAGGAAATGATACACACACTTTCCGATTTTTGTTTATGTCCAGTGCAATAACAGACCGTTCCATACATGAAAACCATATTGGTACGGACTCCATTGACGCCGTTGCCTACAAAATTGTCAGCAATGCCACGTCGGCTCATAGATAAGAATCGCTGAAAAACTACCGTAAGATTTTATTTTTAAAAATATTCAAATATAAACATAATTATAAGCCTAGTTATAAAACTGATCATAAATTCCCATTTCATAGTATAGACATTTATAATCAGTTTACTGGTTGGTGGCTTGGCGCTCTCCCACATGCTTGGAAAACAGTGTTGGCTTGGCGCTCTCCCACATGCTTGGAAAACAGTGTTTCTTATTAAACATTTGATCTTTGTTACATGAGAGATGAGTTAATTTCTGCTTAGTCCTGGTGACAAAAAAGTTACACGTAAGACTTTTGGATGAAGTGAGTAATACACAATCAGAGTCATAAATGAGTTTTTTTTCCCGTAGCAAAGCACATGCATTTTTTCTAGTTAAATATGAAATTTATAACAGGAGAGAGTTTTATTTCGTTGGAACTAAAAATAATATCCCATTGCAGTATAAGCTATTGTTCATGGGATGAACAAATATTGCATTTTTGGATCTACTGTTGTAACAACTAACAATCCATTAGAAAATTGAATACGTTTTCTAATACACACGAAATAAGATCAAAACGAGTTCAGAATAGACATTGAAATCACCTATTTAATCTCAGGCAAACATTAACTCATCAGTTTACAATAAAAGGTGACAGCAGAAACATTAGTTAAATGGAATTTTCTGAGTTAACAACACCCAGAAGGCCAGAACATTGCTTTAACCTGTAGTGCACCACGTTCGACGTCTACTGAACTGTAAAATTCAAATAATAGTATATGCTACAGGTAAAGCTGATATGGGTGCAAAGGAGCAAATAGAGGTAAAGATGACAGTGGCTTCGACTGGACATTATTACTACATGACTCCATTCCAATAGGAAATAGACATGAATGGTAAATCTTCAAAAAAGCGGGTCTCAGGCACAAAATAGTGCATATTATGCAGCAAAGGTGCATGTAATCCATTGAGACATTCAAGCAAAGAGCATTCATGCACGTTTATAGTATATATATATAAAAAAAAAACTTCAAAACATTTTCACTGTTAACTCATTGCACTGGATAAGAGCATTTCAGTATTTGGATAGCCATACATAGTTCCCTATTACGCAAAAGACACATAACAACATCTGTCACGGCCCTGCAACTCGGTACTTAATGGGTTCTTGCCGTCAGAGCATTTTCTAAGTAGTACATTAATTAGAGATGGTTGCAATCCAAAGATAATAACTAATAATATGAGTAGAAGATATGATAAACGATAGCTAGTCCAATGTTGCATCAGAACTCCATATCTGAATCCTCAAACTCTGAATCTGAACCACAGAACTCGGAATTTGGACCACAGAACTCTGAATCTGACCCCCAGAACTCCAGTTCATGTTTGCCTAGGTCTCTCATAAACTTCTCGCCACGGAGGTCTGGTAGAAATATCAGAAAGCGGGTAAGTACACACATTAAGATCATGCCCAAAAACACAATGTTTAATTGAACAGGATAGCCTTAGGGTGTTTTAACAGAAAAGCCTGGTAAGATATCAAGCCTATTGGGAACATGGCAATATGTATAGAACATCTTTAAAAAAAAAACAGCATAGACGAGCATAATTTAGCACATGCTTGAACTAAACAGCAAAGACATGGGTAATTTAGCACTGATAGTGCAAAAAAAAATACAAAATGACATGAAGAAACCATCTAACTTACAAGAACTCCCAGTCCGACGGACATAAATCTTCTCAATGGGAATACCGTTCGCTCTGAACAAACATGCCAGTGTGTGCACTCTTACATCATCCTTAGAGCATCTGATCTTCACCATTTGCAGGTCTTTACAAGTAAATGATCTTCCCATAGGTTTAGCACCGCTCTCCAACGGCTTCCTAGTATTGAAGTTCTTTTTGCAGAACAATGGAATTTATTAAACTATCATACATATTCATACCTCTTTATAAGCGTTAGGTAACTTACCAATTTAAGTTTAAGGAAAAGCCTCTGCAAATTAGGTGAACGCTGTAGCAAGAAGATTAATGTATCGAATTCAGCAGCCATACACCATTCACCAAGGGACAAGGTCTTCAAGTTGCTAAAAATTGGGCAGCTTTTCAACTCCCTAGAAAGAACCACCTTCATATTGGGCACAAAAGTGATTTTTCAGCAATGAACTATGGTAATTGAAATACTGAATCAACTTCACATCATGCATACAAGTGATATTCAATACATTGAGAATAAAAACAATAACTTAGTGATATATTGTGAGCAGATTATCACCTACTCCTACAAAGTGTATTTTCTTGAACAAAATTGTACAGATGGGAATTTCTATGGGAATCTTAACTAATGTCAAAAGATAAATTATTGTGACAACAAAAAACAGCAAGCTATTTCAAAAGATAAGAACAATACTTTCCCAAAGCTGCAAACTTGAGGGTTTTAATAGTATATTGAATGCCTAAGACAGATGATGGGAAACCCAGAATGCCTCCACTAGTAGCTATTGTTAATTGATACTGCAGTGCAGAAGTATCAGATGTGCTAACTGGACACCCAGAGACCAGGTGAGTGGTAAAAGAAAAACTGTTTCTTCAGCATGTTGAAATGGTGATTGCATACCTCTCCAGCACCAGCTAACAGCTCCAAACTTCTAGCATTTGAAAGGCCGTGAAGAAAATTATGGCCACCAGAAATAGTTTTAGTCTGCTGACTTGTCCCAACTCCCTGAACAATGGTACTGGAATTCTGGGCATACTGCTGATCTCCATACTCTTTTGCAATCTCACTATATTCATAGGTATTGTCATCACTCTCAATATCACTACCATAGCCATAATCATCCTTGTTACCAGCAAGCCCATATCCTTTTTGAGGGAAACCAAATCCATACCCTGTCTTGTAAGTCTTCTTCTGATCATCAATATCATCTTCATCAGTGGTTTCATCAATATCATCTTCATCACTACTGTGTTCATAAGCATCACCCAAGAAAAAGTCATCAAGTATGACAGAGCATGACACCAGCGACTCCAAGTTCTTGAACGATGGAACTTGGATGTAAGGTGTGATCAGATTCAGCAATACGAGGTTTGGAGCAGTGATTGATAAGTCCACATTAATCTTGCACTTATCCATCTTCAAAATCTTCAAAGAAGCAGATGAGATCTCATGGCCGGTCATCGCGCAGTCCTTAAGATCCAGTTCTTCCAAAGATTTGCACCCTGAAGAAAGCTGCTTGAGGATCTTGTCATCGATCAGGACATAGGACAGCTTCAAGATCTTGAGGTGGGTAGAGACCAAGGCCCTGTGCTTTAACACCCCGATCTCTGTACGGTGTCCAGTGAGATGAATGAATCGAGCATTGCGGTTGATGGCAGTCCGGATCCACGCGTTGGCATCGTCGTTGTCAAACAACTCGTCCGGGTCGCTGGACTGCAGGCGGAGCGTGTCCACCGGCGCTGACGCCTCCCTACGGCGGAAGAGGCGGTTCACGAAATCGCGCAGCTCCTCCGGCGGCTCGCTGTCAACGTCATTGTACCGGACGCGGAGGTCGATGCAGGGCGCGGACGCCCAGGTGTGGCGCCAGCGACGCGAGAGCACGCAGGTGCGCACCACCTCCCAGGCCTTGAGGAACGACATGATGTGGTGCAGCACCCCGTCCGAGAGGGCGCTGAGCCGGTCAACCGCGTCGCCCTCGCCATTGCCGTCGCCTTCGCTTCCCTCTCCACGCCGGGACGTCTCCCCCTCGCCACGGCGCGGCGGCCCGAGCATGGCGTTCCTCCCGAGCATTCCGCCGAACAGGCTGCGCGCGCCTCCTCGTCGAACTGGTTCTCAGTAACCTCCAACCTCCGTTCCCGGATTCGAATCTGCCAAGACAAAAGAAATCGCAAGCAAATCTTTGTAGAAACAACTTGGCGAAATCAGATGGGAAGATGAAAGATTCGAGCTTACACGTCTCAACGGAAGATGGCTCAAATGGCGAGGAGTCTGAGCGAAGACTGAAGAGGGAAGAGTTATTGGTTTGCTCGCCGGATTCAAATTTAAACCAGCTGAGCAGACGCGGGCGGTGGGCGGCAATTACTCCGTGCTAGTACACGGAGGCTACAACGCCACATTTGGATGGGCTGAAGTCCTGGCCCACCCACTTATATGGGCCGGAAATTCTTTTCAAATTTCCATTCAAACGAGGCCTCATTCAAAATGTAGCTTCATGTTTGATACAAGTGAAGAGGATTGGAGGTTTAGACTAGAGAATTAATGGTGTGATTAAGGCCTGGTTTAGTTCCCAACTTTTTCTTCAAATTTCCAACTTTTCCATCACATCAAAACTTTCATACACACACAAACTTCCAACTTTCCCGTCACATCGTTCCAATTTCAATCAAACTTCCAATTTTGACGTGAACTAAACACACCATAACATGAGGATTTGATTTTTAGTCCCAATCTCTTGTTTGGTAGAGGTGGTGGGAATTGATATGGAGTTTAGTTGGAGATTAGATCTTAAATGAAAATTGATATTGATGGTTAAGATTTGTTTAGACAAAATAAAGGATGAATTCACTCTCAATTACCATCCCTACTCAAGTATTGAAAAAGGATGGAGTTCCTTTCTCAATTCCCATCCCCCGTCCCACCCAAACTCCCATGTTCCCCACCAAATAAAATAATTAATAACCTCATCCCTCTAAATTCCCAATCACTCTCTCCAACCAAACGGACTCTAGAATTTTACATAGATTTTCGTGACATGGAGAACAGGAAATAGTTTGAATCTTGACTTCTCGTTGAAACTGAAAACAATATAGCCTCGCAGTTTTTTTAGAAAACAAAAGAATATAGCATTCTAGTACTATGCACATGCACTCTTTCCAATACAGAGGAAATAAGACCAATGGGCAACAGTTCAGAGCAGGTACAATAGCAGACTATTAGCCAGCTGTAAACATATTTTAATAAGATAAAAGATGAGAAGGAAGAGCAGCGGGCTACAGATCTATAGGCAGCTGACAGGTAGGACCATATATTAATAGTATAGTAAGCAACTATTGTATAAATTGGCTATTAGATTGACTATAGATGAATCGGAGCTAGTAGTGAGCAGTACTATTAAACTTGCTCTCATAATCCATTTAATCCCAAAGCAAAAAGTAACGAGTTTAGAACAATATGCCCAGAACATTTGCTTTAAACCGTAGCACACGACGTCTGCTGTAACTGTAAATTCGAACTATACTGGTAGCAAGGTAAACTAAGATGACAGTGGCTTCAACTGGACATGAATAACTCCAATTCAAATGGACATGAATGGTAAATATTCTGAAGGGGTATATCAAAAGCCCTGAACAATTTTCGCCAGCATATGGATTATTGAGTCTCTTACATCATCCTTAGAGCATCGATCTTGAATATTTTGAAGGTCTGGGTTTCACAGCGACCAGTCACGACATCCGCCACGGGCAATTTAATTCTCTGTTAAGTTTGGAGTTGCGAAGGCCTAGCACAAACATCGTAAAGTTATAAGGTGGAAAGTGTACAGAACAATATTCAAGCCAAAGCAACAGAGAAAATATTGCTGGCAAAAGTTTTAGTGTAAAAGAAGTTAACACTACCTCCGTTGTCTTTTAGATGAATGAACTAACCAACATCAAATATAAAAAACAGGAGTAGTTCAAAAAAAAAAAGAAGTTAAATAGTTGAACTTTTTCCATTTGATTGTTCATGTTTCTATCACGTGATAGCATGCCTCTTGATCAGCATATCTTTTGATGAAATGTTATAACATTTGTACAACAAAAAGAATTAAAAAAAGGAAGCAAATATATGAACAATAATACTTACGGAAGCTCCCACTTCGACGGACGAAAATCTTCTCTAAGGACAAGCCATTAGAATTGAACAACTGTGCCAGCATATGGACTCTAAGATCATCCTTGGTGCATCTGATCTTCACCGTACTAAGGCGTTTACAGGCAAACGATCCTCCTTTTGGTTTGATACCTTTTTCCAATTCCTTTTGGATGTTGTAACTCTTTTAGCAGGCAAAAAAAAGCCAAATTAGTTAACTACTACCAAATGCTGAAACTTACATATTGAATTGCAAATCATTGAGAAACATTAGTTGATCTTGTACCATTTCAAGTTGAAGAAAAAGCTTCTCCAAATTAGGTGAATTCTGGAGGAAGAGAATCAATATGTCGAAGTCAGCGACCATACTGATACACCACTCACCAAGGGACAAAGTCTTCAGGTTGCTAAAAGTTGGACAACTTCTTGATTCCCTGCTCAGAACCACCTACATTGTACGTGACAGTGAATAACGAGTTGCAGGATAAAAGTATATTCAGGTATGCAGTGCCATTTTTTCCTTTTTTGCTAATGAAATTGCATATATTCCTAGGACTGGTCTTAGGATTATAGGATACATATAAACAAATTGTTTGCTCAACATAGGGAGTTGTTTGTATGCAACTAAATGTTTGCAGCGTCCATAAGTTTCAATGCTGGAGGGAACTCCTTTTTAGTGAAAAGTGCGAACTCTTGAAGATATCTAAAAGAAATCATTAGCAGAATCATTCCACTAGTAAGGGGGGAAAAAGGAAATGCCCCCATCTACCATGACAGCAAGAACCTAAAGCATGCCATTCTAGTCAATAGTAGTAAAGCAGATCAATCTTCCTAAATTTGAACACACTGCATATAATTGAAAGAAGTGCACACTATAACCAACCAAAAAAAAATGCATTCCAATGCTATATTTTGCACCATGAGTGATGAGTCCCTGCTGCACATTAGTGAAAGCGAAAGTATGGATTATACAAGAATATTAGTAGAAGTTAAGGGAGGTACCTCTCCTGAATGAGCTAACAGCTCCAAACTTCTAGCATTTGAAAGGCTGTGAAGAACATTTTGTCCACCCAAAGTTTTATCATCATTGAACCCATTGTTAGAACTGGAGCCATGATATTTACCACCCATACTGCAATCACCTCCATCATCATGGTCTTTATACTGCTCAAATTTATATTCATTCACAATCTCATTGTACTCATATGTATCAGCATCACTATTGATATCATTTTCATAGTTATAGTCATAGTCATCACTGATGTCACTGGAAAGGTCATCAAAATAATCTTCAGAAGAGCCACCATAAGAATAATCAGAAGAGAAACCATCCACCTCATGTCCTTTTTTAGAATCACCAATAAGTAGCGAGTCATCAATCATGATACTTCCTGTGACCAGCGACCCAGAGTCCTTGAGCACGGGAACCCATTTCATTGGTGTGATGCATTGTAAAAACACGAGGTTTGGAGCACCAACAGAGAGATTCATAGTGAACTTGCATTCAACCATGATCAAACTCTTCAGAGTGACTGATGAAATCTCACGGGCACTTACCACGCATTTCTTGAGCTCCAGTTCTTCCAAAGAAGGGCATCGAGAGGAGAATCCCCTGAAAACATCGTCATCCAGCTCGGCGTACGACAGTTTCAAGATTTTGAGATGGTTGGAAGCGAAGACCTGGTGAGCAAATACAACGAACATCCCATAATGATCTTCAAGCTGAATCACCCGAGCTTTTCTCTTGATAGCTTCACTAATCCACTTCTCGACATCGACATTCTTAAACTTGTCCCCGAAACCATCCACGTGAGCAGAGCGCAGCCGGAGCGTGTCCACCGGCGCGAGCTCGTCGCGAGCGAGCAGCAGCCGGTTCACGAACCTGCGCGTGTCACTCGGCGCATTGCGGTCGCGCGTCCAGAGGACGTCGGCGCAGGGGCAGGGCGCGGAGGCCCGGTGGTGGCGCATGCGCCTGTTCATCGGCGGCGGCTGGCGGTCGCTCGTCAGGAGGATGTCGACGCAGGGCGCGGAGGCCCAGAGGTGGCGCCACCGCCGCGAGAGCACGCAGGTGCGCGCCGCCTCCCACGCCTTGAGGAACGACATGACGTGGTGCAGCACCATGTCCGGCATCTCGCTGAGGCGGTCTTCGCCCGAAGCGACGGCGTCCTCCTCCGCGATGCCGGGCTCCCCCTCCTCCTCCGCCGCCGCCGGCGGGTCGGTTTCGTTCAGCGGCATTTCGTCGAACACCTGGACTTCACCGTAAGCGACGGCATCCTCCTCCGCGCTGCCGGGCTTCCCTTCCTCCTCCTCCACCACCGCCGGGTTGGTTTCTTCCAGCGACATTTCGTCGAACACCTGGCCTGCACGGGACACGACAGCCATGGAAACGCAACTCGAGATCAGAACAAAAAAAGAAAAAGAAGAAGAAAAGTTCGCGACGAATCCTTGCAAGAAGCAACCAAACCTGGAGAAGGGGAATGGAAACTTACGGAGAGATCAGCTGCGATGGCGAGGAATCTCGTGATCCTTCAGAGCAACGGGAGGTTGAAGACGAAGGCGTAGTGGTTGATCCTTTTTTTCCCCCTTTTTGAGAGGAGAAAATAGAAATAGTTGAATACCGAAATGGGACTCTCTAGTCTCTACTCTCTACCCACCCAAGGAATTTCCTCCAGATTCCGATGTTTTACTCCCACGATAAAACAAACAGATTTATTATGAGACTAGCTAAAAAGCTAAAAAACTGTGAGTGTTTTTTCAGAGAAAACTTTCAAATCTAACTTATAGTATATAGTTTCACTAGAACTATACTATAATAATAATAACTTGTATATATGTATTAAAATAATATATGCAACTTTATATCTAATTTATATAGAGATAATAATGTAGTTATAGTGTAGTTACACTATAGCTACAATGTAATTATAGCGTAACTACAATGTAACTAGCATGTAACTAGAGTGTAACTATGTAACTTGAACAAATCTGCCATAAACATGCGATGATGGGATTAGCTTGTGAAAATAGGGTTTAGATCCGGTAGCAAAATATCTAAGCACAAATCTTAGCGCAGAATCAACGGCCAAAAAATTTGACAGTTTTCTGTCGATAGTTAGCTAGCAGAACCGTTTACGGGTATCACATGAACTTTTCTTTTCAAGATTTATACTTCGGCCATCTTCTCCGGTGACAGCAACAATAATTTGGTAGCGATGGTCACCAGAATAAGTTACTAAACGCTCAGGCCTAGAGATAGTACGCGATGTGTCTAGGCGGTTGCGGTAAAACCAAGTAGCCTTAGGAAGTACTAGCGTATCTAGCAGCATGAGCCACTAGAGATGGGCATGAGGTAGCAAGGTCTTTTTCGAGAGGAAGAAATGGAGGATGGCAGGGAGGAAGTGTGGCGGTGATAGGTGGAAGGAGGGGAAGGGGAGACAAAAGACTAGGGTTTATGGACTAGGGTTTTTAACCGAAGGTGTGAAACGGTCCGAACAACTTGATGTAGAGCATGAAAAAAATGCCAGACAATTTTTACGAGAGAATTGACTTAACTCTAAATAGAAACTCTAGTAAGATTGATTTTCCTTTTTTGTATGGTGATGTGTTGGGCCAATCCGGTAGATAATAAGTAAAGAATTGCAATAAATAAAAGCCTATTTGGTAGAAATTTCAAAGGAAATTGAAGAAATGGAGAATTATGGGTTTTCACCTTTCTTTTTTTAAATGGAGGAATACGCTAGGAATTTTCATAGAAATTCTTCCTAGGTTTTTGTCTTTTCATGTACTTTTCGAAGGAAAGTAAACATGAGCTCGAACTGAACGGAGAAATTTCCTTAGAATTAAATATATACTCAACCTAATTCGTGTGTTCTAACACCAACCTATTTATTTAATATAGGAATAGCAGGAAGAGAGTACATGGAAGCATATATTTCCTGTATAGGATAGCATTCAAATTAGTGATGTAAGTAGATAATCCCGCTACCCGTATAAAAACCTATTTTATAGTTTATTTCCAACTACTAGTATACAATTTGAAAAAAATAAAATAAATTTGTGATAAGTGGAAAAAAAAAAGTTTGTCCACACCACTTGCTTCCCTGATTAAATGGTTCCAAATGTAAACCATCATTGAAATAGTATTGGCCACCAGATAACGTTTATAACATACTAGAGCAGGCGACATGCACAGTAATGTGGCCAAGATGTCTCAGCTGTTGGACTTGACACCATGAGAAAATGAAGAGTATAAACATAGTTGCAATCATCAACACAATTACAGAACTACGAAGTGTTAGATGGATCTCCCTCCCCTTGAGCCCAACGGCTCAAGGGGGCCTTGACCCGCGCCCTGATCGGGGGCGCCCAGCCCAATCGCTGGTGGGCCCCCGTCACACTGTGCCATATAAAGAGGGGTGGAGGACGGGACGGGATAACGTTACAAGGAACGAGGTTCGTCGCCGCCGCCACTCCACCCCATAAACCCTAACCGATCGAGGGGGCGCAGCCAGTGACGGGAAGTCCACCGCCGCGCCACGCCTCGTCGTCGACACCGTCACTGCTGCAACCGCATCACCGCCATCGGAACCGAGCACATCATCGCCGCCGTCCACGTCAAGCCCGCGACGACAACGACGATGGCCGGCCGGACTTCCTCTTCCTCAACAACGACTGGTCACAACCCTAAATCCTCTCACTCCCTCTTTGTTCATTCATCTATTGTTGTTCATCCATTGCAAATAGAACCACCCGACTAGATCTAAACCTAGGTGATCCAATAGACAACCCTAACACGAAGGCCAGACAATCAATCACAAAACCAGATATATTCAGCGGGAATTGCTCCTACTCAAACATGATATAGCAATTCACAGGACTCCAAGTCTCTAAACATTCTGATCAGCCATCTATTTTCATGCAACACCAACGAATGCAAAGTCTTGCACATACCCAGGTACCTGTACTAAAACTGATGCATATACACATCCAGTAGACAATCCTAGTGTTAACTGCAATGTAAACTCAGCACTGGATTCCTCAACGCCCGCACCGGCTTTCGGCATTTTAGGCACCTTTCCCTCACTCCAGGCTTCTACTATTTCACACCGTTCACCACTTCTTTGCGAGCCTCAAATGATCCTCTTGCTCTTTCTGTTTCGCCCTGGAGTCTCTACGAGTTCTGGATGTGCGACGAACAAAAATCCTCTGACGCTGTAGGCCGTTAGCTTCGAGGAATTCCGCCAGCTTATGGACCATTACATCATCTTCACAACATGTGATCTTAACCTTCTTCAGGTTGTTGCAAGCAAATGATCCTCCACTTGGATCGATGTCCCCTCTTCCTCTGTGGACCTAAAACAATGATTTAAGGGATCAATAACATACTTAAACACTCCAAGCAAACTTTTTTTCAAGCATGTGAGTACACATACCATGTCAAGGTGAATATAAAGCCTTTCTACATTAGGTGATTTCTCAAGTATGGTTGACAAAGCACTGAAGTCAGGAACCATACACCATTCACCAAGGGACAGAGTATTCAGGTTAATGAACATGGGGAAATTTTCCAATTCCCTCCTCAGAAGCAGCTGCACATTTCCATAGATACCAAATGATTCAGTGACCCAAATAAATCAAAAGATATGTGCATTGACAAATCAAAAGTGGTACATGGACAAGATTATAGGAAAAAAATCACAGGTTTGCAATCATCAGATGAATATTAAACTAGCCTTGAAAGTTCTGCCACTTTTAGTAATCAGTTAGTACACATGTTGCACTACCAACAAATGTTCCAGAATGGCAACCAAAATTTGTCCTGGTATGAGATGAACCCAAGGTTTTGCTCAAGTGAGTTGTGAAATATTTGTGAGATGTACTTCCATTATGTAAAAAAAATGTAACTAACATACTAGCTTGGTCAGAGACAAATATATAACTTCCTTTGGCCAGAGACAAATAAAAAAGAACTGCTAATTGCGAGTTCTAGTAAAGGCACGGTAACAAGTCAGCCATGAGATAAATTCGAAGTTCAATACACCATAGAGAGAAATGATTGAATACTAGTGCACTAGAAGATCAGGTAGGAACATAAGAACTTGCAGTAGTACCTAAAAGATGTACAATGTCACCTGAGTGACACCAATTCATTTGGCTGATCAATTAGTAAGAAACTTCTTAATATTGTCATCAGCAAGCTACAACGGAAGCATTTTGTAAGGACGTTGTTTGAGTGACAGTACTGTAATGTTAGCAATATGAGCACTCTTTGTACTATAAACTGAGTTAACCATACTAATTTGAGAAATCTCGTAACAAGCAGAACTGACCAAACTTTCTTCTACACATTAAGTTTATGAAGACAGTTCTGTTAATGCACCGGTAACTAGTTCCTTTCTCATACAGTGACATATTTGCTTGCAAAGAATTGTGCAAAAGTAATGCGTACATCCCGGAAAAAGAAAGCATACAAATAAGAGAGAACATAATATGTAGAATGACATGATCAAACGTAGCAGGGTGATTAAACACTACCTCTCCTTCCCGGGCTATCATGATCAGAGATGTCTTTACAAGAACATTAAATAAACCATAGGGACCACAAATTGTAGAATCATCGCTCTCAGAATATCCTCCATGTTCATCACCAGGACCACCATTACTGGAGTACTCATCTGCAATCTCATCATAGGCCACAGTACAATCATCATCATTGCAACCTTCAAGATCATCTTGATCAGATTTACTGCCTCTCTTATCGTCAGATTGTACAGCACTAGCATTTGCAAAGAAATCATCATCATGATCATATCCATCGTCGTCATTCAGCCACACTGGCCACCAAAGTCTATCAGACGAGGAATTGGATCCCCCCTTTCTCTCAATGCCGAGAGGTCTGATGAAGCAGAGCGAGACAAGGTTCGGAGCATCAACCAAAAAGCCATCATCGATATAGCATTTGATGATAGACAAGCGCTTCAGCGAGGCCGATTGAATCTGCCCTTCAAGTAGGCGAACATCCTCGAGCTCTAATTCTTCCAAAGAAGTGCACCTAGAGCAGATTTGCGTGATAGACCTGATGTCCATGCCGACACGCATCAGCTTCAAGATCTTGATCTTGGGAGAAATGAAGCTCGTGAACTCCGGCTCCGGTTCCAGAGAACCTTGGTGATGCCTCGTGGAGAGTTCGATTTCTTCGGCCCCGCGCCTGACGGCATGAGCGATCCAGTTGTTGGCGTCGCCGTCGTGGCTCCAGCACAGCCGGAGCGCCTTGATGGGAGCGAACGGGCGGCGCCTGAGGAGCAGGGTGTCGACGAAGCCGTGGAACCTCTCCTGGTCGGCGCGCTCGTTGCAGGCGCAGGGGTGGCGGATGTCGACGCGCGGCGCGGACGCCCACACGTCGCGCCACCGCTTGGAGAGCACGCTCGTGCGCACCGCCTGCCACGCCTTCAGGTGCGACACGATCCTGCCGAGCACCGCGTCCGGGAGCGCGCTGAGGCGGTCCTCACCACCGCCCCCGCCACCACCGGAAGGCCCCGCCGCCTCCCCGTCGTCGCGCCGCGGCGCCTGCCCCGCGGCTCCCTGCTGCATTCCGTCGAACGGGTTGCCTGCAATGGACACGGCGACCAACCACATCAACAAACTCCAGAACCAAAGAGGAAATCAACCAACAACGGCGAATCGGCAACCAAGAATCGCAAGAAAAGCATCGGAGCAGGTGATCGAGGGGAGGGGGAGAAGAACTCACGGAGAGATTGGGGATTTCTTGGCGAATCGATGGGCGCCAAGAGCTCTCGCTGCTTTCGACTTTCAACTTTGGAGCACCAGCAGGTGGTAGAACGGCTTCGAGACACAAGGGGCGAGGAATTACCGAAAATGCCCAGTATATATAGGCCTAAGAACTAGTGTATTGTTTATGGAAAAAGAAAAGGTGTAGGGCTTTTTATCCCAGGTTTCCCAACTCATCTTCCTCGTTTTCCGCGTGCATGCTTTTCAAATTGCTAAACGGTGTGTTTTTTTCAAAAAGTTTATACACGAAAGTTGCTTAAAAAATCATATTGATCCATTTTTGAAAAAAATAGCTAATACTTAATTAATCACGCGCTAATGGACCGTTCTGTTTTCCATGCGCACTATTCCGGTTGGAAACACGATGGAGCGAAGACAGCCTAAATTAACCTCTGAACTACTATGACGGTACAAATTATCCCCTTAATTATAAAATTAGACATCATTCATCCTCAACTTTTCGTACCAAACGAATAACCCCCTGACTTGCTCTAAAGGGTAGTCTAATTAGCATAAAGAAATTTTAAAAGTGGTGACAGTGACCGAGACGGAATCAACACATCGGCGAATTGGGCTACAATGGCGGTGGCGCCAACGATGACGAGGCTGTTGTCGTGAAAAGCTACTTGAGCTCGACGTAGCCAGGAGATGGGGAAGAAAAAGAGAGAGATGGGGGGGGGGAGAGCATGGCGGAGCTAGATTGGTAGTCATGGCTCTCTTCTTCTGTGGTGGTGGCGACGGCGATGACAACGAGCGGCAAGGGATTGGCTTTGGGGGTGGGGTTGGCGAGGTGGCAAAGTCGAATGGCCATGTAGGGTAATAGACCTATCGCAATGTGGAGATGATTGGATGCGAAGCTCGAGGTGGTGTCGGTTCCACGTGGAGATCGGGGTGGTGACAGATCCAACTAGAGCTCAGTTCGGTGGCGAACTCCATGAGGTGTTTGAGAGAGGTACTTGTCTACTCCCCGCTTCTTGCCTCCATCGCCACCACCACCATCTCATTGAGCTCCTGATGCGCTCCACCTCACCTCCTCTCTCCCTCCACCTATTTGTTCGCGAGTGAATGGGCAGAGATCCACGGCGACCGAGATGAGTCAGGAAAGAAGAGACCAATATATAGAGGAAGAAGCAAAACTGACATGTGGACCCTACCATTTAAAATTTTTTTATGCTGAATGGACTACCACTTGTGCGTCACGTAAGATGAAAACCGCTCCAAAGCCAATGGAGTGGGGGGTAATTCATCCTGTAAGGAATTTTGAGGGTGAATGATGTCTGGTATTGTTATTCGAGGGGGTAATTTGTACCATCGCAGTAGTTTATGGGGTAATCCAAACCTTTTTGTTTATTGAGTAAATTTTGTAAAACCACACGTTTTATGGTCAAAAGTTCCAGTAAACCATGTATATATTACTGGTGGCATATAACTACACATTTTATGTTTTAAAATTCAATTGATTTCAACATATTTGAGACAATATCTTTTAAAGTAGTGAAGATTTAAACCAACAACCTCAATCAATCAATAACTAAAAAGATTCATACACATTCTATGTTTTACAATTTTAAGTAAATATATACCAAATATGTAGAGGGGTAGGGTTTTGAAAAATTTTAGAACCACAATAGTTGGGGTTATGTGACAAGCCATAATACCTGGGTTTTATGCAACTTCAATCATATAATACATGGTGTTTGCTGAAATTTGCTCTTGTTTGTGTATTAATGTTTCTCCATTGGAATGAATTTTTTTTGCCGATTCTAGAAATTCCCCAGATCAATTTCTTTTTAATTATGAACAATCTCACCGTATATACTAATCTACTTTTTTTTGAAAGATATATACTAACCTACTTAAATAAAAATGCAGAATTGCATGTCTTTCGTCCATCTCATAGTTTCGAGAACCAAAAAGAAAACAAAACATATTGTATGATGCTGCTCTTCACAACCTAAAACTCAATTTATTCCTGAAGCCATTTCACGCAGTGCGATTCCATCAAAATAAAATCAGAATCGAACCCAGAGCTCACTCCTCAATTTTCGCTAAGACGACATTTTGCCCAGTCAGAGCGAGTTACTCCATACAAACATTGCAACTCAAACATGATGCAGCAGTTCACAAGATTCTCCAAGTCACTGAACATTGTGACCAACCATCTTTTTTTCATGCAACACCAACGAATGCAAAATTTTTCATATATCCAGGTAACTGTACTAACACTGTGCATATAGTTACACATTCAGTAGACAATCCTACTGTTAACTGCAATGTAAACTCAGCACTGGATTCCTCAACATCCATACCGGTTTTCAGCATTTTAAACACCTTTCCCTCACTCTGGGCTTCTACTGTTTCGTGCCCTCCTCAGCTGTTTCACTGCTCGCCTCGCAGCTTCGTCTTGCGCCTTCCGTTTTGCACTGGAGTCCTTGCCCGTGCCTTCCTCGCCATTATGAGTGCTGGAAGTGCGACGAACAAAAATCTTCTGAAGCGATATGCCGTTACGTTGGAGGAATTTTGCCAGCATATGGACCATTACATCATCTTTACGGCATGTGATCTTAACCTTCTTCAGGTTGTTGCAAGCAAATGATCCTCCCGTTGGGTTGATGCCCCCTCTGCTTCTGTGGATGTCCTGTAAAATGATGATTTAAGTAGTTAACCACATGCTTAAATGCTAAGAAAACAATTTACAAGCACGTGTGAGTAAACGTACCATGTCAAGGTTAAGATAAAGCCTTTCTACATGAGGTGAGTTCTCAAGTATGGTTGACAAAGCACTGAAGTCAGGAGCCATACACCATTCACCAAGGGTTAGAGTGTTCAGGTTATTGAAAATGGGGCAATTTTCCAGTTGCCTCCTCAGAAGCATCTGCACATTTACACAGAAATGCATCGTTTATTCTATTGAAAAGATTCAATGATTCAAAACATTGGTCCTACCAGAGTAATAAGATATGTCCATGGACAGTTACTGGCATTTTCAGTTCCCCGATTAGTAGTTAGTACACGTATTGGCTCCCGACGAATGTTCCAGAATACCAACCTAAAACTTCTCCTAATTAATATAAACTGAGGTATTTGTGATATGTTGGTATTCTAGTGCTGAGGTAACTAATATGCTTGCTTGTTGTTTGATAAAATGGATAACTTCTTCTGGCCAAAAGCAAACAGAAAATTCGACAAATAAAAAAAAACATAAATGCTGATTCTAGGGAGTTCTTTTAAGATATCATAACTCGTCAAACTGGAAGTTAGATTCAAAACTCAGTACAATACGGAGAGAAGTAACTTAGACTTTATTATGGCATTGAAAATACTAGTGCACTAGTAGATCAGGTAGGAACATTTGAACTTGCAGTAGTACCTATCTACAATACAATGTCACCTGGGTGACGCCAATTCATTTGTCTGATCAATTAGTATAAGGTACTTCTTAATATTTTCACCAACAAACTATGATGGAAGCATTTCGAAAGGATGCTACTTAAGGCAAGTAATGTAACGTCAGCAATGCTAGTACTCTGTATTTTTAAACTGAGCCATACTGATTTGAGAATCTCATTACCAACAGAGATAACCAAACTTTCTTCTACATTAAACTTTTGAAGGGAGTTCTGTTATCTCAATAGTAGTACCTTTCCCATACAACACATTGCCAACATTGCCATATTTGCTTGCAAAGAAATGAGCATAATTAGCGTGCACACTTTAGAAAAAGCATACTAGTAAGAGAAGGCAGTAGTATCGATAAGGTGACAACATTACCTCTCCTTGATGGCCTAACAGACCCAAAGTTCTAACATCTGACAAGTGGTCAAGCATATGATCACCACCGAAAATAGTATAATCATGGTTCCCATAGTTTCCGCCATATTCATCACTGGGAATGGGAATACCATAACTGGAAGACTCATCTGCAATCTCACCATAGGTCACAGTTCGATCATCGCCACCTTCAAGATCATCAACCTCTTTATCACCAGACTCAGAACCATCCTCATGATCATATTCACCATCATGATCATCAAGATCAGATTTACTACCGTCCCTATTTCTCTTATCACCAGAGTCATTATCAGCTTCATTGTCTCTCTTATCATCAGGGCCCTCAGCTTTAGGTGCAAAGAAATTATCATCATAATCAGACCCATCGTTGTCATCCTCCAACACTGGCTGCTGATAGTCATCACTCAAGCGAGAATCATCAAGCACGACAGTGGCTTCCACCAGCGACACCATGTGGCTGAACCAAGGAACAGCTCGGGCAGGTCTGATGCAGCAGAGCGATATAAGATTGGGAGCTTCAACCAGGAAGCCATCGGATGTCACATGGCAGTTGATGATCGACAAGCGCTTCAGCGAGTCTGATTGAATTCCCCCCCAGAGTGATTTGATATCCTTGAGCTCCAGTTCTTCCAAAGAAGTGCAGCCAGAGCAGAGCAGGTCGAGGGTGTTGTCGGCCGTGAACCTCGTCGTCCCGAGATGCGTCAGCTTCAAGATCTTGATCTTGGGAGAAATGAAGTGTTTGTAATCCGGCACCGGGTAGCCATGGTGACGCCTCGCGGAGAGATCGATTTCTTCGGCCCCGCGCCTGACGGCGTGAGCGATCCACGCGCTCACGTCGTCCTCGTCGTGGCTCCAGCTCAGCCGGAGCGCCTTGAAGGGGGCGAGCGGGCGGCGCCTGAGGAGCAGGATGGTGACGAAGTCGCGGAAGCTCTTCTGGTCGACGGCGCGGCCGTCGCAGGCGCACGGGTAGCGGACGTCGACGCGCGGCGCGGACGCCCACACGTGGCGCCACCGCCTGGAGAGCCCGCTCGTGCGCACCGCCTCCCGCGCCTTCAGGTGCGACACGATCCGGAACAGCACCGCGTCCGGGAGGGCGCTGAGACGGTCGCCGCCACCGCCGGATGGGCCAGGTCCCGCCGCTCCCTGGTGCATTCCGTCGAACAGTTCGCCTGCACATGGACAATGAACACATCGTGACGCGTTCAAAGAGAAAGTCAACCAAGAAAAAGGAATTCGATCGCAAGAAACACATCGGAGTAGGTGATTGAAGGGGAGGAGGAGGAGAACTCACGGAGAGATTGGGGGATTTCTTGGCGAAATCGATGGGTCGCGCCAAGAGCTCTCGCTGCTTTCGAGTTTCGATAGAACGGCTTCGCGCTTCGAGAGACGATGGGGGAGGAATTACCAGAAATGCCCAATATATATACTAGTCCTCACTATATCTGGGGGATATTTCTTTGTTCAAATTTCCTCCGGTGAAAAAGAAATGTCAATTCTGGAAACTTCCCATGTCATTTTTTTTGTAGTATTTGAATTTAAACATGTACTAGAAAACTGCGCGGCAAATACAGAGATTGGCATATGGTGTACTAAATTGTTAGACAGTAGCATAACTCGGCGGAACTTTTAGTTTGTGGTTCAAAGAAATCGAATAGAATAATACTCCCTCTATTTTAAAATGTATAATGCCGTTAATTTTTGACATAACATTTGACTATCCGTCTTATTCAAAATAATTATACAAATATCATTTATTTTATTATCAAAGAAACTATAATATTAACTTATACTCTTTTATATTTATATTAAATTTATAAATAAGATAAATGGTCAAACGTTACGTGAAAAGTCAATGACATCATACATTTTGAAAAGAATGTAGTATGATTTTCATACGAGAATACGTCATAGGAGATACCTTGCAACCTATTCTTCTGGCATACTCCGTACTATGCCTTCGATGCGTCTAGCTAGGCTCGCCTGAAGTTGGATTCTTGCTTTCCAAATTTCAAAAGTACAATTTCTGCAGCAATGCCCTGAAATGAGCAATATATATAAGCATCTAACATTTGAATGATTCCAAAGGTTCGGATATTCTGTAGAGCTGTATGGGGGTAACCGGGTAACATAATTAAGCTTACCAAATTAAAGTAAAGTCCGTTGCAATCTTGTTGATCAAAAGCGTTTGTACGTATGCCAGATTTGCTTCGGGGTTTTGATGCTTCAATGAAAGGAAAATCGCTCATGTAGGTACTTAAACCAGTATTTTGAAACTAATGAGTTGCTAATGAGTATTTATTAATAAATCATATGCTAAGAGCACCTGCAATGGTAAAGTAAGGTGCTATCTATAAAACATATACATCTCAGCAATAGACTAGATTAATAATAAACCGCCTCAATAGTATGTCTACATGGGTATCTATAGCTCTCTCATGCATTGTCTCGTTTTTCTCTATAGACTATCTCTAAATTAGTAGATAGCTTTGCTCTCTCTCTTCATTTAATATCTTCCATGTAGGAAAATATGCTGACATAGATCTCTTATAGAGAGCCTATAGATAACCATTGTGGGTGCCATAATGAGTTGTTTCGTTTTGCGTGTGCTAGAGATTAGTTTCCAACATCAACATTCGAACACAGCCTTAATTAATCAAATTCGACACTCTTCTTGGTATTGCTACCCAAAACAAATACTCACAATAAAAATTTATAGAGGGAGTATTAAATAGTAGCCTTAATTCTATGAATATTGAAGGGGCAGCCGCAGCTCTTTTACATCTTTGCCTTCTCTATGTGTGGAGTGATCTGGAAAGTTCACACGGCAATCTGGGTTTTAGGAAATGTTTCTGCTCATGCACTGATTAATGGAATGATGCTCCATCCTCTACCACGTGGCAAAATTTCAGACGATGTACGCTAAATTTTCAGGATACCACGTGGGCCAATCAAGTGCCAGGGATGGTACCCTGAAATCGGTTAGTAAGATATAGACTATAGTCTCAGAATATTTGGTTTGGATTTTACAGGTAGTAGTTTCGATTACTCATGACAAAAATATAATAGTAATAGCAAGAAGAAAGAATGTAGAAGTAGTGGGAGTACTAGTGAATTGGTGGTGATTCTACTATGTATAAATTCTAGCATGGTAAAGTGAACCATTTCAACAGTTTAGAGTTAAAACGAGAAAGAAAATAGTTTAGGGGTTAAGTGATCAAGTAAAATAATTCGGGGGAGTAAAATAGATGTTTTTATTTCTATCCTGCACTGTACTAGAGCATACGACATGCTAATGTGGCTAGAGTACGAACATATTTTCTCTTTTTTAGGGGAGCATAATGTGGCTACAGTACGAACATGTTTCTTCTTTTACGGGGAGTATAAACATAGTTGCAAACATGACACCATGACAAAACTAATTAGGCCAGATGATCAGACCGTGAAATCACAAAGACAAATGTAGCCACTGCCAATTACTCAATACATCAAACATGACATAGCAATTCACAGGATTCCAAGTCACTGAACATTGACCAATCATCTATTTTCATGCAACACCAACGGATGCCTAATTCTGCATGTAACCAAAGTTACCTGTACTAGAATTGATGCATATACACATCCAGTGAAGAATTCTACTGCTAACTGCAATGTAAACTCAGCACTGGATTCCTCAGCATTTTAAACATGTTCCCCTCACTCCGGGCTTCTACTGTTTCGCGCCCTCCTCTGTTTCACTGCTAGCCTCGCAACTTCGCCTTGCGCCTTCCGTTTCGCACTGGAGTTACTACCTCTGCCTTCCTTGCCATTATGTGGGCTGGAAGTGCGACGAACAAAAATCTTCTCAGGCGATACACCGTTATCTTGGAGGAATGGAGCCAGCATATGGACCATTACATCATCTTTACAACATGTGATCTTAACCTTCTCCAGGTTGTTGCAAGAAAATGATCCTCCACTGGGATCGATGCACCTTCTTCTTCTGTGAATCTTTTGTAAAACGATGGTTCAAGGGATTAATAACATGCTTAAACACTTTAAGCAAACATGTAACAAGCATACGAGTACACGTACCACGTCAAGGTGAAGATAAAGCCTTTTTACATTTGGTGATTTCGTAAGTATGGTTGACAAAGCACTGAAGTCAGGAACCATACACCATTCACCAAGGGACAGAGTATCCAGGTTATTAAACATGGGGAAATTTTCCAATAGCCTCCTCAGAAGCAGCTGCACAAGTACACATTTCCATAGATATCAAAATGATTCAGTGACCAAAAACATTTCTCCTACCAGAGAACAACGAAATGTGCATTGATAAAATCAAAAGTGGTAGATGAGCAGGTAAAAAGAAATCACAGGTTTGCAATCATCACGGGAATACCAACCTATACATTGAAAGTTACTGCCACTTTTAGCAGTCAGTTAGTAAACATGTTGCACTAGCAACAAATGTTCTAGAACGGCAACCTAAATTTCTCCTGTTATGACTTATGAAATGAATCCAAGGTTTCTCTCAAGTCAATGTGAAATATTTGTGAGATATTGGTAGTGACTACGCTGAAGTGCTGAGTTGTACTTCCATTATCTAGAAACGAGTAACTAATGTGCTAGCATGGTCTTATATGATAAAAGAAACTTCTTCTGGCCAAGGCAAACAGAAAAATCGACAGGTAAAAGTAAAAAAAAAATGCTAATTGAGAGTTCTAGTTAAGGCACAGTAACAAGTCGACCATAAGATAATATTCAAAGTTCAACACCATAAAGAGAAGGTGATTGAATACTTGCACACTAGTAGATCAGGTAGGAACATGATAACTTGCGGTAGTACCTAACAGATATACAATGTCATCTGGGTGACACCAATTCATTTGGCTGCTCAATTAGTAAGGAACTTCTTAATATTGTCATCAGCAAGCTACAACGGTAGCATTTTCATTTCTTTGAGTGGCAATACTATAACTTCAGCAATACTAGTACTCTTTGTAACTGAGCTAGCCATACTGATTTGAGAATGTCATCAACAGAACTGACAAAACACTCTTCTACACATTAAGTTTATGAAGACATTTCTGTTATTACACCGGTAACTAGTTCCTCTTCCATACTGCAAATTTTGTTGCAAAGAAGTTTAGAAAAAGCATACAAAATTGAGAACACGATAGTATCAGCAAGGTGATTAAATATTACCTCTCCTTCATGAGCTGACGCATCCACAATTGACTTCACTGGGAAGTTCAAATTTCCAAACTTATTAGCTCTACCGTAATTCGCAGAATCATGGTTCACATAATTTCCCCGATATTCATCACCGGGATCACCATTACTGGAGTACTCATCTGCAATCTCACCATAGGCCACTGTACGATCAGACTCCTCCTTATTGCCGGGTTCATAAGACTCGCATTCATTGTCACCATCGTAGGAAACAGAATATGGGGAAGGGGGACCATCATCATCATGATCAGATTCACTGGCTATGTTATCATCAGAGCCATCATCAAAACCATAGTCTTGATCAGATTCATTCTCTCTCTTATCATCAAAGTGTTCGCCACTAGCAATTGCAAAGATATCACCATGATCAAATCCATCGTTGTCATCCTTCCATACTGGGGATGGCCACCTACGATTATCAGACGAGCAAATGGATTCCTTGGTTCTCTCAAAGCTGAGAGGTCTGATGAAGCAGAGCGAGATAAGGTTCGGAGCATCAACCAAAAAGGCAACAGAGATAAAGCAGTTGATGATAGACAACTGCTTCAGCGAGGCCGATCGAATCTGTCCATCAAGTCGTCGAAAATCCTTGAGCTCTAACTCTTCCAGAGAAGTGCACCTAGAACAGATATGCGTGATGGCCTTGATGTCCATCCCGAAAGTCGTCAGCTTCAAGATCTTGATCTTGGGAGAAATGAAGCTTGTGTACTCTAGCTCCGGCTTCGGATCATCTTGGTGATGCCTCGCGGAGAAATCGATTTCTTCGGCCCCACGCCTGACAGCATGAGCGATCCACGTCTCGGCGTCGCCATCGTGGCTCCACCACAGCCGGAGCGCCTTGATGGGCGCAAATGGGCGGCGGTTGAGGAGCATGGTGGTGACGAAGTCGCCGAACCTCTCCTGGTCGGCGCGCTCGTCGCAGGCGCAGGGGTGGCGGATGTCGACGCGCGGCACGGAAGCCCACACGTGGCGCCACCGCTTGGAGAGCACGCTCGTGCGCACCGCCTGCCGCGCCGTCAGGTGCGACACGATCCGGAAGAGCGCCGCGTCCGGGAGCGCGCTCAGGCGGTCCGCGCCACCGCCACCGCCACCGCCACCGCCGGACTGCCCCGCCTGCCGCGCCGCTCCCTGATGCATTCCGTCGAACAGGTTGCCTGCAATGGACACGTCGACTCCCCGAATCAAAAGAACCCACAACGAACGTTTCTGCTCAGCTACGACGAGCGGAAAACCACCGAGAATCGCAAGAAACACATCGGAGCACGCGATCGAGGGGAGGAGGAGAAGAACTCACGGAGAGATTGGGGATTTCTTGGCGAAATCGATGGGCCGCGCCAAGAGCTCTCGCTGCTTTCGAGTTCCGATAGAACGGCTTCGCGCTTCGGGAGACGAGGGGGAAGGAACTACCAAAAATGCCCAATATATATAGGGGATACGTATTTGTTTGTTTAATTTTCCTCCAGTGGAAAAAAAAGAATGTCGATTCTGGAAATTTCCGATTTCATTTTTTGTACTACTACTACTACAGTATTTACCTTTAAACATGTTTATAGTCTGAAAAAAATTTGTTTTGGATTTTACAGGGGTAAATTTTTTGTGGCAACTAATTTCGATTATTCATTACACAAATATAATAGTAATAGCAGTAAGAGAGTATATATTTGTATTTTAGTGTGAAATACAACTTATATATAGAGAGAAGAAAAGATAAATACCATTTATGAACTAAAGTGAATTCAGTGAACCGTTTTTAATAGTTGAGGGTGTAAAATAAGCTGAAAAATAATTTAGGGGGTTTCGTGCGATGACGAAATAGTTAGTAGGAGTAAAATGTATTTTTTTTTCAGTTAGAAATGGTATGTATCTATCAGCCAATACAATTCCAACAGTGGTTAGGTCCTCATCGGTTGACCATATTTCCTATTAAGTCAAAACGGTTTATTAGTAAATAAAAAATAATTTATACATAAAACTTTATATATGTGTTTTAGCGACTTAAAAGCCAATCCTAAAAAAGAAACTACCACGTTGAAAATATCTTAAAATCAACTTCAAATTTAAATTTGAAAATTCAAATTTTGACTTTGGTTTTGGTTTATTAGGACAACCAATGGGGCTCTTACTTTCGAATACTGTCCTGGATAGAAATATATACTGTGCGTACTCCTTTCTTCGGTAATTACGTGCGAATTACACGATCACTCAAACACCAGCTATGCTATAATGTTCCCATAGACATGCTTGAAAAGACATGGTAATTTGGCTAGAGTAAGGGCATATTTTCTCTCTTTTTTTAGGGGAGTATGAACATAGTTGCAAACATCGACACCATGACGAGATTAAGGCCAGACAATCGTGGAATCACAAATCCAAATGTAGCCGCTGCCAATTACTACTCAATACATCAAACATGATATAGGCATATAGCAATTCACAGGATTCCAAGTCACTGAACATTGACCAACGATCTATTTTCATGCAACACCAACGGATGCATAATTTTTCATGTCCCCAAAGTACCTGTACTAGATTTGATGCATATACACATCCTGTGAAGAATTCTACTGCTAACTGCAATGTAAACTCAGCACTGGATTCCTCAGCATTTTAAACATGTTCCCCTCACTCCGGGCTTCTACTGTTTCGCGCCCTCCTCTGTTTCACTGCTAGCCTCGCAACTTCGCCTTGCGCCTTCCGTTTCGCACTGGAGTCCCCGCCTCCGTCTTCTTCGCCATTATGAGTGCTAGAAGTGTGATGAACAATCTTCTCAAGTGATATGCCGTTACGTTGGAGGAATTGTTTCAGCATATGGACCATTTCATCATCTTTACAACATGTGATCTTAACCTTCCTCAGGTTGTTGCAAGCAAATGATCCTCCACTTGGATCGATGTCCCCTCTTCCTCTGTGGATCTTTTGTAAAACAATGGTTTAAGGGATTAATAACATGCTTAAACACTCTAAGCAAACATTTAACAAGCATATGAGTACACGTACCATGTCAAGGTGAAGATAAAGCCTTTCTACCTTAGGTGATTTCTTAAGTATGGTTGACAAAGCACTGAAGTCAGGAACCATACACCATTCACCAAGGGACAGAGTTTTCAGGTTATTGAACATGGGGAAATTTTCCAATTGCCTCCTCAGAAGCACCTGCACATTTCCATACATATCAAGTGATTCAGTGGCCCAAAACATTTCTCCTACCAGAGCACTACTACGAATCTACAATATGTGCCATAAAATCAGAAGTGGTACATGAAGACCAGATTAGAGGAAAAAAATCACAGGTTTGCAATCATCAGGGGAATACCAACCTATGCCTAGAAAGTTACTGGCACTTTTAGCAATCAGTTAGTACACATGTCGCACTACCAACAAATGTTCTAGAATGGAAACCTAATTGTTCTCCTGGTATGAGAAGAACCCAAGGTTTCTCTCAAGTCAATTGTGAAATATTTGTGAGATATTGGTATTGTAATGCTGTAGTAACTATGTGCTGAGTTGTACTTCCATTATCTAAAAAAGAGAAACTAATGTGCTAGCTTGGTCTTATATGACAAAATAAATAATTTCTTCTGGCCAAGGCAAATGGAGAATTCGACAAATAAAAAAAAGATGCTAATTGAGAGTTCTAATTAAGGCACAACAAGAAGTCAACTATAAGATATAATCAAAGTTCAACACCATAGAGAAAAGTTATTGAATACTTGCACACTAGTAGATCAGGTACGGACATAAGAACTTGCCGTAGTACCTAATGTTGCCATTCATTTGGCTGATCAATTAGTAAGGAACTTCTTAATGTTGCCCTCAGCAAGCTACAACAGTAGTATTTTCATTTGTTTGAGTGGCAGTACTCTAACATCAGCAATACTAGCACTATTAACTGAGATAGCTATACTAATTTGGGAATCTCATCACCAGCAGAACTGACAAAACTTCCTTCTACACATTTAGTTTATGAAGACAATTCTGTTATTACACTGGCAATTAGTTCGTTTCCCATACAATGGAAATCTTCTTGCAAAGAATTGAGAAAAAGCAATGCGTGCAGTACTGCAGGGAAAAAAGCATACAAATAAAATAACGAAATAGTATCAGCAAGGCGATTAAACTTACCTCTCCATGATAAGCTGTCAAGCCCCTAGCTACCTTGATCAAGTTTTCCAACATATCATTGCTGTCGCAATCTTCAAGATCATCACCCTCCTTATCACTGGATTCATAAGACTCGCATTCACTGTCACTGCCATCACAGGAGTCCTTAGAATCAGAATATGGGGAAGAGGGAACATCTTCATCATGATCAGATTCTTGGTCTCTCTTATCATCTGAGTCTTCATCACTAGAACCATTGTCTTGATCAGATTCATTGTCTCTCTTATCATCAAAGTGTTCACCACCACTAGCAATTGCAAAGAAATCATCATCATGATCAGATCCATCGTCATCAAACTCCCACACTGACGCTGAGAATGGCCAACTCCTATTATCAGACGAGTGATTGGCTCCCTCCGTGCTCTTACCGCTGAGAGGTCTGAAGAAGCAGAGCGAGATAAGGTTCGGAGCATCAACCAAAAATCCATCAGAGATAAGGCAGTTGATGATAGACAAGCGCTTCAGCGAGGTCGATTGAATCTGCCCTTCAAGTGAATTAACATTCTTGAGCTCTAATTCTTCCAAAAAAGTGCACCTATAGCAGATCTGCGTGATAAACTTGATGCCCATCCGGACACGCGTCAGCTTCAAGATCTTGATCTTGTGAGAAATGAAGCTCGTGTACTCTAGCTCCGGTTTCGGATCATCTTGGTGATGCCTCGCGGAGAAATCGATTTCTTCGGCCCCACGCCTGACAGCATGAGCGATCCAGTTGTTGGCGTCGCCGTCGTGGCTCCAGCACAGCCGGAGCGCCTTGATGGGGGCGAACGGGCGGCGCCTGAGGAGCATGGTGGTGACGAAGCCGTGGAACCTCTCCTGGTCGGCGCTCTCGTCGCAGGCGCAGGGGTGGCGGACGTCGACGCGCGGCGCGGACGCCCACACGTGGCGCCACCGCTTGGATAGCACGCTCGTGCGCACCGCCTGCCGCGCCCCCAGGTGCGACACGATCCGGAAGAGCACCGCGTCCGGGAGCGCGCTGAGGCGGTCCGCGCCACCGCCACCGCCACCGCCACCGCCTCCACCACCACCCGACGGCCCAGCCTGCCCCGCCGCTCCCTGCTGCATTCCGTCGAACAGGTTGCCTGCAATGGAAACAGCGATCCACCGCATCAACCACCAAAGCGCGATTCTGCTAGCTACGAGGACAGCATCACGCGCGCAAGGAGGAAATCAACCAAGAAGAAAGAATTCTATCGCGAGAATTCTCACCGGAGCAGGCGATCGAGGGGGACGAGGTGGGAGAAGAGAACTCACGGAGAGATTGGGGACTTGCTTTTTTGGCGAATCGAGGACGGGCCTGCTTCGAAGCACCAGGACGGGTTTCAGGTTTTTTTTTTAAAGATAAAAAATAATACGGCCTAAACTTCATCAGATATTATAGATACCGAAGAAAAAAAAAGGGAAAACATCTTATTCAATACTATTTGTAAAGCTTTCATCCAAATTTGATGAAAATCTGCATGACAAAAAGTAGCAAACGAGAGGCTTCAAGTTCTACTTAAGAAATTTTATTACACGCCACTCAAATTGCAAATCTCTCGAAATTTTTTGCCACTCAATTTGCATGTCTTTTATCATTTATCGCCGAGTATGCGAATTCTTTCGTTTCGAGTCAATCCATCAATCCAAGCACGCTAGTCCATCAATGTCCATCTGTTGCCCCTGTTGTTGCTGCATCATCGAGCCCCCCTCTCACCACCCTTTTCCAAACACCCTCGTCCCCTTCCCTCTCCCAATCGCTCCCTCCTATCGCCATCCCATCGAAGGGCACCCGTGGAGTGCGGTAGCTGGTTGATGCGGCCTTGTCAAGGCTGAGGAAGTCAGCACAACATAATCCGCGGAACTTGCTGGTCAGCTTGTCGGTGAAAGAGGTGGAGGTTGTGGAGCTTGCAGGTGAATATCGTTATAGTGGCTGCTAATAGTGATGACTAGTAGTGTCGCTGATTCGATGCAGGGTGGGTTTTTCACGAGGAGCTATACCTGGTGGAGCTGCGAGGTTGATTTTGGTCATTGGAGCTCCGGCTTGGGCTCCGTTTGGGGGTCAAGGAGTAGGTTGCAGCAAGGGGAAGAGAATGCAAAATTGGAGGGGACATCGGAGAAAGGAGGGTGATGAGAGGGGGAGGTTGACGCTATCGATTTTGGCAGTACTGAGCGGCAACGACGGTGGTGGTGCCCAGCAACATGACAGAGGAAGCAGAAAAACGTTGGCGGACAGCGCGCTAGAATTGACGGAGTGGTACAGAACAAGAATTAGTATCCTCAGCAGCAAAGGTGGCATATAATGAAACTTCTCATTCTATTATTGGGGATTTGGCTATATAGACAGTGTTCTAATTTCAAGACATGCATTTTTGGCTAGGACGGAGGGGGTAAAAAGTCATGCTGGGGTCTTTTCTTTATGGAAGGAATGCAGTTAAAAGGTTGATGGATGATAGTGTTATTTATAGGGATGAATACTAAATATTAAATATTATGTACAATAAATCTAATAAATAGCTTGGAACAATTGACTAAGAGGAGGAAGGTTCTATGGATGTGTTTGAGTGTAGTAGTGTGTGTGTCTCTTTCATCTAAGGGTCTGTTTAGTTCACGAAAAGAAAATTTTTGGGTGTCACATCGGAGGTTTGACCGGATGTCGGAAAGAGTTTTCAGACACGAATGAAAAACTAATTTCATAACTCGCCTGAAAATATAGACCATGATTAGGCTTAATCTCTTTGGAATTGTGAAAATATTAGTTCAGCGGAATCAACTCTAATCGCTACTCCCTTCCTTTCAGAATGTAAGGTGTTGGTTTTATCCTAAGTCAAATTACTTCAAGTTTATAAAAAAAATTATAAAACATTTACAACACAATTTAATCTCTCTAAATCCACCATTGAATATATTTTTATAATATACTTTTTTGGTGTTAAAAAACGTTCTCCTATAACCTTGGTCAAACTTTGATGAAGTTTAACTTAGGACAAATCAAAACACAAAACATTCTGAAATATGAGTACATATCAAAACAAGACCACAAAATGTTACCAGTATCCGCGCCAAGTTGACAGCGTCGGCTGTCAGTTGGCCAGAACTAACAAACAGTTACCAGAAGTAAAAGTTCCAGAATGTGAAATAGGATCATTATGTTTGAAAAAAAAAATGTTTGATGCCGCAAAGCTAGAAACTGGGCAGATTTATGACATTACCTGAATACTAAGCAAGCATGAATTCTAACAGGTGAATTATGATATGAGGTTCTTAAAGACTCATTGGTTCATCCATATAATGAAACAGTATAAGTAACAATGACACCACATCAAAGACAACATCCAGACTCCAGGCTGACACATGCAGTCAAGTAACAGGTAATTATTACTGCAACAAGTTTGATCCACTGCGATTAAAACGAAAAGAAACTTAAATTGGTCTCAATGTTTCAGCAACCAGCTTAATTTGGCAGCAATTTTATTCACCATTGGAGCACCGCAGAAGCCCTTGGCCTTCAATACCAATCGATATAAAGAATCAGGCCACGACGATCACGAATGCTGATCAGCATCTCCTGATGTTCCTTCGTGAGATGGGACTTCCAATCCAGCTGAAGTTGAAAGGTTTGCAGCATCATTAGAGCTCTAGGCTTTCAACAATGATAGTAACCAAAAAAAAAAGAAAAAGAAGCTGGACACAGGAAGCATGGGGATGATGCAATGCAATGGATGGCACTGACCGGACTGATCCTCAGAGTCACCATCCTCAGCATAGGCGAATGCCGGACGAATCGACGTAGAGGCGAAAACATGTTGTTAATGCACCATAGACCTAGGCTCAAGTTTCTGAGATTCTTGAACATTGGCTCGCCCCCGTCTTTCTCCACGAATGTGAACTTCATATGTACACAGGAAAAAAACATGTCTTAAGTCTTAAATACTGTTAATGCTATGAAATCCAAAACAATTGTGGTAAAAAAGGTGGTCAGAGAAGTATGTGTCGATTTGAAATCGGGTATATACATACCGTGCAAAATGAATGTTTTATGTTGTGTCCTTGTTATGAAAGAAAATTCATTTGCATAAATATATTCACATGAAAATGTATGATAGTAATGTACAAATGCATATACTAAACAAATAGTAAAACTATGAAACAAATAGTAATGTACAGAGTGTTTGGGAGAAAGGATCAGTGCTACAGGGCAAGCAGTACAGTACCTGTCTATCCATAGCTAACAACTCCATGCTACTGACATTTGAAGCATCAATGATAATGGCCGTTGCGAATATTAGGTAAGAGTTTCTGAACGAAGAATTGTCTGTTCTTTCATTCTTGATGCACAATGAAACCAAACTAGGAGTACAAATGCTCAGGTCCTTGAGAATATAGCAGTCAATTATATCCAGATTCTTCAATGAGCTTGATGAAATTTCTTCTACCTCCAGTAAGCAGTCTGTCAGCAGCATATTTTGCAATGCTGGGCATGCATTGGCCAACTGATTGAATATCGTCGCATCTAGAGCAACATTAGTCAGCTCCAAAGTTTCTAGATACCGAGAACTTAACTCCACAAGATTTGGATCCAAGTAGAAAGGTTCCCATTTTCCATATTCAGCAAATTTAAGCACTTTAGCATTGTGCTTGATTGCATGATTAATCCAATAATTGGCGCGGTCAATTGCAAAAGATTTTAGCTCGAATGTGTCCATGGGAGCATCAGCTTGGACACGGCTTAGCAATAGTTTGTCAAGGAAACTACTGAATTTTTCTCTGTCCATATGAAACCAATATATATTAAGCTGAATGGACTTCAAGAAGGTCCACTGGTTGACCCACCAATGGGACAAAACACTGGTGCGCACAGCCTCTCGCATTGACAAGAATGACATAATATGTTGGACCAAATCGTTAGGGAGTTTGCTGATCATATCCTTCTCGTAGGGGTGTGAGTGCTCCTTGTGGTCATTTAGGGCTACTTGATTAGATAGCACACCTGCAATATAAAAGTGGATATTGTGTTACATTATTTTAGTGGAGAACAATTACTGGCATTGACTCTAACACATGCTCCTTAGTGTTGATACTTGATCTTGGAGAACCACCTAAACAACTTACAACAAATTTGTAGTTTTTATGCTTTGCTTAACTCTAGTTTCACAGAGAGATTGCCATCTGTAATTCATTTTACATAGATGATATAAGTCAGTACGGTGGGCTAGCTCCAATTTATCTTTTGAAAAAAAAAGGGGGCACATAATTAGGAGGCAATGTACACACTTGAATCATCCGTTGCATAAGAATAACTAATATTCATCGTTTTGCACCCAAATTTCCAATGTCTAAAGAAGAAAAACATTACAATGCTTGTTTAATCAAACGGGATCAGGTTGTAGACGTTGAAAATTGTCTTTGCATGTATGATGTATTGTCATGTATAAACTAGTGCAGAACATTAGATTCATGTGTAGACTCGGGTAAAAAAAAAACCACTTTTCTCGAATATTTACTAAGCAAACAATTCTTTTGTCATACAGGCACCATAAAAACAGATCAAAACAATATATCTGCTGAGTACACTGGTGTTCAAATTCTCAAGAACATACTGCTAGATGATGTCCCCTTAATATTTCTTTTTGCCTGGACAATTTGATCACCTTGCTTATTCTCCTGATGGAGCAAGATGGATGAACGGATTGAAGCTTGCTGACGTTGACAATCATTCAAAAATACATCATATGAGTCCAAATCACCTCTTGTCAGACAAATCCTCCGTAGATAATCACCCTAAGTGTAAGACAAAAAAATTATGAGAACTTCCGTTTAAAACTGAACATCCTATTGATGAACCATAACCATATGAGTTTCAAAAAGATTATACAAAGATATATAGCAAAAGGAACATGTCAACAATCTAGCAAGTCAAGAATAAGTGCATATATTATTAAATGGTACTTCCTCCGTTTCACAATGTAAGTCATTATAACATTTCCCACATTCATATTAATGTTAATGAATCTAGACAAATATATATATATATATATATATATATATATATATATATATATCTAGATTCATTAACATTAATATGAATGTGGGAAATACTAGAATGGCTTACATTGTGAAACGGAGGGAGTATATGAACACCACCAAAACAAGTAATTGCATGACAATAAAATCAGTGCACACGATAAAATCAATATATTCTAGAATTAATCTAGAGATTTACATCTTGAAGCCAATAAATTGAAAAGGGGACATAAATATTTGGAACTATGTAAAATGAAAAACTTTAATTGAATACAGCCTCAGTCCTAGTGTCTTGTGCACGATACCAAATGAAGGAGTAATAAACATTTTTAATTAGATCGATAAAATTGGTGTAGAGCATCTTGCAACCAATACATTATATTGTATTATGTTACATAATATGAAGCAAGACAATCGTACCCATGGTTTCACACAATTGTTATAGCTCTAGTTAACTAGTTCAGGATTTCTAGCAAGAAGTTGTACTTACTCAAAAAGCTATGAGACATTGCAATAACTAGCAGATCAGCAGAAGTGTTGCTATATTAAGATTAATACTCTATCATGCGCACATCAAAGATAAATAAAGTATTGTATAATTAATATATAAGGAAATTATATTACAAAAAAAATCTAGTAAGAAGAAACTATCATACATAGTCACTAGCTATCGTATGGATCCTCTCCTCTATTCTGACAGCAACCTTCTGGAGATCAATCAATGCTGTAGTAGTACTTTGCAATTTCGTTTGCAGGCTGAACAATCTGCAGACAGAATGTTGAATGGTAACATGAGAGATTTATTGTTTCAATATGGTACTTCCAACCTAAATAGTTCAAAAATGTGGTTCTAATATAACAAGCAATAAAAGAAACAGGCAACTGAGGATTTAGGGGTTGTTTCGTACAAGAAATACATATGCAAACTGTTCACTATTTGGGCAATGCATGTGGCAAAGTAACATGTTCAAAATTGTAAATACATTCTCATAAATAATGAAATATAATTTGTCCAACCAGAAGTGAGCAAGATTTTAGCAATTCGTTATACATGCTAAGAGTCTACAAGAGAGCATTCATAACCAATAATAAGGAGAAACTATATATAATGCAAAAAGAAAAAGAGAAAATGATGTGGGAGCATGCATATGGGATCATCTTTCTTGTGAGTTTTATCACCTGCATTAAAAGCAATTACATATACCCATACATATAAACAATCACCTATCCTTTCTCCAGGTCTCTCCCTCTTCCTCCTCCTCATGGTGGGAACAGGGAAAGAATAGGCGCTGAAGTAAAATACTAGTTAAATAATATAACAAAAAATCGACAGACAGCTGAAGTTTCAGTACTAAAATACTAGTCCATAAAGCTTAGAGTCATGCAAAGAACTGGCCAAGTAACTTGGTAAAGAACTATCGACATGCAACCTTAGTTCATTAATTGGGATCATTTTCTAAACATGGGTATGATCAATACACAAAGGTTTGAACCTCACCAACAACTTTTTATACCAAAACTGATGCCAATTTTTAGGTTATCGTGACGGTTAGATAGCAAGCCACAGAATTATCACAACTCTTGGATCTAGAAAACGTCAAATTAGATCTGACTACTGATACATATCATGATTCAATTAGATCACTAAACAAGTACTATAGCATCGAGCAGGGTATCCAATATTCATAAATTATCATCGATTCAAAACACTGCAATCAATTTCTCATGGCAAAAAAAAGTAAGAATTGGGTGAGAGAGAGAGAGAGAGAGAGAGTGCACTCACATATCATTTATCATGCAATCGCGAATGTCTTGGCCAAGGCGAGTCCTCCAGTCGACGCCTTGCTCGATGATCCCTAACTCGTCCATGGCACCGACTAACACAAGTCTTCTCCTCTTTGGTTTCGTTAGGTAGAAGTGCTTAGAGATGGAGAAGAACAAGAAGAGGTGAATGATATAAGCAAAATTGAACCTTTTTGGCTTTAGTTGTTGGTGTGAGTCATGGGACCCGCAAAAAGAGTAAATGCTATCGTGGAGAAAGGTATGGCCCACATGACAACATTGGCTCGCTTACAACATCTGCGGTAGCTTCTAGAACATCGACAAAAAAGAAACTATATAAAGTAGTTTTATGGCATTTGTAATCCAACATCTATGACACACGGAATTTGAAGCTAAAGCGAGGATTATATATGATAAATAAAAAAAATAAGAGGAGTCTGATTTTATCTATGGAGCTCTTAATTGAGTCTATTTTTCAACTACAAACCAGGACATCTTACTCCCAATGCATTCAAACCAGACATATTACCCCTCGTCTCCTCCCTCCTCTTCTCCTATGTATTGCGTTATGCAGCATGACTTCACACCCTATTTAGGGAAGACAACATCATTAGCCTCCTTTCTTGCCATTTGCAACCACTTCACTACCCCCATGTGGAAAAAATGACATGATGAGTTTTTCCTTAATAGGCAAAAAATTACATTGAGCCTCTCTACAAACATTCAACTCACCATCCACGAGTGGACCTAGGGAAGGAGGGAGGGTGGTGGGTGGAGGGGAGTAGTTCTAGCTCACTGAGTTGAAATTGAGTTCTTCAACTTTAGCAATCATCCATCGTCTTTGATCTGACACTCCCAGTCAAGCAAAATTTGGTTCATTTTGCAGCTTTCGTGCCATGGTTATTTGAAACTTTTGAGATTTAATAAATCATTCTAAAATGCAGTTTCTAGCATTCGTGCCAGGCTTTTTCTTAAGAAGTTTAAAATACAGTTAAAGACAATTCTACAAGAAAATAGAACCATGGAATACAATTTTATCAAGAAGTTGTGTTGGATATATTTTTAATAAAATCTCTCAATGCTTTAAATAACTTAGTATTTCCTTAAATTTCCGTAGCACAATAGACTATAGAACATTTATGATTATTTGCTAAAAGAAAAGGACATATAAGTCCTCTTCTCTATTAGTCTGAATCAAGGCCCACCTCTCCTCTCCCTCGTACGTACTCATTCGACAGCCCAACCACACTTTACCACTAACGAGTAGGGTTCATTCATTAGTTCCATACCCTTCATCTAGCCGGTGTTGCCTCTCTCCTTCCAAGGCAACTGCCACCCTTCCCAATGTGGTCAGCCACAATCTCCATACACTTGCCCCCAATCCACACACACTACCTATTTCTGTTCTGTATTTGCCATTGCTTTCAGGAGTAGATTTTGCCAAGGCGAAGAGTAAAAAGTTCATAACGTGCACCAAGTATGCTCACGTAGGTCAGCTAAGCACACAGATATTGCTGAATTGCTCCAGACGCTTTCTTGCTTCTTTTAAGCGCATGAAATTTTTATCATATACGGTTAGCAATCACACCGAACAACAGTGACACATTTTTATCCAAGCAAGTCCTCAGCGAATTTGGGAATGAACAAACCGTTCTGTAAACAAGTTATTCTCATGGTATTTCCAAGGAACTATTGTTCAACCTGAAATTCACAAAAGTTCCCATTGTAAGCTACCATTCATTAACAGAAGCAAAACACAACAGTGACACAAGGTTCATAATCTACACTCAGCAACAAACCCTAGCACTGAACTGCTCCCACAACATGTTCACTATACTATCATGGATTTATCCAATCATCAAAACTAACAGCTATGTACAGACTTAAACTGTCACGAACAGAAAGCAAGCACACAATTCGATCGATTCTGGCAATTTGGTTGGATTAGGGAGGGATTGGCTAAATTTGCATCATACAACATCGGACGCATCTGCACCTGGTTGTGTTGTTGGGCTCGAGTTCTCCAATTTGATAATGCTATTTGCCAACTTCTTGTCTCTCTTCTCCTCAGATGGCACAGCTCCATCCTTTTTATCTACAGATTTAGTGTCTTGCTTCCCCTCCACAGCCTTAGAGTTGAGAAATCGACCACCGGACCCCCTTGCCCTTTTCAAAGCATGCAGATGGCGGGACTCATGTAGGTAAGGCTGAAGAAGGAACAAACCAAATGGTACCAAAGAAATGAGAAACAAAGAACACAACTGAGTTTCAATATGAACAGAAACTAGTGCCCATTAAACATGATAAAGCATTTAGAACAAGGAGCATATCCTTTTTTTTGCTTGGTCCTCTACGTGTTCAAGTGTGAAACTATATTAAATTTAGTGAGGAGAACATTACTTGAGCACCTTAGTAAAAAAATTAACCATAAATTGCTTCTATCGGTCTGTAGTTATCAATATAAAGGAAAAAAGTGACTTACGACAAAGCTATTGGATTAGCCATATCGTCTAAATTAAGATTGTCACAAACTCACAATATCATTTAATGGTGTTCTGTTTAAATTAGTTAGCACAGTCAGTTTTGATAGAAACTTGAATAGAGATGAAAGATATTCTCAGGAAGATGGAAATAACAGGGTAGATATATTGCCCCCCTTAAACCTTGCTAAAATCTGGTACAATCTAAGTTTTGCAGTCAAAATAACTATAGAAGATCAAATTAAGGATGCCAAAGTGAGGAATTTTCCCCTTAATTGACTGATATGTGGGATTCTAGACTAAGGCCCTGTTCTATTCTTCAACTTCAAACTTCAACTTCCTCGTTTTCCGTTAGCACATTTTTCAAACTGTTAACTGGTACTTTTTTTTAGTTTTTATATAAAAGTTGTTTGAAAAAAAAATCCAATTTTCAAATTTATAATAGTTAATACTTAATTAATCATGTGCTAATTAGGTTTCTCGTTTTGCGTGCAACAAAATCCATCTCCAACACGGGAGATCGAACGGGGCCTAAGGCGTTGCAAATCCATAACTGCAACAGTGAAAAAGGAGGAAAGCAAGAAATGAAATTCCAAACACATATGAACACATATATTCATCTATGAGATCAATGGATGTATCAATCAGAAAAAAAAGAACAATTCACAAACAAAAGGGAAACTGTAAAAACCCAATAAGTTGTCACAACCATGCTGAACTTGGAGCAAACAGATTAATTTTCATTTTCCCATAAATTTCTTGAAATTTTGATAAGGCCTGTTTTGATGGCATGGGTCAATCTTCAACAACAATCTTGAAGAGGTGGCAAAGCAGTTTCACCCTGTCTGATAAATAGCTTGAAAATATGGCTCAAGCAAGTATAATATTTAGGAAATACCTTGCGGATTTTGTTGGCCTTATTTTCTGATTCAGCTTTTGCACGAGATTGGCGCCGCCTTAATATACCATGATACTGCCTTGCATTGACATATATGGGCTCTACAACAGCATCGGTCACCAAGGGCACAGAATGCGGAGGCATTGCCATTAAAGCAGCGTTAACCTAAAGAAAGTAGATAACAAAAATCAGCTGCTATAGTAAATCTGATATCTGACTATATCGGTAACGTAAATTACCAGAGGTTGTCCACTATAAGCACCATAAGTGCCTCCATAATAGGTACTGATATATGGATAAGATACTGGAGCCTGAAAAAGAAATAATTTATTTATTAGGGCTGAACCTGAGCAGTATAAGAGAAGGTTGGTAAAAGAACTAAGTATCGATGTAACTGGTAAGAAATTAGTCATATAATAATGTATCTTTTATTTCTTGATCAAATTGTAGTCAAATTTTACCATCAGAACTTCGAGCAGAAAAGGATCCTAGGTAGTCGTTGCACTACCTGTACTGTCATGTTTCTAAAGACAAGAAAGAGAACAGATCATACTGTAGCTGGTCCTAGAGAGGCCACGTATTCTGCAGATGATGTGCCCAAACCAGGATCTGGATGTCCAGCAGCTGTAGGACGAAGCTGAGTTTCACCATCTGGCTTCATGCGTGGCTACTAGCTAGTCAAATTCACTGTCAGCAAAGGGAAAATAATTCAGTATTTCAGCAAGTGACAAAGGCATCACATCTAATATCTTGTGCAAAGCTACAAACAAAACTATAGTCAGCCCCAAAGTGCACAAAAGTACACAATAGACAAACAGATCCTCCTCAACCATTCCCAGTTATTCACAACCATTCTTCTACCTTTCATAAAAGAGAGCTAATAACTAAATTATTTTGTGACAAGTATCGGTAAAGACTCGACCTCCACACAGTATTGCTCCATTAGGATTTTTTCCCATTCCAGAAAACTCCATACGTGGTTCCACTACTTGAATAACAAACACACCTCAATGTCTTTTTTAACAGAAAAGCTGTGGAAATGAATTACAAACGAAATACATATCGTTTCAACTTTTCATGAATACCATGAATTGCAGCTTAATGAGCTACTTGTTCTTCTTCGCTCTTCACCCTGGATTAACATTCTCCTAACCAAAGAACCTGCTAAGGCCCTAATTCATCATCAAACTGCCGCGGCGCACTAAATCCCATCTCGACGACACAAACAAGCAACCTTTACAGTTTACAGGCCGAGCTAATTTGCATCAGGATGCAGCAAACAATGAAACAGAACAAAGAAAAAGGCATTCACTCTAGTCTCTATCAAGGTACCACCAGTGCCACGGACACCTGCAACAGAATCAGAAATCCCTAAATGGAATGGCTAAATTGACTACACAGGAAGTAATCCTACTCGCCATGTTTATTATACAGCTGGGTAGCCACACCACAAAGAAATGCTCCAAAGGCGGCCCAGCATATCCACGCATGGGACCGAACCGAGCCAAGCTAATCCACCTCCATTCCACACACCGCGGGGGATTCCGCCAACTAAATCTACCCAAACAACTCCTATGCAGATTCTACGCGGCCTCAGGAACGCGGAAATCGGCAGAGCCCACAAAGAAAGCCGACACCATGGAGAACCCACCGTCCGTCCGGCGAGCCGACGCGGCGAGGGAGGGGGAGGGCGGAGGAAGAGGAGGGATTGGATTACCTCGAGCGCCGCGCGGATTCGCCGGGGCGGGGGATTCTGCTCGGGATTGGGAGGAATCTCTCGAAGATGAACAGGGTAGGGGGGGTTTGTCGTGTTTGAGGCGGATGTGCTTCTGGTTCTGGAATCTTCTCGATCCCGCCCGGTTCGAAATTGACGGTCTCCGTTTGACAGCGATGACGCCGTCAGTTTGGAATATGAGGTATCTTACAGAAAAGACCTCCTCACATAGATTATGTTTGGAAAATGGGTTTGGGATATGATTTCCCACCCTTCAAAGGGACCCTATTTTATCCTATCCCTTCATTCATTTCCATTTCCAATCCTACCTCTCCTAACCCATTTTCCAAACACAGCCATAGAGAAATTACAGAATGATCCCTGAGAAATAGGGAGAGAAAAGGACCTTGAAGAAAAATATATTATGACTTAGTTTGCTTTGGAGGATCAATTTCGTCGAATCATATCAATAAGGCAAATTTTGCTATAGGACACTGCTATTGTGTGGTTTTAGCCGTGGGACACTGCCTAAACTCACTTTTAGGGAAAAACACTCCATAACGTGGTAATTTGCCAATGGACACTGTGCCGATTAAAATAATGATTTTCAGTTGAGAAGGAGAGAGAAATCGCGTGAAATGCTAAAAATGCCCTTGGGCCCACATGTCAGCTCTCCATCTCTCTTCCTCCTTTTCTTTTCTTTCTCCTTTCTTCTTCTTCCTCCCGCCGCAGGTGAGCAGCGGCACAACACACGGTCGGCGCAACGGCTCGAACCGGGACGGCTCGACGCGCGGCCAAGGAAGCGGCGGTGCACCGCCGGGGACCCACCGCCAATGACGATGAGATGCAGCGGCCACCCGGCGCACGGCGCGACGGCAAGCGGCAGCACCGAGCACACGAGCACAGCGGCGACGTTCTTCCTCTTCCTCGTCGGCCTCGAGCTCCACCCGGCCTTGCTCCACCGCACCGTCGTCACTGTCGCCAGAATCTCGCTCTCAACGTCGCATCCCGAATGCCAAGAATCAGGCGTCGAACACCTTCGGGCACCGACGCTGTTCCACCTTTGCACCGCCCCATACCATGTCGTGCCTCGTCGTCATTGGCGGTGGGTCCCCGGTGGTGCGTCGCCGCTTCCCCGGCCGCGTGCCGAGCCGTCTCGGTGTAGACCCCCGTTTTTATAACAGGAATCAATCGTGTAAACAGTACCATTTCCCTGGATCAAGTAGTCTGGTACACACGAACTCATAGCTGAAATATCAAGTACTCATACACGAGAGTCTAGTATGAATTATTACATCATAAGCCCGCAGGCACAGTCTTAAATCATCGGACCGAGCGGTCCGGAATACATCCAAAAGCAGAAATAGATAAGGCAGCGGAATTCAGGCAGCGGCATGCCATTGCCACAGGCAACGACCGTACTAAGACCTACTGAGCGCCATCGTCTTCATCTCCCTCCTGGTAGTAGGCATAGGGATCCTCCGAGGCTTCATCTCCCGCTTCTGATTAATTTTATATTTGCAAGGGTGAGTACCAACCGTACTCAGCAAGCCACCACAACAATGATGCACATGACAGAGGAATTCAAAGGATGGCTATGGTTCTTTCGCGCAAAGCAAGTTTTGTAATTCTTTTCACAAGCCTAAGACCTAGCATAGACTGATCAAATTTTAATACCAGTGTTCATATTAAACAATGACGGTTCTGTCCACCATCCATTGTGATCCCAAGGATAGCTTCCCGCCATTGAGTCGTTATGGTTTTCTGAGGACGTCCACATTTCCGCCTCTCAGGAAGTGGCTCCATCAGCATAAAAATCATCATGCAATATCCCATCCCACACAAGTTAAAGAATTTAGAGTCTAGCCAAGTGTAATACATGTCCCGGTGCTCAATAACCGCGAGCACGGCTATTCGAATAGATTTGGTTTACTCACACTGCGGTGGATGTACACTTTACCCGCACTCCGCGACTGCCCAACACATGAGCCTCGTCTCAACACATGAGACGCGTCACGGCAAAGCTTTTCGATAACCTCGCATTGGCAGTACCCGCTCCATGAACTTAAATCCTCATGCACTCTAGGCGTCCATGTTTCTAGCAGTGAGAGGAGTTCTGGCGCTCCCGGGGAAAGAGAAGTCTCACACGCATATTAAATTATGGTTCAAGTTAAGTTCTCTCTCTCACACACTCATGGCAGTCCTACCAATGGCGACACCGATGTAGGGCACGCTTCTCGGCCCTACCTCAACGGCCGTCCCATCGTAGCGCACCTGCCTCACTTAGGGGTGAACCATCTATGCAGGGATACTGCCTCCGCTCGGCTATCTAATCCGCTAGGTCTATACCCATTCGAGAAGTACGGTTGTACGGGGGTCGTTTCATGCTTAACTTCATGGCTCGGTCCTTAATTGACTGGGGACGGTACTAGCCTTTTCCAGATACCACCCAAATCCTCCATCCGCCCCAGTCGAAAACAGTTGTTTAATTTTATTTCTCCTTTCACAAATCATGTCATCAACATCATGGCAATGTGGCGCTCATGTCTCCACATGCCGCATCTCAATTACCTTCCCAAAGGTAATTGCCCAACCATATAGCATTTGATAAATATGAGTATGCATGATTCTAGAATAGCATTTCTAAGCAATTGTCATTGTTGACTAGGGACTCATACGTAAACATGGTTACAAAGATTTAAGGGTAAACAATAATCAAGGCATGGCATAATCACAAGTAGGATGTTCATCACTGCATGCAATTTTATTTGTAAACAAAACAATTTCGCAATTAGGATCAACATGTTCAAGGAATAGTGATGACTTGCCTTGCTCAATGTCTTGCGGGTCTTGATCTTCGCTTGGATCCGCAACTCCCTCGGGCTCTATAGTTACGTGCGAAAATTGATTTGAATTCGGTTAGAATTCAAATAAAAATCCAAATGAATCAAATGAAAGTCGAATGCGAAAGTCGATTTCTTTATATTAACTTTATTATCCGCGAACTAAGGCAAACCCAGTTTCGATTTAAACTATTTTGCGGGTATAAATATTTTGTTGCCATAAGTTTTTAATTTAATCTACCCGAGCATTATATCCATATAATAGATTGGAAATTTCTATCGCAAGCTAAATATCGGACGGAATCCTAAAATTATCTTATAATATTATACGATTAAATTTTAGTCTAGGACTAAACGACTAAATATAATATACGTCTAAAATTCCTAGTGATTAAATCCGAATTTCTACCGTGAATCAATTACTTATAGAGATTACCCAAAATAATCTATAATAGTCTATAAGAATTCATCTAATTGTTTAGTTATTAATTATATCTAAATTACTACCAATTTTAATCTAATCTGATCAAGAAACATATTTTTATAATTAACTCGGAATTTCGACCGAAATACTATTACGCTCGAGGAATTTCCAAAAATAATCTATGATTAACCCCGACCATTTTTATTTCCTAAATCCTCCTAATTTCTCCCCCAATTTCCCTTCTATTTTCTCCTTTTCTTCTTTTCTATTTTCCCTCTTTTCTCTCCCTCTCTCTCTTTTTCTCTCTTTTCTCTCCCTCTCTTTCTTTTTCTCTCCTTTTTCTCTCCTCTCTTTCTTTTTCTCTCTTTTCTCTCCCTCTCTCTCTTTTTCTCTATTTCTCTCCTCCCGGCTCCTTCCTCCTTTCCTCTCCTTTTTTTTTTCTGCTCCCTCCCGGCTTCTTTCTATCTCTCTCTCTCTTGGCTCTTTGCTTCCCCGGGCGGCGACGGCGGTGGGCGCGAGGTGAAGGGGGGGAGACGGCTCACCGGCGGCGGCGGTGGCGGCGATGACGGCGACGGCGGCGCAAGGCGGCGACGCACGGCGCGGCGGCTCCGGGGCGACGGCGCGGCGGCTTCGAAGGTGGCGGCGCGGCGGCACGACAACGGCGGCGCGGCGGCGCGACGACGGCGGCGCGTGGAGAAGGGGAAGAGGGAGAAGAGGAGGGAATGGAGTGGGGTGGAGAAGGGGGGGATTGGGCTGGAGTCTTTATAGGGAAGAGGGGAAGAAAGAGAGGGGAAGGAGGAGGAAGGGTGAAACGACGGCGGCGCGGCGGCGCGGGGCGCAAGGCGGCGGGCTCGCGGCGCGAGGCGACGAGACGGCACGCGGCGCGGCAGCGGCGATGGGACGCGCGCGGCGACGGGACGTTGATGGCGACGGCGACAGCGGTGGCGCGCGGCTCGGGGCGGGATGCGATGGGCGGCGACACGACGGCACGGCGCGACAGCGACGATGGGACGACGCGGCGCGGCGCGGTGCGGGCTTGACGGCGACGGCGGCGACGCGGCGACGGGACGGCTGCTCGGGGCTCGAGGCGACGCGGCAACGGGACGGCAGCACGCGCGGCATAGGGTTGGCGATGTCGGCGCGGGCTCGGGGCGGCTCGGCGACGTCGGCGCGGCGGCAGGCGGCACGCGCGGTGATGGCGACGGCGACGGCAGAGGGGAGGTGGAGCGGCGCGCGGCGCGCGGGGCGCGAGGGCAACGCGGCAGAGGAGGGCTAGGGCTAGGGAACGCGATCAAACACCTAGGGGGCAATGAATAGTGACTTTTCCTATTTATCCCGATTTTAGTGTATTTCCCATATAAATTTGATTCCACAATTCCTAAATTTTGCATATATGCATTTTACTCAATATTTGTGTTATCTCAACTAATGAATTCACCCTAGATTAATATTACTCATATTTTATTTTTATATAATTTATTTGAATTTTTAATTAGGGTTAATTCTTATCCCATCGTATTTAAATTTAATTAATAAAAGAAGGGTTACAAAGGCAGTTCTACACGACATTTAGAGTTTGGATGTTATGAGAGTTTTGGAGGAAGCGCCAGTGGGGTCCAAGGTTCAGGTCATCCGCCAACGATTTGTCCCTAGCTTCCTGCCAGAGCCACGTAGACCATGACGAATTTGAGCTATGCGTATGGAACAACCTCTTAGATCAGCAGTACGTCATTCTGCAACCTGAGATCCTTTATTCCCAGCCCTCCGCGATCTTTAGGTTGGCAGACCTTTTCGCACGCTACCAAGCAGCGGGCTCCGGAGCAGACATTATATTGTCCATAAGAAGGCACGCCTTCTCTTGTCGATTGTATCAGTTTGGACTATGATTAGGAATCCATTCTACTTTGAGGAATTAGAGGACTACGATTATTATTATTATTATTATTATTATTATTATTATTATTATTATTATTATTATTATTATTCCCGCTACGAGGATGATCTTGACAAATATGATAAGATATTAAGATGCTTCCCCGGGGTATGCGTAGTTTCCTGAAATGAAGAACCTTCAGCACGATTTGGTCAATGTGTTATCAATGTGAGTCCAACCTTTTCTTTTCTGGGAAGAATTTTCTCCACGCTCTTCATGTATGTAAATTCTGCATTCATATTATTTTTTTTAGAGAGCGTGCTTTTTATTGCCCGGCTTTGTGAGAAAAGCCTAAGAGAACATGACAAACCGAGAGCCTGTTCAGATTGTAGCCAAAATAAATCTTACCAAGTTTTGACAATGCCAAAATTTTAGTAAGATGGCAAAATTACCAAAATTTTGGCATGATTTCTTATGTATTGATCAAATTTAGCAACAAACTAAACGTAAATATTTTTTTTGACAACTTTACCCAAAAAAGGTATAGTTGAAAATGGCATCAAAATGAACAGGCCCAAAGTATGTGGAAAGACAAACAGAAAAACTACGCCTATAACACCGAAGTAACTAATATAACATCACTGGGATCACCAGTTTCACTGCAACCAGAACAAACAGCTAGGGCCTCCGGGATCATAAATCTTTCAGCAAGCACATCGACCTTCAGGCTTTAGCTGCCTCAGCCTGGCCAGGATTTCATCAAGCAAGTTGCGCAGCAGTTTCCATCGCTGCAAGACAGAAACAGCTCTATATATAAACCACATGCACTAGTAAAAGACCGTTTGTCCACAAAGAAAAACTTACACAAGAAGACAATTGTACCCAATGACACTTGCGACATCTGCAATGACGAAATTGAAACAGTTTCCTTTGCCCTTTTGCAAAGAGTTTCTGGGAAAAGATTGGTGTTCAACCGTTGATTCAAGATGTTGAATCCAGTTTCATCAGCCCAAGCCAGGCCTTCGAATGCCGATTCTACACTATCAGGTTTTCTATCTCCTTTGTTTCTGGGCATTGTGGAATCACAGACATGATGTTGTCTTTAGAGGCCAAGGTCCTTCCATCACCTCATGTCTACAGCGATGTGTGCGAGAAGCTGCTCTGTAGGCTGAAAATCTCAAGTCTGAAGCTCGCTATGTAATTCAAATTTGGAAAGAAATTTTCTCTTCCCCCTTACAATCTATTAACTCTATGTAATGAACCTCGTCCGTTTCCTTTCAATGCAATGACAAAATTCAGGTGGGGACGCCCCCCCCCCCCCCCCCCCCCCGCGCGGTGATTTAGTAAAAAATATATATAAACCACATGTAGGGGAGATTTGATCAAAATATTGTGAAAAACCCAATCATTTTTGGTCAGCCAGATAACCCAACAAAAACCAGCTACCATCATCACAATCCCTATATATTTTGGAGTTGATTTTCTTTCTTATTCAAGCTACGAGTTACCCAAAGTTCCCAGGCAAATTGACTACCTGAATGACACCTCTAAGCACTGCCCACGCAAATCTAACTACCGAGCACCCAAAAATAACATGAACTTGCACTCCTCCATTCCACCCCTCCAATTCCTCAACCAATTGAACTGCACATTGGATTCTCTCCCTTGAAATTTACCAGGTAGGCGTTCGTGAAAAAATATTTACCAGGTAGAGGAAATGTTTGATTTTCAATGGCAAGCATTTTGCCTTTCCAGACCTCTCTTAGCTTGGTATCGACCACCCCATCAAACTTTATCAGTCTGCACAGTGATCTGGTTGAGAAAATTCCTCCCTTAGCATGAAGCCAGATCAGTTTATCGGATAATTAAAATCTTCAATTTCCATCACCCTTGCATCTCTCTTAAACTAGCTAGCTCTGAGCCCTCTTGACTGTCCACATTCCTTCCATAGTTAAACCTCCAAACCCCATTCTGATTCAAGTCAGCAACAGAGGCATTCATATTATTTGATCGATCTTATGAACTAGTTTGTAATTCAGAATGATGTAGTAATAAACTTTCTGTCATGACAGTTAATTATTGGCTTGTCAATTATCAAGGCAGCGGCAGCCGGAAGCCCGGAAGGAGTCTACCCAAGTGAAGCCTAGCTATGCTATCTGATTACTTGTGCTGTTGTGCAGTTTCCATTCTGGTTCGGACAGTGATTATCGCTCTTCAAGCGAAAGCAGCAAGAGGATGTTTTCTACGGTGACCACTACCGGGGAAGACCACTCATCACCCATTCATCATCATCCCCTCATAGACTCCTCTAGCGCATATACTATCAGAACTGGGAATTTTGTTGGTGGCCAGAAGCCGTCAAGAACAGAATCAAAGCCAAGTTTAGAGAGCAAGGGAAATCTAAATTTCTTACTGGCTAACTTTCAGTAAAAGTTTTGGCGGTTAGACTGACAAAAAAATTGTGATCATATCCAGCTTTTCAGAGCGCCAGAGTTATAACCTTGTCGGTCTGAGCCAACAAGAATATGGCTTACATGGCTGTTAGTTTTAGCCGCCAAGAAAATATGTAAACTTGACAGCTTCTTTTTTACGCCAATAAAATTAGCTGGCCATCAAGAAAATTCTGGATTGTTATAGTTATACCTGACTTTCACAACATCCTCACTGACCACTGTCTACCATGACTACTAACTATTCTCTGTGATCATGGTGGCTTGTTGGTAGGGTGTACCGCCATAAGTAGTTTCAAGTCAAAAGCTCTAATGGAGTAGTACTTTAAGACTGAATATGCATATATGGGGTGATCTAGCTAGATATCTGAATGCATATGCATGGGACATCCGGTACTTGGTTAGGGTTTTTTATGAGACGGATGGAGTAACGTGAAAATGGTCGGACAGGTTGGTAGCTACCTAGATTTAATAATCAATGGATCAACTAGTGGCGATGTGTATATATGCAAGCAATCACTGATTTGTATACCACCATGCATTGCATAGGAGTACATGATCTTTGGCGCATTGAGTTTACTGTTTAAGGTCTTTAGGCTGAGTTCGGAGCTACGAGTACTAGTATGCTAAACTGATCGATTAGCCCCATGTAAAATGAGAAACATAATTAGCAGGTGATTAATTAAATATTAGCCGTTGTAAACTCGAAAAAATATTAATATATTTTTCTAAAGAAACTATTGGATATAAAATTTTAGTAAAAAACACAATGTTTAGCCGTTTAGCTCATGAAAAAAATGGTAAAATTTTAGCCCAATCATCAGCTCTGAATGGAGCCTTAACCTATTGTTTTTCATTTGATATAAGTTTCAAACAAAGAAGTTTTGTAAACTCAATCCTTTTTAAACAATCGATAATCTTTAGCTTTGTTTCAGATTATAATAGTTTTGACTTTAGAAAAAGTCAAACTATTTCAGGTCTAAATCAAGTCTATAATTTATAAGTAACATTTTCAATACATGGTACTATAAAAGTATATTTGACTATTAATTTAAAAAACTAATTTGGTTTTGTGAATATTGATATATTTATCTTAAAATTTAGTCAAATTTTAAGTATTTTGACTTTAACCCAACTTATGATTTGAAGCCAGTACTAAAAAATCCTCATAGGTACATGATCATAGAAGCCAGTTTATTTAAAACCGGCTCCTATAACCTATTTACCCTACGTTCATCGGGAGGGAAAAATATGGAACCGGCATATTTGAATGATTATAGGTGCCAGTTTTAAATAAAAACAGACACTTATAATGTACAGTATTGCCAGTTTTTTTAAAAAACAACCGGCGCCTATAATATATTATAGATGCCGATTCTTAATAAAAAAACTGAGTCGAGCCGAGCCACCATCCAACTCATCCTTTTAACCTCTCCGTAGTCACCGCCGATCCTTACCCTCTCTTGCTCTATCTCTCTCGTGTTCATATCCGACGCCACCACCTGTCGTCCTCTCCTCCCCCCGCGCCGCTGCCCCGTCGCCTTGAGCTTGCGTGCCAACGACGACACCTCCGCTAGTCGATGTCCTCCATGGCGCTCCTCCAATGGAGAGACAAATTGGCGATGACGGTGCTAGTGGCTTTGCTAGGACCAGGAAGAGTGAGTTCATCTTGCTTGTTTAGTTCTTCATCTTACTTGTGTTGATCTATGATGAATGGGTCTGGAGATTGTTATTGTTGAGCTGTGATGGATGAGATTAGGGGCTGCTTGAAAGGGGCCGCTCGAAAGCATTAGCTTGATGAGCTGATGCTACGAGCCGACTTCTCTCTTTTCTTCTTGAATTGGAGAGAGCACGAAAGTGTTGATTCTACAACCAGCACAAGTGACCTAGTGCTGGTCCTGGAAAAATTGGTGCCGACTGCGGAACCAGCACGTACGCCAAGTTTACAACCGACACCATTAAGATGTTCTGCAATGGTGAATGGAGGGAAATAGATGAATGCAGTAGTGAATAGAGGGAATTAAATAGAGGAACATTTCTTTCTTGGGGCTGTCTATACATCTTGTGACAGAAAATCCAACCCCATATCATTCGAATTTTAGACCATTGGATATGCTTCAAGATTCGTGCAAACCCTTTTAACCTAACTCCTCTCCTCCTCCCCCCCGATTCAGATCGCACGCCGCCACCACCCCTTCGTCCTCGCGCGATCCCCGCCCCACCGCGCCGCCACCCACCTTGCCGGCTAGTCGGAAGGGGTCAACGGCGCCGGCGAGCCCCCTCCCCCTCCCCCTTCCCCCCTCTCCCCCTTCCCTCCTCTCCTCGAGGTGGCGACGGCGAGGTGCCCCCGCCCCGCTGTCTTCCCCTTCTCCGGCGGCTCCCTGCAGCCGGATCCACCACCACCGGTTGCCGCCGACGCCAGCTCACCGCCCTTCTCCATTCCCGTGGCTTCGGCGCCGCCGCCGCCGCCTCGCAGCCTGCCGGAGTCCACCGCCCACCGCCAGTCCTCCGCCGCCCACGGGCATCCCTCTAAGCCCCGAGGAAACCCCCCTCTTCCCCCTCCCCCAACCCCCCTCCTACCCTCACCCCAACCCCAAACCCTAACCCGTCGGAGTTGGGGTGTCGCCGGCGCCGGAGAAGAAGGGGAGCCCGCCGGAGTTGGAGGAGAGAAGCCGATGCACGAGAAGGCATGGATCCAATGGTCCAAAATCCGTAAGATTTCTTCCCCAAATTTCATTCGAATGCCATACAGCAATCCCGTTCTTTCTTTTAAAACGTACTTGCCCTCTGTATTTGTGTAGATTTTTTTCTCAATATGCCCTTATTTATTATCCAACCTTTTTTTCATGTCATCCGCGCACGTGAAATTGTGGAAGGATATTTTGATCCTTTATGAAAAAGGAACAATAATACCCAAAGTCAAAAGTTCAATTATATATAGAAAGGAACAGTGCATGAAATTCTATATTTAAAATATCCATTTCTAATTCTACACTACCGGAAATATAGAAACCGCCTTGCTAGTTGCTATATTATCTCTCAACACTAAACGCAGCACTCCACCCCACACTCGCCCAGAAAACCGCCTCCCCTCCCGCCTTCCATTCCTCCTCCAAACCCTAACAATCCCAATCCCCGCCGCGGCGCGCGACGCGATGCCGTCCTCCTCCCGCCGCCGCCGAGGCCATCACGGCAATCGCCGCCGGGGCCGCGGCTCGGGGGCACCGAAGGCGTAGGCGGCGAGGAACTGGGCGGAGCTGCCGCCGGCCGCGATCTCGGCCGTCCTCGGGGGGCTCGACCACGTCGACATCCTCACGGGCGCCGGCCAGGTGTGCCGCTCCTGGCGCCGCGCGGCCCGCGACGATCCGGGCCTGTGGCGCCGCGTCGACATGCGCGGCCACGCCAACGCCGACGCCAAGCGGGGGGTGAACCTCCACGGGATGGCGCAGGCCGCCGTCAAGCGCAGCGCGGGGCGGTGCGAGGCGTTCTGGGGCGAGTCGGCCGGAAGCGACCGCTTCCTCCTCTTCCTCGGCCGCGCGTGAGACCTCGATCCCCTCAATCCCCTAATTTTTTGTTTTGTTAGGGCATTTACATGATTCGTCCTCCGTGATTGCTTGCGTTTCGTCAGATTGCGATGCTTTGGTTTGAATTATTTGGTGGGCTATTGTGTTCGCGTCGCGGGGGGATCCCCTGATTTTCGGGCCTTTAATTACATGCTTTATATTCGTTATGCAAACGCGTGTTATGTGTTCAAATCTGAAAAAAAACCACGAATATTAGGGAAGGACCTAATATCAAATAATTAGAAGGGGTGAGGCTTCGAACCCAGGTCGTCTAGCCCACCACCTTGTGGAGCTAGCCGGAAGACCCCGTGTTCAAATCTGCATTTCTGCTCCTGGTCTAATGCTTAATTAGCGCCTTCATTTTTGGTGTATTCTATTGGACTACATTTAGACGCTTAATTAGCGCCTTCATTTTTGGTGTATTATATTTGACTACATTTAGACATGTTTTCGTCATTAGGAGCATGTTGTTTATTTACATGGATACTATAGTAGATTGATTATTCCGAATCCCCTCATGGTACCGTTACATCTTTCAATGCTGTCCTAACCATTGGTGTATATGGCTGTTTTTTTGTGCGCATTCATCGAAATTTTAGCAATGTTTTACTACTAGTTAGAAGGTGATGGCTTCTCATGGTTGCACCAGATTGAGCACTTTCATTAGATCCTAGGCCCAGAAACTTCAAGAAAAAAAAGAAGTATTCTACAAATATGTGGGTAAATCAATAGGAATAACCCATCACTGTAACATTCTTCAAAATTTGCTGCTGAATTTCCCTTCACACCGCAATTAGATAATACAGATCTTTGATTGTCTTTCTAATATGTTCCACTTGCCAAGTCATCCACACTGAAAAACAAAAGCATCGTTGTCTCTTAAACTTACTGGCACACTTGTATTTATGTATTGCATTGATAATAGGCTCCTGACATTTTAGCTTAGAGACAAAGGAAATGTCTCTTCCTCTATTCGAAGTAGAATGCAGATGTGAGTAAATTTCTGGGATTTGAAGCATTACCAGTTGAAACGACATATTGGAGATGATATTAAAATATTTTAATCCTGAAACAGAATGAATTCAGTTGAATGTATGCCAAATTTCAGTATTTATGCTACTCTCTCCAGTCAACTGCAGGCTCCAGCGTCCAGCCAATTCTTGCCACTTAAATATGTTTGGACAAAATCTGATAGTTTTATAAATTTAATCATTGACAGGCCAATTTTTTTCTGTACACCGCTTCTCTACGATGCCTGCATTTGTGCAGCTAAATAAATGCTGGTTATTTTTTGCAGAATTCTTGTTGGTTATTTGATTCGCTGATTCATTTGTTGTTAATTAATATCCAACTTCTGCTACCATTGCAGAGCACCAGGTCTGAAGAGCCTTCGCCTCATCTCTTGTTATGATGTCTCTAACAAAGGGTTTGGAAAAGCAATAAAGAAGTTCCCTCTGCTTGAGGAGCTGGAGCTTTCACTCAGTCCAAATGTTTTTGGGACAGATGTGTTCAGGACTGTTGGAAAATCATGTCCACAGCTTAAGCGCTTCAGACTGAGTCAACATGGCTTTCACAGTTTCGAAGACTCGCACGATGATGATGAAGCCCTGGGGATAGCAACTATGACTCAGCTACGCTCCCTTCAGATTTTCGGCAATACCATCACCAATGAAGGATTGGAAGCCATCCTTGACAACTGCCCCCATCTTGAATCCCTCGACATACGCCACTGCTTCAATGTCTTCATGGATGACACCCTGCGAGCGAAGTGCGCCAGAATCAAAGCACTGAGGCTCCCCGATGACTCAATCGATGACTATGACTTGCAGGTTTTCAGCCCTGTTTTTGCAGATTCAGGCAATTCCTCTGATGACATGGATGACGGTTACATGGTTCCCGGCCTTCACTGCGTCGTGTTCTCGGAGGAGAATGAATGCTTTGATGATGATATCAACGAGGACGAGCTGGATGATGAAGCCAGGATGATGCTCAATGGCCTGCGTGCGCTCCTGATGTGAATTCCATCCAAGTGTGGAGCCAGGAAGTGAAGTGCTTAGATGCTCGCCTTTTTCGCTCAACTCTCTGAAGCTCGCGTTGCATGTCCCATGTCTGTCAATTGATAGTTTGAACCTATGGTACTCCAGTTCTCAGAAAGTACCGGCAGTCTTTTACTCGGTAGTAGTTTTCATATTGCTTGAGGACGATATTCAAGCTCATATTAGTTTCGTTAAGGCTTAAAAGACAATATTCAGGTACTTATATTGGTCAGTATTAATTTTCAGTTCCCTGGTCGATACCTTCATTGATGTGATAGCTTTTCTTTTCTTTTCTGGTGGGTTTGGGATATGGTAGCTAAAGATTATCTCCTCCCAATCCTGGAGATAATTATCCTGAAGATAATGGGTAGGGGAGATAATCTGCAAGGATCGACTGATAAAAAAAATGTATGGATCGATACACAGATGGACAAAACCAACCTCTCAAACCTTCTCCTTGATAGAGTTCGTTCATTTCTACCTTCTTGTCTTCTCTCGATCCACAAAATCAAGAAATAATATGCATCACCCCCCTCCTTTATGTACCAACTTCACATCGCGTACTAGTATATTCTAATTAAGTGAGTCATATTGATTGTCGGCACCCGGGGATGCAATTCCCGAATACTCGGAGCGTACAACGTACTACTCCCAGAATCAGTGGCTAGTACATGCATCCACAACCTTATCATCACATCCACACATAATACACATACAAATAGATAGCATGGTTCACATAATTTAGCGAGTGCACAAGTCATACAATATAGATAGGGCTGACCGGCCAAATGGAAGAGTTTAGACGCAGCGGGAACAGTAACAAAATATATAAGTTCTTCGGTATGCCCATCTATCAAACCACCACAGGCAACCGACCTAGAAATAACCATCCTCGAAACCTCCGATACCCGGTGCAAAGTACGCGTCACTAGACATATCATTTCCTGCATCAATGTCTAAAAACAACAACAAGAGGTGGGTTAATACAAACGTATTGGCAAGCCTATGTCTTTTGCAAGTTGAGATCAAAGTAGGCTATGTTTGTGGACCAAATTTCAGCATAAAGCAAATTTTGATTCACAATAGTAAGTAATAATATATTGCAACGAAATTTATAAAGCAATAAATAAAAAATAGTAATAGTAACATAAGCACCATATTAATATCATCCTTGTGCCCTCCATGGCAGCAAGTAACCATTTTATTCTCAACCCACACCGAACAAAATCATCACCAATTTCCCACCATGCCAATTTCACAAAACATGTATTAAATGACCAACACTAAACTTGTATTATTTCACCAAGTCGCTCATGACCGTGAGCACGGCTAATCGATTAGTTTAAACTCTACAGAGTTTGTACACTATACCCACATGACATATACTAGCAATCATGTTAACCATGCCATGCGATACCAACCGGTACCCGTTTTTGCTAGCCTATGACGAAACCACTACATTACTCAAAGATTAACTTGCATGAGCACGGAGAGTGTTTCTCCACATTGGCCATGAACCAATGTTGCTACGAAAGGTGGACCCCATCCTAATCCCAACATCGCGAGGCAAACACATCCGTTCCCTTAACGAGGCACCATTCGTTATATTGGACATGCTCAGACGCCCAAGGCATATGGGGAACAAACTCCATTTCCATAGAGGCACAATGGTAGCTCCTATGAACCATCGCTCAGACTAGTCCCTACTACTTTGACCTTCCAATGCAAGGTTAAGTAATAAGCAATATAGTAGGCTAAGGTTACCCCATAAATAACACATGTGGTTGCACGATATATTTTAGTTGGTGACACATAGCTTGGTCCTTAATCGACTCGGGTGAACACTCCCCCTATCGGTATGTAACTACCACCATATGCACAACATTTGCCGCCCAAGTCTAAAATCACCACTTTTTAGTTTTCAACTTCACAAATATCAGGGGCAACACCTCTGTCCAATATTTTTAAATAGCCCAAATTTTGAAGAGTGAATGATCCATCATTTGTAACATACGAAACTCTAAGCATGGCTAAGCAATAGCTATATTAGTAGCGCGAATATACCCAAGTTGGCACTTGGACAGTATCACAACGCATCCTAGATGTGCCAACAGTAAGGTAATCAATAGTCACGGAGGATAAGTGCACCAAATAAGAGTTCTACCAAAATCTCACATTTTGCGATATCGCATGCAACTTATAAACAATATAGCATTTGTAAAAATATAGGATTCAACATAGCGTGCACCAGATGCAAAGGAAGCGGTGAGTTCTCTTTTCTGTTAAGTTTTTCGTTCCGCATCAAGAAAAAAAATCCTCCCGTGCGAGTTTTCTGTTTTCTTTCCTTTTCTTTTTTCCTAAAAAGCATTCCTCCCGTGCGTGTTTTTTCTTTTTTTTTTTGACTAAAAGATACTTTTAACTTAGATTTGAAAATTTTGAAATCAAGAATTGAAATCTTTTCAATTTAGATTCGAAAACTTTCAAGTATAGATTTAAAAGTTTAGACTTATATGTGAAAACTTTCTGGTTAGCTTTGCAAATTTTTAAGTCAAGATTTAAAAACTTTCAACTTAGATTTAAAAAATTTTTAACTCAGATTTAAAAACAATTTGATAACGCCAAAAGTGCCTGGAGAGTTTGTCAGAGTGGGTACAATAACTGGCTAAGGGCATCCATAATGTTGCTAGAAATCAAGTATTAGGCATTCAATGTATCCTTACTACCTGATAAGAAGCATTGTGAGGGTGATAAATAACTACTATCTGGTCATATAGGTAATACCCGGTAAGAAGCACTGTATGCCTGACACATGGAGTAAAAAATGAAATGAAAGCAACTGGCTGCCACGTGCAGGTGTACAATTGAGTCATCGATGATGTTTTTTCAAGGGCAAATTTTGCTACAAGAGACTTGTTATGTGTGGTTTTAGCCCTAGAACACTGTCCAAACTAACTTTTGGGGGAAAACACTTCATAAACGTGGTAATTTATCAGTGGACACCGCGCCGATTAAAATAATACTTTCCGGTTGGGGAGGAGAGATAAATCATGTGAAATATCAAAAATGCCCTTGGGCCCACATGTCAGCTCTATCTCCTATATCTCTCCTCACCCCTCTCTCTTTTCTCTCTCAGAGCGTGCTCGCACGGGGTGGCGTCGACAGCGGCGGAGATGGCGAGGATGGCGGGCGGCGGAGTGTAGCGGGGCGGCGGCGGCGGTGGACGAGCGCGCGACAGGCGGAGAGGTAGCGTCGGCCGAGCGGAGTGGCAGCGGCGGCGAGCGAGCGCGCGGTAGGCAACAGCTAGCGGCGCTGAGCGAGCGCGCGGCAGGCAACAGCTAGCGGCGGCGAGCGAGCGCGTGATAGGAGCTGCGGAGGCGAGCGAGCGCTTGATAGGAGCTGCAGCGGCGGGCGACTGGCGAGAGTGGCGCGCACCCCATGGCGACAGCGATTGCGACGCAAGCTCCCACGTCGGTTGATCTCTCCGGCGGCGGCGTCGGGCTAGCGGCTGGGCTCGCTGGGGAGGTGGCGGCCGCGGCGGCGGCCGCCTGAGAGTGAGAAGACGAGGTGGGCGGACGCCGGACGGCGATGCCGCGCGCCTTGGCCTAGCTGTCGCGGACCTCATGGAGGTAGAGGCGGACGGCGCGGGCGCTGAATGGGTTGGCCTCGGGGTGGCCGCCGTGCTCCTCGAAGGCGGCGCGGAGGTGGCCGACGAGCACGTCGAGGCTGCCCCACGCCTGGCGGAGCGGGCATGGGCACGGCGCCAGCGGCGAGGGGTGGCTCCGCCGGCTGCGCACTCGTCCACCGCTGCCGCTGCCCCGCTCCACCCCGCCGGCCGCTGTCCTCGCCATCTGAGAGAGAAAAGAGAGAGAAAAGAGAGAGATGAGGAGAGAGATAGGAGATAGAACTGACATGTGGGCCCAAGGGCATTTTTGACATTTCACGCGATTTCTATCTCCTCCCCAACCAGAAAGTATTATTTTAATCGGCACGGTGTCCACTGGCAAATTACCATATTTATAGAGTGTTTTCCCCCAAAAGTGAGTTTGGGCAGTGTCCTTGGGCTAAAAGCACACATAACAAGTGTCCTGTAGCAAAATTTGCCTTTTTCAAGAGGGGTCCACCTTATTCCTCCCTATTGCACATAAGCTTTGTGGCTTCCTGTGATATACTATTGCTATGTACTGTTTGGGTCCACCCTCCTACCGAGTTGGGTAGGATATACTGAGCTTGCCCTTAGCTAACCTTCGCCTACGTGGAAGTGAGAAAGTGTTGGAGAGAGAGGGAAGCGGACGCTTGCATGAGAGCCGGCCAAGCACAAGCGCATAGGCCAATGCCCCAATATGTTAACTGCTGCATGTCAGTATTCCAATATGGCCCAAAGGGAGCAAACCTGGTGGTCCCACACATACATAAGAAAATGGGGAGTGTATTCTAATCCCTCGAGGGGATATCCCCTCGTATATCTTTTTCTTCCAAATTCAATGCAAATAGTTGTGAAAAAATCTGAAAAAAATGACAATGTAGAGTATAATGATACCTACTAGTCCACCAAAATTCATGTTCAAATTCGATCTACACATCGAGAAACAAAAAAGACAAATTTAGATATAAACAGTACGCTACTATTCATACGCTGAATTTGTCTTTTTTATATCTCGACGTGTGAGTTGAGTTTGGACTTAAGATTTTGTGAAGTTGTATATATGTGTTGTATGAATGTTGTCAAATTTTTGCAGAATTTTTCATAACCGTTTAAATGGTTTTTGAGCAAACGAGGGAACATCCCCTCGAGGGATTAGAATAGTTTCCCTAAGAATGGTCCTGTCAAGATGCTTTGAATGACATGGATGTAAATTAGAGCCGGTGCTTACTCCACCTATTAAACCTGCTCTTAGCTTATGCTCAGGGATTCTGCTGCGTGGGTAATTGGTACATTAAGATGATCGTGCTTGTTGACTTTGCTTATACATGTAAAAGAATCAGCATAGTCGAATGATTTGAAAGAAAGAAAGAAATGTTGAACCCACCATAAACATTTATATTTTTCATGTTCACTTTGTCCATGGGTGCATTTTTGCAGGAATTTTCTGAGATTTACACATTTCCTTACCCTCTATGCATGTTAATTGTAGTTTATACGGCACAATCGCTAAGCGCTTGTAGTATAACATGCCGAATGGCCTGAAAACTGATCCTGAGCACAAGCATCTTTCTTCCTCGTAGGCAAGGTTCAAAATTTCATTTCGGTTCTATTGGACCCTCCAATACATTATTATTTTGGTCAATTTTTTTTTTGAATTTGACAATATTTATTCAAATTTGACCAAATTTTGTTGAAAAACTAAAATAATTTCGGACCAGAATTTTTGAAATTTCACCGTATTGGCACCCCAATATAAATGTTGAAAACGAAATACAGTACTGAACTCTGCTCGTAGGTTCTCTGCAATTAAATCTTTCTGGCAATCATCACTTGTCAGATATATATATATATTGTAATCAAAAGAAAGAAAAACCAGGTGTATTAAACTTTTCAACGCGATATATATATAAAAAATACTTGTTTGAATTCAGGCATGCATGCATTCAGTATAAATTTATTTAAAATTTTGTCTGAGAATTTTTGTTCGAAAGTATCACCAAATATCCATCGGAATTTTATTTAATTTTATCCCAAAATGCAAAACCATGTTCCAATCTGTATTATTTCAAATCACCTGAATCCGTATATGTTCAGCATATGAGTATCCGCATCCAACTGAAGGCATATGACTTATGGACTAGAAGGCTATACGACTGATCCGAGAATCCTAGCGATCGAGATCGATCGCCATGGCTTCCCCGTCGCGGCGGCGGCGGCGCCGGCGCCGGCGCCAGAGGAGGAGGACCCGGACGGTCCCGCTCGGCGTGTTCCTCTACCACACGACCCTGCCGGCGGCGAGGGACTGGGCGGAGCTGCCGGTGGACGCGATCCTCCAGGTGTTCCGCTGGCTCGACCACGTCGACATCCTGATGGGCGCCGGGCTGGCGTGCCAGTCGTGGCGCGCCGCCGCACGCGACGAGCCGGCGCTGTGGCGCCGCATCGACATGCGGGGGTTCGCCTGCCTCCCCTACTGGCAGCGCCACCGGCGCGACACCGTCCGCGCCATGGCGCGCGAGGCGGTGCGCCGCAGCGACGGGCGGTGCGAGGAGTTCTGGAGCAAGGTCGGCGGCGACGACGAAGTGCTCCAGTTCCTCGCCGACCAGTGAGTTTACATGGATTAATTATCTGTTGCTTCGATCGATCTGTATTCCCAAATTTTAAATTTTTGGGGTTTTATTATTTGTTCAGTTCTTGTTTCTTCATCCATAATTTGGTTGTTAGTAATTAGGAGCTTGATTTAATTAATTCGTGCGTTTAACAGATTAATTATATATCCTGATGAGTGATGATCGGCATGAATAATCAGTTAGGTGCATGATAAGATGGGGTTAATAAAAGAATAGAATAAAATATATAATGATATTTCTAACAATCATATTAAATGTAAAAAAAACATAAATTCATAATTTGGCAGCTAGCTTGAATCTTTGACACGAGTGAAAATATATATACAAGTTTACTACCATGAAAAATACTTGGAACAGATTTTGGCTCCTTGACACAAGTGAAAACTAAACACAAATTAACTTGACATGCCCATGAAAAATTTTCTTAGTTACGTCATTTTCATATGTATATATGCCCAAAATCATTCATTATAAAACATTTATATTATCATGGTTGAAACCCAACTCGTATGATCAATAATTTCATACATATATATAGATTGTTCTTCAGGGAGTACTGTGACTGAACTACTACTGAATATAAGTACTGAATTACTGATCATTTCAACAACAAAACCTTGAACGTTTGCAGCGCACCATACCTGAGGAGCATTCGCCTCGTCAAATGCGACCATGTAAGCAAGGAAGGAATCTCGGCGATCATCCAGAGCTGCCCTCTCCTGGAGGCCTTGTACATAGACAGCGACTGCATCCTCAGGCGCGACATTGATGCCCTGCGAGACACGAACAAGTTAAGGTCCTCACCGGTCACCCATATTTCTTAATAGAGTAAATTTCACAAAACTACAGATACTTTGATCAATCTATCACAAAACTACATATTTAAGAATGTATTTTACAAAACTATAGATTTAGAGTTAAATTTATCATGGAACTACAGATTTAAGATATTATATCACAAAACTATTGATTTAACAACTATTTTATTACAAAACTACACATTTAAAAACTATTTTATCACAAAACTATAATTTTTATAACTTTAAATTAAATAAATAATAGTGCTATGATCTAAGCTCTAGAATATGTAATTCTTTGATAACTTAATCACTAAATCTGTAGTTTTGTGATATGGTGCATTAAATCTGTAGTTCCGTGAAAAGTTTAACGCTAAATCTGTAGTTTTGTGATAGACATTCTTAAATCTATAGTTTTGTGATAATTTGACATAAGTATATGTAGTTTTGTGAAATTTACTCTAATTTCTTAATAAGTCAAAACAATTTATTATAGAATAAAAGTACTTTTATATGTGCGTTCTAAATCAAATACTGAAAAAAATACATTGAAAATAACTTAAAAATAGATATGAAAGTTAAGTTTAAAAATTCAAATTTTAGCATTGGCTTTGATTTATTAGGGAAACCAATAGGGCTCTAAGTATTCAGATACGGTCGCATGGCGAGGAAGAAGAAGCCGATAGGGCGCAGAATGGCAAGGACGAAGAAGCCGACACTGACTATGGCGATGACGAGTTCACTGGCGATCTTTCTCCGTGGTCCAGCATCTGCTTCGAACAGGACCGCGACGACGGCCTGGATGAGTTCTTGAAGTCGGAGTATTTCCTGGAGCCTCATCGCTACCTCCATGACGTTCATGTGAATGAATTCGATGAGGAGCAGGATTGCAGGATGCTCGACAAGGGTGATCGCAGGTACCTGAAAGCCGAAGGATGGACATATGTAGAGTGAATTTTTTTCTTTACAAAATGGGATAAATCCAGCCTCTACAATTTCCGGTTACCGGATGTACATAAACAGCCAATGACATGTATGTTGGTGATGGAACATCTTCAGATGAGTTCTAGCTTGCTGTCATCTTCAGAAGTTGAGAAACATCAACTAAAGTCGTGAAAAAACTAATCTTTCTCAGGAGCAAATTAGGCCACTTAAGCTGAAAAACAAATACCATCGGATACATGATTGGATAAATGATGACCGTCTGATCAATCATCAAATACGTACGTGCATTATCCCTCTGGAGCCTTCTAGTGTCTCTCGTCACCCACTTGGCAAGTATGAAAAGTAAGCAAGCAACACAGTTGGGAACTTAATGGTCCACAATTTCATATGTTGGGTACTTATGAAATTTAACACATGGACCAAGTGAAGCAAATACTATCTCCATTTTTGTATTATATGATGCCATATTAACTTTTAGATATATGTTTGACTATTCATCTTTTTCAATTTTTTTTCAAATAAATAAGATATAAATCATGTTTAAAGTACTTTTAGTGATAAAACAACTCACACCAAATAAATTACAAATATGTAATTTTTTAATAAGAAAAATTGGTCAACCATGTGTCTATATATTAACGACGTCATCTATTAAAAAATGTTGGTTATATATGTGACCTATATATGGGCAACTTCATAGTAATATTTAGGGCAAAGATCATTTTAATTGCAAGAGAAAAAATCTTCATCTTTAACAAAGATGGCTTCTCATATGGTCGCGCAAACGTACGATTTTGAGTGGCTAGTACGGATGAAAGCATCATAGAGTGATGAACTGATGATGACAGAGCTGATTTATAGATGATCACCGTTGTTGTGGAAAGCTAAGTGTGCCGCGTTTTTTTATCCTTGCTTGCCATTTACGATCCTCAACATGTAAAAAAGGAAATAGTAAGAGAGATCGAAGTCGAATTACTTGAAAGAAAGAAATTATAAAGGTTGAATCCACGACCATAATATACAAGCCCACCATCCTCCTCTCTCCTACGGGGCTGGCTGCCACGAGTCCACGGCCACTGGCCATTGGTCTACTGTCGAGCAGTGTTTGTGAAAAATAAAAAAATAAGTTTATTTGAATTTTTTAAAGCAACTTCTGTAACGAAAATTTTTTAAACGAAACAATATTTAAAAAAGCGCACTAATGGAAATTAAGGAGGTAGCCAAGCCGATCCCATTTTAGAACACGGCCTTAAAAAAGCATCAACATATTTCATTTATATAGTTGTACATTTAAATCTCCAAAGACGTAAATAATATTACAAAATATATACATATATATATTTGCAAACGTCAAAGTTCCGTAAAATTCTAGTTAATAATCTGTTTTCCTATTAATTATTGAATGATACTATTTCCGTTCGATGACCATACTCTATTTCACAACGCTGTTGACAAAGACCAAGCTTCTACTTCTCTACGAACCACAGAGTAAATTATAAGGTTAGAAATCCTTGTGATTTTATTTTCAGATTTATCTCTACTACTCCCCCACCATCCTACTTTCCCACTATTTATAAACACAATCCTGTAAAAAAAACATATTATCTAAAACAACCGCTAAAAAACCAGTGTTTTACCAAGAAAAAAATGAATCAATAAATCTGAACCCATAAAAACATCAAACCCAAACAAAATCCCATATGCACCCTCCGTCTCAAAATAAGTTTATTTGTGGGTTTATATGTCCGACGCTTGATCGTCCATTCTATTTTAAAAACTTAAGTCACACACAAAATATTATTCATGTTTTACCATTTCACAATAAAAATATTAATAATAAAAAAATTTAAGTAAAACAGACGGTCAAATGTTAGATATAATAACCCATAAATAAACTTATTCTGGGGCGGAGGCTAGAGGGTGTAGTGTAGGACTTTGTGGACTTTTCAAAGTTTCCACCAAACTCGACGGAGTTTATGGATCCTCACAAAATCACAGGTTCAACTCCAACCCAGTGAACCCCTCCACCTCGCGCGCGCCTTCCTCCACCAAACCCTAACCCTCGCAACCCCACCCCGCGAGCGCCACGCCATGCCTTCCTCCTCCTCTCGCCGCCGCCGCCGCCGCGGCCGCCGCCGCAAGAAGAAGGAGGAGGAGGCGAGGGACTGGGCCGATGGCCTGCCGCTGGACGCGATCCTGGCCATCTTCCACAAGCTCGGCCACGCCGACATCCTCATGGCCGCCGACCAGGTGTGTGCCACCTGGCGCCGCGCCGCGCGGGACGAGCCCGCGCTGTGGCGGCGCATCACCGTGCGCGGGACCGAGGCGCTCTCCGCCAGGATCAACCGCGGCGGCTTGGCCTGCGCCGCCGTCCGCCGCAGCGCGGGCCAGTGCGAGGCCTTCTGCGGCGAGTACGCCGGCGACGATGGCTTCCTCGTGTACCTCACCGAGCAGTAAGCACACTGATTTTAATATGTATATTTGATTGTTTTGATCCATGTCGCCTTTAATTTGGAGAATTTCTCTTTTAGCTGTCTTGATTAGTTGTCTTCATGTTGAATTTGGATCTTCTGTTTGATTTATCTCTGTTGCCTCCATTCAACATTACAGGTAGATTTGGTCCAGAATTTGTTCCAAATATTGATTGTTGCGGTGTTTGTCGTTGACTCTTTTCTTGTTTGGAACTTTGGATTGAAATATTAGTGTGAAATTGTGAAGGCTTTAGCTAAAATTTGCTTAGGCACTCTCAATAAGTTTGCCATATTTTAATTTAATCTGAAGAGAAGAACATTGATGCTATGTAGAAATTAATACCGCTTGAAGTTGTAGATCAAATAATTTGTCAGCTTATATCGTTGCAAAGTTGCATCAAATTTCGATGATGAATTCGTATGTAATGTGTTCTTCCGCCAGTCATTCTGAGTAGTTAACGACAAACACCGCAACAATCAATATTTGGAATAGGAGGATATACTTGTAAGGTGTTAGCAGGAAAACAATGTGATCAGATCATGTCCTTGGAAAAAAAAGGGTGATAACTGATAAGATCATAAGGATGGTTCGTTGAAAGAAATTGAATATATCTCTATCTTGGATAAACATAGTGAAAAATCCTACCTAGCTAGTAGGGTATTGACATACAGAATGAAAAGTGGTACCTGAATCTATTCGGAGGATTAGCAGTCACAACAAATTTCTGTGTCAGATTATGCAGTTATGCTTTGCTGACAAGGAAAAGAATGATACTTTTAGCTGACAAGGATTAGGAGTTCAGAAATTATTCCAGAGAAGAATGTGCAGACTTCATACACTCAAACTAACAGACAAACTGTTCATCAGACTATGCTTTGAAGTTTGAATAATTCTTAATCATGACATGGACTGGACTGGACTGGGTTTTGTGTTCATACACATATCTAAAAATATTATTGATGAACTTTTGTTGCCAATATTGCACTGGCATTCTTTTGCAAGTATGGCCATTTCTTATTCCTGCTATCTTCCACAGGACAGAAATGAAATGACAATAAAGTGAATATTTACCGTATCAGTACTTCAGTAGTCATTGTCCAAATAACTGATATATGAGAAGTTGGTTCATCATAATCCGTTCTCTTCTACATTGAGCATTGTCGCCTCTTCCAATTATTTATCTAACTGTGAACTTGTAGCTGGGTAGTTTATTTATTCAGACAGTTTTTATCAGCATATTTTCTGATGCGATTGGATTGCTGGTAGTTATAAAATCCCTGTGCTATCTTTGTAGGGCCTCCTGTTTGAAGAGCCTTCGGCTCATCTCATGCTTGGGTGTCTCAAATGAAGGAATTGAGGAGGCAACAAAGGAATTCCCTCTTCTTGAGGAGCTTGAGCTCTCATTCTGCTACAATGTTACTCATGAGGCGTATGCGGCTATCGGCGCGGCATGCCCACAGCTCAAGCGCTTCAGGCTTAGCAAACGATCCTTCTATGATTCAGGAGGTATCCGCTGGAAAAACAACGATGATGCTGGTGGAATTTCAAAGATGCACGGGCTACGCTCCCTGCAGCTCTTCGCCAATAACCTCACAAATGAAGGTCTCTCAACCATCTTGGATAACTGCCCCAACCTGGAGTCTCTTGACATTCGCCATTGCTTCAACATCGACATGGGCGCCGACTCCCTGCGAGCAAAATGTAGCAGGATCAAGATGCTGAGGCCACCTGATGACTCAACTGATGACTATGACTTCGATGTGTACACTCCCAGGAGGCTCCCCATCTCCCCCGGTTTTGTGCGGTATTATTCGGTGTATTCTGATCCGGAATATTCCATGTACTCGGATGAATGGACGTCTGAGGAATTTGATGATGATGATGATGATTATTCCGGTCCTTCCCGCTACGAGGAAGATCTTGACAAGTATGATAACGCGCTTCCCAGGTGCATGAGGACGTTTCTGAAATGAAGAACTGCATGATTTGATCAATGCGAGTGGAATTTATGTTGGAGTTCAACTATTTTTTTCTGGGAATATTTTCTCCCTTTAGATTCATGTAAGTTCGTTCTGCACTCATGTTAGTTGATGAATTTTATGAACTAGTACTATGTAGTACATGGAATATTCTCTTCAAAGTAATTAATAAATGTTCTCTTTAAAGTCTGAGATCTATTTCATTATTTGGGTTTTCCAAAAATCTAAGTCCTATTTGTAGTCGCTATATACTAAATTAAATTGTGGATCGGAAACCAAGTAGCCATAAGTACTACTTATTGGTTGCATGTTCATTGGTTTTGCCATATGACAAGTGAGTTAATTGCTTCTTAGTATTGATGCAACAAGAAATAGGTCTCATATTTTTGGAAGGAGGGAGTATTTGACATTGCAATTACCAAGGCAACTGCCGGGACAAGAGCTGGCCGTCGGCGGTGGCAGGTGAAGGACTAGAAAGGTCAGCGGGGGAAAGAACGAATTGATTCGAAGAGAAGACGCAACGGAAGGCAGGAGGGAGGACACGAGAAGGTCTACAGGCAGCGGATGGGAAGGGCAATAGGTGGTGGGATTTAGGGGTGTAAGTGGCTAACCCGCGAAACCCACTTATAGGCTAAAATAAGCCGTGAACCCGCTTATTTTGATCTATAAGTGGGTTCGCGGCTGACCCACTTACAGCCCTAGTGGGATTCCCTGGTGGACTACCTTGCGCCCCAGGTCTCCCGCCACACCTCTGGTTCCCCTATCTCCAAGGAAGCAGGCAGCAAGGAAAAGGGTGGCGGGCGGCACGGGGACGGACGACTGCTTGTCGACATGGGAGCAGCGAACTTGCACCAATGCGACCCTCTCCGTCGCATCCTCCCCAGTAGTGATGCCGTAGCACGTCTCGCCGAGCTTCATGACTAGAGCTGCTTTGGCCACGTCATCTCCACCACCACGCACACCGACACTGTCGTGTGTGAGGATGCTTGTAGCCACCTCCGCTCCTCCTTGGCCTCTGCCAGCGCGTGCGCAAGATGCCCCGTAGCCTGTGCCACTCCTTCTCAGCCTCCTCCGGCGCATGCGCGAGGACTCACACTTCTCCTTCTCAGTCTCTGCCGGCACTTGCGCGAGGAGCCCCGTAGTCATCGCCGCTCCTACTGGGCCTCCGCTAGCATGCGCAAGAGTAGGCTCGTAGCCGTCGCGACTCCTCAGCCAGGGATAGAGAGATAGAGAGAGAGGTGAGAGGGGAAAAAGATACAGATCAGTAGATAGAATCTGAAAGGTGGGTCCCATATTTTCTTAAAAGAAAATTGTTGACTAAACTGTCATGTAGGACCAAAACCGCTCACAAAACTACTCAAGTTCTATAATTACTTCACCCGGTTTTATAATTCTTGACGTTTTGGATAAGGTTGTAATCAAACTTTTATAACTTGACTATCAATAATTTTAAAAGTATTTAGTTTAAAATAACTAGAACAACGTATATGAATTTGTCTTTAAAATTCTATGATAAAAGTAAACATTCATTTATTTATTATATATATAAAAAATAAGATCAAAGATATATTTTAAAAACTGTGTCATTATCCAAAACTTCGAGAATTATAAAACCGTGAGGGAGCACTAGTATTGGCTTAGCTATAGTGTTGACTGTGGGCGCGCCCATTTATTAACCTTTGCTCTAACGTCAGTTTTGACTGCTCTAGATCAAACTGGACAGTCGACTATACAGTTTGGCTAGTCCAGTTTTTAGCTTGGCTTCTGCAAGAAGCTACTTCTACTACTCCATCGGAGCCGGACACCAATCCCGTGCGTGTAGCTTTTCCTCCTCTCAATCTCACCACCAACCGCATAATGCCCTCCTCCGCTCGCCGCCGCGGAGGCCGTCGCGGCGGCCGTGGCTCAGCGGTGGAGATGGAGATGGAGGAGGCGAGGGACTGGGTGGAGCTGGCGCTGGACGCCATCGCCGCCGTAAAATAAATTCGGCAAACAAAAAAAAAATCCAAAAAACCCTAAACCCTAGCCCGCCGCCGGATCCGTCGCCCCCGCCGCACGCCGTCGCAGGATCTGTCACCCCCGCCGCCCGCCGTCGCCTGATCCGTCGGCGGCGGCACCGAATCGGCGCAGGGCAGTGCCGCCTGAGGCGGCCGAGCCACCCCCGCTGCCGCGGCGTTGAGAGGGGGGGAAGCGCCGCGCCGAGGAAAGGAGGCCGCTGCTGTTGCCGAGCCTGCCGCTGCTGCGCCGGATGGGAGGTCAGGGAAGGGAGGCCGCCGCCGCCGGTGCCGAGCCCGCTGCGCGCCCGCCGTCCAGACCCGCCACCCGCCGCCATCGTCGTCGTCGTCGTGCCTGTTGCTATCGAGGAAGGGAGCGCCGCGCATGGGAGGTCGGGGAAGGCCGCCGCCGCCGTTGCCGAGCCCGCCGCGCGCTGCCGCGCCGGATGGCAGGTCGGGGAAGGCCGCCGCCGTCGGTGCCGAGCCTGCCGCTGCCGCGCCGCTCCTGCCCGCCGCGCCGTGCAGCCGCCGCCGCTCCCGCTCCGTGCGTCGGTGAGAGAGAGAGAGGAGAGGAGGAAAGAGTGAGAGGCTGAGAGGAGAGATAGGAAAAGGATAAGGATAGGGAGTTAAAATATCTGGATAGGAGGGGAGAGAGAAGAGGAGATGAAAAAATTTGAAAGGAGGAGGAGGGAAAAAATTAATTTTAAATTAATAAAATTTTGAATTGAATTTTATCTATCTAAATGAACTCGTGTGAAAAAGTTGTCAAAAACAAAGTTGTAGAACTCATTGAGATCTACCAATTTTATTTTGGTGATTTCTCCATCCGAGTTTAATTGAACTATATAAAACTTGAATTTTAAAATATAAGAAATTCAAATAAATTTTTGGGTAGTAAATGATGTCAAATGGAAAAGTTGTCAACAACAAAGTTGTATAACTTATCAGGATCTACAACTTTTGTTTTCGTCATTTTTCTAGATGACTTTGTTTGAACAATTTGAATTTGAATTTCAAATTATGATAATTTCAAACAACATTTACAAGTACTAAATGAATTCAACTGAAAAATTCATCAATAACAAAGTGGTATAACTCATCAAGATCTATAACTTTTATTTGGGTCATTTCTTCATCCGACAAAATAATTTGTAACCTTATTCACAAAATGTACATTTCTCTTATATAGTTGTATAAACTATAAGAGAGATATGTAAATTTTGTGAAAATGTTCCTATCGCTTTGTCGGATGAAAAAAATGACCAAAATAGAAGTTATAGATTTTGATAGTTATACAACTTTGTTGTTGATAACTTTTTCAGTTGAAATCATTTACTGCTTTAACATATTATTCGAAGATTTGAAATTCAAATTTTTAATTGATAAAACAAAAATAAATGAAAAAATGGCCAAAATAATAGGAGTAAGAACACAATAACATGATAGAGCATGATTTTAGAAATATTTAGGAAAAAGAATCATTCAATTTGAAGTTCATATGAGTCAGATAGACTAACTAGTTTCGCAGACCGCTCCCTAAGACGCCCGTATGGAAAAATCGATTTTTCCATGCGGGTGCTTAAGTGAGTCACATGCAAAAATGACATGCGGACCGCTTAAGAGACCCGTATGGGAAAATCGATTTTTTCAAACGGACGTCTTAAGGAGCCGTCTGTGAAAATGCCACTCGAATTTTACATACGCTACTAGTTATGGTCCGTTTGCAAAAAATCATAGGTCTCGTGCAGAAAAATCACTTAGTAGTGCGACCACGCCGAGATCCTCGCGGGGGCCGGCCAGGTGTGCCGCTCCTGGCGCCGCGCCGCGCGCGACGAGCCCGACCTGTGGCGCCGCATCGACATGCGCGGCCGCGGCCACGGCCACGCCGGCGCCGGCCTCCGCGGGATGGCGCAGGCTGCCGTCAGCCGGAGCAAGGGGCAGTGCGAGGCATTCCGGAGCCAGCACGCCGTGGACGACGGCTTCCTCCTCTTCCTTGGCGAGACGTGAGATTTTTTGAATTTGATTCCCCCACGCACTCTGATTTTTTGGATTCTTCTTTATACTGAATATTCGTGTTTGCTTTAATTTGGTTGAAATTGGCCGTATAGCCGGTACGGATTTGAATTATTTTGATAGGGACCGCCCCTCGATATGCAATCGCGTGTGAGGCGTTCGATTGTGCTCTTGATTTAATGTTTAGTGCCTCAGTTCTGTTGAATTAATTGCATTAGAAATTTTATTATTTATTTACATGGTTCTATATTTCTATTCGTACAGTGGCTACATATTCCCAATCTCCTTATTTTGCCTCTACAGCAAAGTTCACAAGAGGAAACGCTGTCCTAAAAACGTAGCAACCATTTGTGACTGGAGGTTTTGGGTCCTTTTTTTTGTCACATTTAAAAAAGGGAAACTCTTTTAATCCCTCGAGAGGAAGTCCCTTATTTCTTGTGCGCCATCCAAAATTATTTAAAAAATTCAAAAAACATGAGATGATAAATTAATATGTAATATATCACTGCAAATTAAATGCAAATTTTATAAGATGCAACAAAAAAGACAAAAGTAAAATGTATGAAGGTCATTCAACTTGTTTAGGTGTATCATATAGGTCACTTTATTTTTAAAATGCATATCTGCAGGTCACTAATGTGAGTTAACTGTGTCATTTGCCCATGTAACTATTCATGTGAGAATACTTTATACACATGACATGCCACATAGCATTGAAAGAAATGCATTTGTACATCCGCAAACTGTTGTCTTCTAGAATTTCACCTCCACCGCTGTTTATATTCATAGTTTGTCACTGTCGCTACCGTCGGTCTTGTCGCTACCAAGGTTCGATGGCAGTGAAAAGAGAGGACTAAGAACTAGAACTTATCAAAATAGGCAAAAGTGAAATGATTTGGTTCCCGTAATTTCCTGTTTTACTAACTGCTAGTGCTGTGAGAAAGGAACAGATAGACATGCAGTTTTCTGCACATGTCCAAAAAGCATTTTTTTTTAATTTTAGGTGGCATGCTATACCTATATGGTAGGTTCATATGGATAGTTAGATGAAAAAATGACCCACTTAATTTAAATTAGTGATCTGGATGTGTATTTTAAAAGTAGAGTGACCTACATGACACGTCTAAACAAGTTAAAGGACCCCCCTTACTCAAAAGACAAATACAATTAATTGTGAGCACACGTATACTCATTTAAGAAGGTGATTGCTGCTAAGATCATTGTAACATTCTCTATAATAATCTTTCTAATATGTTGAACCTAGCTTGCAAAGGGCATATATGCATGTAACGCTCCTTTGCCCCCATCCCAACCCAAAATTGAAGTATCAGTGTTTTGTAAACACACTTTCCATGCACATCGAAGCATCGGTGTCTTGTAAACACACTTTCCCTGCATGCTTCATGCTCCTCTTTGATTTGCAGAAAAATCATTTGAATTTTGGAGGATTTCAATCCTAGAGAAAAAATTCCTATAAATGCCTTTGGTACAGATGATTAAATCATGTCATATCCTTTAAAATTCCTATGGAATGGACAATCCTATAGCGATTTTGTAGGAAATTTAGTAAAAGCTTCAACCTCTTGAAAATTTTCCTTCGAGTATTTCTCTCTCAACCGATTCCTATGTTTTTCATGTAGTCCAATCAAACAGTCATTCTTATGTTTTTCTTTTATTTTGTAGTCATCTGTTTTGCACTTGCATTAGAATCATCTGTTTTGATTTGTGGGCATGGAATTCAAAAGCGAAGTCTGATCAAACAAACAGATCATCATCACAATGCAAGGTGCATATGGGCGAGGTCATCAATCATCAGACTGATCGTAGCCGTCGCATCTGTCATAACAGTAGTAATCATCATACTCGTCATAACCTTCAAGGGCGGAAGGAAGCTTGACAGTCTTTGATCGCGGCGCACTTTGCTACCAGGGCGTCCTCGACATCGCAAGATCGTAGCAGTTGCTTACGTCAAATAGCTCAAGGCAGCGGCGAATCTAGAATAAAAATTACCCGGGATCCACTACATAGTAGTTATCTAATTATTCACTAGTATACTAATCAAAATAGCATAAATTAGTTAGAATTTAACAATTTTACCTGGTGTCCAGTGACACCGGTAAATTGTATGTGGGCATGCCAGTGGCTCAAGGTGAGGGCAGCTATCATCGATGGCTGTCAGCTCGTCGTCATCAATGTTGATACCGTCCAGTCCAGAATTAGGGTTGTGTTTAGATCCAAAATTTGGATCTAAATTTCAGTCTTTTTCCATCACATTAACATGTCATACACACACAACTTTTCAGTCACATCATCTCCAATTTCAACCAAAATCCAAACTACGCGTTGAACTAAACAGGTGTCGCAGCTGGTGCAACGTCGCCATCCCCAGCGGCCCATAACCGTACCCGAAACACGCAAGCCGCGGATGAGCTTGTGTACATGTGCTCAGCTGGAGGCAGTTCAGCCGCGGGCACGTTTCGCCGGTGATCTCATAAAGCATGTGAAAGACGACACTTCCACAACCAACGAGGGAGAGATCCTCTAGCAGTGGACACTTTCTCATTAACTGGGTTAATGCTTCCTTGGAGATACAGGAGCAGAAAACATGCAAGGGACAGCCGCTTCAGAGAGGGCGACCTGCAGCAATGCAAGCAAAACGAATGACAAATTAGTGCGCAAGATTTTTCAAATGATTAGACCATTTCAGAGCAGGATTTAATTAATATATCACCGAAATTTTGATATTTCGGTACGAAAAATTTGAACAAAAAATGAATAACTTTTGCTAAATTCACTAGTTTTTATTTTAAAAAAATTCAGGCGAATTAGGGCGATAGAACTTCACTCTGGAAATTTCAAACCTAATCAATTCAGAGTCGGAGAAACACTGATGCAATAGAAGTATCATTAGTATATATAACTACCTGACCCCTATATACTCGAGCAGCTTATCATCAACAAAGATCTTCCCATCAAACTCCTCAAGCCGGCCGCCCATCCGAACGGTCCACGGCCACCATTGCCATTGCGTACAGGAAATCTCTCAAGATCAATCTGTTTACATCCTCATGGTGCAACATGTCCACGCATCGCCACAGATCAGGCCCAGGCACAGGCCCGACCGCCGGGCCGTGCCTGGGCCTCCCCCGGCACGCTGGGCTGGCCCGGCACGGTCGGGCTGGCCCGGCACGATGGGCTGGCAGGCTAGGCCCGACACACAAAGTTTAGGGACTAAAAATAGACATATAAATGTCGCTGTCCAAAGAATAGGGACCTTAAATATACTTAATTTTAGCTATTTATATCACAGCCCAAAGAAGAGGGAGGTAAAATAGACTTTTTTGAGCTATACATATATCACAGCCCAGTAAGAGGGAGAAAAATTAGACTTACTCTGAGAAAAAGCACGATGGGCCGTCATTCCTTCGGGCCGGCCCGGCACGGCCCGAGGTGTGTTGGGCTGTGCCTGGGCCGTGAGCGCGGCACGTGGGCTGGCACGGCACGGCCCGGTGCGTCGGTCGGGCCGTGCCGTGTCGGGCGGCCCACATGGCCATCTATCGACGGCGCCAAGCTTGGCGAAGACTACCGAGAGCGCGTCCAGCGGCAGCTCCGACCAGTCCCCTCCTTTCCCCTCCTCTTGCTACTGTAGCTTTCCAATCTCTCCCCCTCCGGCCCCTCTTCCCCTTCGATTCCGGCGGCTTGCCGCCGGCGAGGGTTGGAGGAGGGGTCCGGCCACCTCCCCCTAGTAGTATTGTGTCAGGTTTGTCCTGTAGTTAGGGTCTGTCCTGTGTCTCTTTTGCCGGTGAGGTTCTATGGTTGCCGGAGTTATTGATGGCGTTGGCGTTGGTCGATGGCGAGCTGTGGATGTTTCCTGGCAGCGGCGTGGTCTCGTCGTCGTCGTTGTTGGTGTCTTGCAGCTAGTGGAAGTGGAGGATATGCTGGATTTGAAGCTTGAGGTGATGGGGCGGTGTCTGGTCTTGCCGCCGCCGTGGTCATTGCTGCTGCGCATGGAGGTGCTGTTGGTGCTCTACGAGAAGGTTTATTGCTTGTGGTCTCTTTCCCTCTGTGCCGGCTGTGGTCTGGGATGGTGGTGGTGCTTTGTGCCTCTTGCTAGTGTCCGGGATGATGGCGTCGTCGCCGGAGTCGGTGATGTCGTTGTCCCTGCCACCGAGCTGGCCGAAGCCCTTCTCCGACCTCCTCCCTCCTCGGGTTCCCAGTTGGTGCTTCTGCTTCACCTTCTGCTAGTCCGCTCTTTCCCAACGTTGTGCGTCGTTCCCTCTAGAGAACAGTTCATTCGTCAATGGTTGTGCTCTTCACTGCTTCAGGGTGGCTGGATCTGGGGTCCTTCTCCCTCTTCGTTTCTGGGCAGTTGTATCCACGCTGGGTGGGCCATTCGGGTTGAGCTCATGCTCCTCAGATTCAAAGGCGAACTCCGTGGTGAAGTTTGGTTAAGTCCGGTGAAGCTTACACCAAAATCTACGGCTCAACAGCAAATCTCCAATTTGTGCAGACTCTGTGAAGGCGTCCGAAGAGGATTACCGGTTCGTCAAGCGGTCTGCATGTCAAAGGAGACCCAAGGTTCTAATCGTCGTGGCTTCGCCGCAGCTCCTGTCGATTCGCGCCTTCTACGCTGCCTAGTTTCAGGAGGTTGTTTGTACTCTTAGTCTAGTTTTCTCTGATGTGCATCTTGTTGGTTCTTTCTGTTGGCGATGTACGGGGCTTGCCCCCTTGATCTGTTGCTCTAATATATATGTTTAAGTTTCAAAAAAAAAAAAAAAAAAGACCAGTCCCTCGTCTCCGGCACCGGCAGCGCGTCCATTGCACGGCGGCAACACCACCGGAAAGAAGGGCTATGATCTCTTGCCATTGATCAGGTTTGAGAAATGAGATTATGGCCAAGAGAGAAAGCTAGTTGATTGATTCGATTGATCATATATATACACCTTGCTGCTAAGCTTGCTTGGGCTCTTGAATCGGAGGCGCCATGAACAATGGGATGTAGTACTTCTTGAAGTAAGATAGACGACATTTTAAAGGGGAAAATATGGGACGAATCCCTTCGTTTTCCCCGGCTGCCAGTGATAGTTCTCCGTTGTTAATTAGGCAACATAGTTTTAGTTCTATGCACACAAGCTCTCACGTGTACACATGTGCACACGAACTAAAAATTATCACCAAAAAATCTAGAAAAATCCATACATGTACTTTCAATAGTATTACACCTAGGGTTAAAATCTTAACATCAAATTTATTATATTTTAGCCGTAAAAAAAATCTGACAGTTTTAAAATTGTAATTTTATCAGAATTTTATCTTTTTTTTTACTCTCTATGTAGAATAAATTTGAAGATACGACTTTGCACGTAGATGTAATATTAATGGAAGTACATGTATGAATTTTTCTAGAATTTTTTGTGATAATTTTTAGTTGGTGTGAATGATGTGTACACACGAAGGACCTTCGTCCTTCGTGTATAGGATACGCTCCCTGTTAATTAATGCAAAAAATAAACCATGCATCATCACGGCAGCAGAGACGAAGCGGGTTCTGGCGCGTCGCGTGCGATGACCTCTCGCGTTCTGGGCCACTACTGGCAATGTGGCACGGGAAATAGGGAAATAATCATCTGGCATGCATAGGGAGGTAGAAATCTGATCGTTGATTCAGGATCGGACCGCTAGCTATTTCAGCTAGTCCTGCACATCCCAGTGAATTAATTAAATCTTTAATTAGTAGTATTTCACTTTTGCCTGTGAATCCGGACAAATGACTGTTCATATTCGTATAGAGAAATGAACTCGTTTTAGAACGGAGGCAGTACACTTTTTCTCCGCGTCGCCTCCCCGTGAGGGCGGCACGGGCGGTGACAACCCAAGCCGCCGCCGCACAGGGCCGGCTCTACAATTTCAAGGGTCCTAAGACGAACTTGGTGGTGTAGACCCTTAATATGTTTTTTCTATTTATATATTTTTAAACTATATATCTTCTGATGAAATAAACATTGAGCATGTTCTATATATAACCAAAGAACATCAAAATAGAGCTAATATGAATACCTTGAATAAAGGTCAAACTCCAACTGTCTAGCGACTCCATTAATAATACCTCACAAATGAAGAGATGACAAATATCCATGCGGCTTCTTACGAAAAAATACACTCCTTTAAACATTTTTTATGCAAAATCTTTAAAAAATGTAATGAGATTAATATTATCCATCGCATTCTTCTGAACGTAGCACATAGCCAAGCCTTGTCGTAGGGCCTAAACATAGTATGTTCTTGTGGTAATTTGGCCTCTCACCGAACATATGAGATAGTTAACAGACATACTCTTTAGCTACTTGAATAGGAATTCACTCAAGAATAGTACCTAAAAACTGAAGGTTGTGAGATCAGGTTTCCACGGAGGCAGCAATGACGTGATCAGTTGGACAGGGTCACTCCGCCACCACAAACAATCACCACGCATTTGCTCGCAGTATACGTATGTAGTTTCTATAGGTAAACGCACATATACGGCATACCAACTCGTACTTACTTACCTGATCCTGGGACCCTACTTACGTTGGGCCCTAGGCCGTCGCACTCCTCGCCGTAGCTCTAAGCCGGGCCTGCCGCTGCAACCCATCACCCTCGCCTCTTGCCTCACCCATCACCAAGGACGGCGGTGGCGGGGCTCACAGCTCCCGCTCCTCCTGTTCCGACGCGGGCGGACTCCAGGGCAGAGGTCGGCGACGCCGTTTTCAGCAGCGGGCGGAGGCCAAGGCGGCAACTCGCGGCGTTGGGCGGAGGAGGCATCACCGGCAGGGCAGAGGGAGTGGCGTTGGCGCACGGGAGAGGGAGCGGCGGCGGTGGAAGTGCCGCCAGATCCACGCCTGGATCTGGCGGGGAGGCGACAGGCGGTGGGGTTTGCTGGTGGCGACGGCGACGATGGTGCCCGGTGGAGCAGCGGTGGGCGAGGTCCGACTCCACAACGGCCGGATCCAGCTGGACGACAACAGACGGCGGTCGGTCACGCTTGACAGCGGTCGGTCCGGTGCTAGCCTTCTCCAGGGCTTGTGGATTGGCGCTGTCGGTGTATGGGTGGTGATATATTTTTTCATTTTTCCTGGTTACGACTCTCCAGGGTTATAATCTTGTAATTTTTTCTGCTCTATCAATAGAACTTCGTACAGTCTTGTGCGAGTCGTTAAAAAAATAATAGAGTAGATGATTTGGAGCCAATAGTTAGCTATACTATTAAATTGCTATAGACGACTGTCAGAATTCCAATGTAGGAAACTTGAATTGGAGTAGTTCTGTCAGGACACAAAATTGCAAAAGCGCATACACTATTGAGAGCTGCTACACATACGATGTTTGCTTACGATCAAATGTTTCTGTTAACAGCTGCTTATTCCAGTCCTAATCTCTTTTCAAAATATTCTAGTCCTAAGAAAATGTTCACTCCTAGGTGGATGGCACAATCAGAAATCCCAAAATTCCATATCACAATACAAGTAGTAGTCAACCCAAGGAAACTATTACTACTACAAAACATCAAATATGTGTCGCTGCAATAGGAGCCGGTAGTGCTAAAACCGGCACCTATAAGCCATTTCCCACCTCCGCGGGTTGAAATTGGGAAAAACCGGCACCTTTAAGTAATAATAGGTGTCGGTTCTAATTAAAAAACCGGCACCTATTCTATTTTGTGCCGGTTTTTTATAAAAACCGAAACCTTCAAATATTAAAAACCGGCACTTATAATAAATTATAGGTGCCGGTTTTTTTTAAAACCGACACCTATCATTGAGCCGAGCCGGAAGAGCCGAGTCGGCGCGGGCCCCACCACGACGCTTCGAGACTCGAGAGGATAAGGTCGATCGCTCGCTCGTCTCCTCTCGTTCTCTCCGCTCTCTCTCCCTTCTCTCCTCTTCTCTTTCTCCTCTCCCGACGATGGAGGCGGCGGTTGGAGGAGCGGTGTGCGGCGGTGGCCGCGCCCTCCCCTCCGCCGGTGCGGCGGTGGCCAGCGGCGGCCGCGGCGGGAGGCGGCATGCGGCGGCGGTGGGGAGGGGGGATGCGGTGGCGGCGCCCTCCCCTCTCGACTCTCTCTCGCTGGATGCGCCCCCCCCCCCTCCCCTCACCGGCCAGATCCGGGGAGGGGCGGCCTTGCGGCGGGAGGCGGCATGCGGCGGCGGAAGGGAGGGGGGATGCGGCGATGGGACGAGAGGCGGTGGTGGCCTGGAGGCGGCGCCCTCCGTCCGTCGGATCTGGCGGTCCGGCAGCAACCATTTTCTGTGATGATTTCTTTGATCAATGTTTTGTGAATGATTTCTGTGAAGTTCTTTTCTGCGAATGATCGTGGATTAGGGATTGGGGATGAGCTCGATGCATCGGCTCGATTTGAGCCGATGTGTCGAGCTTTTTTTTTTTTTTGGCTCGCGAGTGGTCTAAAGGTGCCGGTTCTGAAAATGTGATTTGTGCCGGATCACTCATCTGTGCCGCCTTCATTGTGCCGGTTGGAAAAACCGGCACCTATTAGAGTTTTCCAACCGGCACCGTTTACCATTTTTATAGTAGTGTATTCTAAACTCTCGAGGAGAGAGCTGAAAATCACCCCAATCTGGTCACTTCCAGACTTCCAGTTCCTGGTAGGGGCGAAGCGTCAACGACTTGATGCCGGCGCACTTGGCTTGCAGGGCGTCGTCGACGGCGGCGAGGCCGGGGCACCCGCTCACGTGGAGGAGATCCAGCTGAGGGCAGCCATCGACAATGGCCATCAGCTTCTCCTGGCTGACGCCGATGCCTTCGAGCGTCAGGTGTCGCAGCTCGCGCATCGTCGCGATCCCGACCGGCTCGTCGCCGTCGAAGTAGGCAGGTAACGCTCCGCACCAGCGTACGTGGAGACGCTTCATGCGACGGCACGCCTTGCCGGCGACCACGAAGACGTCGCCGTCGATATTTCTGCAGCTGTAGAGCGTCAAGTCCTCTAGCATCGGACATTTCGTGATGAGCTCGGTGAGTCCTTTGTTGGAGACACTTGTGCATGACTCGAGGTAAAGACACTTCAGACAAGGTGACCTGTAAATAAAATAATATATAATTCGTGCAAAAATGTAAACAGCATAGAAATTCAAGTACGCAATTGATGATCTACACATTGGACGGAAAATAAAGAAAAAAGCAATATTAACTCGATATGAAAATTTTACAGAGCAAAAAGTTGGAGAAGTTTTGTAGACAAAGCATTATTACCTGTCTGCGACATAGGTGAGGAGATTATTGGTAACAAACCTCTTCCCCTTGAACACCTCGAGCTTCCCGCCGGAGCGGTCCACGGCGACCTTCGCCATGGCGCAATTTCTCCGCGACACGTCCCGGGGGTGCGAGTGCGACATGTCGACGCATCGCCATAGGTGAGGCAGCTTGGCAGCTTGGAGCCACGAGTGGCACACGAGGCCGGCGCCCATGAGGACCTCGATGGCGCGGCAGCTTGCCGAAGACGACGGAGAGCGCGTCCAACGGCAGCTCCGACCAGTCCCTCGTCTCCGGCGACAGCTTCTCCGGCACCGGCACCGGCAGGGCGTCCATGGATTCCACTGCAACACCTGAAATCTGAAAAAAAAAAGAAAAAGAAAATACTGTAGATGGAAGTTTGAGATATCAGAGAAACAGCTTCGATAGATCCCCTACCTCCACCGAAGACATACTCTACTTGTCTCGCCGTAGGAAGGGAGAAAAATGAAAAGCTCAATGCGGTAAAGATCAAGGCGCGATTTATATATATAGGACGCGAGAGGTTGAGATGGCAGATGAGTCGCTTCGTTTTCTCTCCTCGGGGGCGGTGCACGATCTTGGGCTAGTGGCATTGATGTCGCACAGGAAATTAGGTGTGATTGGCTCAAGAGAGCAGCGGTTGAAATCCGACCGTTTGATTCACGATCTTGGATTCTTGGCATAGTCAAGGTTAATTCCAACACAAGACACCAGACATAGTTTTTATAAACTTCACATCATAAAAAAAAACTAGTACTAGACACTACTCTTTTAATGCAAACAATATTATTTCATACTTAAATTTAATACTACTTGTCGACGGGGGATATCCGTAGACTGGATATAAAGGGTATTATGGTACGTTGGAACGAGGATCTACGTAATATGACATCAAGCAAACAAAAGACAAGGATTATACTGGTTCAGGCCCCTTGATAGGTAATAGCCCTAATCCAGTTGGTATGGGATTATATGATGGAAACCGCAGATTACAAAAGAAATAATGGAACTCGATGATACCGACGAGACCGTAGTCGAGTTGGTTCGACTAGATCACCTGGCGACTTGGCTCCCGTAGGCTCCGGCTTCATAGGCTGTGGTGGATGTGTTGGCGATAAGATTCGATGCCTTAGGTCATACCCAGGGGGTCCCTTTTATACCACGGGTCAGTCGATCTCCAAGTAGGACTCGAAGATATCGGACCCCTCACGATATGGCAAAGACTCAGCCTTATCCGAGTAGAACTCCTTCCATCTGTGGATTCTGTATCTACCACATGATAGATTTCCTTAACGCATACATGAACTATCCGTACACGCGTGGGTATACCATATCAGTATACAACGTATATCCAATGATATAGGGTATACCTTATCCATAACCCTGACACTTCTTATCTCACATGATGTCTTGGATGTTATGTAGAAACCATGTCTTATGTAAGATCTGGCTTTCTTTTCTTTCTTAATTTATTCACTTTGTCACATCATATTTTATCTTAGGTGGTAGTTTATTTAATTCTATGGACATCATTCTAGTCATTGGGTTGGTAATGGCCTAATGGGTAAAAAATTAAGAGTATCACCAATAGTCCCCTAGTCTATTCCTAAAACTCATTTTGATAGATTTTAGTCAAAAAAAACAGCTTCGATAGATCCCCTACTCTCCTGCCCAAAATTTGAACTTCCCATCTCCCGAATTCTCGCTCTGTTGATAAAGAGAGCGCGATCTCACCTCTTCCACTCCCAATCGTGCGTTTCCCGCCTCTCTCCCATTCCTGCGCGTGGGAGCGATCTCTTTCTGCGCGCGGGGAAGGAAGAAAACAGAAGGGCCCATTTTTAGTTTTTGGGAATTAAATTTATGTTTTCTTTTGGAGGGAGAAGTTTTTTCACTTCATATTTTCAGTTTAGAAAACCAAAAAAAATCAAAATTTGGAGATAGATTATTGCTAATTTGTTGGTGATGCTCTAAGAGCAATATAAGTATTTTACGTACTCTATTCATCCCAAAATATAAGTCATAACTATTTTTTTCTTATGTCTTATAATATAAAGCATACATGCGTGAATACATTTACTATCACCTCTTGGTTCTTTAAATTTGGTTTATTTTAATTTATGTACTATTAAGTCTTCCAATCACATTGCTTGCATGTATGGATGTGATTTAATCAAGAAGGTGATTAAATTCTTTCTCGGTCTTTGTATTAGGAGTGGTTGAGCATTCTATTTTGGGATGGAGGGAATACTAGTTAGGCTTAAACCAACTATAAGCGCATGCAGAAAAGAAAGATAAAGGAAAATATGGAATATTGGCTCACATCACTACTACAAAACTCTTAATAAGTACGAGTTTATACGTACTGGCTCATTTAAAATCAGCACCTATTAACATTTTCCCAATTTTGTGGGACGCAAAAATATAGAACCGACGCATTTGAGTAAAAATATACCACTTTTCGAGAAAAATTGGCACTACTACTACTACTATCATTTTTAAAAAGAAATTAACACCTATTATACATTAGAGGTACCAGTATTATAGGCATCGGTTAATTAAAAAAATCAGCACCCATACAACCCAAGCTGAGCCGAGCCGGCCGGCAGGACGCGTCATTATCCACATGCACTCACAGCCTTTGCTTGATCTCCCCCCTCTCTTGTTAGATCCCCTCACGATCTCGCCTTCACCTCCACCTCCTCCCCAAGTTCCACTCCACCGTCGCCTCCGCCACCACTGCTCCCCTCCTTCAGTGCTCGTTGGCTTCCTCCCCTATGATTTATCACTCCAAGCCCTAGAATTCATCATCGGCGTGTGGCAGCGACGACGGTGAGACTTGTGGGGGGCACAAGTAGCAGGCGGCGGCGGTGTTGCTATGGCGGTGGAGGGACCTCACGGTGCTCACCAACGCGTCGGCCCTATGGAGGGACCATGTGGTGCTAGCTGACGGCAACGCACGGCTCAGGCTGCACGTCTACCGGCAGTGACTCCACCTCCATCGGGAGCACACCAAGCACAACCTTGGTATGTCTCTCCCTACTACTACCCGTGGCGCTCCTTCTTCCTTCGTCCCCCGCCTCATCCCCCCCCCACCCCAATCTGATTCGTGGTGCCATGTTCTTGCTACTCAATGGTGGCAACAACGTCTTTTTGCCAGAGCTCCACCTGACTGCAGCGACGCCTTCCCGAGCTCCAGGGCACATATCGAAGATTTATTTTTTTTTCATATTTTTTATTTAAAAAATTATAGGTGGGCACATATATATATAATCTTCATAGGTGCCTGTTCTGGAACCGACACGGCGACACCAATACCCGAGGTCATTGATGCCCCCAAACTAGGTGCTAGTTGGAAATCCGATACCTATACGAGGTTTCCAACCAGCGGTTATTGGGTTTTATCTAGTAGTGAATATAAGAGTTAGTTCTACACATGTTCCAAATAAATGAATTAAGTTTACAGTGAAAGAAAATACTTTCTCCGTCCAAAAAAAGAATTGTATTAGGATGTGTCACATCTTAGTATGACGTTGGTTTTTTGGGACGAAGGAAGTAAGAGGGAAAGAATTATAGCTAACCTTACACATCTAATTTATTATACATGTAAGTTCTAATATAAGGTTACATCTAGTACTTAGCTTTACCATTAAACTTGCTGTAATTGTTGATTTATAGGAACAAAATTACTGCACGTTCAGGTTTCCCACGTGACACGATTCCACATGATAGGTGAACAAAGACAAACAAATGACACTACTAGAGGATTGATTTTTCTGGACGCCGTCCCTTTTGTTTCCATGCGGTTCGTAAGTGGAACAGCACGGAAAAAATAGGGGACCGGGCGTCGGGCTATCGCCCGCACGGGAAAATCGATTTTTCCGTGCGGTCGTCCTAAATGAACCGCACAGAAAAATAAACCGATTTTTCCGTGCGGGCCTATTAAGAGAGCCGCACGCAAAAATAATCATCCCTCCTTTGTCCCATCCCTCTCCTTTATTCTCTCAGTGCTCTCTCTCCTATCCTCTCCTCGCGCGCGCCCCTCCTATCCTCTCCTCACGCGCGCGGCGGATGTAGGCGAGGGCGGCGGCCCGCGGCGACGGTGACGGCGGCTGCCCGCCGCGAAGGCGACGATGGCGCGCGGCTGGCGTAGGCGACGGCAGCCGCCCCCCGCGCGGATCCAGCGGCGGCGGCCACCCCCCGCGCGGATCCGGCGGCGTGACGGCGGCGGCGGCCCTCCGACAACGACGGGAAGGCGACGGTGACGATGACAGGAAGGCGGTGGATCTGGCCACGGCGACGGCGACGACGACGGGAAGGTGGCGACGGCTAGGTTTAGGGTTTTGTTTTTTCAATTTTGGTTTTTTTTTAATTTTTAATTTTCGCGTGCGGACGACATAAGCACCCGCACGCGAAAATCCGATTTTCGCGTGCGGTTGCGCCGCCCGCACGCACAAATAGCGATTTTTGCAGACGTACTGCTCCAGACGGGCTGAAGCTCCGCACGCGAAAATCCGTTTGACCGCACGGGAAAACCTTCTGTGGAGTAGTGTGACCAGCATGCATCAAATTAAACTACTCATACATTAGTAAGATTTATAGACAGCATCCTAGTCAAAACCGAAGTCGAGATAAAAAAGATCATCATCACAATGCAAGGTAATCCTTGAGCCCGTCGTAATCATAAGCGAGATCATCATCAGACTGATCATAACAGTAGCAGTCGTCGTCATCCTCGTCATAAGAGCAAGGTCAATAGTACTGTCGACAGTCGGCTATACTTTATCTCCATGTCATTTTAGAGTTAATATTATAGCCAATTAATACAATAGAGAAATTGTTGGACGGGCTATATCTCATCAATCAAATAATTAACTGTGCATGCATATACTAAAGTGTATGATCAAAAGTGCACACTATCCTTGTGACCATTTATGCGTGATATGCACATGAGCCTAGAAAAAGAAAGCCACGGTTCGTTCATGTGTTCAGAAACGAACACAACAGCATATAGGAATCGGCAAATCAAAACCCAAACCGGATGAAAGACGAGCAAGCGGCGGGCGGCGGCAACGAACGAGCTGAGATCAAAACTCCTTAAGCATTCACCGGGACTGTAGATCGATCCAAAAGCCGGTTGGCCAGATGAATCTAGAGCGGCAAGCGAGCGATTTGGCACATATCGGGTCGAGTTTTTTAGCCATGGACCATGGGCGAGAGTAGCCTCGCAAGATGCAGGCAAGCGGGATTGGAGAAACATTAACGGAGCTGAAGATTGGCGAGCGATGGCGTGCGGCAGCGCGGCGAAGATCTTGTCCGGCATGCAACGGAGAGGAAGAGGAAAACGCACAGGGGATCGGACGAAGTGATGGTTGGGCCCACAAATGTATTTTCTATTGGCACCAGGAACTGTACCTACATATGTATGCGTGCTATCGCTAGCGCTAGAATAGTCGTCGGCTTCCTTCTCTCTCCGCGATTCTCTCCCTTCCAACTAGGATTTGAATGATCTAGAATATTTTGCAGCCTGCTGAATCAGCTTATTGTACCCGCTCTAACATTATATTCAAGGTAGCAGGGAAGCTTCAGTACGTATCTTGATCTTGGCACACTTTGCTCGCAGGGTACGTAGCATCGACGACCTTGAGCTCATAGCACTCCCTGATGCCAATAAGATCAAGGTGAGGGCAGGGGGCTCTTCGTTGTCGATGTCGATGATGCCCCCTAAAATCAGGTGTTGCAGGTGGCGCACCGTTGGAATCCCCAGCGGCACATCGCACCCGTAACAAGGTCGCTCAAATGCCGTTCGTAGCTCGAACCGCTTCAGCTGCGGGAATGATTTTCCGGTGATCACATTCAAAGCGTGGAAGACGACACTTCCACAGTTGATGAGGGCGATGTCCTCTATCAGCGGACACTTTGCTATGAACTCGATGAACGCTTCCTTGTAGACACTGTAGCATGAGACAAGGCACAGGCGCTTCAGCTTCGGTGACCTGATGATGAGTAATATAGTGAGCAAGGAACGGAAAAAAAATGTCAACTTATCAAATGATGGTGTGGTTGTTTCAACGTACAGCATGAACATTGAAGTACTTCAATGATCAAGTTGATGCGATGTGCTTTTTTTAAAAAAAAAGTTGATGCGATGCATTTTAATTTGTACTAATATACTAACATAGTACCGGACAAGACATGTACTACTACTACGAATCCAGATATTGTAAGACGATGTGTCACATCCAGTACTAGATACGACCGCCGGTTCGGATTGTTACATTATACGATGACCGGCGGTCGGACCGGAGCCTCTGCCGGTTCGGTCCAGTTAAAAGACCGGATATGCAATCAAACCAATATATAAACCGGTCAGACCGGCCAGTTTTCAGAAAAAACCGCTATAAAACTGACAGGTGTCGGAGTGATTTGATCCCAGGATCACGTGTGAGGGAGGAAGCCCACCAACCACCAGGCTATCATCCCACTTGTGTTTGAAAGGAACGAGTAACATATTTAAAACCTACTGAACCGGATTAGACCATTGGTTCAACCGGTTGAACTAGTGAACCATCGAACCAAAAGCCTCACCAGTTTAATTTTTTTTAGATAATGGAATATAACATCCTGGCCTTTGCTCTAAAACGAGCTACATCCAATTATTATAAAGTTGCACTCATAAAAAGAGTGTAGTTCAGATTAAAAAGAACACACCACACCAAAGCAGAGGAAACCAGACCAAAACGAGGAGAATACATTTATTCAAGTCTATTTGTAAATCTCCATCCATAATTGGTAAAAAGTTGCACAACCATCGACTCCAACTTGCGGCATGCAACCTTTAGAAACTTCCCATCATCATCACACCTTTGTAGCTGTGCCCAACACCGGAGCCAGTGTGTTGCCCTAAAAATTACTTGCATATAGGAAATAGATGGTGATTTGTCAAAAAAAACATATCATTTCTACTTAACCATAAAGCCCAGCAAATGACAGAAAGCTCCCACCAATATCAGTTTACTCATTTTCTTGTCCGGTCTTAATGACTATGGCCGAAACAAGATTGAGTACATACCTGTCCCGTATATAGTTGAGCAGCCCATCGTTAACAAACCACTGCCCCTCGAACGCCTCAAGCCGGCCATCAGAGCGGTCCACGGCCGCCCTAGCCATTTCGGACATGACAATGGGTTCCTTCAGGCTCAGGGCCTCGTGGTGAACCATCTCCACGCATTGCCACAGGTGAGGCAGCTTGGCGGCGTGCAGCCATGAGTGGCACACGAGGCCGGCGCCCATGAGGAGCTCGATGGCGCCGAGCTTGGCGAAGATCACCGAGAACGCGTCCATCGGCAGCTCCGACCAGTCCCTGCTCTCCGGCGGTAGCAGCATGCTTTCCATTTGATTCCTCCACCGCAAAACCTGAAGGCAGAAAACAATTAACTGTATCAGGCTTGGAAAAAAATAAATCAGAAATTTGTGAAGAAAAATTGTTGGTTCAGATTGATCATACTAGTACTCCCTCCCTATTTTAATGTATGACGCCGTTGATTTTTTAACCAACGTTTAACCATTTGTCTTATTCAAATTTTTTATGCGAATATAAAAATACTTATATCATGCTTAAAGAACATTTGATGATAAATCAAGTCACAATAAAATAAATGATAATTACATAAATTTTTTGAATAAGACAAAAGGTCAAACGTTTGTCAAAAAGTCAACGGCGTCATACATTAAAATATGGAGGGAGTACTAAGGGCACCCACAATGGTTATCTATAGGCTCTCTATAAGAGATCCATGTCAGCATATTTTCCTACTTGGAAGAGATTAAATGAAGAGAGAGAGCAAAGCTATCTACTAACTTGGAGATAGTCTATAGAGAAAAACGAGACAATGTATTAGAGAGCTATAGATACCCATGTAGACATACTATTGAGATGGTTTACTATTAATCTAGTCTATTGCTGAGATGTACATGTTTTATAGATAACACCTTACTTTACCATTGCGGGTGCTCTAATTAAGCTCAAGCTGGCGGCGTATTCGAATAGCGCGCGGCGCGGGGATGAAGAATGGAAAAGCTCATCGTCAAAATAGACGCATTTTATAGCGCAAAGACGTACGAGATGAATAATCCATTGGTAATGCAAACCATGCATGCTTGCTTGACGGCGGCAGAGGCGAAGCGTTCTCGCGTCGCGTGCGCGATGCGGCCCGTCTCGCGTTCTGGGGCACTGTATAAATGTGGCATGGCACGGGAAATCTTCAACTGCACGGTGATCGAGAGGGATTGGTTTTGTTCGCCACTACGTAGTATACAAATCGTGTCCACGACCAGCGGCGAACACAAACAAGTATAATTGAGGAGAGGAAGCTAGAGATCAATTAATACCACTTGTCATAAAAGTTAATCGATATAGAGGAACGACGACTAACCTTACTGATCGCTTCCGTTATTAATCGCCCAAGACATACAGGTGACGACACAGGGATACATTATATTTGTTAACGAGGTTCAGCCGAAGCCTACATCCCCGGGGCTCTGATTTTATGGGCGTCCATAATCAGAGCCCCGGGAGTGTAGGTTTCAGTTGAACCTCGTTAATAAATATCGTGTCTTCCTGTGTCGTCATCTGGCATGTCTTGGGTGATTAATTACTGAATTAATCGAGAAGTTAGTCGTCGTTCCGCTCTATTGACTAACTTATATAGCATGTGCCGCTCGTGGCACAAGGCGACCACCATGGTGCCGGACGTATGGCGAACCGTGGACATGACGGCGCACCACACGATGCTACGATAGATGAAGGCGAGCGCACTGTGCGCTGTGGCAAAGGTCGCCGTCGACCGCGCCGACGGCCAGCTTGAGGCGTTCATGGGGAGGAAGTTTGTTAGCAATCAGCTCCTCAAGTACATAGCTGACAGGTAAAAATTAAGGTACTTTCAGTTCTTCAAGTAGTAGTATATTGAACTATTTGAGTGCGGGGCTTTTAACTATTTGCCACTCTTAGGAATGGTGCTTAATGATTTGCCACTAGACCCATATGTCACAGACACATGAGGTCCCATCTGTCATAGACAGTGAGTGGCAAATCGTTAATTGCCATATTTCAAAAGTGGCAAATAGTTAAATTTCCCCAAGGTAGTGTTGTCTTTAATTTCAACTATATTTCAAATTATGATTTGAAATGCATACGTAAAATATATTCCAATAAAATAGAGGGCTGATATACAACGGAATCCTGTTGGGACGGGATGATGCCGGTTAGGTATTAGGGCATAATACTTCTGAGGTATCATGTCCTAATACCTAACCGGTATCAGGCGATACTTGAGAGGTATTAGGTGATAACTATAAGGTATCAGGTGATACCTGTCAGGTATCAGACGATTCCTACCATGTATTATATGATACTTGCGAGATATCAGGTGATACATGTCAGGTATCAGGCGATTCCTACCACATATTAGGTGATACTTGCGAGGTATCATGAGCCGGGTACCAAAATGTCGTCATTGGTGGTCCCACCATCCACGTCCCACGCCGGAGCTCGTCGCCGTCGGCCGCATCCTCCACTGTCCACGCCACAATGGAGCTTGTCGGCGGCGGCCGCTCATCTGTCATCCACGCCCCACGCCGAGCTCATCAGATAAGGTAGCATTATAATGAATATAATTCGAACATATAGTAAAATTGGTATTCATATACTTGGAAAGTAATACAATATCAGAGTAGTATAAAGAAGATTATTCTAATAAAAGTACAAGTCTTACGAAAGAAGGAAAAGCTACTAGAGCCATACCCGAATTCTTCCGAAGACTCCGAGGACTGAAGATTCTATTCTATTTCAATTCCACTATATTCTACAAACTAAACTAAACTTGAGAGATGAAATGAACTTCTTTGCTTGAGGTGTATGAAGGAATGGAGAGAGCCAGCTCCTTAAATAGGCAGGTAATGATGGTTATGGCGGTTAGAAAGGTTGGTAATACCCTCCAACCGCCATAGGGAGTGAATCTCCACCGTCCAGAAGAAACCATGTATCCAACAGCACCGGGAAGGGTTCGGCCGAACCATGGGCTGGGCTTCCCTAGCCCATTTTCGGCAGGTGGCCTTCTCTTTTGCTCCTATATGCAGACTTGAATTTTGACTCAATCGGTTATGTCATTTCTGCATTCTTGGTCCATTCATTGATAAATCTAATTCTCGATATCGCCTAATTGATTGATCGCTTGTTTTTTTTATGTCGATTCTCCTTTATTTTATGTCCATTCTCTGCAAGAGGTTAGTAATCCTAGTGCCAGTGGAATATTTATTATTCTAACCCAAATATGCATTGCAAGTATAACTAGTTCTTCTTTATTTTGGTAGTATTGATGGTCGAAACTGATCTCTAACGACCGTCAACAGTAGCACTCGAGGCTCATGTGGTAACCCCTTTAGATATAAAAGGATGTCCAAGCCTATTGAGGAAGGGGTTGAATCCCACAAACTCTGGGTGAGAGGTTGAGCTTTGGCTTCCTCACCAGAGATTCAGAGACTTTGTAAGCTCTTGAAAAATCATTATACACAGGAGTAGGGTACTACACTCTTTAGCGGCCCGAATCTATCTAAATCTCTTGTGTCTCACCCATCTCGAGGGCCCGACCCCATTGAGATAGCCAACCACTCCCTTTTCTCAAACTCCTCATTTCTGCATTCTTGGCCCAACTCCTTTTCCGGTATGACTTGCTGAATACAGTGGGTAATACTCAGTCTTGCTATTTCTTCCCCATACCAGAGCTGAAGTTCTTCCTAGTTGGAGCTTTCTCGGAGAAGTTGGTTTCATCGCTGAAGGATGCCTAGGGAGTCAAGCTTTCAAGTTTAGCTCGCTTTTATCTTTCTGCTGCATTTTTGTAATCTTTTATATGTTTGTAAGACGTGGATATGTGTGTCAACAATTGTCGTTTGTGTACTCTGGCTGGTCCTGGACAGAGGTTTTAATTAATGCACATTCAGCTTAGACATTCTGGTTCGTGAATTTTTGGGCGTGACACCAGCCAGCGCACACACGTCCATTAGGAGCTCCCGTGGACATCTAACAATAACAGGGAAGAGTTGTTGCCCCAGATCCCGGTGCCCTGAAATCGAGCTTATGGCTAGATACACCACGATATGAAGAGGAACATAACTTCTTTTTAGATAATAGAAATGGTTTACATATCCAACCTCTACCTACAAGCAAACAACCAATGTATTCTATAATTGTAAATGGAAGAAAAAAATACAGGGATGTGACAAATTCCCAACTCCTCACCAGAATTAAAAGCTAAGATAAATCACGTAAGTCCTAGCAAGTAATTATGTAGGTGCTACCCTATCCAAAACGATACAAAAGACCCTGGTTACTAATTTTAAGAGTGTAGCACTATTATGCATAATATCATGCTCCTATTGTGATAGCATCAAACACCAAGTATAAAACCAACTGGCAGACATAATCATAACCGGTAAAGGAGTAGCCATTTTTAGTTAACAAAAACTTTATTATTTCTACGTCGCCAAATTGATCAATATAGAGCACGTCCGAAATAAAACCAATTTCTTTTTACCTTTTGGCGCAGCTTTAAAATGCTTTGTTGCTTTTCTTTCTCCTTTTATTAAATACGGAAAAGAGATGGCCATAGTGGCCGACTATAGCGCCCCACGATCGAACACCTCATGTGCCCATCCCACACGATCGGTCGTGAAATGCTTGGAAAGCTCCAACAAACAACTACCTGACGTGAACTCTTGGAGAATGCTGCGCGCTGGGCGCCCGACGGCAGAAGGAAAAATCGGACGCCTCAGGCGCCGGCGCATCCTGCCGCTTCTACTTTAAATAGTTTTAAAATGATTTTTCTTTTAAACTAATTATCCAATCTACGATCCAATCACACCGTTGTATTCGTTGCAATTAAATCTTTACAACAAGACCACACATGATTATATTTCGACAAAAAAATATTTTAGCTTTTCTATTGATATTTTTTTGAATGTTGCATATGATATCTTTTGATGCTTCAACCAGTAGTTTTATGATGTTTCAGCTAGTGTACTCGCGATGTTTCACTATGTACGGATCAAAGGTTGCAGTGGATTTTGATATTATGGAACGCGTCGTTGCAACAAATCACCCATATATTTTGGAAACCCCCTATTAAGAGATTTTGGTTTATTTTTTTTCCACCAAAAATGTTTCACTTAATGTACTCACAATGTTTCATTATGTATAGATCTAATGTTGCAGTGAACTGAAATATTCCATTGCAACAAAAAACACACATATTTTGGAAACCCCCTATTAAGAAAATTCGTTTCATTTTTTGTTCCACCGAAAAATGTTTCAACTAATATACTTATAATATTTCACTATGTATGGATCAAATGTTGTAGTGAACTGAAACATTCTTTCGCTATTTGCTGAAACATTATTTTATATAAGGTAAAATAACACCCGATTTAAACGAGTGAAACATTTTCGATTTATTTAGTAAAACAATTCCGATATACCTGGTGGAACATCGTGCAACATTTAAAAATAATTCAATAATAAGCTTAAAAAAATTTCGTCGGAATATATTGTGGTCTTGTTTTGAAGACGTCAGCGCCCGATTTTTCTCCCAAACATCGGACGTCCGAGCCGGAGTTGTCTACTCTCGCACGCCTTAGGAATACAATGCTTCGGCCGATTGGCCTGACTCCAACGTACGTAAAAAGGAAAACGACTTGAACAGAAAAAACTGGATGAGCTGCAGTGACTAAGAACAAGAAAAATGAAACAAGGAAGGTTTAATCTTGAGAATTGCAACAGTCGGTGGATGAGCGAGGTTGTTGGTGGTTGGGAGTATTAGCGAGGAAACGTTAGGATACGTTTCGTGACGTATTCCACTAGGAGGGCAGCGACGGTGATGAGCTCGCCGCCGTTGCTGAGCTGCCGGGCATGAGAATATGCGCTGCATTGCTGGCCCGCGTGGCACAAGACCTCCACCCAGACTTGGGCGATGAGGCCTAGCTTGCCGTCTGCCCCTGCCTCTTGTAACTCGTCCTGGCTGATGAGCTTTGCACCGAGCTCACATCCTGTGTCTAAAACCAGCTGGAGATGGTGTTGTGTTGTAAAATCAAGGTTGGAACCGTACCTGTGTCGTAGCCTACCACGAGCATCATACTCGGGTGTATCCCCGTAGGTCCGTAGGAAGCTGGCCAATTGCTCGGTTGAGTCGTACCGCAGGCCGCCGGCGGGGGTGAGAGCGTAGGCCATCTCGACGTATGAATCGCGGCTGGCAGTGGGAGACAGCATGTAGGGGCGTGCGGCGAGGAGGAACATCATGTAGTTGGAGAGCGCCTCGGCCGCCTTGGCCATGGGTTGTTGCTTGTCCTGCTTCTGCTGCTTCTTGTTCCACCAGGTGAGGTAGATGTTAGTGGCGAGGTGCCAGACAAGGATGCGCTCCTCCACGCTCCAGGTCAGCCGCTCCTCCCCGTTCAAGGTCTGGCCACCCTCGTACAGTCCCCATCTCTTCAACTCCGCTCGACCCTTTGAATCAAAAAGCTGATCATCTGCGTCTGCTTCTGGTCTTGATCCATGAGAGGCAGAGCCCTCCTCTTCTTCTCCTTTTGATGGAATTGGAAATTGATCTTGTTCGTCCAACACCATCGAGATCGAGGAGGAGGCAGTACCTTCTCTCTCCAATACTTGGTTCACCAACAGCTCCTGGATGCACTCCGAGACGGGGATGGGCCACGAGTAAGCCTTGGTGTTCCACCAATCTTCAACTCCCATCCATCTTGCCATCTTGCTTCTTCGGCTGGTCGTGCTGCCAACGCCCAACCGAAGCAAGTTGTGCTGCCCCATGGAGCACGACCAGTACCTTCTTCTCCATTGCGCTGCACGGACGAGCCGGCGGAGGCTCGTAATTGTATGGCCCAGATTGTTACATACAGTATTGTCCTCCATTCCGCGCTTATGGCGACTCCACCTCACCAAGAGAGGACATGTCCAGCTCGAGAACATAGCCCGCAACAAGGACGCAGTCTCCAGGATGACAGCGCCAACTAGCAGGACATAAGTGACAGCCACATCTAGCCTGTCGTAGCCATGGCCCTCACGGCCTAGTATCACCAGCTGAAACAGCAGGAATGCAGCGGTGGTCGCCATGGCTGGAAGCATATGAATGCAAAGGCCATACAAATTACTGTGGATGACCTCTACCTTGGTGTAGAAGATGTCGTGCATCAGGGAGAGCTGCATCTCGGCCACCTTATACAGATCCTTCCCACTCAAATTCGAAGCAAAAGGGTACTGAGACAGAGAATTTTGCGGCGGCCCCTTCAACCAAATCCTGGGAACCTCCAGCATTCGGTGAGCCATCAGTAGGTAGGTTTCTGTGTCCCACGGAGGTCCAGAAATTATCTTGTCAAGATAGTAAGAGCATTCAAAACCTCTGGAGGATACTTGAAGAGTTCGGTAATTCTTTGCCATCTGGCTGCTATCGGCGCACCTAAGCGCCCACACCCTCTCCCCGTACTTGACAACACCGGCGACAAACATGAGCATGGTGGCCCACCGGAGCAAGGAATGGCTGCCAACAATGGAGGACTCGTAGAGGATGTAGCCAGCTGCAGCCACCTGCACGGCGAGCGTCTGCAGGTGGCGTAGCCACAGACGGTTGTCCTCGATGGCGTAGGCGGTGATGCTGTCCTGCCCACCGAGGTGGAGCAGGAGGAATGGTGCCCAGAAGGCCATCAGCTGATGCTGGGGCGAACTGCTGGTGACGGACATGTGGCCGAGGACGTATATGGCAGTCCCGTCGGCCATCATGTACGCCGACCAGATGAAGAACCTAAGCACGCCGGAGTTCACGCACCGGCGGAACTCCGCCAGCACGAGGAGCGAGACCTGGAGCGTCAAGCTGAGAAGCACCAGTGCTTGGATGCCCCATTCATTCCATGCACGCATGATGACTTCTGCCCCAGCCATCGACGTACGACGTCTCTTGCTTGCTTCTGAAACAGATAAACACAAGTTAAACACAATTACTACTTGTTTTGTTTACGACTATGGAAGTGTTGTGCGATGAGGATTCTGGATTTCTAGCTATTGTTACTCATATACAAAAAAAAAAAAAAATCTCTATCAGGATTAGAGTTCGTACTTTCATTTTACTGGAATTCTGGAAAGGCCGAGTAGCTAGTAGGAGAGCTCCGTGTAAGGCTAAGGCAACGGTGTGTGAATTTTAATTTCAACCCAAACCACACACGAGAAACTCGTTTATCCAAAAACATCACCAGGACACTATGAGTAATTAAGGACTAGATGGTAGGATATTCTCTGTAACTCATTTCTCGTATAGGAAGCAGTGATCTAATGGCCTAAAAAGGATCAACCGGGTGGGATATATATATACTACATTCGTTTTTTCTAATGTATGATGCCGTCGACTATTTTTGTGCAATTATAAAAATATTTAAATCATGCTTAACGAACATTTGATAATAAATCAAGTCACAATAAAATAATTACTAATTACATATTTTTTTGAATAACAGTAATAATCAAACGTATTTAAAAAGTAAATGGCACATACATTAAAAAAAGAAGAGGGTATATAAGAGTGACACTACCACAAATCAGCCCATCTGTAATGGCACACTTGTGACAGGCGGAAATATTTCACCATAGATGGCCTCATCTCCGATAGCTTAAATTCGAGCCGTTTTGAGATAAGGCTGCGGGACGCAGCTTGTCACAAGTAAGGGCCTAGATGTGATGGGTGGGCCCCTATTAGGACCTGACATAGAACGCCTTTGTCCCTTTGTCGGGTCCATATATAAGCCTATCACGGATGACCCCTCACATGTGACAGGTATTGAGTATACACCCGTCGTAGATGAGGTACCTCAGTTGTGACATGTTAAACAATGCCCGTCATAGATAAGGGGTTATTTGTGACGGGTGTTGATGTGGTAGCCCGTCAAAGATAACTATAACTCATCTTTAATGTGTTGACCGATTTACCCGATAAAGATGAGTTACCGCCCATCCTCTAACTGTTTGTCATCCCAGCCCTGTGTACTGTGCATATTTTGGGAGAGTGAGTAGGGGCAAGTATTCTTTGCTCTAAAATCAGAGGTTAAGAAAATGATAACTTGGGGTAAAGCTGAATTATTTTTTCTGATAAAATTGTTGTCTAAATTTATTGTTCACAGATGGAGCGAAGTTGTGATATACACTACTAATCATTTGAGCCAAGAGTTTAGGAATGGAGTTGTTGAATTTCTGAATGTTGTGGATAATGATAAGAGGATTTGAGGAACGGATATATGGTATGTCCATGTGTAGACTGCAGAAATGAGAAGATGTTTTTAGAAAGGGTGTTGGTGCAGTCTCATCTAATACATAGAGGATTTATAAAGGATAAAACATGTTGGACCAGGCATAGAGAGCAAGAGCCATCGAATATTCCAGTTACTGAAGTGCGAGATGTATAGAACATGGAACAAGATCGAGATTACATGTTTGTACCATCTCCATTGGGTGGTGATATCATCAATGTCATCCCAGATACCCTCGGAAATATTAAGGAGTCAGCCTATAATGAGAGGGATTATGAGAAATTTAGCACGTTAGTGACAGATTCTAAGAAGCCTCTATATCCTGGAAACAAGCGAAGCACACCAAGTTATATGACATGTTGGATCACATGAAGCTTAAGGCAAATAACGGTTGGCTACACAAGAGTTTCTCGGAACTGTTTTAGTTTCATGGATCTGCTTGACTTGCTAAAGGACTTGCTACCAGAGGGGAACAAAATGCCAAGACGACTTATGATGCAAAGCAAGTGTTATGCCCATTAGAGGCTGGAGGTTAATTAGAAGAATTCACGTATGTTGAAATGACATATTGTAGTACAAATAATACACCAACTTTGATGCGTGTTCTGTATCTGCTATTTCTCAATACAAATGAAATAATGGTAGTGCTGAAGGTAAGAAGTTAAAGATGATTAGTCTCGCTAAGGTTGTTTGGTATCTCCCTATTACCGATCACATCAAGAAAATGTTTGCCAATCCTACGGAGGTTGAGTTAGTTTGTTGGCATAAAAGATAGGTTGATGTAAGCTAATATACTTGACAAATTCAACGTAGTCGAGGAATATTGATAGGATATACTTAGAATTTGTAGGGGAAGGGGAATGCTAAGGAGAAGGAGACGGATAAGTCATCGTTAGCCCCTAAGCAACGACAACTTAGTTTGTGCTAGGCATGCCCTTGGTGGATGACAATGAATTAGCTCTAATGGGTATTGCGTGTTAAGAATTGCCACTAGTAGAAAACAATTTTTCTCAACACCTAGATTTGATTTTTTTTAGGCTGGCTGTAAAATAGCTAGAGGCCCTATAGTTGTATCACTGCCTATAAAAGAACCGCTTACAAAAATGCCATTATTTTTGCAGGCGGACTTGAGACCTCAGCCTAAGTCCCTCCGCCTCTCACCTCTCTCTTCTCATTCTCGGGGGCTACTAACTCATGCATACGCGCCGGTATCATAAGTGTTGCGCACTATCGGGAGCCCAACTTCTGTTTCTATGTAGGGACACATATACTGCATGGTTCCATGCCGTTGGTTTCCTTTTTATATCTAATCAAGTCATAGATTAGATTTAATTTCTAATTTACTATTTAACTTAGTTTCTATTGAGGATTTTAAGATGTTTAGTCTGATTTTGAAAACTTTCAATCCATAGTACTTTTGAATGAAAAGCATGTAAATATTTTCAACTCAAATTTGAAACATTCAACTCAAAATTTGAAAACTTTCAAGTATAATTTTAACACTTTTAACCCAAATTATGAAAACTTTCAACTCAAACTTTAAAAACTTTCATCTCAAAATACAAAACTTTCAAGTCAAATTTTAAAGTAACCCAAAATTTGAAAACATTCAACTCAAAATTGAAAACTTTCGTCTCAAAAATGAAAACGTGGTCTACACGCCCTCGTCTCACCGAGGCTGGTTCAGACCGCTGTGGTCTACACGCCCTCGCCTTTGCCAACCCAATCCTCGCTAGGGACGGCACTAGCTTCTCCCCACCTCCTCCTTGCCTGAAGGCGCCGTCAAGACGGATAGCCACCTCGGGGTGCCGACCGTGGCGGGGTCACCTCCTAGCTCTCCGCCACCGTCGACCATGTCCCTACCGCTGGCTATTCCATCGGTCGCGAGGGATGGGGTTCTGTTCGACGTTCCATTGGTCGCCCTCGATCTTGACAGCTGGCTGATGGCGCAACTCCCGCTTTCAGTCGCCGATAACGACGCGTTGCACGCCTTCCTCGCCAGCTGCTCCAGGTCTCTGCCTCCAGCACTGCTCTCGCTGCCCCCGCCTCCGGTGCCTGCCACTGTGGGAGTAGTGCCAAAGCGTAGCAAGAGGATTGCAGCCAAGCTCACGCTCGCCGGCCTGAGTGACACGACCTCACCCGCCCAGCACAATTTTAAGCGCAAGATTGGGTTGGTGCCTAAGAAGGGTCCTGAGTCAACCGAGACAGCTTACAATGCCCTCTTCTCCTAGCCCCTCCCTCTAGATCACGCCATGGCCCTGTCTTCGCTCTTTTCTAGCTCTCTGCCTACGGCGCAGGCCAGAATATAGTGGGACCCCCTACCCCACCCTCCCTTGCGATAGGAGTTTTTTTCTTTCTTAGTAATTATCTTTTTTGTATCTGTTTTTTTTTTTGTTTATTTTTTCCTTGACCCCTGTCCCCTGGCAACGGCCTTCTGAGCGTGTGCGTTGTGTAATCAAACTATGCTCTCTTCTCCTAATATATTGACGTGCAATCCTTTTACGCGTTTGCGAAAAAAATAATTAAAAAGGAAGCTTTTGTTTGAAGTAGATGCTCGAAATGTTACCTATAGTATGTTTACAAAGCAATATTGATTAATTGAGTTTTTATATACCGCTATTCTACTATGTCTTAGAGAATAATACTTAGGTGATATATGCAATCAACCGGTTATGTTGAACTAACATTGAATACTTATTTTAATGTATTAATATGAGAGGCCGTGGTGGTTCTCCTTGAACATTGCATGATTGCATCTATGAAAGTTTGGGGGCGACAAATGTATATATGTATTTGTGGCTATATATGTGATTGCGGATACATCTACTTGTAGCTATATATGTCGGTGTATATACATATGCTTGTGTCTATATATGTTTATGTGATTTACATGGAATATGTGATTGTGGACATCAGGACATGTGAATGTACCTATATATAGATGTCGACATGTTGCTGTTGGGCATGAGGCTTTTCTTGTTTTTTCATAGGACATGTCTAGCAATTTTCTAGGGCTAGCTAAAAAATAAACATTTAAAAAAAAACTAAAAATACACATCATTGTTGAGTGAAGGCTGAAACCTTTCACAGATAAACCATGCATATCTGTGGCTGGTGGTATTTATACCCTGTCATAAACAAAGTTGTCTGTGACTGGCTAGGAATGAAATGCCACTCGACGTATGTGGGTCATCTGCGATGTGTGACAATGCCATCCAGTCAAGGTGGTCAACCCTATCTGTGATGGGTGTTTTTTTGGCCCGTCACAGGGATCCCATATAACTAACGGGCCTTCACCCGTCCCAAATGAGGTTCGGTCATCACGGACTACTCATATGTGACGAGAACCGTTCATGTTAGAGATGACTCCTCTCTTGTGTGGGGTTTGCTTTATTGCTATTACTCCCTCCGTCCCAAAATAAGTGCAGCTATGGGTTTTCGCGTTCAACTTTGACCGTTCGTCTTATTTGAATTTTTTTAAAAAAAACTTAAAAACATAAGTCAGGAGTAAAGTACTACTCACGTTTTATCATCTCATAACAACAAAAATGCTAATTATAAAAAAAATTAAAATAAGACGAATGATCAAAGTTGAGCACGGAAACTCATGGCTGCACTTATTTTGGGACGGAGGTAGTATTTCATTTCTTCTCACTGTTTCCCTGGTACAC